CGTCATTGTCACAGTCCAAGGTCGACAGTTAAAGACCAAATCCTCCGTCTGCCCCTCCCTCCGGTCCCGTTCCGGTCGACCCTTGCGTGCGCGGCCGCTTCATGTCGTGATCGGTGTATCGTGTCGTTGTTTTGACGAAATCGTCCTGCAGTGCCCTGTCTCGTGTTCGTCTGCTACAGTTTCTCGAGTTTCGGTGCTATGGCCCCCAACAGAATAGGGGATCCATCTATGAAACTCTATAGTGTGGGCTGTCATCATCAGTCGACGAAACCGAACAGCCTCGTCCAGCTGACCCTGTTTACGTTATGTCGTCAGCATCCCGCGTGGAAGTGGGAGCAATTACAACTATGCCTGCTTCCACGTCTGCGTCTGCGGCCGTTTCGACGGCCTATGCCGGAGTGATGTGGCGGTGAGTACCGGTTCGGAGCGCGGGGGGTGGGTGAAGAGGGTGGCCGTCTACGGAAATTTTGCCTTGTCTGAAGACAAAAGCGGCATCTTCTCTCGAAACCGGTCAACGATGATTTTCAGCCCCCAAATCAAACCCTGGCTGCAGCAGCAACAGCAATGCGTGCGACAGCCACATCCTACGCCGAAAGCAGCACCCGGTCGTGTGTCTGGTGTCGTGTGCCGTCTTTGTGCTTTGTGTACTTTGGGCAGAAGTACATTCGATATCCCTGTCTTTTCGTTTTAAACCCACCCTCTGCAGTCGTCGCATCGACCACACCGACAGCAAATCAAGAGAAAAAAAAACGAGTGCAGAGTGTTGTGCGACGTCGATTTTTTATTTTTATTTTTATTTTTTTTTTTTTTTCACCTGCAGACTCAATCACCATGCATCACAATCCCGCTTTATGCAAGCCACCCCCAAGCTCTTCACCCCCAGTCTGACTGCGTCTGTATTCCACATCCTACATGCGCGTCTATTCTGTTTTATTTGTCGTTTTCTTCTCTTTTCGTCACGTACATCGTCCGCGTGATCATCTGCCGATTTTCGTTCGTCCCCATCCATTTCACGGTGACGTGATCTGCCAGCTTGCTTCATTTTTTGGCTCCTCCACTTTCCCGTAGCTTCCGTGAGTACCGCTTGGCAAGAGTCTCCGACTCCGTCACCGATTAGTTCTTCATCCGGGATCTACACGGCGTCCAAGAACAACAAGAAAATTCGCACAGCTCACGGCTTCAAAAGCCTGCGTCATGCATACAACGATTCCCGCAGCCGGAGGCGGGGAAGTCGCAAAAACGGGATAAAAAAGGTGGAGGCCAGTAAATCGCGCAACGGAATATGCATAAACAGTGGAAGGAGGTGAGAGTGTGAGAGCGCGTTGTTTGTTGGTCCAAAAAAAAGTCCTCTCGTGCCACCCTTGATCTTTTGAGCCACTTCTTCTGGCCAATTCTCTCGTCGCTCTCGTACTGTGCATCGACGAGTTGACTAATAGTATTCAAGTTATGTCTTGCTATAGCTGTGCAATTGATTTGTTCTTTTGCCTTTGTTTCTCCTTCTGGTCTCAAACTGAATACACAAAATCCTGCAGCTGACAATTCGTCTCCCGTAGCAGCCGTTTCGGTCGTCTAGCGTTTCGCTGCTCGTTCCCCCTCATCTAACAATATCTCGGAACAAATCCGGAGTTGGCTCAGGTAATAGTCGATCCCGTCGTCCGTTTATGCCGTGGAGTGCAGTCCAACCGGTCGTCCTGTTCTATGCTCTACCTTTGTTTTTACGTTCTGTATTTCCTCGTATGGGATGGATAGGGGAAATGCTACTCTCTCTTGCCGGTCTTTGATGTGTATTCCTTCTTGACACGCAAGGTTTCTCTTCACAGACAGGAATGTATAGGGGAGAACTACCATACCATGGCTATTAGAGCAGTCAATATGCGTTCACCGCCTCGCTACTTTGTCTCTGATTTTGAAACCAAAAAGTGACCGGTCTGGGAATTGCCTACTGTGGTTGCAATAAGGCATAAGCAACAGGACTCGGCCGGGCCTGACATGAGGATGAGGCTCAGCGATTGTCAGCGTGTAAGTCAAGGTGGCAACAAGGCAGGCTAGGCATTAAAACAAACCATGCATGGATCCACCGGCCCGATAGAAGGGCAGCCTGGTCTTCTTCTGTTTTTTTTTTTTTTTCTTTCTTAATTTACAAAAACAAAAATAAACAAAATAGCAACAAAACATTTTAGTCGTTGGGCTCTCCATTTTCTTCTTCGAGGAATTTTTAATTGCCGCTCGGGTAGGATGGTAATGATGATATTCTCGACATTATGCGGCGTATTCGTGGAAATTGGAAAGAGGGAAGAACCCCGAATGTACATCTAACCTTAATAAAATAATTATGTGCTGGTAGGGAAACATGCAAGGGCATACTGACGAGATGATGGGAGAGTGAGAGGAGTGTAGAACAAGGGACCGAAGCTCAATTAACCTTCTATCCGTTTCTGCGACGTCGTGTTTCTCATTATTTACGTACTGGCTGTTCTCACCGTTCATCCCATCGTCTTACACCGCCACAGCCTTAGCAGCAGAGCCGCATCCAGGCTTCCCCTGAGCGGACCAGCTCAACACCTCGACCGCAAGACAAACCGCCGGGTCCTGAAAATGCACTTTACGCGTCCCCTTGGTTCCCCTGTAATATCGTCGTCATCATTGTTTGTTTCTGGGACGCCTCGACCACTTCTTACATCGTTTCTTTATGATCTTTGGCATGTTGCCATGGGGAAGAAATCAAACATGAATGTCTACTGATCAGGAGAAACACGTGTTGCATGATCCATCATTGCCACTGCGGACTGGTCCGCTATTTTCTGTGAATCTCGAATTCTAGTTTTGGTATACACTAAGGCACATGATTTTTCGAGGCCGGGAAATCATGCGTACTCTAATATAAGGCTGGCCTGGAGTGGTTGGCATCATTGGAATTCTACTTCCCGGCATGGCCGCTACATGTCTGCACTTAGCCACACATATTTAGCGTTCCCGGGGCATCTTTAAAGCAGTCTTAGCCCAGTAAATATGTTTTTCGCTTTCATCGTGTAAATCCATAGAGATCTATGAGAAACCATGTAATGTTGTTGACCCGGCGCTTTTTATAGGGGCATCGATGCCCTGATTTCTGCAGAATTCCTGGGACGGTGTGATATACTCACGCCATGCGTGCACTTCAAATCTGATCATGAAGCTTGCTAAGCCCCTTCTTAGCACATTGTCTCTCATACTGGGGCGAGTGACGACAACATCCTTGTCTGCCCTGACTTTCACCGAGTGGGCAGAGGTCTGTCCTTTGAGCGAGCCTCCATAGGCCGTTGAACATGGACGAAACAGCACGGGTGATCGTACGATGCTATGATGTGTTGCGGAGCTCGGCCAGTTTTGCGTGCGATTGTTTCCGTTGGCCTCCTGTGGCGAAGGAGAACGACATGCCCGACCTCGTCCTCTTTCAAGTATAGGTGATTCATAATACAAAATCGGGCACTAATGCTTCTGGAGAAGGCAAAAGGCGTCCGAAACAATTTTCCAGAAACATTTGTCCTTAATCTGTCAATATTATTAGATTTCTGCTTCCTTTAATGTCTTTGATACCATATGTTCCTTTCAATCAGAAATTGGTGAGATTGGGGGCAAAATCAGGGGTACGTAAATATACAGAAGTAGCACAGGAAAAAAGTAAGGCTGCCATTCTTGTTTTGTTTTATGTTTTACAATAAGAACACAGGAGAAATCAAAGGGAAGAAAGGGGGAGGTGCCTAGAAAGACTCAAATATCGCCACGGATACTAAATTCAGAAGACAAATCACAACCCGTCAAGCAAAGCGTATTGTGCCCATAAAAGAAACTGTAGATGCCAAAATAGCATGTATACGTTTCATGTTGCCCGATTTGTGATGAGAGGCCTCTTATCCAAATCGTGACGATGAATCACGTCCTGAGAACGGCCTTCTTCGTGCCACGGTCTCCTTGCGGGTTCTCACTCATTGATGCCTTTTCACCGGGCTGCCTTTGACATGGCTCTCAAAGAGCACTGTATGGGTGCTGCTGGATTGCCAGAGTGTGACAACGTGTGGCAAGGTGCGGACAACGTAAGGCGGAAGTCGTAGATGGATCGCATCTTGAGCATATATAAATGCCCAGACAGCCAGACTTGATGAGATACGACAAGACTCATTCCTCGTCCACATCCGTTCCAAACACATCCTCTCTCACCCTAACCTCGAACTCAAAACCTACAATCGACTTTGTCAGAACACACGAGACGCAGGTCGTCTTTCCTACATCTTTCACCACCACTCCCATCAGCCATGGCCAACGACGACCGCCCGATCTCCCAGCCTCCAACTCCGGAAGACACGGGTACGACGAGCCGGGACGACTCCATGTCGGAGTACTATTGCTGTCATTGCAAGGATGACAAGAAGGAAACGGTGGTCAACAAAGACGAAGATTGCAGTGTCTGCGACAAAAAACAATGCGAAGACTGTGAGCCAATTTAATTTTCAAATACTCAAACGATGAACGGCCACGGGGTAGGAATAACTATCGAAAGGTGGAAGTCTGGGCAGTATGGATATATTTTCCTGCCTTGCGTCCCGGGGACGCCTTTGGTTTTATTTGTTTGGATTTGTCTTGCTTTTCTTGTTCTGCTTGCCCTTCACTTTCATGTCTGGTCGTTTGACATTGTTCTACACACACCTGTTGTGTCACTGGTTCCTGTATTATTTTTTGTACTTATTTTCTTTTGTCTTGCTCACCAAGTGTAAGATATGTGGAGAAGTGTGCGAGGAATAAAATCTTTCATTTAGCATTAGAATAGTTACAATCAATAATAACATAGAGGACGAGATTACGCTGGTCGTGTCTTTGACTTTATTTTTAAATTTTGTTGTCAAAAATATAAAACTGAAACATAAATTAGATCCCGGTGTTGCGTAAAATAGAATTTGATCGTTGCCTTTTACAGTAATATTCTGTTGGAATTCTATCTAATGCTACGACTCACGAGACGCCCGCTACCCAATCAGCTCTAGCAGCTCATCGAGAAGTGCCTCAGTCTCGAGCGGATTGGCCACCCAGGCCGTTGTTGCCGCACGCCGGGCGCGGAAATCGTTGGCACCCGCACTGAGGAACTGGTCCCCGACATGCAGCGTCGTGCCAGGACGGGCCACGGCCTCAGGTTGCAGCTCAGGCGGTGGCAGCGAGCCCGGCATGCCGGGTTTGCCCAGGAACAACAGCGCGTGCTGGCAGATGAGCACGCCCCAGCTCTTGTCGCCAATGTCGACAAAGACGTCACGGCCGCCGTTGAAGGCACAAAAGGGCACGCGCCCTGCGCGACCGGCGGGGCTGACCTCGAGCCGTTTTTGGACAGTCAGCACAATTTCTTCGAGGCTCTCGCGGGCAATCTGGATCAGGTCGTTGGGATGCTGGCTGTTTTTGCGCGGCAGCGGGATCATGCCGACAGCGCGGGCTTTGCGCAGTATCTGGGCCGGCAGCTGCATGCGGTCGACGCAAGCACGCAGCGTGGTCTCGGCGAGGTCGAGCAGCTGGGTGAGGTCGTCGGTGGGCCACTGCTTCATGGCGTCGGGCATCCAGTCGGCCGGGTCGACGGGCGCCAGACGGGCGTTTGGAGGGGCGGTGGCGCTGTAGGAGAAGACAAAGCTGGCCTCGCCGCCGACAACCAGTAGGCTGTGCTTTTGTGCGTCCGAGAGCTCGGTGGAGGTATGCACGGCGTCAAGCAGGCCGTGCAGGCGCTCATAGTACTTCTCGGCGGCGTCGTAGCCGGCCGCCGTGACGATGCCGACCTTGATGTTGCGGCGCAGCAGAGCCATGATGCGCGGAATGATGGGGCTGTCTGGCTCGAGGTTCTGCCCGTCGGCGTAGAGCGTGAGATCACCATCAAACGTCACCAGCTGCAGCGAGTCAGCACTGCGCGCAACGACGGCGCCGTTGCGGCCGTGTCTTGTGCCGTTGGCCGAGGTAGCCGTCAGGGCCATCAGCTGCGCCGTGTTGAGGGTCAGCCGCACGTCGTTAAATGACGGTGGCACGAGCCGCCGCGACGAGATGTGCCGCCGCGCATCCTGGTACATGAACGCCGCCTCCAGTGGCAAGGCTGTAAAAAAGGGCCCTGCTGTTGGCACGAGCATCTGCAGTCGTGACGGTCGTGGCGATTGTTTGGGTGTCTCGAGCGACTGCAAGTCCTGCAGCAGGCGGTGCTCGTCGATCATGGCCTCGATGTCTCGCATGATCTCGGCATAGCGGCGGCGGACCTCAGCAGTGTTGGAGGCAAAGACTTCATCGTCATCCTCAAAATCGCCGGCCGGCTGGGAAAAGAGGACAAAAGGGCTGATGAGGAGGCCCTTTACCCATTCTACGAGCTGTGAGTTGGATGGCCAGGGATGAAGGGATAAGGAGCTCTCCTACCGATTAGCTGGTCCCGACGATGGGATTTGAGGGCGTCTGGAAGAGCGTTAGACTACGAGCAAGCTTAATCGGTTCGGAGCTGTCTCATGGGGTTCTCACACTCGACACGATATTTGCTGGTCATTGTCGATCAAGAAATGAAAACTGAGCTGGGTGGAGGACGAAAGAGGAGACCTATGGCGGAGTCGTCAAGTATTCACGGTATTTATACACGGGTTCTCTATTCGATAAAAATGAAACAAGAAACAAGGCAGGCCTCGCTGCAGGTAGGGGCGTTGGCAATGTAGGTCTGAGTTCAGTGGACAGTGAAGGAGGTCATGCGTCCAGTGTCGTAGACGTTCGGTGTGAGATTGTGTCTGGATTGAGTCAGGCGCGAGCTGTGTCTAGCTAAGCGCGCCGCGGGGAAGGGGCGAGCCAGGACTACTTGCCCGCTCGCTGCAGCGTTCACCGTTCCAGACCGCAGAAGTCTTTATTTACAGGCGGCCGCTTTGAGACTAGTTTGTTGCCATCCACAATGACAGCGAAGAACGAAGGAAAGAGCGACGCTGCAACCGAATCATAAAACTGCAAGCATCCTGAGTCGCACCTGCCGTCCCATGCTTTGGTTGGGCGACGACGACCTGATAGGACGGAGATACGGCCGTTCGACAGGCGGTGGCGGTGGGGGCAAGCACGACAGTAGAAAGTCTCGTGACGCAAGTGCGGTGAGACAGGGTGAAGTCGAAGTATCCAATTGCATTGTGATGATTATCCGGCGATACTTTTGAAATGATCCATTGGCCAATTGACATCACAATGGCAATGTCCAAGAAAACTTCGATATAAAAAAACAGTTGTAGAGAATGGTACGATGAGGATGGCCTTGTCTGCCTAGTAGTTGTTGATTCGTATTACTCGTCTCCATGTATATAATCCCCTCCTTTGCCAATGGTCTCCCTTTTAATCTGCACCTGCATCGCTGTCCTCGCCCTCCTCGGACTCTTCAACCTCCTCCACGACCAAACTGGCCGACTTGCCAATCGCCTCCAGCAGTGTCTTGGACTCGGACGGTTCGTGCAGCTCGCGCGGCATCATGGACGCAATCCGGAACTTGTACACATGCGTATAGCCGGCGGGCTTTGTGGCCTTTTCGCTGATGACCCCGTCTTCCGTGTCGCCGTCCGCCTCCTCGTCGCTCACTTCCTTGCTGTTGCACTCCACGAAAGCGTACAGGTCCTCGACTGTCGCGTCGGCCGCAAAACTGCGGCGCAGGCGCTCGCCGCCGCGGGACTCGGGCAGCTTGATGGCCACACGCACAACGTTGGCCGTGCCGGCCGCCGGTTCCGGGGCCAGGGTGGTCGCGCGCCATGCGCGCCACTGTCTGCCCAGCTGTGCCTGCCGCGCCGCTTCGGCCTCACGGTCGCGCGCCTGCTGCTCGGCTTCTTGCCGCTGCCGCTCTGCCTCCTGTCGCTGCCGCGCGCGCTCACGGTCAATGGCCAGCGACCGCTCGTAGGCGTTGTCCTGCTCGATCCGAATGTTGCGCGTGGTCTCGTTGGCGACGCGAACCGCGCGCACGGCCGCCAGGTCATCGGCGTACTTGGCCGTGGTGAGCCGCAGCTGTTCGAGGAGATACCCCGCCGACACAGGGCCCACGACGCGCTTGACCGTGCCCATGCGCGTGCTGCCGCCTTCCTTGGGCGTGACACAGATCATGGCCATAAACGGGAACTTGGTGACGCGGTGTTCAATCGACACCTGGTACGCCTCCGGGTCGCGCACGCTGCCGCCCCACAACATAATGTTGTTTGCCGGGTTGTTGACGAACTCGACCACGTCCGGGTGCAGCAGTGTGTCGCGTGCGTAGCTCTTGGTGTCGTCATGCTCGGGCGCCAGCAACACCATCATGAGGTATTTAGGTTCCGTCTTGGCCTTGTCGTACGCCTGTGTATAGCCCATTTCGACAAACGGCAGCGCCTCGGAGCCCGTGGCCTCGGCAAATTCGCGCTTGAAGCGGGACGCCGCGTCCCGCGGGTTGAGCTGCCGCCGCGGTGCTGCCCGAGCGCCGCTGGCCATGCGTCGGAAGGCGCCCAGCCCCGGCACGAGGCCCAGAATGTACTGCACGGCGCTCCAAAGGCCGGCCAAGAGCCGGTAGCCCAGGTTAAAGGGTGACAGAATAAGGGCCATGAAGAACGACGGCCGCACGACGGGTGCGGGGGGATGCACAACAATCCGCCGAGCCACGTCGGTCCGCTCGGCCGCCATCCGCCGGTTTTGCTCGGCGGCGTAGCGGGCCTGCTCAAAGACATTGTGGACCGGCGGGCCGGCGGCCGCGTCGAAGCCGCTCAACGGGTCGCCAAGGTCGATAAGGCGCTGCGGCTGGTTGTTGGCTGGTCGTGGCGGTCCGGGCTGTGGTGGCGGGGGAAGGTTGTTGAGGTCGGGCACGGAATCGTCTTCGCCGTCAAAGAACTTGCTAACAGCGACCTGTACATGTTAGACATAGCGAGCAACTCACATCATGTACGAACACTAGAGAGCTCACCGTAACACTCCATCCGGATCGCCTCAAGAAGGCGACCGATGTCTCGGCGTCTTGCGTCGTGAGGACACCAAACTGCCGCACAGCTTCTTCTTGCTCTGCTGTCAGCGGTGGGTCGGCCGCATGGGGCGCCGCGCTGGGCCCCGGGGTAGCCATCGTGTGCTGTGTGTGACGTTGCTGTGTGCTGGCCGTGCTCGTGCACACAAGGCCACACTGGCGATCGTTGAGAGTCAACGAGGTGTCCCGGTTTCGCGGATAACCGGATACGACGGAACAAACTGGTCGAGCGAAAAGGCAACGATTCCGGTTTCGAGTCTGTCGAGATACGAGTCGAGAGAAAGACGAGGAAGGCTGTGTTAAATGCAAACAAGCAAAGGACGTCGTCGGAACTCCTTGGCAGGTTGGTGGGCAGAGCTGGTCGTTGACAGTACAGAGCCACGGGCCGGTCGTGTGTCGAGGAAACGGAGCGTGCGGCGTATAGTAGCGTACGTCGAGGACGAAGGATGAAGCTGAAAGGATGCGAGGATATGGCTGTTGGCAGAAATGGGAAGCCTCCAATGACTTATGCAGTCTCCTCCATGCTTGCTTCGTTTGACTGCATGCTGTCTACTTGCCAGTGGACACGGAGAATCGCAGTAGTCACGGTTGACGCTGGCCACACTAAACCTGTTTGGGCATTAAAAATATAGCGCCAGAATGCCGCAGAAAGGCCAGATGGCCATGGGTGGGGCCTCCCAACGGCGAACCAAGAACGGCGGGCGCTCCTGATTGGCCGAATCAAGACGAAGCTTGGACCCACCTGCCATGACGAACACCATCAAAAAAGGTAGCTGTGCATGCCTGCAATTGTGGTAGGCTGACGAGGCTGCAGCAATGCACCACTTTGCACCGTTCAAAGGGGGATGAGGGGATTGACAGATGAAATACAACGTAATGGTGCCCGAAATGCCCCTATACAGAGGGCAAATTATTAGTTAGAAGTAAACCTACGACGTACAGGCAAGCAGTCTATCTGTGCCCATGCTGAAATGTGCCGCTCCTTTATTCTGACAAGTATCTTGGTTCGGGTCGGTTGCACTTCTGCAAGTCATACAACTCCAAGTTACTCTGCACTTTCGGGGGCTACGGGCAAATGGCATGCACTCTGTACTCTGTAGGCAAAAGCCCAAGTCCTGGCATTCATCAAGTGACGAGAGAGGGAAGACAAAGGGATGCTGAGGCCGCCAGCCTCATAAACCGTATAGTCAGCCGGAAGACGGTTGCTTTTTGACATTACGGCAACCATTCTCGCTCCTTTCATCGGCGGCCAGCTGCCTTGTCGTCCATCGCTTTGCAGACCACCTCTCACTGGGCTCAAAGGGCGTCTTGAAGGCTGCCAGGTGCATGTAGGAGCAGAGGGGCCTCCCCCGACAGCACTACGTACACCAAGTGAATAAAACAATCTTCGTGTTCGTTGCTCTTGTTGCGGTGTTCATTCGGGCACTCGCTCCTGGTCAAAAAAGCGCGCATGTTTCTTCCACCTCCTCTTTCCTCGTCGACCAGCCCAAACCCATGAATGGTCCATCCAAATTTCGTTTGTTGCACGACATCTTGGCGAGACAGGCCGACCACCTCCGCCTTGCCTGCTTCGAGGGTCGAGGGCGTATCAATGCGGGCCACTGCAGCTCTTCCGTGTTCGAGTCTCATCATACATCACGATTTCAGTCTCGTTTATTCATGCACCGTGGCCATTCGTGTTGTTTGGTCCTTCTTGTTGATGTGATGTTCGAGCTGGAAAGCGAAAAGCGCAGTCTGTTTCCAGTTAGCTTCAAAGGTGGCCAGGCTGATGGGACAGGGGAAGCGAACAAGCAGCGTGACGCTGTGCGTTAGTGAGGTACAGGCATTTCCACAGGCGTAGCTCGTTCTTTCAAGTACTGACTTACTGACCAACCCTGCATTTCTGTCAGCGGGGTAACGGCGCTACCAAGGAGCTCACAGTGTTTGCTCCCAGACGGACCTTGGCGCCTGCATTCCAACTTTGGGGAGGAATGACCCACGTTCTTCCGCTCCGCGCATCGCTCGCCGTCCTAGCAGCCTTCCCTAGTCACCAAAGAAAGACGACCAAGACAACAACCTCGTCGAACCTTCAACCTCTCACGCCCCGCAATCGGCAGCGTCTTCTTCTCCTCTACCTTGCACCGTCAACGCGCTTCGACGACGATTCATCCTCGCGATTCTCCGTTGCCAGCCAGCCCGACCGTCTGCTCAATTTCGCCCGGCGCGTCCATCCCCGCTGCGTCAATTCGTCACTCGCCCGTAAATTAGAACCGTGGATCATCGGAACGACAATACGAGCGCGTCGTCCCTTTTCACTTGTGCTGCAAAACGCGTTGCTCAACATCACCTTTCGTCTTTTATCGCACAAGACGCGCGAGCCAGACATCTCTAGGCACCACCATTATCGTTATCTCACCCCTCTCGCCGAATACAACCCAGCCGACGCTCGTTGCATCGCGACGTAAATACTGATTTCGCAATGGATGCTGGTGTTTGGAGTGTCCGGGTATGTGATCCAGCGAGCCATTCTTTACAACGCAGGGGCCTCGCAACCCTTGCAATCCTTCATGCGCCTGACACATAGTTGCCCGCGTCATACATTGCACCTTTGTTAACAGCCACGTTCCAACCGCAGAGCCTCTAAACGAGACCTCGGCCATTGCGTATCCGTGCATCGACAGATCATTCTAGGTCGGTGATTTCGGATCAAAAACACGTCGGTTGATGGTAATAGTACGCGAGTCGCTGTTTGCTGTGTTTATTTCCTGTCATGGCCTCCCACGTGGCAGCTTGTGACGCATTTGCTGACATTGCCATGTGTTGCACTCTAGAACAACCGAATCCGAACATAATATTGGATGTTCCTTGCGACCTCATAACTACCTTGCATCTTTATCATGTTTTTGGCTGAACCGAAAACATGGCAGCACCCAAAGACATGTACGGGACAACAGACCGACCCCCTGTTTGCGTCACATGTCTGTGTCCTCATTCCAATCCACACTGGTTGCTAACACAGTCCGTGACAGAGCATCCTCAAAGAAGGGCCTCAATGGCGACTCTCCCGTTTTTACTCCCGGTTCTGCAAACTCTCCGCTCCGAAAGTCTTCGGTTCTACCTCTCCAAGCGGCCAATGCGGCTCCGTTCACACCCCTAGGCACCAGCGGTATGTGTTCTCGGCCATGACCCTCGAGGCCCTTGCCCTGCCCTCCCGTCCTATATACTAACAAAGAGCCTTGCTACAGTCGTGTCGGCTAGTAACGCGTCGTCCTCGGCCTCGCCCCGCGAACAGCTTCGGGATCTTGTTGGCAGCAAAGAGGCTGGCCCGGCCATCCCGCGAGCCGACGCGTCGTCCTTTAACCTGGCATCCGTCCGCGAATTTGTTCCACGCACCTCAGATCAGTCGTCCGGATTCAACGCTGGCTCGGCGAGAGAATTTCAGCCAAGGGGGGACCGCTCGCCCTTCAACGTCGCCAAGGCCGTCGAGTTTCGCCCGCAATCGCAGACCGTCCCGCCTTCCACCACACCTACCTCTACGTCCTCTATCCCGAGCCAGGCGTTGCCTTCACCTCAGCCACCTCAGCCCTCTCTTATTTCCCAGCAATCTCAACAAGCTTCTCTAACGGCTCAACAGCAGCAACAACAGCACCAGGTGCCTGCCCAGGGGTCACACTACAACCTGTCCAATGGCCCGTCTCAACAGTCTCACGTCTCGATTCCCACCGGACCCTCGCGAGCCCCCACCCACGACAACTCTGACCATATCAACCGGGCAGGATTAGGTGGTATGGGCAACATAGGCGGCATGGGCAATATGGGTGCCATGAACAACATGGCCGCCATGGGTGGTATGGCCGGCCTAGGTGGTATTGGCTCCTTAGGTTTCGGAATGCCACCAGGAAGCGATGTTCAACTCGGACAGGGCGGTAACGTTTTTGACTCCTACAACGTTGCTTCCCAGGGTGCCTCCGGGGGTGCAATCACGACATCTCCATACAATCCCTATGCGGCTACCAGCCAGCAGCCGGGCAGAGAGGGTGCCGCGTATTACCAGGGACAAGCTCCCTTTGCTGCCCAACACCAGCCCGTACGTTGTCAATTCCATTTTCTGCCTGGTTTTGGTTGTTGATTTCTTACTAACTCTGTCCAGCCCGGTGAACACCTCTACTTCCCTCAGGGCCCCCACCGCCAAGACCTTCTTCCGCGTCAACGCACTATTCATGAGTTCTTCCTGCCCGAAAAGCTTCGCCAAGACTTCCACATGAAGTCCAGGGTTGGAAACCAAGCAACGGTTACTTGTACGTACACTCACAATTTTACGCTTTCTCTGCGTAGGATCGGCTGAACTGACACCACGTAATGATAGTGTCCATCAATGTCGAGAGCTACCACTCGCTCACAGCACTTGACACCAATAGCCATAAGGTCGCTGGCTCGTTCGGCCGCATCACTTGGCTCTACAAGGCTGTGGCAAGCAAAAACGGAAAGCATTATTGTTTGCGGCGCGTGGAAAACTTCCGTGTGAGCAATGAAAACGCTCTGAGGACAGCACGCGAGTGGCGTCGCGTCAGCAGTGGAAATGTCGTCACTGTGCACGAGGCGTTCACGACGCGTGCCTTTGGAGACAGTTCAGTCGTGTTTGCTATGGACTACTTCCCCCTATCTGTGACGCTCATGCAGTATCACTTCCCAACGTACGGTCAGACACGCCCCCGCGGCAATGTCACGATTCAGGAAACGGTCCTGTGGGGATATTTCGTGCAGATTGCCAACGCCCTAAGCGCCATCCACAGCGCCGGTCTGGCCGCTCGCAGTATCGACCTCACCAAGATCATCCGGACGGGTAAGAACCGCATCCGCTTGAGTGGCTGTGCCGTGCAGGACGTCATCAACTATGACCCGTCCCGCCGCGTGATCGATCTGCAGCAGGAGGACTTCATCCACTTTGGCGAGGTGATGGTGTCTCTCGCCACCTACACGCCACCAAATGAGCTGAAGAAGCCGCTTTCGCATCTGGATCCGCTGCCCGAGATTTATTCGCATGATTTCAAGGCCGCCGTCAAGTGGCTGCTGACGCCTGCCGCCAGCACGACTGCGGGTCCAAAGACGATCGACTCACTTCTCACCGGCATCGCACCGCAAGTGACTCGCTTCTTCGACATGTCTCTGCAGGAAAACGACGGCCTATACAGCCTCACGTCCAGAGAAGTGGAGAATGGCCGCATTGCGCGTTTGATGATGAAGCTAGGCACAATCAACGAACGCGAAAACTACCAGCGGGATGCGTCCTGGGCCGAGCACGGACCCCGCTACCCTCTCAAGCTCTTCCGCGATTACGTCTTCCACCAGGTGGATGAGTCCGGCCGGCCCGTTGTCGATGCTTGGCACATGATCTCGTGCCTCAACAAGCTGGACGCCGGCTCGAACGAGGTGGTACGGCTCTCGAGCCGTGACGGAAGAACCAATTTGTTCGTCACGTACAAGGAGCTGAACAAGATGGTCCAGCGTTCATTTAATGATCTTATTCGTCCAACTGGTCCGCTTCGGCGCCACAACTAGAAGTCACCTGTACACGAGCAAATGGCGTCTGTCGAGGACAACATTGTCCTACCACCACCTGAACGCCAGCGAAACGCACCGTCACCCTCCGGAGCCGTCATGCCAGAGCCATCCTTGTCTAATGTGCAATGTGGACCTCAATACGCCGACGGTTTTGCACATCGCCAGTCCATCGGCCGGGACTTCCTACGGCTACGCTACGAAACTGCAATGGCTCGAAATGCGCCCGGTACTCTGCATCGTCGCCTAGTTTCTTTCCAACCGGGCCCTGCGTCGTCTAGAATGGAACCAGACCAGCGTACTATCGACTCTATCATTGACCAATCTACACCCACCGGCGTCCACAAACGCACCGGTCATGTACCAGCGAATTTCCCGCCATCTATTCCAGCGGTTGGATTCGACAACGACCAGCCCATATTTCGTCATACCCACCAGGGTTTCCCTGTGGTTTCATCTCAATACCCGATGAAGTCCCACCTGAATCCTCAATCTCATCGCTCTGTCTCCCAGGGATTCTGGCCATATCGCAGCCTGGGGTCAGGTCAAGGCCTTGACGAATACAGGCGCTGAAACGTCAAACCCCGATTTTGGCAGATGCGTCTTCTTAGTCCATCCTTCGCCCGATAATCTAGCCTCCACTATCCTCGCGAGCCTCGTTTTTATTTTACACCGTTTCCGCTCCTGAAGTGGTTATACACAACAATTTCACCGGGCCTTTCAAACTGTTCGAAGTCTCGCAAGGGACGGACACTTGCGGCCTAAAGCGTTGATTTATCTTCTCCTTCCTATTGGTTTCACAGTTATCCCCTTTATCCCTGGAGCTGCGGCTTGGGAGGCAGATGAGCGTTTCGTTTGCAAGAGCGTTTCATCTTGAACTACGGCAGTCCCATCTGCACAGGCAAAGTATTATTTTGTCCTGGCTGATTACTGTTTTACATTACCCTGACCCCCAAATCTGGTTCCCGTTGCTTCTCTTTATTTGCGATTTGTTGCTTGTCGTCGATGTTGCTTGTTAATAACTGCTTAGCTGCAGAGGAGCGCTTGTTGTATTGGTTGCTCGTTTTGCACAACAGAGAACCAAAGCGTTGTTACAATGTATCGAGACTTCTTATGAGGAGTTCAGCATATTTACTTGTACTTTCCATAAAATTGGAAGGCAGTCTTAGCAACGCGATAGACACCAAAAAAAAATATAAAAAACGAAATTCAATTACAAAAGTCTCCAACGGATGTGATCACGGAACACAAGACCAGATAAGTAATTATTGTAGCTTAACTTCCATCCCAGCCAAGTAGGGGCATCTTTTTGGTTTCCTTTTCATTTCTCAAAGCTCTTTTTTCTTTCCATTGATTTTGGTATGCGATGCAGTTTTTGTTCATACAAAGAGGCCATTTATAATTGTGGTATTTCCTGCTCCGTGCGCCGTTCGTATGTCCCCACGTCTTTACAATCCCCAGGCCTGCCATCGCATCAATCTGATTCCTCCTCATCCGCCTTGGGCGTGTACTGGTATGCCGGCGTAATTTTACTCGCCGGGGTCCCCTCCGGTGCACCGCCCTCGGCCGACTCGGCAGCAGCAAGATATGGGTTGCTTATGCTTTCGCTGCCGTCGACGGGATGCAACGTCGTGATGTGTGTACCGCGGATCACGGCCAGGCCCAGCGAGCGGGACTTGATCTCACCTTCTGCGTCTAACGAGAGGGGATATTGTCAGCAGCGCATTCTTTTACGTGAGTGATGGACAAAGGGGGCAACGTACTGCGCATCTTCTCCTGGGCGTCGTCGAGCACCATGTTGAGCAACGGGTCATATCCCTTGAGCGTACCGGACACTGCAAATGCGCTATTAGCAACAGTGAACCTCCATCACGGCATGGTCACCCGACCGCCAACAACGTACCCTCGCGACCGCCATTGAACTTGACGTAGATCTCCCGGTCCATGTACTGGCCAAGATCCAGGATGTTCTCCTTCTTGGGCGCCGCTTCCCGGTCGCCAGAGCCGCCGTAGCCACCCCGCGAGAACCCACCACCACGGCCGCCCTCACCGCCAGCACCACCGCGGCCGCCGCCGCGCTGGAACCCGCCGCCCCGGTCGCCGCCACCACGGTTGCCGCCACGGGGGTAATTTCCACGTGCACCGCCTGCACCGCCGCGCCCGCGGTACTCGCCGCTGCCGCCGCGTCCGCCGCCGCCGCTGTTGTTACCACCACCTCCTCTGGAGGCCGGGCTGTACCGGCCGCGGAATGGTGTCGACATGGCAGGGAGCTGTGTCGTGTGCTGTAGTGTGGGAAACAGAGAGAGGGGAATGCGATGCGAGAGAACAGCTGGTGTGTCCTCGTCGTGCGCAAATTGGTGAACCGAATCAACAAAAGCTTGAATTGCGCTCGCGTCTTCAGGTTTGCACGCCCAGTGAGAACGTGAGATCGTCTTTGTGCCGTAGGGCGGGTTGCTGTCGAGTCGCTGGAGGTTGAGGGCAGACGTGAGAAAGGAAGCTTTGGCACGTCCAAGATAAAAATGGGTCGCAAAAATGGTGGCGCTATGAGCGATGCGCGCCTCCAACCAAGACAACGTCGAGAAAACAAACAGAAAACTGCCTACTATACTCTAGAGATCGAAATTATTAGTTTGTTTCTCTAAAATCCCTTGAATGTCTTCACAATTATCAACAGTGCGTAGGTACTGGCAGCTCTCTTCGAAGCTCCTGTCGGTTGTACCCCGGTAGATGCATATATTCATCTAGTCACGTGAAAGCGCTCCACTAGTCTTAGTTTGTTGCTGGGGGAATTAGATGGCTCCTAACTTTTTTTCGTTGGTGAAGGAAACGCGACCCGACGACAGAAGCTCGCGGCGGAAGCTCACCCTTTTCCAAGCACTTATTCACATACGACTTTTTGCATTACTCGCCTCACGAAACTGCTTCGCATCGCCGTCACGAATAGTTCAACGCGCATATCTGCATTTCTGCATTTCTGCCTTTCTCGATTTTAATTTCGTCTCGACGAGCTTTGCATTGTTTTGTTCCGTATCGGCAGCTCCTCTGCCGCCTCTCCGTCCCAACTACCAACATGGCGCCGTTGGTGCTTCACAACGTGCCCGACGACGAGCTGTACATAGGGGCAGATGGCGTGACGCGGCCATTTGCTGTGGTCGGCGCAGCGGATGAGTACGTCGAGGGACTTCTGAAAGTTCTAGACAGCAGAAGCCCTGTGATGATCCAATCGCTAACCGTGATTTTTTATTTGAAATGTACAGGCGACGATCGGCACGGTTACGGCGACAAGCAACAGCCACACACGGGTCATTCGGCCGGGCACGGTCACGACCACGAGCAGGGTCGGTTGGCCCCGGCGGCGCGCGTGTCAAGCAGCAGCAAAGCAAACCGGCAGTAACGACCACTTCGACAATGGCCGACATGATGTTTGGATCATGGAAACGGGAACAGGAACAGCTCCTGCAGCATCACCACTCGCCCCAGGATGGGCCCGACTCACAAGATGGCCACACAGACGACCACCTCGATGTGCACAGCGGACGCAGTGGCAACGCATCTTCGGCATCAGGACGCAAAGTGAGCAGCGGCAGCAGTGCGGCCCCAGCGAACCCCGACGACAACCGAGATGATCAGCAACAAGAAGCAGCGTACCAAAAGCCTCAGAATCAGCCCACCGAAGTCATCCTGCGCGGCTATCGCTCCGCCGACTATCAGTACGCGGCGCTGCACCACTACGAGCAGATCGCCGGTCGCATCTGCGAAGACTACCCGCGCGACCCACCCATTGGCAGCCGGCGATATCGGTCGAGCCTCCGCGACGGCGCTGCTCGCAGCGCGGCCACGTTGGCGTCCAACGGCCGGTCAGCCTTGACACCCGCGGAGCGGCAGGCTGTGATGCGTGCTGCCAGCGGGCAGCACTGGGTCAAGGTGACGTTTGAGTCGGCACAAGCGGCCGATGCGGCCCTGTATGCGTCGCCACAGCGGATTCTGGGCCATCTGGTGACGGCCGAGCTGTACCGAGGCGTGCCTTTGTCGGCGGCCGAGGACGTGGCGATACAAGACCCGGATGCACTGGACGAGTACGAGCGGGCCGCGCACGGCGGCTCTCGCGGCGGTCAGGGCAACGACCACGGCTTTGGTCGGTATTCAGTGACATCGTCACATACGGTGGATTCGGGCACGGTGACGCACGACGACCCCTTTGGAGCTGAATCACGGTCGTCGGCTACCGGCTCCTCCTCCGCTACGATGACTGGGTCCGCCCTCCGACGCCAGGCATGGCCTGCTTCGGAAGACGGCGCGCGGGTGGACCTGGACAATGCTGCCGCCGCAACGCCACCGGAACAGCAGGAGCAGGCCGCGGCAACCGCAGCCGACAACGAGTTCTGCCAGCGGATCCCAACCGCACGCCGGGCGACACTCAAAGCACCCGAGTTGGCCCTGCTGCCGACCGAGTCGACGATGCGGCGGTTTGTCAAGCGACTGCCGCTGCTGCACCGGCTGACGGGCACAATCATTGGCAACCAGGTGCCGCGGCGCGAGAACGGACTGTTCGACTGGGAGAAGGCGAGTCTGTACTGGAAACTGATCTGGTGGCTCGACTACCTGTTCCTGCTGTTTGCAGGCGAGATTCTCGACGCGAATAGGGACGAGTAAGGAATGGACTTGGTGTGGGAGGGCACCAGCACGTTTTGCTTTTTTGTACGGGAATGTGCCAGATACATTATAGGGCGAAAGGCGTGCAGTGATGGAAGTTTAGCCATTCAATGTGGGGACACATGTTGTTCAAGTTTTTGGGGGCTTTTATTCACCTGTTTTTACTTGGTTTGTTGAGCTACATTTTATTTAATTGATGACGAATTGACGGCCAAAAAAGGATGCACATGTATCATTTAATTCATTTATATTTACTTTCCAGGAGAAGCAGAAAGAACAACAAAAATCGAAAATAAGCAAAAAAATACGAGTGTTTTTTTCTTTTCGCTTTTAAATAGCCCGGAAACTCGCAAGTTTCAATCTATCCCATGCCACCAAATTTTAAATCTGTACTTTAATCTGTCGCTTAGTTGTTCTCCTTGACAAACTTGCTGTCCTTGACGGTGTACAGGCTCAGGTACTCGTCAATGGGCATGCTGTCAACGCGGCTACCGTCGGTGCTCAGCTTGACAAGCTCCTCCACGCGCTCGGCGCTGAAGTGGGGCGACAGGTGGCGCTTGAACTTGGCCAGGATGACGGGCTTGGCCTCCTCGCGGCGCAGGGGGTGGCCCAGGGGCGCCTCGACAACGACCTCGGGCAAGACGGTGCCGTCGTTGAGCTCGACGGTCAGGGCGTTGGAGATGGTGCGCTTGTCGGCGTCGTGGTAGTCGGCGGTGAACTTGGGGTCCTCGACGCAGGTAATCTTCTTGCGCAGAGCGTCCAGCTCGGGGCTGGTGGCGGCCTCGGAGCCGTCGAGGTAGTCGTTGGCCGTCAGGCGGCCGTACTGCAGCATGACGGCGCTCATGTACTGGACGCAGTGGTCGCGGTCGGCAAAGTTGTTGAGCTGGGCGAACTGCTTGTCGATGATGCGGATGCAGGCCTCGTGGGTGCGGCAGGTGACGGCCTTGATGTCGGCCGAGGACTTGCCGGCGGCCTTGAGCTGGTGGAAGATCTTCTCCGAGGCCTCGACGGCGGTCTGGGCGTGGAACTCGGCGGGGTACGAGACCTTGAACAGGACGTTCTCCATGACGTAGCTGCCGTAGGGGCGGTTGAACGCAAACGGCTTGCCCTTGAACAGGACGTCGTAGAAGCCCCAGACCTTGGCAGACAGGACGGTGGGGATGCCCTTCTCGCCCTGCTTGACGCGCAGGACGTTGGTCACGGCGCGCTGGCAGGCGTCGCCGGCGGCCCACGACTTGCGGGACATGGTGTTGGGCGAGTGGCGGTAGGTGCGCAGGGACTGGCCGTCGACAAACGCCTGCGAGACGGAGGCGGCAATGCCTTCCTTGTCAAGGCCGAGCATGTCGGCGACGACGGCGGCGGAGGCGACCTTGACGAGCAGGACGTGGTCGAGGCCGACCTTGTTGAAGGAGTTGAGGATGGCCAGGTTGCCCTGGATCTCGTGGGCCTTGGTGGCGTAGGCCAGGACGTCACGCACGGTGATGATGCGGCCGCCGGCTAGCTTCTTGGCGGTGCCGCTCTTGTTGGTGCGGTTGATCCAGTCGGCGACGGCCAGGATGGCGCCCAGGTTGTCCGAGGGGTGGCCCCACTCGGCCGCCAGCCAGCAGTCGTTGTAGTCGAGCCAGCGGATCATGGCGCCAATGTTGAAGGCGCCGTTGATGGGGTCCAGCTCGTAGTGGGTGCCGGGCACGCGCACGCCGTTGGGGACGGTGGTGCCGTCGACGACGGGGCCGAGCATCTTGGTGCACTCGGGGAACTGCAGGGCCTCAAGGCCGCAGCCGAGGGTGTCCAGAAGGATCCATCGGGCGGTGTCGAGCTGGTGGGTGTCTGTGTTAGTTCTGGGCAACGCCGACCGAGAAAGACGCAACGCCGTTCGGGGCAAGACTTACAGCAAGCTCCGAGGTAATGGGCTTGGTCACGTACTCGGCAATGTCGTCGACCTCCTTGTCGTAGGCCATGTTGGAGTTGGTGATCGGGGCCGAGGAGTAGGAGCGGCGGCCAGCAAGCTGGAAGCTGGACTGTCTGGGGGCGGGGGCAAAGGCAGAGGCCGAGGAGGCGGGCGTCGACTGCAGCAGCGCAGACGAGAGGACGGCGACAGAGCGAGTCTGGGGCCGCAGCACGCGGGAAGCAATGCGGAGGCTGCGCGTGGCAGAAGACATGGCTGTGAGCGAGATGTGTGAGGATGCGCGATGGGCGATGCGGGCAGAAACGGAGACGGAGGACAGAGGGAGAGGGAGGGCGGGAAGGGGGGTGGGAGAAGAGAAGATGTGGAGGCTCACTCTATAAAGCAACGAGGAATCGTCCGGAGAATAGGGGAGAGAGACGCGGGGCGAGAAAAGCGCGAATGTCGTCTGTGTGGTGTTTCTTTTTTATGTTTCGTTTGGCCTTCGTTTTGTTTTTCGTATTTTTTGCTCTTGGTTTTCAGTGAATGGCAAACGGCCGACCTCGGGTCTTGGGGTTAGTTGCAAAGACCACAGTCCTCTCTGACAATGGCAATGCCCAATTGAGACGGGCAAAATCCTAGCTTCCTCGGCTGGAGCTCTGCGTGGTCGACGTGGAGCGTGTTTATGACAGACACTAAAGAGACCAAAACGAGGCCAAAGTCAGAATGTAGTGGCGGTTCCCATCTGGTGGCGCGTTGTAAGTCCCATGTGCCTTCCCCAGCACACAGCACGACGGGGCCACCCCACCAAAAATTTGCAGCTCCCCATTCGTGGGCCCGGGAAATGCTTTACCGTGGCAAGCCGAGATGGCGCAGAAAAGGGCCCACCGCCCGGTAGCATCTCGGCTGGCCACCGCCTGTAAGCGTCTCCTTCCCCAACAGTCCATAACAACCCTGAGAACGACGGCGTGGGCTTTTTGCGGAAGGTGCTGTGTGGCCAGCGTGCCGGACTCTGCGGAAAAGCAGGTGCCACCCGCGACTACTGTTTGAGTGCATGAGTATTTCGTATATGAGTGCATAGCGTCTCTGTATTCATGCGGCGTCTGCTGCCCAGCTCCGGTCTGCCGTCGGCCGAGACGTTGCTGCCGACTCGGTCGGTGCCGACTCGTCTACGGCTGCCGATACTCGCTCTGCTGATTCGCATTTGCTCTTCCTCTGGACGTTTGTCTACATATATAAAAGAATTTCGGTTTCACAGGTTTCCGCTTTCAATTCTTTTTCGGTTTACTTTGACATGTGACGTAGCGTCACTTTCTGTCTTTTCACCCAGCTGTGTCGCAGCAAACGGTTGTCTGTTGTTTACATTGCTCATGCGCCGTATCTTATCCTGTAGATATCTCTCTCGTGTCTGTGAATATTGTCCTGCGTGAGAGCCGTTGTCCCTTGGCGGCTCCTTGCCTCGCCAGTGGCACGTCCGAAGCATGTGCCTCTCCCAACCCATCGCGCTTTCCAGAAGGGTTAGTTATCTTGACCCCACTACTCCGCCTGATTGGCCAATTCGGTCTTGCCTGACAACACTGAGGGGCTAAGAGAAGCTCCTTCCCGAACATGGGCAGAGGCGTTCTGCAATCTACATTGCCAGCTGCCACTAGCTGCTTCCATCAGTTTTCGGTGCTATTTGCTTAATAGCTCCAAATTCGCTCCATTCATATCAGTTCTTGTGTTCCCGGGGTTTCATCATGCGGCTGCTTGCTGGTCTGCTGGTTTGGACAAGCGCAGCCTTGTGCACTGTGGCGTCGGCCTCAGCATCGTCGTGGTCGTCGTCGCCGCCGCCACAGTACCACACTCTGCCGCCGCTGCGTGAACAGGCGGCCATCCAAAATGCGTGGACGGCCGAGCGCAAGACGATCGTGCCGGACCTGCTGCGCAAGCATGGCGTCGACGCGTGGCTCATGAGCCAGCGCGAGTATGCCGAGGACACCGTCTTCTGGTCGCTCAAGGCAGCCGCGCAGTTCTCCGCCCGCCGCCGCACGACCTACCTGTACCTTCTGGGCAATGACTCGGCCATCCGCGCGGCGGCACCGACCGCGCGGACGCAGGTCCTCGTCAGTGCGGCCTCGAGCCGCACGGCCACCGAGCTTGTCTGGATCGACAACACGCCGGCGCTGTGGGCCGAGCTGCGCGCTGTCCTGGCCGCGGCCGACCCGGCACGCATCGCCATCAATGCCGCCGAGGAGCTGGCGTTCAGCTCGGGCATGCACGCCGGCGAGCTGGCGGCCGTGAAGCGCGGCCTGGGCGACACGTGGTCGGCGCGGCTTGTGGACGACGTGCCCCTCGTGGCCATTGAGTTCGTGGCCACCATGGTGCCCGGCCGCCTGGCATGGTACCGGCGGCTGCAGGAGACGGCGTGGGCGGTGATTGCGGACGCGTTCAGCGCGCGTGTCGTGACACCGGGAACGACGACGACGACCGACGTCGAATGGTGGATGCGGGACCGGCTGCAGGCGCAAAACATGTCGACGTGGTTCCACCCGACGGTGTCTGTGCTCGGGGCCGGGGACAGCGCGTCTGCGGCGCCGTCCGCGAACAGGGCGGGCTCAGACTCGGCATTCATGGCAACAGACAGTGCTGCGCCGACGACGATCCAGTACGGCGACATGCTGCACGTCGACTTTGGCATCACGGCCTTGGGCCTCAACACGGACACGCAGCACCTGGGGTACGTCGTGCCGCCGGTGGGCCACCCGCTGCGTGCAGCCCTGCACGACGGAGACGACCTGGTCCCGGCCGGGCTCCGCAAGGGCCTGGCGGCGGGCAACCGCCTGCAGGACCTTCTGCGCGAGCACATGGGCCGCTCGGTCGGCCGCTCGGGTGACGCCATCCTGCGCGACTGCCGCGCCGTGATGGACCGCAACGGCTGGGAGGGCAAGCTGTACTCGCACCCGATTGGCGACTGGGGCCACGCGGCGGGCGCGTTGATTGGCATGACGAACCTGCAGGACGGCGTGCCGGTGCTCGGCGAGCTGCCGCTGCTGGCCAACATGTACTACAGCGTCGAGCTGATGGCCGAGGTGTTTGTCGACGAGCTCAACGCGACGGTGCAGTTCCCGCTCGAGGAGGACGTCTACTGGGACGCCGAGACGGGCGCCTTTGAGTGGGTGTACGGCCGTCAGGAGCACTTCCACCTAGTCCTGCCCGAGGGCGAGGAGGCTGCGGCCACCCAGCAGGCGGCTGGCCAGGGTGAGCTGTAATGAAATCACCTTTGACGTAACATTAAACATATGACGTACGTACGAGACCTGCATATAGTCGTTTATATGCCTTGACTTGAATGGCTATGCCCGTGTTTGTATATGTATACAATTTTGCACCAAACAATCGCTTGCATTCGACAGGATCATTATCATAAGGTATTGTTCTCCTTTATCCGCGTCCGCACCCCAACTCTCTGTTACCACAGAGATTGTTAGCCGCATCAGTTGCTGATCGGCGTCCAGCGTGCCAAGTGGCCAACCCGCTCGCCCGCGTTGCGCACAATACACAGCCGTGCGTCTCGGCCGATGGGCACGCGGCGACCGGGTGTCGCCGGTTGTTCTGCAGTGTCTGCGCCGTCGGCCGCCAATATGGCCTCCATCAACTTGGGCGCGCTGACGTGCCCAATGCCCGCACCCTTGGACGTCAGGAAGCGGAGCGCGCCGCTGGTGAGGAAGCCCATCAGGTCGTGACGGCCAGGGATGGGCAGGTGCAGGTCGTCTGCCGATACAGCAGACGGCCGCGGGTACGGGAGTTGTGTGTCCAGCAAGGACTGGGCCAGCAGCTTCTTGCGCGTCGTGATGTCGGCGTCGGCAGGCATGCGCTGCGGCATGGGCGGGCGTCTGAGCTGGTCGCTTTGGTGGCCCTTGGTCGACTTCGCGGCGGCCAAGGCAAGCCACTGAGCCCGGTGGTGGTGACTGTCGGAGGGGAGGCGGTAGATGCGGGCCCGCGCGTCCGGGACGCCGCCCTTGAGCAGCTCGACGTAAATCGTCATCAGCTGGTAGGGCGTGCGCCAGACGACCGGCTGTTGCAGCCGTGCGGTCTGGACGGCGTCGCGGACGTCGTTCCAGGTGGCATGCTGCAGGAGGCGCACAATGGGCGGCGGCGCTGCGCTCTGTGGCTGAAGCGCCTGGAACTGGACGGATTCCTGGAGGCGTGGCTCGCCGACGTCCATCACGGTGTCTTCCGCGAGGATCGTGTCGGCACCACCGGCGTCGCCGTTGCTACCGTTGCTACCGTTGCTACCGTTGCTGCCATTGCCATCCTCCTCGGCAAGCGTAGCCGGTACCGTGTCCACGCCAAACAAAAACTCCCAGTCGCACGCATACCCCGAGCCCAGCTCGCCCTTCGTCCCGTTGCCCAGATCGACGGCCGCCCACTGCGTGCGCTTCGCCGTCGGCTTGTCCTTCCACATCTTCTCCTGCCGCCGGCGGCTCTGCAGCTCCCAGTCCCAGCCCGTGGGCGTGCCCGGGAAATCCGCAGGGAACCAGGGCCGGCCGCGCTCCAGGGCCATGTGGTGCTCCTCTTCAAGCCCCGCAGGCATGGGCTGCTGGCCGCTGCTCATGCGCTGCCGGTGCAGGCGCTGCCAGATGCTGGGAATGCAGGCGCGGGGCGCAATGATGGTCCACGTGCAGCTGGCCGTGCCGCTTTTTCTCGACGCATGAGGATCGGCCGACGCCGGGACCGACGAGGCACCGTCGGCGGCGGCCACGATGACGGGGATCGGGCGGCACTCGGGGTTGCTGTCCAGGAGCAGGTGCTCGTTCGTGGACAGCTTGCCGCGGCGTTTGTCGAGGGTGGCCTGGGCCACCAGCTTTGTCGAGTTGTGGCGGGCCTTGCTGTCAAAGAGACCAGAGGGCTGCCGTTCCACGTCGTTCGACGGCCAGTCCTGCAAGATGTGGTACAGGTTCCGGCCGGGCCCCTGGCCCCGCGAGTTGCCCTGTACACTGTGTGCCGTCTTTGGCTCGTCCAGCCGCGGGTCTTGGATGTTGAATGCGAGCATGGCGCCACTGGCCGAGGCCAGAGCCGTGGTGTCGATGCTGCGCAGTTTCAGAAACTCTCTGCCTTGCGGCTCCATAGGTGACGTCCTGGTCTCGTAGGGGTAGAGTGTGGCAGCCAGCATCTCGGCGGCGCCGCTGCCCGTCAGATCGATGCTGCCGATTTCTAAGCGGAAGTCGCGGACAACAACCGACAGTTGTTTGCGGGCAATCTCGTTGTTGAGAGTCGTCCACACGTGGGAGAAGAGGGTGGGGTGCAGGCGCAAGAAGGCGCACCGCTCGGTCTCGTCGTTTGTCGGGTGTGCGTGAGAACCCGTGTCGACAGCTGTTGTCGCCGTCGTCGTCGGGTTGTAGAAGAGAGTCATGGCGCCGCAGTTGCCTGGGCCACTCAGCTCAAAGCCTTGGCTGGAGACGTTCTGCTGTTGCTGTTGGTAGGAGAAAGACCTCGGCAGCTTCACGTCCACACACGACATTCCGCTCCGCAGAGAGGGCGAGAGGAGATGCGGCTCGACGACAATGGCGAGTGCCTCGTCGAGCTGCTTGGATGGTCCGCACAGTTCGATGGTCGGCTTGTAGCTCGTGTCCCAGCAAGTGCACATGCCCGGTTTGAGGCCGGCAGCACGCAGCGACATGCGGTAGGTCTTGTTGGCGGGGGTCCGCACGAGCGTCGTGTTCCACAAAAAGCCCGGGTTGTCCATCTGTGCGCGCTTCGCCTGCCAGCGATGTGTCGGCAGCCTGAGGTTCTTGATGGCGATCGGTGGGTGGGGGCAAGCCAACACCGCCGCTTCGTCTTTGTCGTGTTCGGCGCCCTCCTCCTCCTCCTCCTCTTCCGCTACATCGTTCGCATCATCACCGCCTCCTCCTCCCGCCCCCCGCGCCAGCTTCTTTTCCTGCTGAAGCTTGATCCGCTTCTTCGTGTTCTCGTGCACCCACGCGCTGGCTGGCCATGCTTTCTTACGCTTGGCCAGCCCCGAAGCGACCGTCGGTGTGTTGTCGGCCGCGTGGGCCCGACGCGCCTGTTGCCGCAGCCGTCGTGGCACGCGCCGCGCATTGTGGCTGGCCGTCCGGCGGCGCATGTCGCGCGGGACGCGCTGATATGCCTTTTCGACCCGGTCATCGCGTCGGTGTTTGATCGTGCTGTGCAGGTCGCCAATCTCCTGTTCGAGGGCGCTGATGAACCCTGTAAGATCAAGCGAGTCGGCAGGCTCTTTGCGTGCCGGAGCGGTAGTCCCTGCGCCAGCACGGCCGTGGCCGTGGCCCATCTTGGGCGCCATCGGCGAGGAAGAAACGCTTCGGCTGCCGCTGATATTAACGCTGTTGGTAGCCCATGAAAAGAGGATGCACTATGTAAATGTCGCTGCCGGGCGTAGTATCCGAAAGTATAGAGCAGTATGCCGTCCAAGGAGTGTAGAGATGTCCTTGAGACGCTGCGCGGGTGCCGCTTGAGCTGTTGTCGTTTTTAACGTTTTTTATCACAGCGCAATGGCCAAAAAAAAATACACGCGCCGCTCCTATTAAACTTCGCGTCTCCACTCTCCGACGTCACTGTGTGACACGCCCCGCTCCAGGGCTTTTAAACGGCCATTAACTAGTGCCAGCACTCATCACTCTCATGAATGTCGGCCACATCTGGAATGGCAATGATGCCAGGATGATATCTATCTCGAATTCTTGGACGACATGGTTGCCGTCTGTTTTGTGCAGGCGTTTACATTTCACCGTAGAAACGCGAAAATTAAAACGCACGTGACGCCTTCATGATCGACAAGAATGGATATATCTGGCATTAAGGGAGAATTACGAAACTTATCCCAGTGACGGTTCAGTTGGCGATTACCCGTCGACCATTCTTACCAGACGGAATGTACACTATTATGTGCAAATAGTGTTTCGGTGCTACTAGGATCCTAATTTTGAGGGTGAATGTTGTATTATATAGCTTATATTAGACTGTTCATTTTCGTGTTTTGTAAAAAGTAAACAAGAAAAGGTAACAACCGAATAAGCATAGAAAACGTACATAGGAGAACCGACTTTGGCTATTATTTATATGCATCAGATTTGTTTCCCTAATCACACCCCATGGCTCGCACTATGGTGTTCCTGTTTGGTATGACGCTCACCCACCCTTTGCCAATGTCGTGATCGCCTAGGCCATTTCTAGGCCGATGCCGTGCTGCAGGCTGTGCCCTTGCATCTGACAAATGGATGGCTGCAAACGCCGGACGGACGCAACGTCCAGTGAACTACGGTGTACGCGCAGAAAGCAAACTGGACGAACTGCACAATCGTCCTTTGTTTGAGATTTGTTCAAGTACGGAGTATACGGGACCCCGGATGCGAGGGAAATCTTGTGCCCCAAGGTCGCGTGCTGCTTTATAATTACAAACAGAGCCCGCTGTGGAATCGTATACCTGCAGACAACCTCATGCATTCGGTGCACCCGCACAAGCTCGTTGTGTAGACGTGCGCAACGGGTCTGTACGATACGGCCTGTACGTTACCCTCTCTCTTTTATTTCCTTATTTTGGCATCACTTCATTTCTCTCAATATATGTTTCTCTTCATGCTGTATGATTCTCTTTGCCAAACTCTGCCAACCGCCAATACGGCAATGTCCTAGGCCCAACACACCCAGAGACCGACATGGACGTTGACGAAGCGATGGACGACACTGTCGAGGAAATCATCGACGAAGAGCGCCTCAATGCCATCGAGGACTTCCGCCGCCAAGCCATTCTCGAATGGCGCAACTCGGTACAGAAGGCAACCGGCCGCGGGGCCAAACAGACCCAAAGGAGCAAATGGTCCAAGAAGTCGCAGTACGACATCCGGTCGTCGTTTTCGTCCTCGACCTTGTCGTCCTCACAACTGCCACCGCCAGACTACGAGGCGTCCTGGCGCTCCAAACTTGCCATCTGGCCGTGGCTGCTGCGCGCCTCGCATTCCTGCGGCAGCACCCTCGTCGCATTCACAAAGTCCACGCTGGCCGTGGAGAACGGCAATTACCGGGACTCCTTTAATGGTGAGCTGGCGCTACGTGCTACAAAATAGTAGGGGACCTTTTGGCTCACAATCATAGCGCTCGGCGTCGACAATGTTGAATACCAGTGGCAGACTTGGGACCTGGCACTTAATAGGCGTTCATATGACCCGACTGCGACAGTTTAATCTTTTAGACGGAATGTTTTGTCATGTTCACTCATCGACTGTGTCATATTACTGTTTGTGACTCTGACACAGTTGCATTATTCGGGATGAGGAAACTCTGCCGGGGACATGTTTTGAGACTGTACGACGTATAACAGTTCAAATGACAAAAGAGAAAATAAGTGACTTCTTACTATTCAAACTAAACGCATTTACCAGACAATATCGATGGTTCACTTTGTCGTGACCATTGCCTTTTGTCAACGTACGCGACCGTCATCATCACGTGACCATCAACGTCATAAGGGCAAAGCATGACCATCACCAAAAAATGGCGGTCAGTTGCGGCACGAAATCGCCTCCAGCCTCGTCGTGAACCTTTCCCGCCTTCATGCTTCATTGGCTCGGGCTGCTCTTGCTTTGTGTTCTAAGTCGGTCTTGGGTGTGTTTTGGGCCCGCTTTCCTTTCCGGAGCACTTCCTGCCCTCTCATTTCACCCATTGGCGTTTGCTTCGGTTGATTCTCTCCTCTAACCAAAACCGAAAACGACCGCTTGCATATGTTCATCAAACAGCCAGTGACTTAGACCACAACCCCCCCGGTCTCCCTTCCCAGCCGCAGCCATGGACGACGACCTCGACATGGAAGCGTACAAGCTGCTGATTGACCCGACACCACCTACCGCGCGCGACAGTCGGCCTGCGTCCAAGATGAAGCCCAACACGCGCTTTCTCAGCCACATTGTTCGGGAGGCCAAGTCACACAATGCCGCTCTTCTTGCGCGCGAGGCGGCAGATGCGCAGAGGCGGCTAAAGCGTCTGGACCGAAAAGGTGGCAGAGAAGACAATAGCAGCAGTGACAATGAGTGGAGAAAACGGCGGAGGCACGGAACCGACGACTCAGCACGTGATGACGACCGGCGCCGGAGACGGAGACGGCGTGGGGATGGTGATGCCGGTCGAGACGATAGAGAACGGGATGGTGAGCGTCGCGACACGCACAGCAGCAATCACCGGCACCGCAGAAGTCATCACCATGACAGCAGCAGAGAGGACCGGGAGCGGGATCGTGAGAAGATGGACAGAGACCGGCATAGCAAGAGCAGGCGCCACCGCGATACTGAGGACGGGCATGCCGAAATGGCCCACGACTCCTCCAACCACAAGCACCGAAGAGAACGAAGCAAGAGTCCTCGTCTGCGCAGCCGCCGGCGGTCTGCGTCTCCACGGCCATCGAAACACAACCATGACCATCGTGACCGGGATCGGTCTCCCTACGACAGTAGCGACCGAGACCAGAGTGACTACAGCTCGGATCCCTTGGACGATTTTGTGGGTCCGCAACCGGCCTCGTCCTTGGACCATCTCAAAGACGACAGAAACGACGCCGGCATCCGCATCCGGGGCCGCGGGGTTCATTCTGCTGTGACACGAGGTTTTGCTGCTAGCAGCATGGACCGGCATTTTGCTGCCAACTACGACCCCTCGAAGGATGTGGAGCACCCGCTACCGGCGTCACCGCCAAAGGTTGCTCCTCGGCCCGCAAGCATCGTGACGGAGGACGCAGAGGCCGAGATGCAGAAGGACCGCAAGCAGCTCCTGCGTGATAACACAGAGAGGTTGAAAGCCGCTGGGTTTACGGACAGGGAGATTGCCATAATGTCGCGGGGCGGTCGGCGGCGCCTCGACAGCTCGCCGTGGGCCAAAAAGGGCGAAGCACGGGAATGGGACCGCGACAAAGTGGCTGGCCAAGAAGGGCCGGCGAAGCCTGCGTGGGCTCGCTAGATTTCTCACGTTCAGTTAGGATCATATATGCATAAGCGGCATATTATGGAGTTTTTATTGCAATATTCTATAGCGACTATGGCTTTGGTGAACAAGCGTTAAGTTCCATTTTCATAAATCATCTTATAAGCAAATATTGCGTTTGCATTGTATGTACAAGCTGGCGGCTGCTATGCAAGAGGGGATCGTCTTTTGTTAACATCACCCCCACGTTCGTCTTTTTCGTCCTTCACTTTCACTCTCATCCTCAACCATCGTCGTACAGACACACACGCACCCATACTTTACTTTACCGGTGTGTCACGCCACCCAGCGAGGTTATGCCGTCCTTGGACGCGTTCGCCACCAGATCGTTCTCCTGCAGCCACGACTCAGGCGTCGTTTCCTGGATGAACCCAAAAATGCGCCAGTCAGCCGTCTTCCACGTCTGCCGGTCCAGCATCGCCACCAGAATCACGTTCTCCTTGACGTCCTTCTCAACGACACGCGGTGCTGATGGCGGGTTCGTCGCCGCCGCCGCCGCCGCCGTCTTCTTCCGCATGCGGATGGTGCCCTGCGCCCTCGCCACATCGTCCATCGTCCACGTGAACCGCTGCCGGCTGCGGATCGTCACGACGACCTGTCGAATGTACATGGGCATGGCGCCCGGGACCATGACAATCTTGTTGCTGACCAACTTGGGCTTGCCCTTGTACGACAGCAGCTCCCACTGGCAGCGCTGGCCCCGTGGGCGGCGCGAGATGAGCCCCGTAATCTCGTCGAGGTGGCTCGTTGTCAGCAGGCGGCGCAGCGTCGCGGTGTCGCCAGCGGCCGTGGCCTCGAGCATCTGGTAGTGCATGTTCTTGGCCATGGGCGCGATGGCCTTCTTGTTGGGCTTGAAGACGGCGCCTTTGAAAAAGCTCGGCTTGCTCTGCAGGCGAATGGAGAGCTCGGCAAAGTAGTCGGAGACGCGGGATTTGAGGCCCCACCAGAACAGTTTGGCAAAGACGGTCGGCTGGGACAGGTATTGGCCCATGGGGGGAGGAACAAAGGTTTCTGGACGGTGAGGTTAGACGTTCGCTTCGTCGAGCTAAACCCATAAAGCAGGTGAACTTCAGGGACAGAACGTACGAGGAATGCGGAAGGAGATCAAAGCAGACGGCCGGCTATCTTTCATCCGCGCCACATGCACTGCCGGAGAAACGTCGCCCTCGCCCTGCGCCCGCATCCGTTTTACATGTGCTAACCGCCGCTGCGTCAGTTGTGTGGGCTGCGGCGCACCTTGCCGGAGGCTGACCTGTGATGGGACGAAGAAGAAGGGCGCCGGAGCTCGCGATAGCAGAAGCGGCTGTCGGAGAACGGCGGCCATGTTGGAGAGCTGTGATCCTGCCCGTTGCGCTGAGAGAAAGGGGAAAATATTGTCCCGATCAAAAGTCGAGGCGATTCGAGTCGCTCTGCGCTCTCCAGGCTCGAATGTTGGAAACCGACCGGGCGCAATTAAGTGCTCGGTCGTTGCGTATTGTCGGTGGAAAGACCCTTACTCGGGTATTCTTGTGCGGGCTGTCGCGACGAGTGAATGTGAGGACAAAGATCGAAAATGGAAGAGCCCGCTTGACATCGAATTCTGGCGATCTTTTTTTTACTGCGTATCAATTGTAGAGAGAGCTATTGCCTTTTTGGGACTAGCTCGAATATTGACCGACTCAGGTACTTATCAACTCCGCTAAATGCACAGCTAGCACCGATCAGACGGCGTGCTTTAGGCGATATCATGTGAAGGCGCAATCAAAATACATGGCAAGAATTAGTGTGTTTAGTTGTTTTCTCAGGACATCGCTGGACGCACAGTTGATATCACAAAACCTCTTGACACAACTTCATAAAGACACAAACAGGTCAAACAGAAACTGGTCTGAATAATCTGCTCAGTCAGTACTTCCTGGTGAGCCATATATAGTGTCTTAGCTATGGCATGGAAGGAAATTCATGTCTACTTGTGTGACACGATACCTCAATCTCACCAAACGCCACATTCTGCATGGCTGTCGCCTTACCGCCGCAGGAACGAAATAAACAAACAATATTATACGCGCCATAGTACACGGAGATATAAAGTCAGTATTTCTGGAGAAGTAATTGGTGAATTGAATCGTGAACATTTACAATCTCAACTTCCACATTTAAAAAGACGCCACGTGACGCGAATCTGCTTAGTCACTCACGCATCCCTTGGCACGGTGCTTTGGCAGCATTGACGTCGCAGCCCATTAGCAATTGCTGTAGCCAAGCTGGTCCCCCTGTTTAATTGAACGCACACACTTCCGCCCACCCTGTTGCGTGCTCTACTACGACATACACAAGTCGATGAGAAGGACCGCGGTCTTTTATCTCTCGTCTTCGCTCCGCTCACCTCCCTCGCCGATCTGGCAACTACCCAACACCGTTCGTGCCACGTCAGACATCGCGAACTCCGATCCATTCTCGTCCCATCTTTGTCGATCCCCTCCGTCCTCAACTGCAGGCCTTGGCACAACATATATCCTGCCTCAGCTGGCACCTACAGGCCGTCTGTGTATCGGGAACTATCGACAACACCCCAGGAACATTATAGAAGCGTTGTCGAAGCTGCCCTCCTGGTCTCCCGTTGCAGCGGCAGATAAAAAGCCTAGCTGCCCTTGCGCACTCGCGCCCGCAATTTAGGCACGGGACGGCACAGCTTTCTGTCACCTCTCGTACGCTGAATAGAGGCATATACCGGAGGAGAGAGAGGGAGCTACGAAGAGAGGACACTTGGCTGTCCCTCTTCTCCCGTCTCCCTCCTTTTTGATCTGGCTTTATAGCTCTCTCCTGTTCCGAAATTGCACCAACGGTCTCGCTCACGCGACCACCGCCTTTGCCTCCTCACCTGCTCCCATCCGCTCCTCTCCGACTCGCACCCTCCTCCGACGACGACATGTTCCCTCCTCCCACCTCACAATTCCCTCCATATTCCTCGACCTCCTCCGCCAACTCGACATCAGCCTCTCTCCCGGTCTCCGCATCAGCACCGGCAAACCCCGGCCCAACGTACCGTAAGACGGTCCGCTTCCAGACGACGCACGATGCGACCAAGAGCATAAACAAGCAAGGTCCCAGCGGCAACGTCCCTGGGTCCAGTTTGCCACCGGCAGGCGCAGGAGCTCGCGTTTCGAATGGATATCACGCCTCCGCCACATCATCCCCTCCCCTCGCGGCAGTAGGAAGCGCTTTACCTAGCAACGGCAACGGCAACGGAACCGCAAACCACCAAACGAGCTATAATACCAACCACAACAACAATGGCGGCGGCGGCGGCACGCTAGGGAGCGGCCCACCAAGCTACGACGGCGGCGATTTCGACCGCGGTTCTAGCAGCAGCGGCGGCGGCGGCGACGGACAGGTTGCACGGCCGTCCCTGCTACAACCACGCGTTGCTGTTGTGCTTGGTCTGCCGAGCCTGTGGCACCTGCCGCTGTTTGCCTGCCGCTCACTCTCCGTATGTCCGGCCATCTGGTGGAGCCTGGGCATCTTTATTCGGCTGCTGGCGCAGCTACACGCACTGGCCGTGGCGCGCGGTGTCTTTGGCGAGGTTGACCCAAGCAGCGGCAGTGCCGGGGGTGGCTTTGGGAGCAGTGTGCCCGGCGTTGATGCGATTGCAGCCGGTTTGGGGAACCTGCCGGACCGTGGTGCTGGGCTGTCGCTCGAGAGCCGGCTGAAGCTGACGGAGACGGCGCTGGCTATGATCTGGGTATGTCCTACGCTCTACGCTCTTGATGTGTACTGTACACCCATCCCTCTTTGCCTCTGTACTGACATGGGCTAGTGTGGCGCCTCTGCGTACTTGTCTTTTTTCTTTACCGACTGCCTCATGTCGAGATGGTAAGAAGAGACTCGCTTGATCCCCAGCTCTGTTTTTGCCGTCCTCCTAATCTAACATGCACAAGGCTCTTGAACTACACCCCGCAGGCGACCATTGTCCGCCTGCTCGCCATCAACGCGCTGAACGGCTACCTCACGTCGTGGGTGATCTACCTCATGGGCAGCGGCGGTGACTCGCGCCTGCTGCTGCCTGCCTGGGTCGCCATTGCCGCCATCCTGACCGGCCTCTACCACGGCACGCAGCGCAAGATTAACATTCGCAAGGAGACGTCCATTTCCATCAGCGTCTTCTCCGGCGCCAGCTTCATCAGCATGGTCTCGCTACTGGCGCAGCTCTATTGGGACCGGCCCGAGTACGTGGACGTGCCGGTCGTGGCGCTGACACGGCGCGTGTGTACCGAGGCGGCACGCATCGCTGGCAACCTGTTTGATATTGGCAACATCACAATGGATCTTTGAATCTTTGAATGCCTCGTTGTTTCGTTTGTTTTATCGCCCGGAGCTCTAAGGCGTTCAGTGTCATTTCTCGCTTCTTTTCCTTTTTCGCCTACGCGCGGCGTCTCATATTGTTGTGCTCACTGTTTTCCTGCGCCATTGTATACGCGTATCATCGACCATGTTTGGCCGACACTTACTTCCTTGTTTTACGTATATACCATTCCATTCTTGCCTTATTTATATTGGATATCGTCGAGTTGTCATTTTGCACTGCGGGTTGAAACTATTTGAGAGGTCGTCATTGAGTGAGATATCCGGTTTAGTGCACTGGCGTGTCAGTGGAAGACATCGACAATGAGCAAAACTCTAGCCTTTTTCGCCGTTTTCGTGTATTAAACGTTCCACCACCATAATAGCTATGAATGACTATGCAATTGCCTCATGTAATACCAAAGAATATGCAGTGGTCGTACCATGAATCCAGTCGTTCTTGCTAGCATACAATTTGGTATACAAAAATTATGTCTGGATCTCCCGCGGTGTGGAATATCCAGGTGTTGAGTTGTAAGTTGTTGAAAACGTCCAACTCGTCCTTTTCCAAAAAAAATAGCCATCTCAACACCTTCAAGATGAAATACGTCCTGTCCTTGAAGACGACTGAGGACGACCTAGAAAGGCAACAAAAGGCGCGGGGGAGAGGACTGCCAAACTTGGATCCGTGGCTTCCCAGTTTGTCGTATATCTCCCTACTCTGTCACTGCCAGCCATCCTGTTGCCTTTCGGGTCTCTCTCTAAAAGTCTTTGGGGCCTTTGCGACCCGACGTTTCTTCGTAAGCGTCAATGCTGGGACCAGATGCGCCGGTGTAGGTGCCGGCGGGAACAGTGGTGACGGTGTTGCCGGCATCAGCACCAAGGTCGCTGCTGCTAGCATGGGCGCCAATCTCGTGGGCGCGCGGGTTGATTGGCTGGAAGGGGCGGCCCTGGGTGCGGGCACGGAAGAACTCAAAGGCCATGCGCAGAACGAACGATCCGCAGCCGAAGAGGATGCCACCAATTGGCGCAGCCACAAAGGCGCCAAAGGCACCCCAGTCGCCCTCGTACAAACCCTGCTCGAGCAGAAGCAGCTGGGCGCCCGTCAAGGCGTCGCCGTAGTAGATGGTACCGAAGATGAAAACGGTCAGCAGGCCGCCGAGACCACCGACGATGACATCGGTGCCGTTCCATAGGGAGAAGCGATCCCAAAGGCCAAAAATAAGCACAGGGATGGTCGAGGCAGACACCAGGTCGGAAATGAGGTAGATCTGCAGGATGCTAGGGGTCTTGAGAGCCAGAACGACGACAGGCACGATAATCAGGACCACACCAGCGCGGATGTACATAGGGCCAAGGCGGTTGCGGAAGATGTCGTTGGAGGCAGACGAGACCATGGCGCTCTGAAGTGAGTCAAACGCCGCCGTGGACAGGCTGACGGACATGACGAGGACGATGCCAACGACCCAGCTGGGTAGTTCAGCCAGAAGCAGGAAAAAGGCGACACTGCTGTCGGCATCCGCAGGATCGACACCCTCGCCAGGGTATGCGCCAGACCAGACCGCAACGAGGCCGCCAACACCAACCAGAGTGAGGATGATCAGGCTGGCAAAAGCCGCCAACGAGACGCCGATCCAGAGGTCTTTGTCCGTACGCGAGGCGAAGGTGCGCAGCCAGAAGTTGGACAGGAAGAAGTCGTTGGTCAGGATAGCAATGGGCAAAATATACAGCAGCTGCCAGCCAAGCAGGTTGGCTTCGAGCAGGCCGGAGTCAATCACATCCTGGTGACTTATGTGGGTCTTCGCGCCGACAGTAATGGACGCAATGATGATGAGGCCGAGGACCAAAGCGCCCTGGACGTTGTCCGTAAGAAACGAGATGCGGAAACCGCCGACAGCTGCACAAGTCCGTCAGCAACGCGACCATATTCGATCAAATTCTGAGTCCACCGAATCGACACAACATACCTGTGTAGATGGTCGTTACAACTACTTCCACAATGACAACCGGAAGGCCATCAAGGCCGGTCAACGCAGTGACCACCTGGCCAATGGCCGACAGCTCAGCCACCATGTAGAGGAAGAGCGTGGCCAGAGTCAGGAAACCGAGGAAGATGGCGGCAGGGAGACCATACCGTTGGCGCGTCCATTCGGTCAGGACGAAGCCGTCGGGGCACTTGCGGCGGATGGCCGGGCCGAGCGCGGCGAAGACGAACAGCGGCAGGGCTGACGACAGGGCGTAGACGAGGACGCCCTGAAGACCCGAGATAACAGCCAGCTGGGGGTACGAGAACAGAATACCGGAACCGAGGGCTACCTAGTCAGCGATCTGAAATGGGGGAAGGGCAGGAGTGGTTGTTAAAATGCCGTGGCAAGAGGGCATAGGGGCAGAGGGGCAGAAAAGGGCAACTCTTGGAGGAGTGGTGCAGGAGAGGTGACGGATTGAGGCAGGGGAGAGTGAAGCGAGACGGGTCAAGGGGAGGGAGAATTTGGAAGAGCGGCAGCACTTTCCCCACGCAAGTATTATCTTGATCGAGTAATTACGGTACAGTCTCAGCTTCGTCACATCATTGGAGAGAGGCAAGGAGAGATCGAGGTATCAGGGGACGCCACGAGTGTCACATTGCAATAATGCGACAAGCTTATGTCTTCGGCCCCGTATCCTCTCGCTCTCGTTTCCTCTCTCCTTTGCATGGACTCAGCGCCCGTAGTGAGCCGCAGTCCTCTCTTGGCTGACCTGAAGCCAGGCTCCCGCCATGTCCCGGCAAATCTAGACAGGTGGGATCCGACTTCAAGGCAGACGAGAGGAACAGAGAACACGGTGTGAGCGTAACGCTAAACGAACCTGGTACTTGACGATATCTGGGTAGTTGGGTGGCGAATGGCCGGGACAGCACCGCGGTCTCTGCATGCCATGTTCCAGGCTGCAGAAAGGAGAGCATCCGCTGTGTCGAGAGGGCCGATATAGGTCTTCAACGGCCTCCGTTTCACGGGAGGCCAAAGTCGAACCATATAGAAGCCGCTCGAAGTCATGCGAGGTACCGGCCGTGACGGTGTAGCCTGCATGGAAGACCTGTCCCTGCCTGCTGATGCGTCGTCGCATCTTGTCCGGTGGCGGAGATCTGCCTTTTCGTGGAATCGATAAAAGACTGCTGCCGCCGCTCTTCAAATGCCCCATCTCTTGCATTGGTCGCCAGCGGTGGATTTGGCCACCGATGTCTCAACATGCTTTGTGTCTTTGGTCCTGGTTGGGTCCCATGCCCTCTTCATTCATGTGAAGAGAGGACGACCTCCTTTCAAAAACTCACCAGAGGCGATAAAGTTCAAGGCAAGCGGCAGAGCTGTTTTCCATAAGATCCAGACAAGGCACGCAACAAGCGCAGGCAGGTCAGTGGTTAGTCAAGTGTTCAGCCGGCAAGAAGACGCAAACTGCCGGCCTAGTGGAGCACGAAAGCAGAAGCGAAAAGAGCAGCGCGTGGAGGAAGTCTCTGAGAGAGCAAAGTACCGGTCTGCGTTCTGTTGCCGGCCAGCAGATCGCTGTTCTTGGTCTGCTTGCGCAGGCGCCACGCGATGCCGGTGCCGAGCACTCTGTCGGTGTCACGTTAGTGGCGGTGCTCTACGTATCTGTCCGTGTCCTTGTCAAGGATCCCGTGAAATCTCACAGAAAAGCGCCATATGTCAGGTAGATGATGGCATTGGAAGCCTGAAATGACGGCTGTCCCATTGTTTGTGGCGGTTGGTCTTCAGATTCGCGTTGGATCGAGCTGGTGAAAGTCGCGTGTCGATGCGGCTGAAATGACGCTCTAGAACAAATAGCCTAGGCAGATGAGATGATGCAGAAAAGAGAATGGTGCTGTGCAAATGAAGAGGGACGATGAGTTGCGCTGTTTATTATACCACATTGAAAAGTTTGCGTCGCCTGGGAGCTGAACCCATTTCTCCTACAACCTCAGTTTTTACTCGCTGTTTCCTACTTTTTCGCGCTCTTTCCGCTGTTGGCGCGTGTGTCGGTGCATGCACCCGCCGTAAGTCGGCAGGTGCTTAGGGCCTGGGCAATGTGGCCAGCCGGTAATAGACGTCGAAAGCCGCAGGCTACGGCCCGAAAGGGGAAGGTGCGCAGGGGACACCCCAGCAAATTCACCAGTTCTGCTCCGGAATTAGGACGTCTTCCAGTGCAGGATGGGGGCAACATGGTCCGGTTAATCAGACTTCTGTAATGACAGTGTTATTCTCCGTAATTTTGTTACAGAAAATTTGCATCCTGGGGATGGCTTCAACAGGCGCCACAGAACGCATTGATGGACGGGCCCGGGAAGCAGCGTTTTGGAGCTCTTTCCACGAATGGCAGTTGTGACAGCTCTGTCAGCTCTGTTGTGTGAAGAATGCTCTGCAAATTTATGTGCTCATACAGTTGCATCGTCCCGCCCCCACGACTCCTCCAGGAGCTCGGTGAGATTTTGCGACTCCTCCAATTTCCTTTCTCCGAGGAGCCTCATCGAGTTTCATTTTATGACTCGCGACATCCTATCTCGGAGAAGGTAAAGCGTTGCAGTAGTGTGGGGGCGCCACTTCCTGTCTGAGCAGAACGAAGAGCAAAGTTGGCTTTCAGGGCAAGAGCATCGTGCTTTGCGTCTCATTCGCCCACAGTAGTTGCGATGTGTATGGAATATGTTATGAGTTGTCAGCCAGGGTCGCATCGGTCTTGCACCGACGAGAACGTTCACGGCCGTGCCTCATGTTATTTGAAGCCCCAACACGAGAAAGCTCTTCATGATTTGCAGCAAAAGCAGCCTTGTCATTTCTACTTTCTCTCTCCAGTGATGTGACTTTCTCCTTCTCATTGTTGATGTCAACGGCAGGCCTACAGGGTAGTATTTGATCGTGCCTTCCCTCGGTCATATCTTGTTGATCGTGTTGGCCGTGTTTACTTGTGCCTGGTCGCGCTTACCTTCTCGTGCGATATTTGGCCTCGTCTGCCTTACCTGCGCTTGCTTGCCGCGACCCCGTGTGTACATCGGTTGCACTTGCCCGTTCTGTCGCGGCTATTGTCTGGCCGAGTCTGCCTTGTTTGTGCTGTGCTTACGCGTTTATCCATATTCTCGTGGCTCACATCGTCCCGCGCTTGTTCGGCACCACAACATCACCGGCGCCTGTGTCCATCTGCCGATGCACACAGGTGTCATCGACGATCCTTCCAACGGCAGGCCTCCTATCTGTTTTATTGTTCCCATGCAACGCGCTTGTTGGGTTGCATCTACCACGCTGGCGCTTGATCGCTTGATCGCGCTTGTCTTCGACTTGTTTGGCCAACACCTTCAAAAGATCCCCAGGACCATCGCCATGTCAAATGGCGGGTCCCATGTTCCGGCATCGCCGTACGACCGGTACGGTGCAGCATCGTTCGCGGCTAACGGGCGGTCGAAAACAGCCACAGAACAGGGCTTCGAAACGGCCCTTGAGCCATGCAAATGGCACTGCAAACCAAAATCCAGCCTTGCGGTGAGACCATCGTTTAATTCCCTGCATGCGCAGCCCGTAATTACTGTGGCTGAGCAGAGTGCAGTCTCACAGCCACCCCTGCCCAAACCCCAGTATCCGGAACACCGCCCTCTACGACTTTTTCTGGCGGATGGCGACCTGCTTGGGGCTCTATGGGGGCCGTGCCCTTTCCGTGGTCCATGCGCTGCATTTTCGTGCATGTCGCGGGACTGAGGTCGGTGCAAGAGTTGACGCTACCACTACCAATACGAGAAAAGACCTCGCTCCCAGACGAGAGCGACATGAAGGCTCTCGACCGAGATCCGTCGTCGGGTTGTGGGTGATATGATGCAAGGTGATCCTCTCTGCCCTATGGAGGCTCTGCGCCAACCGACGCCTTTGGCAAGCGGGAACATTCCGACGACAAGGCGCGGCTATTTTGAACGACATGCCAAGTCGGGCGGTATGATGCGGTGCGCACGTACATGTAGATACACTGTTTGCCATGGTCCATGGAGTGTTTGCACTTTCGGCCGCTCTATGGAGTACCACAGGTTCTTCTGAGTCGCCTGTGGTGCATACGAGCACCTGCTCTTGCCGAGTTGTTTTATTTCTCTATATCGGCTCCATCCCCACACACCCCGTTTGCTTCAGTTCCTGAACAGGAAAGCTTCAGCTACCATGTCGACACACTGACCGCCGAGGACAAGGACAGCCGCCATGACCTTGCCGAAGAAGCGCGTTAATCGCGAGTTGAGCGATGCAACGATGAGTTGCGGATCTGCATGTCCATGTTTGCAAAACGGGCCCCATCATGAACACAAACGTTCTTGGTCCAATCACCCCATGTCCAAGCTACGACGTACAAAGAGCCGAGAGGCCGATGCAACATGTCCTTCCCGGTGAATACGGAATTCTGCAGGGAGCAGAGCAGCAGAGGCCAAAACCTCGAACATGGATCACGTCCGCAGCCACCCGTCAAGCGGAAGGCCCAAGCTCAAAGCTTAGCCCGCGAGCAACTACCAATTTGGGGGCCAGAACGACCGTGAGATCTTGTCCAAAACGGGGTTGGGGAGGAGAAGGAGAAGTTTGGGCCGTTTTGCCGCTACGTATTTTCGCCGATACGATGAATACGACAACGATGCGAACCAAACAAACAGCGTCAAAACCACCTACCAAATTCGAACTCTGCGAAGCATTCAGGCACACTGAGCTCCAAAGCCCAGGCTAGGATTGGTCCATGGACCGCAAACTGACCTCTCCATCAACCCAGTCACCCTTTTGATCGTCCGCCCCTGGCAAGGAGGCTCAAGCTCCCACTGCGCAGCAATTATGGAGACTTTTGGAAGCTCGTCCGCGGAATAAACGGACTTTTCGGGGGGCTCCTCCACGGACTACACGGACTTTTTCCGACGACACATTGCAATAAACAAATTCCAAATTTCTCGACATGGGTTGTGAGGCTACTTTGCCTGTCGCCGTCCTTGCGGCCCCTCTTTGCCCACCATATCTCGATGTGGTTCGGACGAAATTGTCTGGTACCCGTATTTTTGCAGACCTCAACCCAGGTTTCGCTCGAAAAAGTTGAACGGCAGAGACATATTCGGAACAAAACATCATACCCCCTGTATTTCTTTTGTCACGTTTAGACAAAATGTCGTATACGGGGGTAAGGTACGTGGAGTATCTACTAGTGTAAACCGAGCTCTCCTGCTAGATGCAGTTGGTCTGTCTCTTTCTGTTTGAATCTTCTCTGGTGCTTGCCATTGACGCCCTTTGGAACGAGATGACGGAGCATTCGGTCACAAAAGGCCGAGATACAATCGAGAGGGTACACCGTATTTCGCTTTAGTTTTTGTTAAGGATAACCTTTGGTGATTATTTGTTCGTGGTAATGTACTGACTCCTGTCTTAAAATACCTATTTCTTTCTTCTGTCTCTGGGTTTCACTCTTCTATCCAATGCCCTTCAAATTTATTACCGGTCTTCTTCAAGACCTTCATGCGCGCTGCGTCTCTCTGTTCTTCCCATTTTTATGCGCGCTTCTAAAAATACAGGGATCACGAAAAAAGCTACCCCTTCCCCCCCCCCTCGAAGCTACCCCAGAAAAATAACCACCCTGCAAGGCTATCCCATCGGAGTCGCCGACCTCACGTTTCCTTGACTACATCTCTACGTCTTTACTCAATTATTGTTTTCGTTAACTTTGATATCTCTCTCATATTATTTTCTGCTTGCTACTTTGTTTTATTTGTTTTATTTTCTGCCTTGCAGCAAATATCTTCACCATTCACTTTCCTACTTCCTCTTATTGGAATACACCGACCTCCCCTTGTCACCTCGTCTCCATCGTGTTGGCCCTCTTCCTACATCCCGCTCTCACGTCCAACGTCCCACTTCAACGACGACTGACAAGGATCCTTGGACAGATCTCGACGTGTGAGAGGGTCTGTGTCTGATCAAGAATTCAGCCTAGGCAAACCAGGCCAGGAAAGTTTGATACAACGCAATACCACATCCTGAATAAACAATTGCAAACCAGAAACGTCTTTGTACACTCACACAACTTTTACATCTATCCATCTCGGCCTTCAACTTCATCCTCTGGCCAATCCTTCCCGGACGAAGCAGAGAAACATAAAATCCTATAAACATCCCGTATTCCTTCACGATCAGAAATAGACAAGATGAGCTCTGTACTGCCTCCTCCGCCTCATCCCTCAACTACTACAACAACAACATCATCATCATCATCCTTGTCGTTATCGTCAGCATCATTGCCGCTGTCCTCATCCAGGTCCTCTTCGACCTCGCCGCCGTCGAAACCATTGGCTTCGTTGCCAAGTCCGTTGCGGTCGTCATCTGCGTCACCTTCTTCGTCAGACTCGACGCCAAACACTACCACAATGAGCTCCCTCGACAAGGGCCGGCTGCAGCAGGAGATGTCCACCCTGCCTCTGTCAACCATCTCGACATCCATTGCGGCCTCATCGACCTCCACGGCGGCCGCAGCAAGCTCAACCAACACCGTCAGCTACACGCTGTCATCGTAAGTCATTTGTGGTCTGCGTTGGCCCAAGCCTGTATGGACATCAACACTGACTCTTTAGGTCCACGTCGACGTCCAACCCGGGCTTTCTCGGCGGGGTAATCACCGATGCCGTCAACGAGGTCCTCTCGTCGACTACCAACTACACATCTTGATGTACAGATGGCTCGAAATACAAAGTGCCGGCATTGATACAAAATATCACGTCGGGCACGAGATCGTTACGTTTTATGATATTGCTTTATTTTTCTTCGTTGTTTGATTTCTTTCTACTCTTTTGCTATTTTCTCTCTCACATATTTTTCGTACCGTTTTTTTCTTTCGATTTTTTTTTTTTTTTTTACTTTTCTTTTTTTCTTTCCTTCCTCTCATTTCATTTTTCTGTTTCTTTTTCTTCTTCGTTCTTTTTTCTGTCATTTTCTTCTATTTCCCTTCTATTTTCTTTTCTACTATATCTCTTTGTCATTTCTTAAGGATGTACATGATTCTTTATTTCGTATATTTTCTTTTCTTTCCTTTTACCTTTCGTCGTTTGTTTCTCTGACCATTTCTTGACCTTCTATTCTTTACACACTCTTTTCTTACTCTGCTTCTACCACTCGACCCTGGTTTATTGGCTTCCTCCCTCCCATAGCCTTTTGATTACGCAGCTTGGATTTATTTCAGATAGCCAGAGTTATATAGGTGTTACACCTGTGTCGGTCAATACCAATCTTACGAGACATAACATTCGATGCAACTTTTATGTGAACGCAAATTTATGTGAACGCAAAAACTGAATGAACAGGATCCGCCATATTTGCTAGATTTCAACACGGGCAGATCAGGTAGTGATTCTGGTTTAATTAATATAACCGTCCCAAATGTTGATAGTTAGCAGCGGTTACGAGACGTAGGCAATGATACCAGTTAAGAGCCTGCATTTTTTTTTTTAAATGTCTTCAATTTGTTTTTGTTGGTTTCCTGGCAAGCCAGGCAAAACAGAAAAGCTCAAACACCACCAATAGAGCGAACACACATTTGAAAGCGGTGCCCTTCGTCAATGCTGTCTTTCCTGAGCTTTCATGTCCATTTTTTATTTGTTCCTTCCTGAAGTCGAAAGTATGCGCCCGTTTCCTCCCATCCTTTGAAAAATCACAGCCGCCCGCACCCCGTTGCTATTCTCCGGAGGGTCCTCAAACATTGGTGAGAGACGGCCCCACCTCAATTTTGAAATATAAAATTTTTGCTTTGGTCGAAAACTGTGTCCAGCTGTGGTGGCTTTTCGCGACTTAGCGGTCGGCGGGTGTCCATTGTGCGCAAGTTCAAAGGGGAGGGAGTTGGCTGGCATTGTCGACACGGTGGTTCGTAAAAAAGATTGTAGTTTTTGTCGCCTCCCCGAAAAAGCAGCTGTTCCGCCAGCACCTCTCTACTCCTCCCATGATTTGTGTTTTCACCCCGCCCGGATTTTATTCGTTCAAAGACCGAAAATGGAAACAGCAAACGGATAAAAAGAAAGAAGAACGAGCAAAGACAACGATTTAAGCACGGACTGCCCGGGACGCGGCCGGTGCGCCGACCCGGAAACCGTTCTTGAACCGCCGGGCAACACCGCTCAGGAAGCGAGTGCGGCCAGTGCCGGTGGTCTTTCTCCGCTTAGCCTTCTCGGACCAGTTGTCTGTGGGTGGGTTAGCGACGGAGGAACAGCAACGTGTGATCGGTAGAGAATCGAGGTACGTACACTTCCGGACCTTGGCGGCAGGGTAGCCGCACGTGGAGCACTCGTGCTTCTGGACGTGCATGGAGCGGCGACCGCAACGACGGCACAGAGTGTGCGTCTTGTTGTGGCGCTTACCGAAACTGGAGGTACCCTTGGCTGCGAGTTTGTTAGTATTCTGCTGTCTCGTTTTCTCTTCTTTTGGTATGGCTGTCCTCCACGCTATCGTAGCCCAACAGCCGTGTCCAACTGTGTCCTCTCTCTCGTTGTCTGATGTCGGTTCTGTCGTCGGCATGTGTAACGTCCCGTTGGCGAAATGTTCGGTGATCGTGTCGGTGACGTATTCTCCCGGGCTGGACGCGTCGTCGTCGTCTTTGTCATCGTCGGTGTCCCCATCTTGTGTTGGTCGTCAAAGTGCCTGGCAACGTCTCCATTCAACGCGGGAATCACAATGACAACCTGGACGAAAATTTCGATTATAAAGCACTGTCGCTCGTCGGCTGGCCGTCCTTCCTCATCCTACACCATGCGCATGTCGTCGTTCGTCGTCACAGACCCAGCGGCTTCAAGCACGCGGCAATATCGATTTGCTCCATCCGAGCCGGGAACACCGAAACCGAAACTGTTGAGTGGAACAAATCGAAGGTTCGCGATTGGGACGGGCGACAGAAATCGAAACAGATACATAATCGAGAGGCTTTGTGGACACGTCCGAGTTTTGACGATGGCGATGGCGATGCGAGTGTTCGAAAGGGCAAAAAGGGCAAAAAACACGTACTCATTTTGATGGATTGTCTGCGTGACGGTCAGTCAGAGGTTCAACATGCAGTCGAGGCGACAGGAAAATGGTTGTCGTCGTCGAGTATGGTATTTTCTCGTTCGTTCTGCGAAATAAAACGCACCTTTAGGACAAATTGATGGGTGTGGTTGTCGATGATGTGAAGTTGGAAAAGGTAAACCGAGGAGGGGGAATGACAGCTGAGAGAATCGTCACGCCCTTAATTTTTTGCCTATGCAGTGTAGGCCGACAAAGAATTTTTCTTGCGCTGCGGCTTTCTCACATTGGGGGCACCATACAGAATACTAAGGAGACATGAAGAGAGTGGACCGCTAAAGTAAGCCCCCACTTAAAATACTGGGCGGGCTCTTTTCACAGCAAAAAAGTCAGGGCACGGCTCCACTGTGCAGAAAATAGGGCAAATACCGGATTATCCTTGATTCCGGAGAAACTTAACGCTTACATCACGTTATGCATCATGACGTGTCACGTGCCTCTAAATCAGTTACAGAAATCGCTTCATACGATCAAGTCGGCCACATACATTGACAAAGTATGAAGTTTGTCATGAAAACGTGAATGGTATCGTGTAAGGTGTATGGTGCTTCACGGGCGTCAACTTCAAAGCACGACGTCCGTATAATGCGATTCCCATTGGTCATGGAGGTGAATGTAATGAAATGCAAATTGGTATCTTGGTAATGACAAATCGCTACAATAAAACGTCCTCAACTATCCGTATCCTGGTTTCCAGAGTTCAAACGCCAACAGAGCCGGGAGGCCAACAATGCTGCTTGTATTTTCCCTGTTTTTCCATGACGCCCGTCACCGGAATGGACGGCCCAGGATCTCAATTTTGACGTTGCTGCTACTGCCGACCGTGGCATTGTGGTCCTCGTCCGTCGGTCCTCCCTCGTCGCCGCCGAGATCGACCTCGTAGCCCATGCGGTACACAATGGATACGCGGCCGTCCTTGCCGGTGCCGGTCAAGCCGTCGCTGGGACGGACGGTGACGGCCATTTGGGAGTTTAGGTTGAGGGAGCAGACGGCCGAGGCGGTCGCGTCGGCCGTGCTGTCGGTAACAGGGAAGTGGATGGGGTGGGCGAATTCGACCACCATGGAGACCATGGCATTGTGGTAAAGCTGGGCTGTCAGAGCAAAGGCCTCTTCATTACACAGTCGAGGGTAGTACACAAAGAGATACAAAGAGAACCTACATATGTCGCGCTGTCAATGGCGAGCAGCCACTTCGCGACGCGCACGTCGTCGTCGTCACTGGACAGCATCATGCCCATCTCCGGGTTGTCAAGCAGCAGCACGGTGCGCTCAAACTTTTCGCGCATCTCGTGTGCCAAGTCCTGGACGACTTCGAGGGAGGCGTCAAAGGTCAGAGACGGCGGGGTGGGCGGGGTGGTGTTGTGATCGGTGACCAGCGGCAGGAACTGGTTGCCGACAAAATGGATGTGGCCCTGCTCGAGGTGCCATGCGAGGTCGATGTCGAAGGGGGCGAGGTGGTCGGCATAGTAGCTGAAGTTGTGTTTGAAGGAGTAGATGACGATGCCAATATCGCTTTTGCCGGTCTCCGGGTTGATGGTGCAGTGGCGCAACCAGTCGCCGAGCAGGCGGATGGTGAGCCAGCCGCAGCCGACGCCGTCGATGCCGTGGATCGTGAGGAGCTTGGCGTCCTTTGCGGCGTTGAAGGCGGTCTGGAGGCCGTCGGGGACGACACCTTCGCGATCTTCTGACATCGTGGCTGTCAAACGTGGTTGGCAGAGCGGTTTGGCGGGAGGATGGAATGAAAAAGTATGCGTCAAGAACGACCAGGGATGACAAACTAGGAAAAACGTAAATAGGCGAGACGAATCGACAAGTAGAAAATCCCTCCCAAAAAAAGAGACTAAGCTGGAGCCCAAGGAAATTGATCGGCTAAGAGTTGTACTGAGGAGAAGAGGATATTTGAGATTGGAGAGAGACGGCGATGATAGACGCCACACGTGGGGTTTGAAGAAGAAGAAAATACGCGAAAGTAATAAAGAGGTCTAGGAGGCACACGAGGCAGAAACAGAGATGAGGTACGGAGGTAACGGAGTCGACGGATAACAAGTGGGATCAAAGCGGAGAAGCGGTGTGAGATGGACGTGGTTGGGTTGGATTGGCGATGGACAGCGAATCCTTTCCAGGTCTGCTCTGAAACTCAAGTGAGGGAGATGAGAAGACGCATGGGAGAGTACGGAGCAGAAGACCAGAAGACCAGAAGAGCAGAAAAGCAGAAAAATAAATCAACGAGAGAAAAACAGACGACAAGACGCCATAGATGGGCGGAGAAATCGTTGAGCTCTTATACTTTCCAGGAATCAATTGCTCCGTACGGGATCCTCGTCTAGGACGGACGTCTTGGCTGGTGCAGGAGTGTTTCGTCGGGGAGAGCGGGAATCGAAAGCGGAATGGTAAGATTGTGAAAAAGCGGCGAGGGAGGTTGCAATCACAATTGTACTGAGTAAGTTTTGTCGCAGAAGACGACAAAGTCACAAGAAGGTATCAAACGGAAAAGGAAGGTACAGAGGAGGTCGCACAGATACACATTCTTGGCAGGCAGGCAGGGCAATTGACAACTCGACGACAGGGAAGGAGCTTCTTCGGTTTGAAGGGTGGCCGTTGAGGTCAAGAGAAGCAACGGCAGGAACGACTGAGCGCAAGAAAAAAGAGGATTTCTGGCGACGAGCGGACGGCAAGAGGGGTGGGGCCGCACTCCAATATTGGAGTGGCCCATACCGTTTGGGGCATCGCCTGTATTTCGCCAGCGGCTACCCATCCATTGATTTACAAGGCGGCTATGTCGTACTCCGTCCAGGGACAGCAGTCTGAGAGGACGTGACATTTGAGCTTGTGGAAAATGGAATACAATGCAATTGGTCTTTACAACTGTATGTTTGCCATTTATCGACCGACGTCAAAAGGTCAAGAACACGACATCCGGAGAAGACGAGAGCTTGGACAGCACGTCTTTCTCGAGGAAGAGAAAGACAAACGTGACGGCGCATTGAAAAATGGCAGAGACGATTTTCATAGCTCTTTGGAGCTCGTTCTGGCGTCGCAGTCCAGCACCCCGGCCAGCTGAAATCAACGCGCCACAGGAATTGCCTGTTGGTTGCTTTGTCCACCCCCAGGCTAAATCGACCATTTTGGTCGACGTGCCGCGAACCTTGTACAGGGATGGTGGGGAAGAAGCAAGTTTTATTAGATCCTGGAGGGGAGTGAAACAAAAGAGAAGAGGACGGGACGAGGACGGGCGGGAGCATGAGAAGAGGGGAGTATCAATTAACAAACAGCTGAAAGGACAAATAGAAGCCCGAATACGATTTACGAGAGGAATCGTATGAAGAGAAACGAGGAGGAGAGGAAGAGGAAAGAGGGGAAGTAAGACTCGTGACAGGGAGAATGCTGGTCAGACGGGATCCGACGGATGCTAATTTCGACGTCGAAAGCGAGCTGATTGCGGCGCCCGAGAGAACAAATTTTATCAGTGAATATAAGAATCGAGATATGAAGTAGTCACGATGTGCACCTGCACAGGTATAGGAGAACGGAACCACCCGCGGCAGTACGTCCCAATCTTCCGGGGGAAAACCAGAAAATTCCTTTTGGCAGAGCGCAAAGTGTCGGCCGAGCCCACACTAAAATCATGGCGGGCGATGATACTCTGCCAGCCGGATTTGTGGAATATTAACTTTGGTGGTTTTTCAATATTATTTCGTGATTTGCTCTCTCTTGGTTTGAGGGGAGCAAAGCCAAGCAGGGTCGCTGCCTTCCGGAGGCGTCTTTGTGCCCTCGTGCGCCTTTCGTACAGAGTGATGGGTGCCATGCAAAAGATTGCCCATGCCCGTGGGAATTTGTACGTTGTACCAAATCGGCCATGTTTGTACATGTCTCAGATCAGCGTTTGTAAGTAGACACGTATCGTAGCAAAGCCTGTTCGCTCTAAAGCGTTTCGTCAGTGGTTTGCTATTGATCTACAACTTCATTTGCCGTCGGATTGCTGGCTAGTTCTCCTCGGAGGCGATACGCCCTCGTCACATTTCATTTTACTCCCGATTGCTACTTTGCCTCGAAACAGATGTCCAATGCGGTGTGATGAGATTGAGTGTTTGCTCCACGAGACTCAATTTGCAGCTTGTCTTGATGTTTCCGTGTGATGAGATCAAGGACTGTGGGGATTGCATCGTGTACGACGCCTGTTTTGCCTTTGTGCTTTTGTGATCTGCACTTGTCTATGTACCCCAGTAGGACACAATCGCTCAACAAGGCTCGTGACAACCTGGGCAGAGCTAGTAATTCTGGCTTGCTGCGGATCACCGACCGGTGCCGTAGGATCATTCAGGGGACGGGGAGACCGGATCGACTGCAGGAATCGGTAGAGCACTGGGATAAGTTTGAATGTGTTCTTGGGGCTACGTTTGGTGAGGTATTTTACATGAACGCTGTGCATAAAATGCACATACGAAATCGCAAATGTTTACGTAAAGGTAGAGTTCGTCACAGAGACGGTTAACAATACGAATGGCGCACTTGTACGTTGCAAATTTGACCGAGAATGCCCTACCGTGCGAGATGGGAGGGAGAGGGAGGGCCACACAAAAGAAGTTGGGGCCAGCATTTACGGTATCGATCTGCTGTAGGGTCTTTGGCGATAAAGTATTTCTACAAAGCTTGACTAACAATAGAGCATCACTACCTTTACATTCGCAGCCGACGTCGCAGGTAAACTCTACGGTTGTGAGATATGGTTCTTGAATAAGGAGAATCATGTACAATCTCCGCTGTCGAAAGTCAACAATGGAATCGTGCATTTAGTGCACTCCCACGGTCTTGTGCTCTGCCGTATCGAAAACACTTGAATCGTTAGCCATGCCCAAGCACAATATACCTTATTCCTGTGACTGAAATGGAAATCATGGCAACAATATCTGATAACTCTCCACATCCCGTGGCTGATTCAACCACGACCCGCAAAAGTCGCCTTGTGTCGGCTAAACTGTCACGATACCCCATGCCTATATCGCCTCGCCGAAGTATGCCTACTTATTTAATTTTTAAACGACTTCCTGTGGCCCCTTCAAAGATGCGGCTGTCTGAGAGGAAATATGTGCATGACGAAAATGTAGAACGGCTCTCTCTGCCTCGCCTTGCCAAGGCACAGATGTGTGATGTGCACATCGACGGCCACGGATCACGATGAAAATAAGCAAGCATAATATTGTGGCCGTCCTTTTGGGAATAAGGTCGACTGTCGAGGCTGCCATTGTGCCAGTTACCGGCATTCACACTGGGATCAACCCAGAGCGGGGGACATTTCCGCCACGACTTCGCATCCAAGACTTGCAAACCAGTGGACCCCAATGGTAAGGGGGCATGAATAGGTTTAAGAATCACAGTTGCGTGTTTAGGACCACCACCACCACAGCTAACATGATAGGGACCTCTACGTCCATGCCATGGTGGCGTGGAAGAGCATACCAGAGGACAACGAGCTGTCCTATTTTGGGTTGTCAGGCATCCATGGCCGGCCGTATGTGGCTTGGAACGGCGTCGAGCAAGTCGAGGGTGCGCCCTTGACGGGCTACTGCACGCACAACGAGGTGCTATTTGCCATCTGGCACCGACCAATGGTGGCTGTCTTTGAACAAATCCTGGCGCAGCATATCCAGGCCGTGGCTGCTCTCTACAACGCCACGCCAACCATCGCCGAAACGTACCGCCATGCCGCCGATACCTGGCGCCATCCGTACTGGGACTGGGCCCTCGACAAGGCGCTGCCAGACGCCGTCGTGACGCCCAATGTGACAATCCGCGCGCCTCCCGATGGACGCACCACGGCGACACTGGCCAACCCGCTGCGCTACTACCGCTTCCATCAGTTCCCCCTCAACGCCACGCTCTTCCCGGCCGACGACGACTACCACCTGGCGTCGTTTCCAACGACGCTGCGCTGCCCCGACCCGTTCAACAACTTTACCAGCAACCCGGGCATGGCCAGCGCCAACATTGCGGGCATCGACTTGGCCGGCCAGGTGTACAACATTTACACCCGTGTCGCCGACTTTGGCAGCATGAGCTCGACGGCCTGCGACAGCACGTCTTTTGAGCAGGAGCACAACGAAGTGCACGTGGCTGTGGGCGGCATCCATCCCATGGGCCACTTTGCGCACTTGGGCTACAGCGGCTTTGATCCGCTGTTCATGATGCACCACGCGGCGATTGACCGGCACGTCGCGCTGTGGCAGACGGTACACGCCAATGCGTCCATGTTCGGCCCGCAGGAAGACTACCAGACGCAGACGGGGCAGTTTGCCACGGCACCGGGCACCAACATCACCGCGGATAGTCCTCTCAAACCGTTTTATGCGTCGGCCAACGGAACGTTCCACACGCCCAATTCGGCGCGGGATATTGCGACGTTTGGGTACTCGTACCCGGAACTGCTGACGGCGCAGTTAACTGCCCAAATAAATAGCATAAATGGCAGCCGATCCGTAAATGCGAGCTCCCGGACGAAACTCCGTCAAGCCGTCACCGCCGAAATCAACCGACTTTATGCGCCGAAAACCGTGTCAACGACGAAACGACGTCTATCCTGGTCGCGTGCGGTGGCGTCAACGCCACAGACGGTCTATTTTGTCCGTATCGCCATCGAGAAGGCAGGCCTTGCATTGCCTGCCGCCGTCAATGTATTCCTCGGTACGACACTGGCCGGCAGACTACTTCTCCTGGCGAGTCCACCAACTGGCCGCGTCCATGGCGAGATCGGCCTCGAAAACGCCTTGCAGATCAGTTCGAGCCAGGACAGTGATGTGGCCGTGGAGGACGTTCTTCGTCAACGGTTCCGCTGGGAGGTCGTCACTGTAAGTTGCAGCATACATTCGTTGAAGGTCAATGCATTTGTTCAACTGACAACCTGAAGCTCTCTGGAAACCCTGTCCAGCTTAGTGAGACACACAGTGTGACTATCCAGGTCCGCGAAGAGACTGTTCACCTGCCACAGAGCATAAAAGAGTTTCCCATTTACACAAATGTGCGCATTCTACATGGCCTTGGGACAGAGAAAACGACCGAGAAATGAGCGAGGAAGGCAAAAAAAAATGCCTGCAAAATGATAAACGTCCAATCGTGGACCGTCAGCTCAAGTCAGGGGACATGAAGGTGGAAAGGAAATAAAATTCATAGGAATAGCCATGGACATGTGAAGAGATAGCAGGCACAAGAAGGAAAGTTAAAAAACCCCATTAAGCCCAAAAGGAACCCAGAAAAAAAATAGCATAGTGAATACACGCAATAGAACAGCATTGTCCCACTGAACGGGACAGCAGCGGAATGCAGACGCGGCTTTATTACCCGCATAGGAAGATGTCAGAGGGCATCCCTTTTTCGGTGGTTGTCGACGCCGACCTTCGCCGTCGCCCGTTTGTTGCCTTCCTCATTGGCGCTAGAAGCCAGGGGACATTCAATAAAACAGTACTAATGCGAGACAACAATAAAAAGAAACAGACGGGAGTTGAAGCCAGTAAAACGAAGAAACCAAACGAAACGCTGCACATTCCAAAACGCAGGGCGGTGAACAATGAAGAATCAGACGGACAAGGAGAGCGGTGGCTGGCGGGCATATGCCGTACGATCGTCCCAAAAGAGTAAACGAGGCGTGGCACTCACTCCCACTGCATCACTTCCCTTCCGAGAAACAGCAGCCGCCATTGGATGAGAAGCAGCAGCCGTCGCTGTCAGAAAAACAGCAGCCGTCGCTGTCAGAAAAACAGCAGCCGTCCGTATCTGAAAAGCAACAGCCACCCGACGACGAGAAGCAGCAACCATTCGTTGTTGAAAAACAGCACCCGCCCGTTTCGGAAAAGCAGCAGCCCGGGTCGTATGACGGGTCCACTGTGCTCTTGCGGACGCCGGTCGAGCGCTTGCAAGTCCGAGATCCATCGCTCGACGTGCTGCTCATGGGGTCGGATGATCTGTAGCCCGAGGAAGCAGACGACGATGTTGTCGGCCGTGGTTCGGTCCGCGGCTGGACGGCGGCAACGGCGGCATGCGCACCCGCACGCACATCATCACCAACGCCGTCCATCGAGTGACGGGGCGTCTGCGAAAGCGCCGCGAGAGGGATGCCTTGCGCTGTCAGGACGGCTGAGACCGCCGCCGCCGCTTTGCTGTCGGCATCTTCCTCGAGCTGGTAGGGCGGGGGCGGTTCGTTGTGTTCCATTGCCCGTGGGTGGTAGTGGGGAAAGGTTAAGAGTTCGGTTCGTTTGCAAGGCGTATCAATAGTCACAATTGCTGTGTATTTGCGATCCGCGATTCGATTGTGATGTTTCTTTTTTCATTTGAAGGAAACTTCCAAAGATTCCCAATGGATCAGACGCTCTTTCCCTCTCTTCTTCTCTTTCGTCCGATGCCTTTGTTCCTTTAACTCGCACCTTCCCCAAATCTTGATTCCAGGTGGCCTTTAAACGGCTGCCTAATAACAGGGCTGGCACCTGCTGCGGCTAACAGCCGAGAACGCCAAACTGTGTCGTCAGCACTGCCCCAGACTAGCATTGTCACGTGTTGCAGGTTAGACAATATCTCATGCACAGCCAAATTCTGAAGACAAACATAGAGACCGATCTTCTGGAAAGGTGTAGATATACCCGTCGTTTGGATTTGGCTGTGATTTTTGGGAGCATCAATAATGAAAAACGTATCTGATAATTGTTTTTATTAAAGGAAATCAGTCAAGTTGAATATACATTATTTGTTTTATTGTACGCCAACTTATGCAGGTGCATTTTATTATTGTATGCATTTGGAAAACTATTCAAAATATATCGTTGTTACAGAGTCTCGACGTATGGGACTCGTGCAACAGTCTCTTCCTTGCTCCAACACGTTTATAAAAAGAAAAATCTTACACTTCGAGGGGCATTCTAGGCGAAAATGGCGATGTTCTAGGACACATGCAATCAGACAAACAATCAAGAGACCTTGTTATGCGTTGTCCAATTACATGGCCATACACTGAATTCATCACTCACTTTACATCAATCTCAAGGTTCTTTGGTGGCCGAAGGCTAACGGACAACCCCTGCCTTTGTGGGGTGTCGATCAGGTTCTTGTTTGCACTGTTCAATGTCAATCTAGTGCCACTCTGGCGATGCAAGCCGAGAAGCGCTGACAAGTTACAAACATTGAAACAATAAAATGGTATTTTGCTGTGCCGCCTAGAAAAAAGAAAGTCACGGTAGGTGATCATCGATTGACAAAATGAACAACCCCACAAGAAAAAAATATTAATGACGTGAAAAGATGACAAAGGCTACATTATCCCTTGATCGTCCAAGAAGACAAAGCCAAGGATGAGAACCTCAAATCATCAAAACGTCATAAGAACGGTTCAAAAATAAAAGACATCAAAAACACCACGTAAGTCGCGTAAACATGTGATTCTCATAGCCAAAGAGCGCCGACCAAAAACAGAAGGGAGCCAACGCCGAGAGATGCAACCGTCTTGATGCCGGAGCTTACGACTACCACCGACGGCGAAGGGCGAGGAATAGACGTCGTGTGGTTTCCTGCACCAGAGCCTGAGCCTGGGCCAGAGCTTGAGCTTGAGCCTGAGCCTGAGCCAGAGCCGGAGCCAGAACTAGAGCCAGAACCAGACTCGGAGCCAGAGTGTGCGTTGGCGTTGGCGTTGGCCGAAGCAGACGAGCTAGAGCCGCCCGAGCCACCACCATTGGCATTGGCATTAGCGTTAGCATTGGCGTTGGCAGACGCGGAGCTGGATGAGCCTGAACCACCAGAGCCAGCGTTGGCATTGGCGTTGGCATTGGCATTGGCCGAAGCAGAGCCAGAGGAGCCACCACCGTTAGCACTGGCCCCAGCGCCAGCATTGGCAGAAGCACCCGAGCCAGAACCAGAGCCAGAGCCGGGGCTAGAGCCGGAGCTAGAGCCGGAGCCAGACGACCAGCCAGGGCCGGACGACGCACCAGACCAGGCCCAGGCGTTGGCGCCCGCTGAAGCCCAGGCACCTGCCGTGGCATACGCATTACCGGGGCACGTAATTGTGGCGGTCACGGGCTGCTTGCCGCACTCGGTGCAGGTGGTGACGGTCACAGTGAAGCCCGAGGGGATCTCGCCAGCCGTGCACGTGCAGGGCGCGGCGTCGCAGGTCTTGGTGATGGTGTAGGTCTTTTCCGTGACGCCCGTAGAGCAGAGGGCCTCGTATACGGTTGTGTACACGTAAACAGTGGGCTGCGGGACCGTGGTGATGCGTGAAGGCGACGAGCATGGCAGCGTCACAGTGATGGGCGCCAGCGTGGTGGTCAGGACACAGCTTTCTGGGTACTGGGCAGCGGCAGCGCCGCGAGCAGCGACCTGATGGTCAACAAGGGCCGATGCCACGGCCAGCATGGACAGGAAGGTAACTTGTGCGGCCTTCATGGTGAAAAGAGTGATGGGAAATAAAATATATTATAAAAAATATGTGATAAGAAAGGAAGGAGAAATAAAAAGAAGTAGCGAGGGACTGTATTGGATAGAGACCCCTCGATTGTCTTCCAAATATGGTACTCGTAAAAAGTGACGATGAATCAACAAAAGGTAAAGAGTGTATAACGGTTCGTAATAATAAAAAGAGTGACGACAGAAAGAAAGGACGAACCTGTGCTTCTCACTTGAGGCCAGTAATGGTCGATGTGTGTCTGGATGCTGTCTGAAGGAACTGAAAAACCAAGAGAGCAGCGTCACCAGAATCTATATATACAATGCATCATTGTGAGCAACGATAGCTTCGTTTCACAACCGTCATAGAGAACAAGGTGTCCTACTAGTAAAAATGGGCGTTCATTAGAGACAGACACAAGATGAGGCTAGCTGGTTGACGGAGAGAGCCCGGTCCCATTCCCGTCGGAGATACTCATTGCTACTGAGTAGCCTGTTGTCCTACGCGTTTTGATCGGAAAAAGAAAACAAACAGAAGCCGCCGAGAACGTTAAAAATGGTTATAAACAAAAGACGAAAATTAATGAAAATATGTGCAGAAAATATTCGTGGCCATGGCAATGAGGAGGAGTATGGGCGGGCCAAGTGGAATGGAGAGGGTGTCGATATCAAAGCGAGACTGTTCGCCATGAATGCGACATGGGTCTGGATCCGGGTCTGGATCCGAGAGGCTAAGTCTAGCTATGATCATGAGAAACGGCTAGGCCAGAGGCGTGAGCGCACCAGGAAAGAAAATAATATCTTGGACACATTCTTGTAGTCAAAGAAATGATTAAACCTGCATCTTACAAGCAAAAGAAAAGATGGCGCTAGATAGGGGAGAGGAGAAAGAACTAACTGAAAGCATTCTATAGGATGTAAATATCGGAATGAGACAGCAATAGTCCACGTAAGTAAGTTTCGTATCAAGCAAAAAGAAAAATGGGAAGCGGACGAGGAGGCACATCGTACCTCTGGTACCACAATTCCTTAATTGGCTAGTACACGACAAATGAACACATCAACCAACGGAGGACCTCAAGCGTGGCGTATCCACGGAATTTTCCGGACGGTCAAGTCGGCATCGAGAGGCTGGTGTATAGCTATATTTATCACAGGTGAAAGCGGTTGCTGGTCAAGGACACGAGGAAGAAGATAGGGCTACAGGGGAGGTCAGAGATCTAACCACTAGGGGCATCACGAAGCGAGAATACAGGAGAAGAAGGAACTGGACAAGGGAAAGGAGGAATGGTCAACAAAAGAATGAAAGGAAGATGGAACAACGAGACTCAGGTATGTCCTACATGTTATATCGCTGCCTGAACCAATCGTGATAATATAAATCTCCGAAGGGATACTGAAGAGAATGGAACGGGCACTCTGAAAGTGCTGATGAGAGTCCGGTGACCCAGGGCCATGAATGCTAAAGAAGAAAATAACAAGTACGCCGGAAATGACCATCTCAGACAAGGGCACTTTGTTGTGCCAGAAACAGCGAGCTGGAAGGACCTGACAGCGTCATATCTGCTTTCTGCAGAGCGAGTGAAGTGGCCTTGGGGTGGCAAACGGGAATTGAGGAGACCAAGCTAGCTGAATGGGCAGGGGCAGGGGAGGGGGCGCGTGGAAAGTTTATGCAGTGGGTGCAGTGTGTGCAAGACGGCGGAGGGGAGTAAAGCCAGTGAGCATAAAAGGATAGTGACAGGAAAAACAGAGAAATAACCCGTTAAGATGATGTTCTCCAAATTCGCGTGGAACGGAGAAGTAGACAAGATGTACATAAAATGCCGCACAAAGGAATAGCTTTCTCTATGCAAGCTATAGCTCACGATACAGGCGGCGTGCTGGGAATTTGATGTGCGTGGCTGTGTTGAAGGGGTGTGCAGTGAAGGTCGTATTCCCGAACGGAGCGCGGAAATGGAAAAGAAGCATGAAGGGTCATAGATGGGGCAAGAAAATGATGTCTCAGAGAGGAGGTACGCTTGGGGTTTATGTCAAATAGCTGTACCTAGGTAGGAGGACAGTAAAGAATGAGAAGAAGAAAAAGACGAAAAACACCAGGTGAGGGATGAACAAAGAGAGGATACAATAAACAAAAGGATGTCTGAAGAGCGGCTGGTGGAATCTAAGATACAAATTTCCCGAGCGAGGGGGCAGCTGGAGGCACATTGTGTAGATTAGTGGGCGGTCTAGGCCGGTCTCGTACACAACGCGGCAATGCTTGGTGGATGAGACTCTTGGTGGAGGAGACTCGGCTAGAAACGACCGTCAGCGAATATGGCAGCCCAAAAAAGAATCAGCTGGTCGAAGACAGGTGGAGAGGCGAGGGACACGAAGATTTCCTGCCAAGGCAGGCCATTACCGTTTTGCGTATCATCTTTCTGGCCCCTTTCGGCGTAGAATGCCGCAAAGGTGATTCAAACGTGGGGACTTTATGTAAGTAAGTGCGGCCTCCTTTGTTGACAAGTTGTCCGGCATAAACAGGGCCGTAATGTGTTGAAGATAAATGCATCGACCTCAGCTGCAACGGCCGTGACGAAAGTGGCCTTGACAGCCGTAGCTTCAGGCGATATGCTCATTGAAGATGTACTTTGGCCGATCCAAGATCTTCCCCTTGCTGAAGCAAACGATGCAGATAAAGTTATTACTTTTCGGGACCGACAAAGGGCTCGGCATGTCGTAGAGCTCTGGTGCGGCACAAAGATTGTTACACAGCGTGGACGGGTAAGGCTTCCATTTTGGCTCTAACGTGTCAGACTAGTGAAAACCGAATAGGGGGAAAAGGTTCCTACATACAAGCAAGCATTCCAGAGAGAAGGAAATATCGCCTTGGTGGAGGAAGTTGGACAATAAGACGTGACTTAACGTCCTGAACAAGGGAGCAAACGCGTGGGTGCAAGGGAGAGTCTCTTGTTTTTTTGTTTCATTGTTCTGTTCTTGTTCCTTTTTCTTTCGTTTCTTTTTCTGTCGGGTCTAGAATTCGTCGGCCAGCTGCCTCTGTTTGCACAGTTGAAACATAGTCTCAGCTGCCCTATCATCAAGTATCTGATTAAACCCTCCCCAGCTCGCCAGACGAGGCAACATCTTCACGACAATTTGTCGATTGACACAAACGATCAAGGCACCGTAATGCTCGAAACATTCCAGTTAGATAACAATGATGCTCAAGATTTACACTACCCTACGGTAGTGAACAATCATGTTGGATTGGAAGGGCATATGGGCTACTGTGCGCTCAACATGCTGGTATGATTACGGTGAGCGGAGTTGGTATCGTGCGGAGAGAAGTAGTAGTTGTGAATAAAAAATGGTAATTTTAAGAAATCCCGTTGTATTAAAAGAACGCTTGTAAATATCCGACTGGGGAGACTGGGGATACTGGACAAGTGTAATATGTACGGGAAACGAAGGATATGAATGAACAAAGGAGAGTCAAGGGCTGTCTCGAAATAGTGCTTTTCAAATAAGCAATAGACAGAAAGGAGAAAAATATAAAACTGTGGCCGCCAAAGTGGAAGAAAGCGTAAACAAACTCCTTAGAGCGGGGAAACAGTGCCGAGAAACATTTCCCGACTAGAAAGCCAATAGCTCCCGAAGACAGCGCCAAAAACAGCAACGGTCGTGTGCTAGTGAGACAGATCTGCAACACTAACCCGACTTACACGACTAACACGGCAATGTACCAATGAGGAAGAGCAAAAGAGAAAGGGAGGACGTAGAACTGAGCTACGTTTCAGATAAAAAAGAAATGTCGTGCAGTTTTAGTCGAAAAGAAACTGAGGGGAGGAAACATATAGAGAAAAGCCAAGAACGAAGAAATCAATAGACTCAGTAGCCAGCGCGAATACTCAAGAGCAAAAGAAAGCAGAGGCGAATTCAAAGACAACCAAACCAAGCCTTGAAAAGATTACGAATGGTTAAGCAGAGAACATTGCACAACCATAGGATACGCCTGCGCTTCTCGGGGGTAGGGCATGCCTAGAGTGAGTTTTCGAATAAAGAAACAACAGCAACAGACAGATCTGGGACAAAACGCAGAAGTGTCTTTTATGATGCTCGCAATGAGTCTCAGATGTGGACATGTCAGTACAGATGCACGCCAAAGTTGTGACATAGGAAGTGCAAGGCGAAACAAGTGCATAACTTCTTTGAGATCCCGTCCAGCTTTCGACTGCAGAATAAAGTGCCTCATACCAGGCCACTCCAGGCCTTTCTACGGTGGTGGACGTAAAGCACGGCTGTGTGTGTCATCAAGAACGGCCCCAAACGCGAGACCAAGTTGGGACGAGCTATCCACATCACCAAAAGTTATGCGAAGCGCGCATGTGTCTCTGGAGATAACATGTATGAAAGTACCACCAGGTTGAGTGATTGCCTTTCCAGTACAAAATTCCGTAACCTGGGCTGAGTTCCATGAACTACCTAGCTAGATCTCTCTCTGCCAGGGTCCAATTGCAAAGTCCGTCCATATAAACAAAGAAGACGCCTTTGCGATATCCGAGCAGGTGCTTCACCAGAGATGGGGGGGAGGGGGCAAAATAAACAAAACCATCAAAGCAACACCAATCACGCAGCCGGTCATCCGCGTCCAATCGTGACGAGAATCTAGGAGAACCGTGAAGAATGAGCAAGACCGACTAAGTCAAGCAGTGGGAACCCGGATGCCGGATGAAGCATAAAGAAACACATATGCACTCGGAATTCTGGACAGACATTCTGAACGACTACACGGGAGGAAGGGGGGTGAATCCAGGTCAAAACGAATTCGGTGGTCTTTTATTCTTCAGTGGCGACCTGATACGGGGTTGTCTCACTACAGTTGGAGCTGTCCTCGGTATCTCTCCAGGTGTTTGATGTGTTTTACCATATTATTTCGTAAACAACTGCATTCTTCAATGCGCTGGGTGTCCCTTTTATGTTATTTTTACTATTTCCTAACAGTCTATTACATTGTACTTTACTTGTTTTTAATATGTGTTCTGTATATTGTCAGGTGATTTTAATTTATTTTTGATTGTGAATCGTTTATTTTTGTTTGGTTTATTTTGATTAGTTAATTATGATTTGTTAATTTTCAAATATTGTAAAAGTACTTTTTTCTTCATTATACTGTATTACTTTTGTCGTTGTTTCAGTTTTCTTCTTTGCTGACAATTTGGACAGAACCTAAAGTACTGCCACGATGACGCCAGATACAGATGACGGTGATGTTTACTCGAAATTGAAATCACGTTGTCTACAAGCGACCAAGACGCTTTTTGTCCCAAGCATGTTATCAGACATGCGTTTTGGTTTTAGGCAATAAGTTTGGCGTCCCTTTTCGCATATTTCGTGAGCCCTTTTCTTTCACCCTTTTCATATTTTGCCTTGAGAATGCACGACACAGTTTTTCTTCTTTTTCTTCTATTTCTCACGATACCCCTTCCTTCGCTACTGTATATTTGGAGGGTGTGCGTGTTAACTAGGGATACACTCAGATGTTTTCCGACGTCATTCCTTTTTCGTATAAGTCAAAGTTGACTTCACACCATCCAAGCATCCCTGTAAGACCACGCTTTGGCACGGTTCCACCCGCCAAATATGAGACAACTGTCAGTCTGCCCTGGGCCGGATCGTATGAGGTGAGTGGTTTTCTGTATTGTTGAGCTGGCACTTTTGCTAGTACAATGTTGTATGTTTCTTGCCTTTTCGCCTTTACTGGTCTGCTTTCACTTCTCATTGCGCCTCTCGGCCGCACCTCTACGCTTCTTGGCTGAGGCTGTCTAGCACAGCGGTCACATAAGATTGCACAATGAACCGTCAGAGACACTGACGCGGGGCGCACCGAGGAAAGAAGACACTTGAACAGGAAACAAACGAGTAACAAATGGCAGAGACCTTTTGTTCGTCAGGGCTCGTTTCTGCACCGGAGGGAAAACCAAATGACGCAGTTCCGGCCATCCAGGCTTGGTATCTGATTCTTAAATGTGTTACTTTGTTTGCGGCTGTTTGTCTCCTTGCCTTTTTGTTCTGTTTCTTTCTAATGTTTTCTTTGCTGTTATTTTCTTCTTATATCCCCTCTTGGTTGGTTCGCATATCTCCGGCTGGTGCACTCCACTCTCGTCTCAGCGTAACTTCACGCTGCCTGGGCAGCCAGGAACAAGACAAAAAAAAGAAAGCAGTCTAAGAAAAAATGCTTCCTCTAAGTTGTACTCTGTAGATAGTTTGATTCGCCGAACTTAGACCGGCCCACGAAACCACTTCACGAGCCATGAATGCTCGCAGATTGCACAACGAGAAAAAACCCCTCCATTTCTTCATGTCACCATCCAACACTGGCGCATCCCTTCTTCTCTTGCCTACACTCCCATTTTTGTTACACACCCCTTATGTTCATTCCCTTCGCTTTGTTTCTGCCAAGAGTGGCTAGGGGAGCCTCAAACATACGCATCCCAAAGACGCCCTTTGCGTGTTTCTCGTCTCCTCGTCTTCCTCCTGACTCGGCCTCCTCAACGAAAAGTAAACAGATCTCCGACAGAGAGCCAGTGCCATGCCCTGTCGAGTCGTTGATCCCTGTGGCCGGGGCAGCGCAGCCCATATCGACGAGCGCCCAGAGGACAGTACTCTCAAATCGCACACAATACGGCGGGAGGCCCTTGCACGAAACCTGCTCCCGCAAGTCGACAAGATATATATTCTCATGCCTCGCCGACTTCACTGCCTATACGGACAGACCTTTGAAGCATCGGAAAGACATCAATTCTCGACAACACTGACGGTCGACCTCCGCGGCGTTTCGCTTCTGTTTTTCTTTAATTATTTGCCCTTCTAAAGAGCAGTCTGATTTGCAGCTGCCGAGTCCTTCTTTCACAAACTTGACTAACTTCACATTCATCACATTCATTCATTTTGTCATCATTTCCTGTACCCATAAATTGAAATTCTCTTTACGATTTTGCGTCTTACGTCGCTCTGTATCTTTAACCCTCCGTTCTTCTGTTACATTTGCCCACCATGCGCCTCTCAGTCGCCCGGGGCTTCCTGGCAGCCGCCGGTCTAATGGCAGGCGGCGCCGTGGCCACTCCGTACCCTCAGGTCGTGCCGGAGTTCTTCAGGCGTGCCATGGACAAGTGTCCTGCTGTTGTCACTGTCCAGCCAATCGAAATCATTGGCCAGACGCCCGTGATTGTCGACGTTTTCATTCCAGCAAACACTGTCATCATCATCAACGAGATCACCATTCAGATCACCAACGCTCCTACGCAGGTGTCCACCACAATCACGTCGACCGTCACCACCACCAGCACGGTCACGACGTAAGTTTGCGTCTCATGCGAAGTGTCTTTATCTGCCTGCCTTTCATCATAACTCATGCTGACCGAATAGTGGCCCCGGCGAGTTCACTGGTCCTTACACGACCATCACTGGCCAGTGGACCGGCACCACTCCCATCACCGTTTCCATCCCGCCTGGCAGCGGTGACCACACAGGCACTGTTATTATTGAGGTGCCCGAGACCACCACGCCCGCCTTCACGGGTCCTTACACAACCATTACGGGACAGTGGACTGGCAGCACGCCGGTCACTTTGACAGTCCCGCCTGGTCCTGGTGACTCTACTGGCACTGTCATCATCGACACCCCCAAGCCCACCGCTTCTACTGCCAGCTCTAGTGGCCCAGCTTCCAACTCGGCTTCCAACTCGGCTTCCAACTCGGCTTCCAACTCAGGTAGTTCTTCCAGCCTGTCTTCGGACGTTTCGTCAGCTGCCTCGTCGTCTGCCTCATCGTCTGCTCTGTCGTCTGCCTCGTCGTCAGGATCGTCGTCGGCATTGTCCGTTGCCTCGTCGTCTGCCTCGTCGTCAGCATCGTCCGCTACGTCGTCTAGTGCATCGTCCGCTGCCTCGTCGGCTGCCTCGTCATCATCTGTCTCGTCGTCTGCTCTGTCGTATGCCTCGTCGTCAGCATCGTCAGCTGCCTCGTCTAGTGCATCGTCGGCTGCCTCGTCGTCTGCTTCGTCGTCTGCTTCGTCGTCTGCTTCGTCGTCTGCTTCGTCGTCAGGATCGTCGTCGGCATTGTCCGTTGCCTCGTCGTCTGCTTCGTCGTCTGCTTCGTCGTCTGCTTCATCGTCTGCTTCATCTGTCGCTTCATCCGCTGTCTCGTCGTCTGCCACGTCGTCTGCCACGTCGTCTGCTTCGTCGACTGCTTCGTCGTCGGCATCGTCCGTTGCCTCGTCGTCTGCGTCGTCGGCTGCCTCGTCATCTGCTTCGTCGGCTGCCTCGTCGTCGGCTGCCTCGTCGTCGGCATCGTCCATTGCCTCATCTTCTGCTTCATCGTCTGCTTCATCGTCTGCCTCATCCGCCGTCTCGTCTAGTGCATCGTCTAGTGCATCGTCCTCTGCGTCGTCTAGTGTCTCGTCCGTTGCCTCGTCGTCTGCGTCGTCGTCTGCCTCATCCGTTGCTTCATCCGCTACCTCGTCTGGAGTATCGTCTGCTGCTTCATCTAGTGCCTCGTCGGCCGCCTCGTCTGCCTCCAGCGCTACTTCGTCTGCTTCCAGCGCTGCGTCGAGCGGCTCGTCAACCGCATCGTCGGCAGCCTCGTCTGGTACTTCGTCTGCTTCCAGTGTTGCTTCCAGTGCTTCCTCCAGTGTCGCTTCAAGCGGCTCGTCGGCCGTTTCGTCTGCATCCAGTGCTTCTTCCAGTGCTCCTTCTAGTGCTTCTTCGTCTGTCTCTAGTTCTGTCTCCAGTGCTTCTTCGTCTGTCTCTAGTTCTGTCTCCAGTGCTTCTTCGTCAGCCGCTTCTTCGAGTGCCTCGTCTGCCTCCAGCGCTTCATCCAGTGCGTCTTCTAGCGCTGCTTCTTCCAGCGCTGTATCTTCCAGTGCTGCTTCTTCTAGTGCCGCTTCTTCGAGTGCTGCTTCTTCGAGTGCTGCTTCTTCGAGTGCTTCTTCGAGTGCTTCTTCGAGTGCTTCTTTTAGTGTTTCTTCCAGCGCTTCTTCTTCCAGCGCTGCTTCTTCCAGCGCTGCTTCATCCAGCGCTGCTTCTTCCAGCGCTACTTCTTCCAGTGCTACTTCTTCCAGTGCTGTTTCTTCGAGTGCTTCTTCCAGTGTTGTTTCTTCCAGCGTTGCATCTTCCAGTGCTGTTTCTTCGAGTGCTTCTTCGAGTGCTTCTTTTAGTGTTTCTTCCAGTGCTGCTTCTTCCAGCGCTGCATCTTCCAGTGCTGTTTCTTCGAGTGCTTCTTCCAGTACTGCTTCTTCCAGTACTGCTTCTTCCAGTGCTGCTTCTTCCAGCGCTGCATCTTCCAGTGCTGCTTCTTCGAGTGCTGCTTCTTCGAGTGCTTCTTCGAGTGCTTCTTCGAGTGCTTCTTTTAGTGCTTCTTCCAGTGCTACTTCTTCGAGTGCCGCTTCTTTTAGTGTTGCTTCTTCCAGTGCTGCTTCTTCCAGCGCTGCATCTTCCAGTGCTGCTTCTTCTAGTGCCGCTTCTTCGAGTGCTGCTTCTTCGAGTGCTGCTTCTTCCAGCGCTGCATCTTCCAGCGCTGCTTCTTCCAGCGCTGCTTCTTCCAGCGCTGCTTCATCCAGCGCTGCTTCTTCCAGCGCTACTTCTTCCAGTACTGCTTCTTCCAGTACTGCTCCTTCCAGTGCTGCTTCTTCCAGCGCTGCATCTTCCAGTGCTGCTTCTTCGAGTGCTGCTTCTTCGAGTGCTTCTTCGAGTGCTTCTTCGAGTGCTTCTTCGAGTGCTTCTTCGAGTGCTTCTTCGAGTGCTTCTTCCAGTGCTACTTCTTCGAGTGCCGCTTCTTTTAGTGTTGCTTCTTCCAGTGCTGCTTCATCAAGTGCTTCTTCCAGTGCTGCTTCATCCAGTGCTTCTTCCAGTGCTGCTTCATCCAGTGCTTCTTCTAGCGCTTCGTCTGCTTCTAGTGCTTCTCCTGGAGGCAGCAGCTCATCTCCGTCCGTCTCCAGCACGTCGTCTGTCCCGTCTTCATCTTCTGCAGCCTCGTCTAGCGCAGGGTCTTCGAGCGCCCCCAGCTCCGTGTCCGCCACCCCGTCGTCAGCATCGTCTGCAGCATCGGCGTCGGCCTGCTACACCACCGTCACTGTGTCTGCCCCGGCTGCATCGGCTTGTGTCACGGGTCTGCCGGCGACGTGCGAGGACCTCGCCCTCTACAACGACCTTGCCCTTATTGACCCTGCTGCGGTCTGTCTCGCGTCTCTCGGTGTGTACGGCACCGGCAGCGCCCTTACGTGCTTGACGACGGATCTGACCCCCATTTCGCTGGGCACCGATGTGGTGAACTGTCTCAACAACGCCTTCGCGGGCAAGTGCATCGACTCGCTGCCCGCTCCTTGTGTTGCCCTCGAGAACGAGTCTGGCATCCCACTTATCGCCGATTCCGCTGTTTGCTTGGCCGAGCTGGGTCCGTTCGCCATTGGAGCCGTTGCGCAGTGCTTGGTCACGACGGGCATCGACGGCAATACCCAGGGCTACACCATCGTGGCCTGCTTGTACGATGCGCTGCAACTGAACCCCCCCACGACCCCGACGGTAACCGCGATCCCGATCGACTGCCCGGCTCCGTCTTCCTCGGCCACGCCCGGCTGCAGTGTCGACCTGCCTGAACACTGCAAGGAACTGGCGGGCACCACCGGCGTCGCTCTTGAAGTGGACGCTCTGCTCTGTACGGCCGACCTGGGCGTCTACGCCGTGGGCAACGTCGCCGAATGTCTCGCGACGAATGTCATCACGACGGCGGTCAATGGCGATTCGATTATCACGTGTTTGGTCGATGCCCTCGAACAATCGTGCCCGGCGACGCTGCCCTCGGCCTGTCTGAAGCTGCAGACCGATGTTGGCCTGCCGTCGTTGCTGGTGGACATTCCGCTGTGTGTTGTCGCATTGGGACCGTATGCCGCTGGCGACGCGTTGGTGTGCTTGTCGACGACTGGTCTCAGCAACGGCGCGCTGGGTTCGACCATCGTCACCTGCTTGGACAGCGCTCTGCACATTATTTAGTGAGATAGTGAGAAACGGCAGTTGGCTAGTGAGTTTGATGTTTACAAGGCTGGTTTTGGGGGGATTCCGTGGCGGGAAGGCGCCTTTGGTAAGTGGAGCAGGAGCGCCCCAGAACTTCCCATTAACCAGAATCATGACTCCTTTTTAGTTTTTGTACTTTACCTGATGTACTGGACCGGTTGTTATATTTTTTTACTTTGTGTTCTTCTTCTTCTCTGTCTTACAGCACCCTATCCGTCTAATTTTATGTGGGACGCGGGTTTAATGTCGTTGGAAATGCAACGTTCTTTTTTTATTTCGGTTGGGTGCTATGAGACACTGCAATTGTAGCTGATTGGCGCTGAGAAGTATCGAGTCACTCATTCTCTTCGTCAGCAGCCGTTACAGTCACGCAACAGTTCGTAAATCTTCCCCAAAGTTAAGTTCTCACTTCCGCTCATAGATTTCTGTGTCCTTTCCTGTCGTCCAATTCGCCCAGTGGCTGTCAGTCTTTCTAAAGAAATATACATTTGTTTTTACTCTTTCCCACGTGGCGCCCACCGAATGTTTCTAGTCGCTCAGCCGGAGCAGAAATTGTACTATTTGTATGTTTGTATTGGAAGTACTGTTGCTGGACACCGTGCTGATGCAATATCCCGAATTCAGCGCAAAGGTCCAGCGACAAGTCCTTGGCTAGCCAATCCCGTTTCATTTAAAGCCACTCCTGCGTGCCGTGGTGCGAAACCATCTTACCGCCCTCCTTTGCAATGGTGGCGTCCCCAATAACTTTGATCACGGCTTGCGCCGACTGCGTGGGCGTCAGCATCACAGGCTCCCAGTGCGGCGCGTACGCCTTGAACAGGCCGACAATGCGCCCCATGGCCTCGTTCTTGTTCGCCACATCTGCCTCGGTGAGAGGCTTGTTCGGGTCCGTGGCAAACTCCGTGTCGACCAAGCCGGGCGAGATGGCAAAGACCAGGACACCCTTTGGCTTGTACTCGAGGTGGAACTTGGCGACGGCCATGTTGAGAGCCGCCTTGCTGATGGCGTAGGGGCTCTGCATGTCCATGCCGGACTGGAGGATAAAGTCAATGTCGCCGGCGCCCGAGGAGACGACGACAATCTTCTTGAGCGTGCTCTTCTCGACGAGGGGCGCGAAGAAAGCAACCGACTCGATGGTGCCGACGACGTTGATGCGGAACGTCAGGTCCATGTTCTTCTCAAACAGCTCTGGGTCCGAGGTGACTTCGTCCGTCAGAAAGCGGTTGACAGGGATGCCAATGGCAGCATTGGCAATGAAGACGTCGACCGCGCCGCCGGTGATGGCCGCCGTCTCAGCAGCGGCAGTCTATGAAGAAAACCAATCGACTTAGTACAGTTTATGAGTGCAAAGGGTGGCCAACGATATTTCGACACGTATGCCAGCAACATACCTCGAGCGATTTCCGGTTGGCCAGGTCGGCATAGACGGTATGAATGTTGGCGCCCGGGATCTCAGCGGCAAACTTGGCCTTGGAAGCCTCGACGTTGCGTACAAGGCCGACGACGGTGTTGTTCTTATCGGCTGCAAGCTCCTTGACCAGACCAAACTGTTTGAATAGAACAAATTGTATTAGCTGACCATGCTGGCATATGACGCTGGCATATGACTCCTTTCCAAACCACCAAGGTGAGCTTCGTCGTGTCCACATACTCCGATGCCACGAGAAGCGCCGACAACCACGTAAGAAGGCATGATTGGTGTGGTGTTTTGGGCAGATCGGGAAGTGATTTGTTGGCTGGATGGCTGTATGAACGAAGATAGGGTCAAGTAGAGTCAACGGCGTGATAAATGGAGAACAGTGAGACTATCAAGATTTGAAATTTTACAGTATAAAACAGGGTGTTGATGATATCGATGATGTCGATAACCTCCCAACTCTTCGTCTCGCGAGGAATCGTCCCCCTTTATATCACGACTTTGACCCTTTGATTTCTTTGACTCCTCCATATTGACAGCAGTTTTCTCCCTCGGGTGCCAATGAAAGTTGATTATTGGCCGCAAATTCCGTCTTTTGTTGGACCGCCGTTGTAAATTCCGTGTACGACTGGCTGCGAGTCCCGTCTATGACAAATGCCGCCGTTTGTAACCAGGGCACCAACCGCGTTCGTGAAGCACAACGTATCTTGGCGATGTCGGTTGCCACGACAGTTAGCGAGCGTTGATAGCTAGCGCTATTGCAAGGCAAACGTCAAAAATCTACGGCATATTGCCCTATGTTGCTAATTTCTAGCAGTTTCTTCGAGCTCGCTCAGAGTTGCCATGTTTCTCGGAATGGCTTTCCAAAGAGGGACTGAACACTTCGCCTTTGCACCGCTGCAGGGATTCTATGCTGGGAGCCACGCCAGCCGCACATGATTTGGCAGTTCTCAATAACACCGACCCGGCGTGCGTCCTTGTAGAATCACCCAATAAGTCTCCGCGACTTGTTTCCTTTTTTTCTTTCTCGTTTGTCAGCATATTGACGTAAGGTTGATACCACAAAATTGTCGGGCAAACTTGGCCTGCAATGGTCTGGATCGATCCGGTTCCACCGTCGATTGGAGTCAGATTCTTATCTACTCATAGGGCTGTGAGAACGTTGCTGCACATGCTGCAGTCCGTTTCCTCCGTAGTAGATGTGGCCCATTGGGGGCTTGCGGAGAATTGACAACCCGTTCGCACTGCTCCGCTTTTTTTAATCGGTTCTGACTCGCTCGCTCAGACTTGCCAAACTTCCATTTTGGGGAAGCGGGCCATGCTAGATCGGCCGGTCGTTCCTGCCCTGTCAAAAAGAATGGCGCCCCACTTGGTCAAGGCCGAATGAGTGTTTGTCAGCTTGATGCCGAGAGCTTCATTCTCTTTGAATGGCAAGGACGATGGAGGGCACACGACAGAACAGGAAGGCAACACAAGAAACACCATAACCTCATACAGAAAACAACATTCGGAAGGCTGGCCGGTGTCACAAAATTGGAAACATCACAATACCAAGCACCCCAAACCGTCACATACAAGAGACTGGAGCAACCTGGAACATAAAGAGTGAAGCACATCGTGTAGATGTACCAAAAAAACCGGATGTTCCATTCTCAGAAACACCATTGCAAATCGTACTACGCAGGCACAACCTTACCAACGCGACTGCGCAAAGCATATCTGGACCAATGTCGGCACAAAGGACTCGAAAGACTGCAGAGGCTCTGCGTTGCTCGACATGTAAAGGTATGTAACTCGTCTCGGACATGAATTATCCTCTGAAATAAAAGGCGCACCTTGCCAGGATCGGACGCGGAGGAGCACGTCAGCCGAAGTTGTTCCCACCTTCTGAAGGAGCGTGAAGCTAATCGAGGCAAATCGCGACTGCTCCGCATGCACATTCTCTAGAACGCAAAATCAAGTGTGATGGAACGCGGCCCGTCTGTCACAACTGCCAAAAGGCGCATCGGGAGTGCCGCGCAGGCCATGCCTTTGAGTTGTCGTGGCCCAAGCCAAAATCAAGGCGGGCTCTAGAGGGCCCCAAGGACGACAGAAACTACCTGATGGCGCAAAGCCGGATGCACTCTCGCTTCCGTCACAAAGGCGGCAACAGCTACTACTTTGTCAATGTGATTTCCGAGCAGGTCGCCGCACACCATCTGCTCCCGTACGTATCGACCAGTCAAGGTATGTGGTATCTTTGTGACTAAATATGGGACGATGAGCTCAGGGTTGTGTGCTGTTTATACTGCGTTTGCTGTGCTTGTTGGTTGGCAATGTCTACGTCGTTTGCCAGCTGCGCGGACTCGGCGTTCTTTGGAGTCTTGGCGGGCAACTTTGAGCGAGCACGGCTTTGATCGTCGTGGTCGTCCACCGCCACCCCTTTACTAATTTCGCCCATCTTTCATCGTTGATGTAGGCACACGATCGATCTTGTTCGAGCGCGCGTATGCAGAAGATCCGTACCTGGCTCTTTTGCCCAACAAAGCGCCATCTCTATACGCCGACTTCGAACGGCTCCAATCGGATGGGTCGGGCCTTATGTCTTACTGTATGTGACGAAGAACCGAGTTCTAGACAGTTACACAAGGGCGACGTTCTACTCGTTTTCGTTTGGAACCACAACACGTCCCCTTTCCTACCTCCCTCTCTACACAGCCCAGTCACGTCAATTCTCCGTCAAGCCTCACACTCCCACCGAACGTCGTTTCGGCTTCCTGCCCTGTCCCTGACCTATCTGTCCCCCTTTTCACTGCAATCCCACATATTGCACATCTATCTACAAAAGGTGTATCTTTTACTCACGTGAATATCTTGTCTGACCCAATTTGCTATGTCGTTTAGTCTACCACGAAGCTTCCAACTCCTTGCCCCAGCTCGACAATGAGCCGCAGCAGTTCCGAGACCTTCTGCTGCGGATGTCTCTATACGACAACACAGCCTCCTCCAAAGCGGTTCTTTACTCTCTCTTCTGTCTGTCTGCACTGAGGCGCTATGGAAATGTCCAAGAATGCGCTCATTTCAAGGTCTTGGCACTCCAGTCGCTTCAGCAGGCCGCCAAAACCGAGGGCATCGGCGCGGCTCGCATCCTGCAACACATGGCCGCCGGCCTACTCCTGTGCCGGGCCGAGATCAGCCTGGGCGACGACTCGAGCGTCTTCTGGGCCCTGTACATCTGCAGTCTTCGAACAGTCTGCAGCCACTCCCTCAATGAGAAATTCAAAAGAGGGGAAGTCATTGACGGCGACGCCACCATTCTCTACCGATACCTACATTACCACGACATCTTAGCCCAGTTTAGCGTGAGCCATTGGCAACGGCCATCGGACATGGTGCATAAACTGAGCATGACCTTCAAAGGCGAGACCGTGGAATTCAAATGTACCAATCATTTTGACCGTGTAAGTTTGCACACGCAGCGAGAAATAGACAGACTTGGTCTGCTGGCACTCGCGGTAAACCGGGCATATAGGGGCGTTCACATTGCTGATAAAAAGACACATCTTCAGTTCTACTATTGTGGCTGGGGCGATTATCTCCAGTACGAAATCCATATTCTGTCCTTGGTTCTCAAGGCCTCGAAAGAGGCACAATTAGACCTCGCAGTCCATCCCGGCCCAAGCCGCGCCGAAAATATCAACCGCCTCGAAGCGGACATCAACGAGTTCCTGAAAAATAGCAAGTTGGCGTGTGCTGATATTAGCTCCGTCGACGAAAAAGACCCAGCTGCGGCGGCGGACGCCGGATTGAGGCTACAGCGCTATCTCTTCATGGCGTCCACTTGGATCTATTTTCAGCGGACGTGCCGCCATCTGACCGGCCCGTCGGCGGCGGTGGATGCGTTGTTTGACGAGATCTTTGCCATGAGCTGCGACATGCAACGCCTCGACGTCCGCATCACGCCCTTTTCTCTGTTTTTGATCGGCGCCGAAGCCAACACAGACGCCCGTCGCCGGGCCGTCCTGGACGTTATTCACAGCCGGCCCGAACTCATGCCCGTTGCATCCAAGGCGCTGGAACTGCGCGGCGACAAGTCGACGCCGTCGTACGTTGATTGCCTCGTCGCTGCGGTGTGGGCGCAAGACGACCTCCATGACGACTCCGACGGCTACCTCGATTACGTGACCAAGATGCAATACGTGATTTCGGCCAGGGCAGTCCTTCCCGCTCTTGTGTAAGGCATCGTGTTTGCCTAGGCAATGTCGACAAGGGCTCTTTTTGGCAGGACCGTAAGAATGGGGCCCTCAGGTCTGTGTGGTCATGAAAATAAATTGGCTTCAACGCGGCCAAATGCGCTATGTTTGGTGTGCCTCGATATTAAGCCGCACGTGCGAATGTGGCACGCGTCTGGTCATATGTTGCTGCTTGGCCTCCGGCTTCCCGTCTGCTGCCCTCCCTTTCGTCTCAAACCAGAAGGTCTCCAAAGTCTGGCTCGCATGTCGAGGCCTTTCATATATTTCACATTTTCGCTCCGACTGCCGTTAGTAGAACGAGACAACAGTTTACTTACTGCGCAGGCCTTGAGGTTCCAACGCTCATGATTCAGTGTCACCGTCGTATTTTGAGCAATCTCTGTCCAGTACATTCATTTGAATCTACCTCACATTTACTTTTGGCAATGGTCTTTTCCACATTTGCATTTCCGACGTTCGTCGTTTGATGTCTCGCTGGTCATATCTCCTCCAGTTGTCTGATCTCAAAGTGGCAGGTGAATTTGTCGATTGTAACGTCCCAAAGAAGAAAGACGACAATCTCACTCTATTTACGGTGGCTATCGCCGTGCCTCACAATCTACAAAACACGACGTCTTGGCATGTCGAGACATCGTCCTCTGAAGGCTCATCCTAGTTCATGGATGTGAAAGATGAAGAAACACAATGTGCGTCATCACCCAATCTATCACCATGAAAGACGCTCTCGTGGCATAAATATCGGGTCTTGGCTGCCCATGTTGGGATGTATTTTGGTTCTTCTCAACAAGCCAGCTTGCCTTGGTGCTTTGCTTCAATCGTGAATTGTATCTGATTTTCTCCCAACATTGGAGCGGTACATTTTGATGTGCCAGCCCACCACATTGCCCCATTATGCATCTCACAAGCCTCGTTCTCGCACTCTCGGTCAGCTTCGCGAGTGTCTATGGCCTCGCACATGACCAAGTGCCGGTTCCGTCCATCAACGCTACGGTTGCCGCGCCCAAGCGCTACATCATCGAGTTTGCCGATGCGGCCAACCACCAGGCAGTTGTCAACGCCCTTTCGGCCCGTGACGGCACCCGCGTGCTGAAGACGTTCGCGTCTGATGTCTTCTCGGGCGTGAGCGTGGAGTCGACGGTGGACAACATTGACACGCTGCGAGCCCTCGCGTCGGCTGGCGTCTCGCGCGTCTGGTCGTCGAACCGCATCAAGCTTGACCACACCGTCCCGACGCAGTCGTTTTCCAGCGATGCGTCCGCCAGTAACTACTCGGTGCACAGCTGGACGGGCGTTGACAAGGTGCACGCGGCCGGCTACTTTGGCAAGGGCGCCGTTGTGGCCATTGTCGATACGGGCACACAGTACACACATCCTGCACTCGGCGGCGGCTTTGGTCCTGGATTCAAGGTTGCTGGCGGCTACGATTTCGTCGGCAATGGAAGTATGTTAAAAGGCCAGCGTTGACGTCGCCTGATCTTGCGTTTCCTCGTTTACTGACACACGCCTTGTTATCAGACTGGCCGGTTGATGGTAGCGCCAAGCAGCCCGACAACGACCCAATGGACCAGATTGGCCATGGCACCCATGTCGCTGGCATTGTTGCCGGAAAGAGTGATCAGTAAGGCGTTTCTGACCACGTACGTCCAACTTTACAGTTCTAATGTGTTGCTAGATTTGTCGGTGTTGCACCTGATGCGACCCTTCTCTCTTTCAAGGTCTTTGGCCAGCAAGACGGGACCGACGAGGACACGCTGATCGAGGCCTTCCTCGCTGCGTACGAGGCCGACGTAAGAGGACCCAGCATGCATACCCTACAATGGTACATTGTCACTAACACGACAGGCCGATATCATTACTTGCTCTGTTGGTGGTGCCGGGGGCTGGTCCACGGATGCGTGGGCCACGGTCGCGTCCCGCATCGTCGAGCAGGGTGTCATTGTCACCATTGCAGCTGGGAACAATGGGTTTGAGGGACCGTTCTTCGGAAGCAATGGCGCCGCCGGCGACTATGTTCTGGCCGTGGCGTCGAGCGAGGCCTCCACTGTCGTCGCGCCGCCGTTTTATGCCACGTTCAACCTCAATGGCCTCTCCAACACAACCGAGGTCGCCTACTATCCCGGCTTGGACGTCTTCCCTGCGTCGGTCAAGGGCTGGCCGATTGTGCCGTTGTCGCTGAACAAGACTGTCGACGACGATGCCTGTTCGTCGCTTCCGTCAACAACGCAAAACCTGTCGGCCGTGATCCCTCTGGTGCGCCGTGGCGGCTGTGACTTCATTGTCAAGCAGATCAATCTCGAGGAATTTGGTGCGCAGTTCATTCTCTTCTACCAGGACGATGAGCCGCTGGCCTCGCCCTTTTCGTTTTTCGATACGTCGCTCCTGGGGCTGATTGAGAAGGCGGCCGGCGAGGCCATCATCGACACTGTTCTCGCCGGCGGCAATGTGACGGCCGACTTCTCGCTTGACCCCAACAACAACTATGTCGGCATGTTCAACGCGGCGGGCGGGCGTCCCAACGACTTTACCAGTTTTGGCAGCACGTACGACCTGAAGCAGAAGCCCGAGGTCGCGGCTCCCGGTGGGGACATCTTTAGCACCTACCCGACCAACGGCTATGCGGTGCTGTCCGGCACCTCCATGGCCACGCCGTACATTGCCGGCATTGCCGCGCTGTATGTGGGTCGCTTTGGCGGACGCAAGACGCACGGCAGCGGCTTTGCCAAAGAGCTGGCCATGCGCATCATTTCGTCGGGCGGCGCGCTGCCCTGGATTGACGGCAGCACGGACGCCGACTACGGCTTCTGGGCGCCGACGACGCAGGTCGGCGCCGGGCTGGTCGACGCAAACAAGGTGCTCACCTACAACACCAGTCTGTCGTATGCCAAGTTTGCACTCAACGACACGCACCACTTTGAGCGCTACCACAAGGTGGACATTACCAACCACGGCGACAAGCCCGTGACGTACAAGTTCCAGCTGCAGGACGCGGGCGGCTTCGAGGCGTGGCAGCCGTTTGACGAGAACCTGTACGGCACGCCGCGGCCCAAGGTGCTCAACGAGCTGACGCCCATCAAGATTGCCCCCAAGGTGTCGTTTCCCGGAGGCACGTTTACCGTGAAGCCGGGCGAGACCAAGCAGGCACAGTGCGTGTTTTGTTCCTTTTTTCATGCTTACATGAATGAGACAAGTGTTAACCAGTGGGCATACAAACAGGTTCAATTTTGATTATCCCACCGGCTTCTCCAACATACCCGTGTACAGCGGCAAGATTTTGATTCTTGGCAGCAACGGCGAACAGCTCGCTGTCCCATACTTTGGTCAGTCTCCAATTTCAATCAGTGTGTGTGTTTTGTATCCAATGCTAACATGTGTAGGCATCGCTTCGAGCATTGAAAAGGACCTGCAGAAGCAATTTCAACAGGGCTACCCGTTTGGCGAGTCGGGTGTCGACTATCCTTTCCCGACGTTTGACAATCACAGCGTGTAGGTGAACGTTGCGTTAGTAGCTAACCATACGATTCGTCCAAGCCTGCTAATCGGCCCTTTAGGTTCACCTTCGACCTGGGCACTCGCGTCCAAGACTTTCCCAAGATTGTTGCTCGTACCCAATGGGGTGTAAAGGAGCTTCGCTGGGATGTACGGCGCCCCGCTTGATCCCTTTGCTAAATTGTATGATTGCATCTATGTAGCTAATTGTTCTAGATCTTCGACGATGCATGGACCGAGCGCGACTGGAAATACCCGCCGGTGGTCGGCCAGGATGGCTATGTCGGCTCGGTGGCGTACTACGCGCACTCGGGAGAGGTCAGCGTCTTCAATCCCGGCTTTGACAACGCAAGCGACACCATTTCGTTCCCGCTCAGCGACATCTACCGCAGCTCCGTCGACGTCTACGACACCGAGTACTGGTGGCTGGGCGGACTGGCCAACGGCTCTCAGATTTCCAATGGAAACTATACGTAAGTTCCCTTGGCATCTCCCTCGTAGACACAACCACTCTGCACGATACTGACTGCGCCACAGCCTCCGCTTTGCCGTTCTCGCTCCGTTTGGCAACCAAGCGCACAGCGACAATTGGGACGTCTTGACGCACAAGTTCTCCGTTTCTAAATAGGCCAGGTTTGTAGCCTACTGTCATCCATCATTTTGGGCGATGCTCCGGATTTGTTTGTACTTTTTGTGCTTGGAAACTGTCACTTTCTACATTCCAATCTCGTATCAGCCCGTTCGCTTCATATCAAGGCCATATCAAGGCCAATATGCGAACCGCAGATTAGTTTCGCCAGTTTGGTCGTACGCTCGTGTATTTGTGCCTTCCATTATTCGTCAAGTGCCAATATAACTATAATATAGAGTACTTCCAGAACCGAGCTGCTCAATATAATTTCCAAAGATGAGAGTGTTGTCGTCGAGAGGACTTACATTAAGTATGACTAAGCAAGACCCTTAATTTTGTCCCTGGTGCCGAGTGTCAGGTCCAGCTTATCGGTCCCTTATCGCGCCCAACTAAGCGGCAGAATTTTTTTTCCGCCTTTTTTTTTCTTCGTTCACCCAAGTGCCTGTTCTAGCGCCATTGCCATCTATCTACTGTTGGCGTTTCTCTTACCGATGCACCTTTTTCAAACGTCGGACCCAACCAACACATTTCCTACCCACTCTCTTCTCCTGTCTTCCAACACGCACACCATGTCGATCAAAAAGCACCGCCCCGTCGACGAGGAAGACGTCGACACTCCGGCGGCGCCTCTCGCCAAGAAGGCCCGAGTCGGGGCCAACGGCGATGCTGCCAATGGCGACGAGGCCGAGCGCAGGCGGCTGAAGAAGGAAAAGAAGGACAAGAAGAGGAAGGAAAAGAAGGAAAAGCGCGAGAAGGAGGGCAAAGAGGGCAAGGAGGGCAAGGAGGGCAAGGAGGGCAAGGAGGGCAAGGAGGGCAAGGAGGGCAAGGAGGGCAAGGAGGGCAAGGAGGGCAAGGAGGGCAAGGAGGGCAAGGACGACCAGGAGGCCAAGAAGGAGAAGAAAGACAAGAAGAAGGACAAGAAGGAGAAGAAGCTGAAAGAGAAGGGGGAGGCAACCGAAGGGACCGCCGAGTCGACAACTGCGACCAACGGCGCCCCCTCCTCGTCCGGCCCCTACACACAGACGGCTGCCCTGACGGCCGTGCCCGAGGCCGATGTCCAGGCGTATCTCAAGAAGGAGCAGGTCGCCGTGTACGACCCGCTCGTCAGCAAGACGGCGCCCACGTCAGAGCGTCTGCGGCCCATCCTCGAGTTTAGCCAGCTGCCCGCGACCGCCCTCACCAAGAAGGGCCCCTTTGCCGCCTACAAGAACCCCACGCCCATCCAGGCCGCCTCGTGGCCCTACACGCTCGGCGGCCGCGACCTTGTCGGCATCGCCGAGACCGGTTCCGGCAAGACCATGGCGTTTGCGCTGCCCTGCGTGGAGGCGCTGCGCAGCCTGCCCAAGCCGGCGGCCGTCGAGGCCAAGAAGCTGCCGAACCGCTCCAAGCTCAACAACAAGTGGGACGCCCGCGGCAACCTGGCGCAGGCGCTCGCCGTGATTGTGTCGCCGACGCGCGAGCTGGCCATGCAGACGCACCAGGCCATCGAGCCGCTGGCGGCGCTCGCGGGGCTGACGGCGGTCTGTCTGTACGGCGGTGCCAGCAAGGACGAGCAGCGCGTGCTGCTGCGCCAGGAGGGCGGCGTCGACATTGTCGTGGCCACGCCGGGCCGCCTCAAGGACTTTATCAACGACGAGGCCGTGTCGCTGGCGCACGTGCAGTTTGCTGTGCTCGACGAGGCGGACCGCATGCTGGACACGGGCTTCGAGGAGGACATCAAGTTCATCCTGGGCCAGTGCCCCGAGCGCGCCGCGCGCCAGACGCTCATGTTCACGGCGACGTGGCCGACGAGCGTGCGCGGCCTGGCCGACGGGTTCATGAAGGACCCCGTCAAGATCACGGTCGGCAGCCGGACGCGCGCGGGCGCGCTTGATGGCGAGGACGGCGCCGAGGGCGGCGACGGCCCGCGCGACCGCAACAACACGGGCGCCGTGGAGCTGCAGGCGAACGCGCGCATCACGCAGACCGTCGAGGTCATAGACCAGCGCGAGAAGGAGCGCCGCTGCCTCAACATCATCAAGCAGGAGCAGCGCGGCAAGGCCAAGAACGACCGCATCCTGGTCTTCTGCCTGTACAAGAAGGAGGCCGTGCGCGTCGAGAATTTCCTGCAGGGCCAGGGCGTGCGCGTGTGCAGCATCCACGGCGACCTGCGCCAGGAGCAGCGGACACGCAGCCTGGAGGCGTTCAAGGCCGGCACGACGCCCGTGCTGGTGGCCACGGACGTGGCCGCGCGCGGTCTCGACATCCCCGAGGTCAAGCTGGTCATCAACGTGACGTTTCCGCTGACCATTGAAGACTACGTGCACCGCATTGGCCGGACAGGCCGCGCAGGCAAGGACGGCCGTGCCATTACCTTTTTCACGGAGCACGACAAGACACACTCGGGCTCGCTGATCAACGTGCTCAAGGGCTCCAACCAGGAGGTGCCGGAGGACCTGCTCAAGTTCGGCACGACGGTCAAGAAGAAGACGCACGGCACGTACGGCGCCTTCTTCAAGGACGTGGACATGAGCCAAAAAGGCACCAAGATCACGTTTGATTAAAAGGACGTGGTGTTGTGTTTGAAACAAAAAATGTATCTGTTTTGGCTTAATTTTGGCGCAATTTTGGTTCAAATTTGGCGGCATCTATCTCAGCGCTTCATATCCCGCATTGGGTCCGTCTCTCAATACGACGGCGGATTGCCGCCACGCACAAAGCTATAGCATTGGCGGAAAAACCGCCGTTCAAAGAAGCCTCTGGTGGTGAAACAGCAAAAGTCAGCGAGAGCTCCATTTATTTTTTAAGAAGTCATTTTATATAGACGCGCGTATGCTTTATGCTTGGAAAGGCGTTTTTGGTCTGGGTTCATGGAATATATGCATTTCATACACGAAAAACACAATGAGCACGTATAAAACTTACACTGTGAGGAGAAATGGGACGGCCAAGACGGCAATCTTGACAAGCTGTGTAATCTGAGCGACGGGCCCTGTGGACATCGGGGCCGGCACAAACCGCCGGACAGCCGTGCTCGTGACCACGGCTGCCAGCACGGCGAAGGGGTGCGGCATGAGCGAGGACGTGGCGTCGCCGAAAAACGAGATACCACGTGCCGCAAAGTACCGTCGAATAAATACAAGACACCAGACGATGCGGCACGCCATGTTGATGCCGTTGGCCGCGACCAGGCCGACAGCACCGCCGTCGAGCACGCGCAGACAGATGTAGCCAGCGGCCGCGAACACGGCCGAGAAGCCGCCCATCCACACCGATTGGCGGTAGACCTGGGCTTCGGTTGCGACCGATGCCACAAAAGCTTCTGCGACGCCATTGATGGCCAGCAGCGGAATGTACCACACGTAGGCCGCGAGAGTAGCGGCGGCGCCCGAGTTGGCCCAGCGCGGGCCGGTGACAAGCCCCAGGAAGGGCGCTGCAGCGGCGGGACCAATGGCCGTCACGACAAGGGAGAAGAGCAGGTAGAGCTTAAGCAGGGTCTGGAGGTCGCGGGCCGCCCTCTCCGTGGGCGCGTTCTTACTTGTCTCCTTGTTGTGCTCCTTGTCGTCCTCAGCCAACAAGCGAGAAAAGTAGCTGCGGCTGCTCTCTTCAATGGGCTGGAACAGCAGCCGCGCGGCCAGGCCGCCGTAGTTGTTGGCCAAGGCATAGACGCCCTGGGTCGTGGTGGTCGACAGCACACTGACTAGGAACGTGTCGCCCTGCGTCAGCATGTGTTTGACAATGCTCTGGACGGACATGCTGGAGGCCAGGTGGAGGGTCGGCCGGTCAAAGAGCTGGAGAGCGTACGGGCCGGCCAGGCGGCGGGGAAAGAGCGAGAAGCCGTCGCGCCGCGCCAGGGATGCGCCGTGCCAAGCGTACACCGCCAGCAGGCCGACCCCGTAGGCCAGTTGGCCGAGCGCAAAGGGCAGGACGCCGAGATCGATGCCACGTCCGGCAGTGCCCCTGCCGTCGCCCAAACGCGTGGCCAGCACGGCAGCGCCCAAGGTCGTTGCACAGCGTAGCACGGTGGCAACCGATTCGGCGGCGGCCCGCGCACCAAACTGCAGTCTCAACTGCAAGACGACAAAAGCCGGCTCCGACAGCAGCTCAATGGCGGACGCAAAGGCGTAGAGGTACAGGCTAGGAACGAGAAACGGCGTGGTCTCTGCAAGCGACCGTGCCGGGTGGTCGTGCTCGTGATCATTGTGGACGTTGCCGTCCTCGTCTGTCGTCTTGTGAATCGATGCCAAGTAGAGCCAGCCGAGCAGCAGGGCGACAAGCGATCCCAGCAAAATGGAGACATAGGCTAGATTGACGGCACTCTGGGAGGAGGCGGACGACGGCGACGCAGAGGAATGCTTGTCCTCATCCCTGGAGACACCCCCCCTTGGAGGCGTTCTCCTTGGGGCTCTTGGCGCCCTCTTGAGGCTGCTCCCGCCCGCCCTGGCGTTGAATGGCTACACGCAAACTCTCGCGTGCAAAGAAGAGCACGCTCAGGTAGTAAACCTCGAGCTGTGTGGCCACGCCGAGCAGCTGTGCCGTCAAGAAGCGGAGCAGCAGCTGGTTGGCGATGAAAGTAGCCGCGCGGGATGCGACCTGCAGTGCAATAAGCAGCGACGCACCGCGGACGGCCGACGGGGCTGTAGGAGCTGAAGCCGGGGGCGGTTGTTTGTCCGCCATGGCCGGTTGTGTGACTGGTTGTGTCAAAAGGTGAAAGAGTGAGCACACGCTGATGACGATCAAAACGCGCCACGTTACGTTTCAGGGGCGCGTCGTTTGTCGTAGTTTATTGGCGAGGCAGGCGGGATGAACACAGCGAGGCAAGAACGACCGGTCATTTTACGGGCCTCTTTTAGTGGGGCTATTCTGGTGTAAGTTGGCAGCGACAGTGAACCCAATTTGCTCGTGGAAGCCAATTCGACCTACCCAAAAGAATTATCATTTTGCGCCTTGTCATGCCATACAATCACCATCAGCAACTTTCTTCTTACGGCCTTGGTTCCAACGCTTTTATGTGACCGTGTGTGCCGCTGTCCAGGGGCCCCTTTTTAACCTCTTCGGGCGACAGTTTTTAGGCCCTTGAAAACCCCCGCTAGTTACATACGTTAAAGACATCCTTTGATTTCTCGAAGTATTAACCGCCGAGTAGAAAACAGAATTAGAAAATAGACAGAAAATAGACAGAAAACAGAAATGTGCGAAACAGAGAATAGACAGTAGAAAACAGACTTAAAAGAAGTACCGTAGAATATTTTACGTATAGTTAGACGACCGACCATCTGCGGCGATAAAGACGTTAACTGGCAAGTTCTAACGTCTTAATACGACTCAACCGCCGAGTTGGTCAGCGACAGTTTCTCTCCCTCTACGTAAAAAGTCCAGGATCGCACCAATAAACGCCAAGGTAAATCTAACGGAGGGGAAGACTAACGGGAGCTTTAAAAGGCTTCTTAACCCAGTCCTAATATAGATAATGAGAAATATAAAGAAACATATATAAATGGATTAAACATACTATTAGTATTTTTTCAGAAATCAACTCTCTTCTTCCGTTACGCTCTTCAACGTCCAGTTCCTCAGCCTCTCACCATATATACACATGGGAATGCCCGTCAGCAGCAAAACAACCTCAATCAGCAGCATATATCCGGCAGTCTATTTAATCTCATTAGTATACAACACTTGCTTGACTTGACAAAATGGGGTGGATAGGGGAAGAGGAAAAAATTACCGCCACATAGCCGTCGCGTGAGATCCACGAGGCCTCGCCGAAGCTGAGCGCAAAGGCAAACGTGTTCTTGAAAGCCGTCATGCCCGTCAACGTTTCACCAGCCAGCGGCCGGTAGCAGTCAACAACGTAGGTGATGGCAACGGTGGGAACGAGGCAGAGTACACAGTAAGAGATACCCCATCCAACGACGGGGACAGACCAGTGAAGCTGGTTCTGCAGTCCGGCGCCCCAGAGCATCAAGCCGATAGGACCAATAATGAATCCCAGAACGAGGAAATAAAGTCGCTTCTCCGGCCTGAAGTAGCCCTGCTGTTTACGGGAGATATAAGCAACAAAGTAGTCCGACGCAGGACCACCCACAAGGCAGCCAATGGTTCCTCCGATAAAGGCCTAGACAAGTCAATTAGCCTTTCTTTTTGCTTTCTTTTTGCTTTCTTTTTGCTTTCCTTCTTTTTCACCTGTTCAACCCGCTGACATACCGCAATGTTCAGGTTCCCGACGCCGAGGTCGCTGAAGCCATAGATCTCAGGAAAGGCTGTGGCGTCGACCGTTTGCTCAATGACAACCCAGCCGAGGATGACTCCATATAAAAGTGAGGACCAGATCACGGCGGGGTAGTACATGACCTTGATAGGCCACCAAAAGTGCGTGAGCAAAGATGTTTTGTGGTCATACCAGCCCCAAGCCTTTAACCCGTGAGCCCACGTGGCCAAAGCGCTCCGTGGTGCTGCCACTTCCACCGCTGTGCCATGGTCGGAGACGGAGACGGCCTCAAGACCCAGCTCTGACTCTGCCGGGCGGTCAAAGTTGGTCTCTGCCAAAAAGAACAGAACCATCAAAAACGAAATGCCGGTGAGGATGGTGTGCAGGCCAAGTCCCCAGCGCCAGTTGTTCGTGTAGTGGACAGTAATGCCGGCAAAAATGCCGCCAAAGGCTGCGCCGATTGCAATCGCCATTCTAATCTGGGTATTAGACAACTTTCTGGCACGATATATGACAGACGGTGTGTGATACGACAAGAACTGATAGCCAATAAAATAAAGGGGCGCCGTACAGTCCGAAGCTGAACTCACGAGTAAATGCCAACCATAGTTCCGCGTTCATGAAGAAAGTAGACATCAGCAATCTGAAAAGCAACTACGTGTTAGCAGTCTGATTGCCAAAAAAATAAAAAATAAAAATAAAAAATAAAAAAGAAATAAATCTGACAATAGCGGGGCCCAAGGCCTCTGATGAGCTTGCTCCAAAACCTTGCAGAATCCGAGCTGCGAGTAGAGAATTGTACGACTTTGCAGTGGTCGACCAGATGGCTAGTAAATATTCTGTTAGTCTGACATTGTCACAACTGCTATTGCGGCCCAAGCATGTGTTCTACTCACACGTTGCGAGAAAGAGTGCTACTGAAATAATGGTCGTTGGGCGCTTGCCAAATTTCAGGCACAGCGGAATCCAGAAGAGGTTCTATCCGAGGTCAGTCGATTACTCAATTTTGCACTCAACACCCATCCAAAAAGAAAACAAAGCTTACCCCTACGCCCAGAGTCAGAATTTGCGAGGTGATCAGATAGCTGGCCTGGCTCAGCGAGATGTCAAATTCCTCGATGATGCGGGTCAAGCCGGGGGTAACAGTGCCGATGCTAAAGTTGGAGAGGAAAACAACACTGGAGATGGCGACAAATGCTAGATGACGACGCGATGCACTCCACGACTGGAACAGTCAACGACAGTTAGCGAAAAAGAAAAAAAAAAAAAAAAAAAAAAAAAAAAAAAAAAAAAGAATAAAAAGAGGCTAAATCATGGGCTTTCGGGCACACTTACCAGCGGATCACGAGGGTCGTTTGTGGGACGCGGAATACGCGCACGCTCGATCACATGGCCATCAGCATCCTCTGGAAGAAAAGGCTGTGTTAGCATAGACTTTATTTTTGTATAAGACTCTCGGAGACCGTGACTTACCAATGTACAAGTGTGCCGCTCCAATCTGGCCGGCCACATGACGCATAGAGGGTTTGTGATACTCGGAATGCTCTGTGAGCTGCTTGTTGTTCACAGCATCTGCCATGGCTGCTTGTTCGCTTGTCTGCCTGACTTGCACAAAAAAAGAGAAAGAAAAAAACGGCGAGATGACAGCAGATATATAGACCACAAAATAAAATAACAAGAAACAATAAAAAAGAAAAAAGAAAAGCAGACAGGCACGCAGTAACATCTTACCGCTTAGCCAATACACCGGGTCTGCTTCCCCGCATACCCTAGGCTTGTTTCCCCGGGTCGAACCACGCGCCCAGACCACAGCGGGGAATGGGTAAGAAGATTTCACCGAACACTTTTCACCGAACACTTTTCACCGAGCCCGGAGTCGGCAAATTCAGACTAGCGTCGGCAATGTCAAAGTTGTAAACGGAATGAACAGTGGCACCCGGGGCCTGGGTACGCAGTTACCGATGCAATATACGAGTGCAACGAGACGAGATTATTCTTCCGTATTTGGAGAAACTGATACATCTATTTAAGACAGCTGGATATACAGTGCGGACTGAAGGTAAATCATAATCGTGAATGGAATTATCAAACGACGAGAATCTCAAGGCAGTCCTCAACAAAACCAATAAATCAATCAAAACAACTCGACATGGCTTCTTGGGTGGATGTGCCGGAAGGCTGCGACTTTTCCTTGGTGAACCTTCCATATGGTATTTTCAGCCTCAAAAACACCAGCAGCAGCAAGAACGGCGGCCTGAGACGCATCTGCACCGCGATTGGGGACTGCGTTCTCGACCTCAAGGGCCTTGCCCAGGAGGGACTTCTGGCCAGCCTCGGCTTTGATGTCACCACGCTGGAGGCCGAGACACTGAACGCATATGCCGCTCTCGGACGCGCCGTCCACCGCCGCGTGCGTGAGTTTTTGCAGGACCTCCTCCGGGCTGACACCGTCCTGGGCGAGCATCTGCGCGACCACGGTGACCGCCGCCAGCGGCTGCTCGTGCCTCTGGCCGACGTAACACTGCACTTGCCCATGGATGTGCGCAATTATACAGACTTTTTCGTCGGCATCCACCACGCTCGAGCCGTAGGATTCTTTCTTTTCGATCTGACTCGATCTGGTTATTTTTTTGCTCTGACATTTTCTGTTCTGAAACCTAGGGTGGCCGCATTTTCCGGCTCAGTTCGGCGCTGACGCCCAACTACGAGCACATCCCACTGGCGTATACCGGCCGGGCGAGCTCGGTCGTGGTGTCTGGAACATCCTTCCACCGTCCCAACGGGCAGTACCTGGTCGACGGCAAGCCCGTGTTTGGGCCGTCACAAAGAGTCGACTTTGAGGTCGAGTTTGGCGCGTTGATCGCCCAAGGAAACGCGCTCGGCGAGCCTGTCAGCGTACGGGAGGCCGAGGACCATATTTTTGGCTTCGTGATGCTCAACGACTGGTCGTCACGCGATATCCAGCGCTGGGAGTCGCAGCCACTGGGGCCACTCAACGGCAAGAATTTCTGCTCGACCATATCGCCATGGGTGGTCACGCCGGAAGCCCTCGAGCCCTACAAGACGGAACCTGTGCTGACAAACAACCCGGTCCTGCCTTACCTTGACGAGAACAGTGACAAAACTGTCTACGATATTCCCATTGATGCTTTACTTATCAGCATGTCTCTCCACCTTCCCCTTCTCCTCGGCTTCCAACATTCATCAGGCATCTTGTTCTAACGGTGCAGCAGACCAAGGAGAGCGCTACCACGTGTCCACGTGCAACACGCGCAACGTCATTTTCTCGTTTGCGCAGATGATCGCCCACCTGACCGCTGGTGGCTGCCCGATGCAGACAGGCGATTTGATCGGCAGCGGCACGCTGTCTGGCACCTCGCTTGCGGAGGCGGGCTGTCTGCTCGAAGCCACGGAGGATGGGCAGAACCCAATCGTGGCCTATGCAATTAATGACACCGCGGAAAAGGGTCAACCGTCCGAAAAGTCCATTCAGCGCCTGTATCTGGAGGATGGGGACGAGGTGGTCTTCCATGTCGGTGTGGATGCACCGCAAAAGGCCGATGCCAGGGGCATCTCCGGCAGAGTGGGCTTTGGTGCATGCAGGGGTACAGTTTTACCGGCGCGGAAGTAAGGTAGATCGGGTTCAAGGAAACGGTACAGAGCTTGTGATCGGATTTACGAGGGAAGAGAGAAATAACTTTAGAAATTGGAGTCAACATTTGAAATCAAAACACCTGTTTTGATTTGTTATATTGGAGAAACAGCCCCACATTTCGGCCGTCTTTGATGGAGATGCCGGGTGTATAGCGGTCGGGAATGTATTGCTTTGCTTCTTGCACAGGGTTCCCCGATCGTTGCGGTAAAGTGTCTCATGACGCTATTTCGACTTCACCAATAGGTCGGGAAAGGAAATACGCCAAGTATGCTGCCTCACGTTCACGGATGATCGCATTCCGGATAGATCGAGCACCCTTGATCAAGATGGTGTTGAGGACTATTTAACTATACTGTTTTCAGTCTCTTCCCCAACATCCTTGGCACCATCATCTGCTGGATCTTCTCTATAGCTAAGAACTACGTCTTCTGTTTCATTCATCATTTTGTCTTATTCTTTTTCGGGGTCCCTGTCCGTCCAAGATGACCGCCCCAGACATCACCAACGCCAATGGCTCCGCTGACACGTCGCCACTCCCAGTCATCCGCCAGCTTGTGACCACGCACGATCAGGCCACCGGCAAGGCCGTTCTCGCCTCGGGGCGTGACGCTGTGTGGCGCAACCACCGCGATGGCGAGGCATTCATGACCGAGCCCTTTAGCACCGCCCAGTTCCCGGCCGATCTCAACGACGACGCCGATATACGCTCGCACGAGGCGTTTGTGGCCGGAGGCAAAAGCAGAACGACAAGTCTCGTCCGCGAGGGCGGGACCGTGTGCCGCGTGGTCGATCTCTGCCCGGGCAACGTGCCGGCAATGCACCGCACGCGGAGCCTCGACTATGGCGTCGTGCTCGAGGGTACGGTCGAGCTGATCCTCGACTCGGGCGAGGTGCACACGATGCGGCGCGGCGACGTCGCCGTGCAGCGCGCTACCATGCACGCGTGGCGCAACGCCAGCGACACGGAGTGGGCGCGTATGCTGTTTGTGTTGCAGGACTGCCTGCCGGTCCAGATCGGGGGCGCTGAGCTTATCGATGATGTTAACTCGGTGGCGATGCCGAGCAGGTAGTTTTTTTCTCTTTTTTTCTTTCCTTTTTAGAAGATGATGACTCAAAAAGGCAGTAGATAGATTATCTCATTGAATAAATATCAACTTCTTAAAAGGATCGTCTGCCCAACACTGACAAGCAGTAGACATTTTAAGCGGTAGATATTTTTATTCTTGTTGTTGAAAGAGGGAGGAACAAAAAATCGACACAAAACCTTCCAATATGACACCGAGAATGGATATAACGACACTGCTCGTACAGCTAACATCCCGTATTATATTACATGGGAGGACTACGGAAGAGCATTTCGGACTCGATCTGCTGAAGCCACGTGTTGAACGACGCCAGCTGCTGCGACGAGATCATGCCATTCTGCGCCTGGACAAAGTCAAAGCCATCGTTGGGGCTAGATGGCATGAAAAACTCGAGGCTAGTATCAAATCGGGGAGGCGATAGATCAAGTCCAGCTGCTTTCATGCCACCGTTGCCGCCGCCGTTGCCTCCATAGCCGTCCGGGCCGCCAAAGGTGCTCGCAACGGTGGTCACGGTAGAATTTGACAGCTCGTCTATGAGAGATGATACAGCACCTGTTTTTTGGTGCAGCGACCAGTTAGCATAGTTGATAACAAATCTGGAGAGAGACAACAGAGACAAGAGAGACAAGAAAGACCTCTTACCGTCGGCAGGGGGCACGGACGAGGGCCTGCTGCGGCTACTGAGCCCCAGGTCGGTGATCTCGGCATCGGTGCGTTCGACATAGCTGCCTGTCGACTGCCAGATGATCTCGCTGTAGCTCATGATGGACTTGGCCGCGCGGTCGGTGCCGTTCCAGCTTACGTCCAGCATGGACGGGTCCATGAACTTGGGCTCGTCGTTGAGGCGAGGCGGTTTACGCGAGAGGGTCTTGTACAGCGTCCACGAGTTGATGCCGAGCAGAGAGACATACTTCCAGTGCTTGCCCATCTGCTGAATCATGCGCAGGTTCACAAGGACATTGGAGCGTGCGCGGGTCTGCACGTCCTGGTTCGAGCACCAAAAAAAGGGGATCTGCACAGCGCAGGCCGAGTAGGCCGCAAAACTAACGAAGCCTGGGATGCGGTCGGGGTCGATGTTGTAGTGGCGCTGCGAGAGTTGAATCAGCTGCGACACGGCCTGCGCGTGCTCAAAGGCGAGCTGCGCCGAGACGTGGCGCGAATACAACGACAGGTGCGAATGCGACGACGATGCGGCGGTGGTAGCACTACTGCCGGACCGGTACGAGAACAACGGCACAATTGACGAGTGCAGGATACAAATGCTCTGGTGGTACATGACGCACAGGAGAAGCCGCAGAGGGAGTGGCGACTGCTGGGGTTTTGATGAAGGCGCGTCCCTGTCTACATCTTGCGTTCTGGTCTCACCAGCAAGGGGCAGCTCCAGGGGCAGCTCCAGGGGCAGCTTGAGGCTGTCGGGGACGTTGGACCACCATTGAGACAGCGACTCGTGGAGGGAATCCAGCGTTGCCAACGTGGGCACGTCGGTCTTTTTGACCATGTCGGATATTTTGTTCCTGTCATTGTGAGCCGCAAAAGTCTCAAGGTCTATGTTCTCCTCCTCCTTCTCTGTCGCGTCTTGACGTACCAAAGAGTAAGGCCACGGACCAGCTCTGCAAAGACACTACCGTCTCCCTTTTTATCCAGGTCCTTCATGCCGGATGCAAAAAAAGCATCAGCGCATGGCAATGGGACCTTGGCAAAGGCGGTCGAGTAGTTGCCAGTCGAAAACTCAACGCGGGAGCCAAAGTTCATGGACAAGTAGGAGGACCAGAAGCGTCGACGACTCATCTCGACAGCCAGCATGGCCGGCTGAGCCTCGTCACGAGCAGCGTCATCGCGAGCAGCCGACGTGATGTTGAGGTTGTATGAGATGAGGATAGCATTCCCTGGCGGTCAGCAGTTAGCGGCCAGAAAGAGTGCAATGCAATGAGAGGAGACAGAAACGAAAGTACACTTCAAGAGGTAGCATCGGCGCCATTCGCCGACAGAGTACCAGTAGAGCGAGAGGTTGATAAATGTGACAATGTTCTCCTCACTAGGGTCAACCAGTTCGGCAAAAACAAGACTCCCGGCGCGGGTGGCCCATTCGTGGCCGAAGCCCGGCTTGACCAGGGAGTAGTTGCCGGACTCGTCTTTGTAGAATCTTTTTTTCGTCAGCGGATGTCTATATGGTGAGTCAAAAACATTTCCTGGACACCAGAACCGACTTGGATGCGCAGGCACAGACACTCAGCAGCACGTGAGGCGTCACGGTGCCGGCACGCAGGCTGTGGACAAAGGTGTCCTTGTGCAGCAGCAGGCTGGCATTGTACATGTGCGTAAAGTAGATCTCAACCAGCTCCCAAAGCAGCGTCTGAGGCACGCCACAGTACGCGCCTAGATCGGCCACCGAGTTGGAACTGGATATCAAAGATGAAGATGACTGTGGCGGCGGTGGTTCCGGCGGCCGAAGATCAGGCTGGCTGTGAATGTCCGACGGGCTAGTTCTGTTGTCTGGCCTGTTGTTTGGCATGTTGTCTGGCCTGCTGTCTGGTCTGTTCTCCGGCTGGTGAAGATCTAGTCTTTTGCTTGGGGGCTTGCCATACGAGCATGTTCGCCCGAGACGACTGCACCGAAGACAGCTGGGTGGACCACCTACGCACCGAATCTGGAGAGCCAGCTCTTGTCAGTCTATCTCAGTCGATCGGGTCTCTTTGTCGATCGGGTCTCTTTCTCCGCATGGTTCGCGGGACTCAAATCCGGAGAAGAGTGCGGCAAACTGGGGTGAAGTTGAGGGAAATGGTGAAGGCCCGGGAATTGAGGGAAACGGGAAACGGGAAACGCGAGACGGGAAACGCGAGACTGAAAACGGGAAACGGCACCTTTTGCGTATTACACTTATCGCAAGCACGACGCGGCCGGCCCATGGGCCTTTCTTTCGCGGGCTTCTGCGATTTCTGCGGCATTGTATCGTATAATCGGAGCTGGCAGTCAAAGGCGAATGTATCTTAGTAGCAAGGTTGATTTCAAAGGAGCAGACGCCGAAGCTATTTTATTGACGCTTCCCCGGATCGGTCGGCTTCTCCGCACAACCCGCGGCAAAGTCCAGCCAGACTCGGCAAAGTAGCATCCGCACCATGCTCGACTCCTCTCACCTCCGCATGCTGGAACAAAGCTTATACCCCACCCCAACGTGTGGAAGCTTTCCACAAACTAACTTCGTAGGATTTGCTGCTATATAAGACGCTGTGTATTGTCTGTGCTTTGTCTTGCTGGATAATGGCATCCCGGCAACCCAAGACAGGCAGCCCAAGACGAACACATTCCAACACTCCCAGTTCTCTTACAGATTGACGAAGAACGAAAATAAATAAAAAAACACGAACAAGATGTCGCGCAGCTGGATGTTCCGTAATGCTACGGTACTCTCCGTAGACGAGACCATCGGCACCGTGCCCAACTGCGACGTGTACGTCGAGGACGGTGTCATCAAGGAGGTTGGCCCCAAACTGGAACTGCCACCGTCAGGCAAGGCCGACGTGGAGGTCATTGACGCGACCAACGCGATCCTGTCGCCGGGCTTCGTCGACACGCACCACCACATGTGGCAGACGCAGCTGCGGACCATCACGGGCGACTTCACGCTGACCGACTACGTGGTCAATATTCGCAACCGCTACGGGTCGACCTACACGCCCGACGACGTGTTCCTGGGCAACCTGTGTGGCGCGCTCGAGTCGCTGGACAGCGGCATCACCTGCGTGCTCGACCACTCGCACATTATGAACTCGCCCGCGCACTCGGACGCGGCAGTCGAGGGCCTCAAGGCGTCACGCATCCGCGGATGTTTCTGTTATGGCCTGTACGTCAACCCGGCGCCATCGGATCCAGCGACCAGCAAGGGCACGCAGCGTGCCGAGCAGACGGCCGAGGAAGAAAAGGCCGAGGGCAAGTGGCGCTACAATGACGCTGCCCGCCTGCGCAAAACGGCCTTTTCGCCCAGCAACGCGCACACGGACCTGCTGCGTTTCGGCTTTGCTCCGACCGAGGTCGAGCGCGCGCCGCTGGAGCAGTCCGTCGACGAGCTGCTGTACGGGCGGTCGCTGGGCGCGGCGCTCATCACGGCGCACGTGGCGATGGGCACGTACGACACGGGCAGCCACATTGTGCGTGGGCTGGCGGAGCGCAACCTGCTGGGCCCGGACCTGGTCTTTAGCCACGGCACCTGCCTGGCACCCGACGAGATCCAGGCCATCAGCCAGGCCGGCTCCAGTATCTCGTCGACGCCCGACACGGAGCTGCAGATGGGCATGGGCCGGCCCATTGCCATCGCCGCCGAGGCCCAGGGCTGCACCACCAGCCTCGGCGTCGACATTGTGTCCAACAGCCCCGGCGACATGTTTGTGCAGATGCGTCTGCTGCTGCAGAGCCAGCGCTACGCCAACGACGGCGACCTGCCACCGGCACCCACCAAGATGACGGTGACCTGCGCCGAGGTGCTGCGAATCGCCACGCTGGGCGGCGCCAAGGCCATGGGCGTGGGCGAGGTCACGGGCTCCATCACCCCGGGCAAGAAAGCCGACCTGCTGCTGACCCGCTGCGACTCGCTGCGCATGACCCCCGTGCACCAGCCCGAGGTCGCCCTCGTGCTGTACGCCAACTCGTCCGACATTGACTCAGTCTTTGTCGACGGCGTGCGCGTCAAGAAGGACGGCAAAATCTTGCCCGCCTCAGGCCGGGCCGAGCTGGACTGGCCGGTGCTGCGCGAGCGGCTGCGCGCCTCGGCGGCCGGCATCATGGAGCGGTCGAACCTTATCCCGCTGCACGAGAATGACAGTAATGTACACGCATACTATAAACTCGGGGCAGTGAGCAAGTAGTATCGCGGCAGCCAGGAAGAGAGTGTAGAAGAAAAAGTTTGATACGTACTGAAGTACTTACTTTTCTATTATTCCACTTAGTAGACCTATCGAAATATTGGCCAATAGAGTGTTAATTATGAAAGAGAAGAGAAGAAGCCAGAGAAACCCCCCCCCCCCTTCCCCCAGAGGGACTCACGCAAGGAATCTAGATGACTAAGCCAAGCGGTATTATGGCCTGGATTCAACAAGACCATGTGGGTCACGTGTAAACCGTCGAGATCCGTGGAGCGTGGAGCTGCTTGTTTACCGCATTTCAACGCTCCTTTCGCTAAATTTAGCCTCATATTTATGCTGATTGCAGCACTCTCTCAACACAACGACATCTTTACGTCTGACAAAGCCTCAGGACTGGCCTTCTGACATCCGACCATGCATTTCTACGAGTTATCTCTATTCAATGGCCAGTAAATCCTGAAACACGGACACTTCTTCAACGCGGCGTGCCTCATCTACAGCCTCGGCGATATTGACAAGGCGCTCTGCGCTGGCCTTTGTGCTCGGCGTTGTAGCACTGGCAGGCACATCGGCGGTGTTTCTCGTGAGTCCAGCCGATCTGCGTCCGAGGACGGTGCATCGGAGGGCATCTGAAGCGGATCGTGACCCGGCAGCACCCCTCCAGTTCCACAGTGACGGGTCATTCCAGCTCTCCATCTTTGAAGATCTACACTTTGGTGAAAGTGAGTTGGCGATGACTCCACTTCTCGAAAATTGATCACGTACTGACCACGTACGATGCCTGGGAGCATTGGGGCCCGCAACAGGACCTCAACTCGGTCCGGGTGATGGAGTCTGTGCTGGACGCCGAGCAGCCCCGACCTCGTTGTTCTCAACGGCGATCTTATCACTGGTGAGAACACCTTTCGTGAGAACAGCACAGCATACCTGGACCAGATTGTTGCTCCCATAATAGAAAAAATACGTGGAGGCATACCGCCCTTTTCTCAACCAATTGTGCCGCCCAGCTCCCTCTGTTGTGCTGCCTAATCCCCCCCCCCCCCCACGGAACTCAGCACAGCCAATAGAATAAGCCGTCGAACCGTGACAACATAATGAATGAGTGGCGGCATACAGAGAGCGTGTGGTCAACCCCGGCGACACCGCGGGCCTTGGTTCCAGCGCGTTTTATATGACCATGTGTGCCGCTGTCTAGGGCCCTTTTTAAGCCTCTTCAGGCGACAGCTTTTAGACCCTTGAAAACCCCAGCCAGTTCCATACGTTAAAGACTCGTGTTGTGATTTGTCGAAGTATTAACCGCCGCGCAGAAAACATAAACAGAAAATAAACAGAAAACAAAAGGGCAAACAGAGAACAGAGAGCAGAAAACAGGTTCGAAAAAGAAGTACCGTAGAATATATCTTACAGCAGGACGACAGAGTACCTGCGTCGATAAATACGTTGAAAGATTGGCGTCGCAGCTGCCTGGGGCGTCGTGGTAGCTGTAAGCCCACCACTAATTCGTACAGACTGACTAATTGAGGGAATTGTACGCTAAAATATGTCGCACTGTATTTTTACGGTGGAAACTTCACTAAATAAGTAACTATGCGTTAGAAGAGCGGGTAACTTCCTAGGCCTCAGTGAAATGTACCGTGCGCCACTTTCTGACTCACACGTTAAACCCACAGACAGAGGGTGCTCCGTCTTTGTTAACCAATCGTCACAATTGTTGGGCCGCACCTGTTTTGCTGCCTGACCATTGTCCTTCAACCAACTCGCTCTTGCATCGCTGTTTCCATCATTCTTCCTGACATCTCTCCTTAGGTTCTTCTTTTGACATTCATCCCCCTTTCCTCTTTCTCAAGTTTCCCACCAGCACTTCTCTTCACCGATCGACCCCTTCCGTGATACCCTTTAAAATGACGACCCTTGAGGGACCATACCTCCCTTTCGATGAATACAGACGCTATCGCACGACCCAGGATGAACAAATTGCCGCCGAATTCCGCTCGGTCCACGAGCGCATTGATGGCGTCGACAGCAAACTAGAAGCATTCAAGGAAGAAACGAGGGCCGAATTCGCAGCACTTCGACAGGCCGCGGCGGAGCAACAGCGCTTAACTGCACGGTTGCGTAACCAGCTGCTGAGCAACCCGACGCTCGCTATCGAGCCCATCGCTATCTTTGACGAGACTCGTGGTGTGGTGCAGCCGGATATGAACCTCTTCCCACGACACGCCAAAGAATTCTACGCGCTCCGCAACCCACAAGACGGGCGCCAGCATGCCAAGCTTTCATACCTTGTCTCATTTTACGACGTAGCCTTGCCGGAGGCGATGGGGCCGTCGTCTTCTGACGAGGATTCGTCAGGTAATGAAGAAAGCCAGTCTTCGAGCGAAGCAACGGGCGGCGGCGACGACGACGACGACAACGACGTCGACAACATCTTCAAGGACCGGAATTATCTCGCTGTGCACATGCTAGAGACGATTCTCGGCCTGTCGGAAGACAACTTCATAACGTTCATGGAGCGAGCCGAAAAACGGGCAGCACGGGCGGCGGCGTCCGCAATAAAACGGGCGCAAGATACACTGCCTCTCGGAGCACCTACACGCACCCGACCATTTGTACAAGCGTCGCAGCCCTACCTTTTGGCTACCACCAGTTCCCAAGCACTCCGGCCGCAGCTCATACCGCCGTTGACGGTCAGCCAAATCATGGACGGTTATGCAAATGAGAAGTCTCCAAACCCCGACAGCCAGGACGGCAATCGTTCTAATGCCAAGTTAAGCTGGAGGATCGGGTCACCGCCGGGTCTCCAACAGACATCGGAGGGAGCGGCGGGTAGTCGTAGTAGCCACGGCGGTGGTTCACAACCGTCCCAGCTGCTATCCCGGCCCAAGCAGCCGTCGATCCCAGACGGGCAGAAAGAGGGCACTCCGTCAGAGCCTGGCGACTCGGGCAGCCCGACAAACCCGCATTCCAAGACGCCAAGCTCGTCCCGTTACCGGAAGAAATAGTCGACGCCCGATTATGTTATAACGTGGCGTAATACCAGGCTCCCGTAAAGGGGTTTTACGTGTAACACTGGAGTAGACTTAAAACGGGTTGTAAGACAGCGATATGACTTAATAGTGTTATCGGCGGATTAGTTGTTGGGTCGGTGACGACTAGCGAATATCCCTTTGTTATACTTTTGTTTTTGAGAATATGATCCTTTTGGCGGCTCTTTTTGTTGAGAAAACAAGACATAAATGGGCTTTTTAAGCGTGACAGTGGTGATAATTGTCGTGGTGTCAAAGAGTTGGCTCTGCTTTAGTTCGGTCATGTCCTTCGATTTTTTTTATATCTATGATTAATGAGAATATAAAAGCCTCGATATATAACAACGTGGTGAAAATGGTGTGCCTTTATTTGAAACAGGGCATCGCTTTTGTTTCCTCATCTTACTCGTTTATTTTCGTCTCTCAACCGGCACGCTGCCAACGTCATTGAATTTCCTTAATTCAGATGATTATTTCTAAGATTTTCAATGCCCAATTCCCACCGAAAAGAGGCACACAGATTCCATATCTCGATATGGTCTCGTCGAAGGGACTCGTAGCCTAATAAGTGTCCCAGCCGTTGAATAAACCAATAAAGTATTGAAGGATTGTGATTTCAACCTGTTACTTCATTCCTTCATTTTCGTCTCACCGCGGCTGAATCGCTTCCCCCACATTCGCGAGATTCGCCCGAATAAAACAACATATGCCAGCCAGTCGGCTGAAAGACGAGTATATTTTCCCAACTCGACGAGGTTAAGCTTGTTCGTCTCGGCTTATATGTCTCGGCAGTGGAAGAAAAGACAAAGTAAACTATGACGGTTTCAAGGTCAACTAGACTGCTGGCCAGGAACGACTACGGTATTTTTATGAACTGACTCCATCTTTCACAAGAATGCACGCCTTGGCAAAAGGCAGACTACAGCCGTGTATGTATTATGCGTGGGCAATATATATGCCAACAAAAGTATAAGCGAGCCCAGGAACCGGTGCCGAATCGCCGGTCACGCTCGCGGCAATGCCAACTCTTGTCTTTCCTGTTTTCCTCTTATATTGGCCTGTACCCCGTAGACAAAATATGAGGCACAATGGACAAGAAACACCAGGCCATCAACGCACAGTGCTGCCCCAAAAATGTCGTCTAAGCTCATCTTGCTCGCCGCGATGGCGGCAGGGCTGGTCTGCGCCCAAACGCCGTCTCCCTCGTCCCGGCCATACAAGCCGATCGTGCTCGAGAGCTCCGGAGGCTTCGCCGTCGGTGGCACCGTGCTGACAAACCCACAGCGGGCCAATTCCACGCTCTCCTGCGACCACGGCTACCTCGAGTACTTCCTGCCCTGGACCCGCCGCGCCACCAGCATCGTAATGTGGCACAGCTCCAGCACGCAGGTCTGGCAAAACCGCTGGGACGGCGGCGAGGGCTACAAGGACATGTTCTTGCGCCGCGACTACCCCGTGTACCTGTGGGACGGCCCCCGCGTCGGCCGGGCCAACTATGGCTGCGAAACGACCACGTACCGCCCCGGGTACCGCGACCAGGGCAACTTTGTGGCGTGGAACTTTGGCCCGTCGTACCCCAACTGGTACAACGACACGCAATTCCCGCGGGACGATCCAGAAGCATGGAATCAGGCCGTGCGCGCGCGCTATGACGAGATGGACACCGAGTCCAATGTGTACCTACAGGCGAATGCAGCAGCCGTAGCGGCGGACTCGGGACGGGCAGGTCACGATATTGTGTACCTGACCAACTCGGCCGGCGGGCTGCGCGCGCTCGTGACGGCGACGATTGCCAACGGCACCAACATCCGCGGCATTGTGGCATACGAGTGCATCGGCAGCATCTTTCCCAACGACACGGAGGTGCTGACCACGCTGGGCATCACGCCCAGCCCGGGTGGCTTCGGGCCGTTTGTCGTGCCGGTCGACGAGTTCCGCAAGCTGGCGAAGCTCACGGCGGTGCAGTTTGTGTGGGGCGACCACCGCGAGGTGACATGGCCCTCCGTCCAGCAGTCGCAGCAGATGGCCGACCTGATCAACAGCTACGGCGGCAATGCGGAGGTGCTGATGCTCGGCCGGGACGTCGGGCTTCACGGAAGTTCGCACATTGCCTTTGCCGACATGGACAACGACAAGGTGGCCGCGATGCTGGACGACTATCTGGCGCGAAACAAGCTCGACAGCTATGCCTGACAGGTGGGGAAGGGGCGTGTGTATATAAAACTAGTTGTATGAGGAGGCCGACAGATAAAGGAAGTCGAAAATGTATGTCGTTCGCTGCTTATGTCCGCGGCTGTGCCTCTTCGCCAACAGTGTAGCCTCGTGCAATGCCGCTGCGGCCTTCTTCGACAGCCGTGCTCGCCACAACGTCCTCGTCGTCAAACTCGGTGCCGAGGCCCTGCCAAGTACGCTGCGACCGAAGGAATTCTGCGCCGGGGCTGGCAACACCGTTGATTGTCGCGAGTTCTCCGGCCTTGGAGCGAAGCGCCAGTGCACCGCCATTGGGGTTCTGGGACGAGCTTGCTATGGTACTTCGGTCTCCGTTTGCGACACTCTTGGCGTTGGGACCCCGGTTGCGCATAGGCCGGCTTGTCGTAATCAGCCGGCCGGTACGTAGGTCGAATTGCGGCACCTCGGAGTCTTCCTCGTCGGAAACGGCCCCGTTCCCCGCAGTCGTGTCGGTTGGTGCAGCTGCGTCAGCCGCTGGTTCGCCGTTGGTCTCGTCCTCTGGTACGGTCGTCAGCGCCTCCAGGCCGCCCCACCACTTGTGGCCCCATATGCGCTCATCGTCACTCATCAGTGCCATCTCCAGCTCAAAGGGCGTCACCACAGGCTGGTAGAAACCGGCATCGTCCTCAACCAGACTGCTCTCCCAGCAGCCGACAACGACCCAGCCCTCAATCTCGGCAAAGTTCGCCAGCTTGACGGGGTTGAGCTTGCCGACAACAATGAGGTAGCTCTTTTTCCCAGCGTCGGCAATGCGCTTGCGGATGGCGTCAACAGCCTTTAGGTAGTTGTTGACCGAGAGCGTGTTGACAAGGATGCCAATGACGCCCGCCGTCGCCATTGTCAGCACCTTGGCGTAGCGGCGGCCGAGCAAGCCCATGGTCCGGGGCGCCAGGAGGGATCCGGCGGCCGAGTTGTCGGTATCGGTGGTCGCGTAAATGTAAAAGGTCTTGACGCGGGCGGCAAGGGCCAGAAGCAGCGATGTCGGCGGCTGTGCAATGTGAAAGACTGCGTACTCGTGCAGATCAACGTCCTCGTCTTTGACCTCGGCACCGTCCTCGGCTCCAACAATCGTCCGATTCGGAATGCTGCCCAACGGACGGTGCACCACCTTGGTGGCCAGCACGTTCTTGTAACCTAGGCTGCGCAGCCGATCGGCTACAGGCGCCACATGGTCTTGGTAGGTCACGTCGGCCATAATGACCACGTTTTGTGTCCTTTCACTGTCGTCACCTTCTTGAGGGGCACCCAGCTCCTTGGCAAACGACTGCACGACGGCGTCCTCGTCCAGCGCGTGCTGCGTAAAGACATAGATGACCGGTAGCCGCGACGTCGGCGACAGGCACGAGCGGCCGTAGTGCACAACCACGTCGGCATCGGCATGCTCGGCCGCCACCTCGTCGACACAGCAGGCACTGTATGACGTGTCCGCCAGAATGTACACCTTCTCGCTGGCCGCGACGCCGCTTTCGATCTCGACGGCCGTCGCCGTCAGCTCCTCGCGCAGCAGCTTCACAACTCGTGGACTGTCGCCCAGCATGGCATCCGGAAACTGCAGCGCTACACACTTTCGGTTCCCGGCACGGATCTCCCGGGCCGTCCGAGCAACCTCGTAGACCGCACGCAGCTCGTCATCGCTGCGGCGTGGCGTCTCTTCGACCGAAACAGGCTCGACCTGGTCGAAAAGGTTCTCGGCCGGAGTCGACAGCACGGGGGCTGCTTTAAGCTCGGCCATTATTTGTGTAGTCGTTGATGTTGTTTGATGTTTTGGGAAGAAAATATCAGCACCTGTCCATATTTGTTTGTTTGGTGGCGGCTTTAATGCTTTGTCTAACGTCAGCTCTTTTTTCTTTTTTCTTTCTTTTTTTTTTTTCTTATGTCACTGTCACGGTAGCGGGGCACTAAACTTTAGTCATGAATCCCGCTGAAAGTAGCTGGTGGACAGCATTCACAGCCGCTAATTGGCCGTCCTTTAGTGGACTGCGAGCGTGTCAGGCAGGAAACTGAACTCATTGCCTCTTACTTTGTAGTGGCTTTTTTCATGTGTTTTATGTCAGTCTTATAATTTTAATATTTATCTAACATTAATCTCCCTATCTTCTTCTTATAGGTCCAAAGTACATATATCCAATCTATATTTAACAACAGTCGACACGAACGCCTCGCACCTTCCGTGACCATAAGTTGCGTTATTGGTTCCTGCCTCAAAGAGCCACGGATATGTCTTTCCTCTAATGTTTAATAATCCGTCACAAGAAGCTCTTAAAATTTGGACTTGGGACTCCAGCCGACAGCCATGATGCGCGCCGTCATGTAGCACACCAGCGCCACCATGTACGACACGCCTGAAAAGATAATCAGGGCCATCCAACGGTTGTCCGAGATGCCGTCGCCCAGGATCGCACCGCCAATGGGCACACTGCTCAGCGTGCCAAAGCTAGCCACCATCATGGCCGTCGAGTAGAAGCGCCCGTACTGGCTCGGGTCGCACAGCTGGCCCAGGCACACAGCAATCAGGCCCAGGTTGCTGCCACTGGCAAAGCCAAAGAGCACGGCAAAGGTGATCAACGTCGCGCGCGAATTGGCCGCCGGCAGCCAGAGGCCCAAGACAACAGCGGACGACAGGCCAATGGTGACGATGATGATGTTAAAGCGGCCGAACTTGTCGGCCAGCAGACCCGGTACGAAGCGGCCAAGAACGGAGCCGGCGTTGAGAAAAGCGAGCAGCGTGTACGCCTGGTCGGTGTTTTCCCGGTGGGCGGTGGCGTACGACACAATAAAGGTCAGCGGCACAAAGATGCCCCACTCCATGAAGAAGATGCCCAGGGTGGCGGCGGCATAGCTGCGGTCGCGGAAGATGGTCAAGTCGGGCCACACAGACGGAACCGTGTGGCGACGGCTGGCACGGGTGGCAGTGCTGGTGACACGGCTCAGGCCACTGCGTCCGGAAACGCCCGTGCGCACAGACGTCGCTGTGCCGTCATTTGCGGCCGACGCGTCGACGACCGAGACGTCGGGAATGGCTTCGGGCGCAGCGCCGTCCTCGGGCTCGCAGTCGTTGACACCGGGCAAGGGCAGGCGCGTGCGCAGCCACAGGTTGGCCGGGACCGAGAGGCCGAGCAGGATGAAGCCGAGGATGCGCGTGCTCCAAGCAAAGCCGACGCGGGGCAGAAGCTGCTGCAGCAGGATCGGGAAGACGATGCCGCCGATGCCGCCGGCCGTGGAGGCGACGCCCGTGGCGAGGCCGCGGCGCACATTGAAAAAGTGCGCAATGCAGGCATACGCGGGCGTGTTGAGCAGGGCGCCGCCGAGGCCGCCGAGCACGGAGTAGCAGAGCAGGATCTGGTAGTACTCCTCGCACAGCCCCAGCAGCATGGTGCTGGCAACCACCAAGACGCTGCCAAAGGCGACAAGGTAGCGCGGGCCATAGCGATCAAAGACGGGGCCGACCTGGATCCCAATGAAGAAGACAATGAACAGGTACAGGCTGAAGACCCAGCCAATCTCCGAAGCCGTGTAGTCGGCCAGCTGGTGGGTGGAGAACCACGATTCGAAGACGGCGGCCGTGTTGATGATTCCAAAGACGGACAGCATGGCACAGAATGAGCCAGCAACGACGAGCCAGGCCTGAACGCCACCCTCGGGGAAGGTGATGTGCGGCGGCGTATGATCAGCTGTGCGGGAGACCGGCGACGAAGACGAGGGCGACGCCGACGACGAAGAACGGGGAGAAGGGTACGACAATGGAGTCCGGTTGGCAGCCGTCGCGCCGGCCTGCTCCATCTCGGGAGTGGCATCAACGTTGCCGGTGCGCACAAGCCGGAGGGGCTCGGGCTTGCTGACGCCTGTGGTTTGACCAACCTCGGCCATCGATCCGACTATGGACACAGACGACGCCGAAGCTGACGACGGCGAGCTGGCGGGGACGGCCGTGGCGGTGACAGAATGGCGTCCCCGCTTGCTTGCAAACTTGGCAGCGCCGGCCATGAGGCTCTCTTTGTTGTTGTCGCTGTCGTCATAACCACCGTTGTTTTTCTCGGCGACCTTTTCGGAGGTGTTTGCACCCGGACCGGCACCTCCAATAGTCGAACCTGTGCCAAAGCTGGACCAGGGGTCCGGGAGGTACGCGTGGTGGTGGCCGCTGGCTATGCCACTGCTGCCAAGCGTGAAGCACTCAAGAGAGGCAGCGTTGTTGCGGCTGCCTTCCCGGCCTGGCGTCGTAGGCGCCGCGCCGGACGGAGAGGCCGCGCCGGATCGGTTGTTGGACGCAGTGGCAGTTGTGGGACGCACCTCGGACGTAGGCGATGCACTCGTGGTGTTGTTGTTGCCGGCGATGGTCGTCGGTTGGTAGTTTAAGCAGCTGTCCTCTGCATTGAGGTGCGCAGTCATTCGCAATTGTGATTGCACAATAAAAGGGGGAAATAGGTTTGGTATAATATTATCAAGATAGGGTTTATCTGGTATCTGGGATATTTCGTTTTTGTTTTTGTTTTCTTGTCTTTTTTCCTTTTTGTTTCTAGATTCCTTGCTGTCTAGCCATAGGTATATCTAACGTCTGTTTTGCTGTTTTGAATAATCCCAGTCCGAATAGTATGATCACAAAGTCAAAAAAGCAAAAGAAATTTTTCGACAACGCAAAAACAAAACACAAGAATACGAAAGGCGAAATCAACCAACGAATTTTTTTTTCCGGGTTGCCAGCCAGTTTAAGTACACTTGCGGCGACGGTGCTCTTGGCTCTGTGGAGAAGAGGAGCAGAGGCGGCGGCAATCCACGGCGCAGGGTGCCGTCGATTTAGTCTATTCTATGCTCTTGCCTAGTCCACTCCGCCATTTAACAAAGCACGCGAGGCGAAGACTGAAGCCAGAGGACGCTAGTAACAAGGTACATATATCCGATGCAACGTCGGAGGGCGCCTTAGATCCGGCTTCGCCAACTGTGACTGTCGTCCAGATGGTTCGTTTCCGTAAGTGTTCTTCAGTCATTCACACCGCTCGATGGGCAGATCCATTTCTTATCCGATGCATGTGCTGTCATCTAGAGATGACGCTGCGCTTGTACTTTGGATATTTATGCACTTTTTCTTATCGGGCATTACTGAATTTTTACATTTTGTTACTTTTGAATTTTATGTTTTCTTCCATGATTTCTTTCATTTCGAACTGTATGATCTGTAACAGTTGAATGAGATCAGTAGCCATCGAGCCAGAGCCGATGACGTCTTCAGTGCTGTAAATGATCGAAGAGAGAGTGGCACTTTGCCAGTTGGCTCGCAGAATGGCGTAGAAGGACGCAAGTCGGATAGTCTATTCGCTGGTTCGAGGCGTGATGGATGCCAAGGCTGCATGAGCTTCGGCCGGCTCCGGTGCAAGACGCTGCCAAAAATACAGCCACATGCGGCCGATCTAACCAAAATGCTTCAGTCCAACACATGCCATGCACAAATATCCAGGCAGAAGCTATAATCCCTGTCGGATTCTATTTTTCAAAAAGTGTTAGAGCACAGTGTTTGGACACTTGGTATACGGATAGGAAAGGTTGTCGTTTCTAGAGTGGCAAGTGGGAAATGAGATTCGTCAAGTATGCTATAAAATCAAAACCACCGGAGAGAAGATGCTTATTCTCAACTCCCCAGTTTGTGACGCCACCCGTTTCCAGGGCACCGGCGCGATCGTCCCCATTTTGTGTTTGTATTTTTCTCCCGCCCAAAGCCAAACTCCAGCCCAACAATATGCGCTTACCAGCTTCCTCGTCAAAGTATCGTATCGTACATCCTACCTTCGGTTCCACGCCCATTCGCTTTTTATGTTTAAAATAATGCGTAGAATTAACATAGACCAAGCCTTTTTCTGTCCTGCGTCTTCCGCGGAGAGAGTCGGGGTATATCTAGGGTGTTTGTTGTCGTTCGTCTCGTCGTCATAACCAGTGCTGTCGAGATATGCCACATTCATTCCGGTCCCCGCTCCCGGATCAGGCCGCCGTGCTCGCCTTTTTGCCGGCCCTAAAATAACGATCAGTATTCGTATTACAATCTGGGCGTCTTTCCGCCGATTAGTCTGTTTGAAGACGGGTGATTCTCTTACCGTCGTCTCCACCACCAACCGGTCCGTCTGATAGTACTGGCCCATTGTTGATTGGCGCTGTGCCGTTAGCATGTATTCTGGTGTTTCTCACTGTTTCCCTTCTCGCCGTCTCTGTGTCATCCACTGACCTTCATCATCTGCAGGTCCTTCAGGCCCTGTTGGACAAGGAGCTGGACGCGGCGCGGGTCCGTCTCGGCCTTGTGGTCGCGAAAGGCATCGCGGGTGCGGCGCAGAGCGTATTCGCGGAAATTGTAGGCCGGGAACTGCTGCGCCTGGCGAAGGAGCTGGCGATACTGAAGAAGAGCGTTAGCAGGCTGTTCCGGGTGGAACATGAGCCCGGGGGCAAAGAGAGTCCCAACATACCAGGGACAGAACCTGTAGGCTCTCAGCAGTTGCGGGCGCGAGAGACATAGTTATGATATAAAGGGGGCGATGAGGTCGGAGAGAGCGGACGGTTGAGAGTCGAGAGTCGGCAACAGGTTGTGTGATTTTGATATCGCCCGAAATCGGCAGCAAGAGAGCTCGGAGGGTACGAGTAGGATCGTCGGACGATGACGCAGATGAAAGACACCCGATATGAACAGGAAGAAAGGTGACCGAGAGCTGTCAGAACCGGGCAAAGGAGAATAAAGAAACGAGCGTCGCTGTTTCGGGCGTTGATTTTGGATGGTGAACAAAATGTTCGGCGTTTAGTTGTAATATTTTCTTCCGCTGCTTGCGGTAGGTTTTGGGGCGCTTTTGAGTGGCGGGGGCGGAATTGTGTCGCTGGCAATACCCGCTGTAGACGGCTGCCACGGCCCCACTAGAACGACGAAAGAAACGCAGTTGAGCACTGTAAGAAAAGCGGACTTTACTCCATTGGAAGCTTGACTTTCAAACGTGACGTATCTCCGAGCTACGCTTGGGACCGAAGATTCACGATTCCCCTCATTGCTGTTGGAGGCATAGCAATCGTAATACATTGGATCACGTACTGATTTATTCATTATTTTATGGACATTTTTACAGAACTCCCCTCATTCCACATCTACCAATTGGCCATGATTCACGCTCAATGTAAAAGCTCACGTTTGATTCATTTGACGGGCGGTCACATGACCACCTGAAGCAGGGGTGATCTGATTGGCTAGATGCTGCGACGGCTGTCAATCGCGACTTTTCTTCTTTGCCGAGACTGCTAAACAGCTCTCGCACCCGGCAGCTTTATGACGACCTATGATCCGACTACGTACCAGGAACGCACCACCTGTTATTTGTACGTACGGCGCCACACACCTGCATCTACAGACCATCCAATTGGGCCGACCCCAATTCCATCTCGAACCGAAGCGCATCCCGCTAACCAGAAATTTCCAGGAGAACGCGGCCAACGAAAAAGTCGCTCTCTGTACTTTGCGCCCCGAAACCCGCCGATCGACCGAGATCTTGCAGACAACAGGACTGGGACTTTGCCAGCGTTGTCATTGTCTCTCTGCTGCCCTCTCTCTCTTCCTCCTTCCAACATACTCTCCCAATCCGACACAATGGGCTCCAGCGCTTCGAAGCCGAACACGCCTCACGTGTGGAAAGGGTACGAGCTTCCCAGGGAATGCTACGCAATGCGCTCTCGCTGCCACTCGGGTCGCTGCCAGACCTCTCGCTTATGTCGTTCTTCCACGGCTGACTCTTCTTCCGTTCCAACAGCTCCAGCGCCCCGGCCATCTCCCAAGACATGATCGACAGCTTGCAGTCAAGTACAGAGGTGAGAACAGAACATTGCACTCGTATACTTTCATCACTCTTACTCTTACTAACAGTCGCCATTCTCCCATCCCCAGACCGACGTGACGCGTGCCCAGACTCTCGAGCTCCATATCCAGGCCCGCGTGACCGACGAGCTGCGCCGTCTGCAGGCCGAACAGCTGGCCAAGCTCAAGGGCCTCGAGCAGGCCATTGACGACGAGACCGCTGCGTCCACCCCCAGCGACTCGACAACATCTGCCTCGGTCAGCAAAGAGATTGCCGGCCTGCGGGCGCGTCTGGAGGCGCGGCAGCGCGACGTGGCCCGCCCGCTGCCAGAGCCCGTGGAAGCGGCGCGCAGCGAGGTGATCCGGTGTCTGCGGGAGCACGACCGGCGGCCGCTGGATTGCTACCGCGAGGTGGCGGCGTTCAAGGAAGAGGTGCGGAAGCTGGAGGCGACGTGGGTGGACCGTGTTGTGTCGTAGGGGCTGTGTCGGGTACAGCAGGAACCGACGATAAGGCCGGTCGGCATGTAGTCGTTGCGCCGTGGCATCCATTGGTAGCCATCGTTTTGGAAGGAGGGAGAATAAACAAAGCATAGAATGGGCGAAGGGCCTGTGGGACGTGTCATAATACATAGCTGTACGATATATATCCCGAGCCTTTTGCAGGTGTACATATAGAAATAATCATTGGTATTCGTAATTTCTTTTTTTTTTTCATTTTTTTTTTTTTTCACTTGACCTTTGCTCTGCTCAAGTTAGGACGGTGCTATCATAGGAGTCCTCTCCTAATGAGTCTTCCGTACCGTCTGTTTGCCCGTCTGTTTGCGCCGATTCTGCCTCCTGCTCTTTCAGGGCAGCCTGTCGCCGCAGTCCTTCTTCCTTTTTGCGTAGCCGCCGTGTCTCTGCGTCTTCCCAGTTCTCATCCCTCTTTTTTAATGCCGCCGTTCCTGTCCTCGCGGCCAACTCTTCTCTTTCCTCTTTCTGAATTGCCTCCACCAAAGCGGCCTGGAACCGCTCCGTCCGTGTCCGGTTGACCGCAAACCGCTCGTCGGCCACGCGTGCCAGCCGGGCTAAATAATTCGGCGTCACAATGCAGTGAGCAGATTCAGATTTCTCGTGTGTTGCCTTGTCGGATCGACAAATACCAATTACCGAGGCCAATGCCAGGCCCATGGACCTCACAGCGACAATGGGCATCGACGGGTTGTCGTCCTCCTCCTCGCCGGCTCCGACAGGACTCTTCCCTGCCAGTGGAAGAGGTTGTGGGACAATGCTGACGGCGCCGCTCTCACGGAACCCTGCTGCCGATGCGCAGCGTAGGAGCAGCTGGGCATGCTCAAGAGAAGCCGTTAAGACATGGAGGATCTGAGACAAGATTAGAATTGGCTCTACATTGAGCGATCCGAAGGCTGAACGTACCATTGGCTCAAACTTGAAGTGCACAAGACGCTCCTCATCCTGCCCAACATCGTCCTGGACAGTGTTTTCGTCTACCCGTACTGCTGCCTCATTTATCTCCAGCCCAAATACGTTGGCCCAGTCCGTGCCGCTGTAGTTGCTGTGTTGTGGTGGGCTTGTGCTGTCTGCAGCGACGCCATTCACCAACGGATCGTGCGAGACAAACAGCCACTTGCCTCCGCCGCCCTTTCCGCCCGCTGACGCGATTGTGGATGCCGGCGCCGTCGTGGCTGGTGCCGTTCGCTCATCCACAGGTAGTGCTGCTCCCTTCCGGCCCTCAAGAAAAACAGCCACGCGGCCGGCACAACTACTCGTCGTTACAAAACCGTCCAGCTTATTAATCTCATCGATCAATGGCCGAATACCCTCATCAATGGCTCCCTTAGGCGATGCATCGGTGTAGTCGTCGTCGGGCCGTCCGAGGAGCTCGAGGATGGCAGCCTTGCGCGTAGTGAAACGCGCCGGGCAAGGAGGAAGCATGGCCGCTGCCTTTTTGTGAAAGATGGTCAATATGGATTTTAAGGTTGTGAAATTTTGAGAGCTTGGATAATGTTTTGCGGCGAGTAGTTTGAGATATTGGACATGAAATTCTCAATAATACAATCACGTGATTAGGTAGTGAAAGTGAAGATGTCTTGCCCGTCAACGTGTTTGAATAAATAAGACAATTCAGTCTGCAAAATAGGCTGTTCATGTAATAAACGATAATACATATCTGTGAACCCGGGTGTGAATCATTGCGAGGTATTACATGTCATCATATCACCAATGGCTGGAAAACAAAATTGAAGTCCGCTCTCCAAGTAGCAACATCAAAACCGCTACTTATCAGACATGTTTTGCTTATGCATCTATTTATGCCGAAACGAAACATAATGCATTCTACTTTTGTGATTGCTCTGAAGGCCGTCAGAGAACCTTTCTTTTATAACAGTGAGATATAAGGTTGTGTTGTCTCAGGCCTAATGCCAATGGTCCTGTCCAGGTTGATGGCACAGTCCCAGTCCAGCGACGAGTAGCAAAGAGACAATAAATAGAAATAGCTACAAAACACCCTGGGCTCGTCTCGCTTCAAACTGGCTGTTTCTTTGAATATTATCGAAGTCGTCGTATTGCGTCTCAAGAACAAATAAAGAGCACATGACATATCACGCGTCAACTACAGCTCCTGGCTGCAGGAGGGGCAGGAACCCCCCACCAAGGCTTCTGGGTTGGAAAATTCGAATTCTGCCACTCGAAGGCCCTGACCGCCTCTGCCAACCAGCGCCAGAACACGCCAAAATACAGGAATAGGGCACACGTGACAGCCCACAGCAAGCCATACCAACAACAATGTGTGTGTTTTCTAGCAAAATAAAGTGGAGGGGTATTGTGCGGGCGAATAGGACGGCCGGACTGGCAAAAAAATCACCACAGGGGAGGGAAAATTCACATTGAACCACCACCCAAAACGTTGAGCCCCGTTGTCCCCGTCCACCACCCCGTCGCCAACGATACACCAGCAGCGCTACGACTGCATTCTTTTCCACGCTATTCGCCGTTTTTACCACCCTTTCGACATACCCCCATCGTCCATGTCTTCGCCGTCTACAGATCTGTAGGAGAGAGAAGCACGTCGCGCCCGACAACGGATCCAAGATAACGCCAGTGACGGAGATCTCTTTGGGCTCGAAATCGAATCGCAAGCCGTCTCCCTGAACAGTACGCCCCGGATCGAAATTGTAAACGGTATCGTCCGTTTACCGTGGGTACACGACGAACCTTCTGAGCCCACCTCGCCAGTGCCGCCCACAAACGGTTTCCACCACCTTCAGCCGTCACCGTCACCGTCCCCCTGGTCATCGCCAGCACCGGTGCCTCTACCCTCGCCGGTACCCTCGCCATATCAGCCGACGTTGCACTCCCCCTCACCCCTACGTTTGCCGTCGCCCAGTATGGCTGCCCCGACTACAACTTCGGCTCCCGCCACCCCGATCCGCCCGCGCCTCGTCTTCGTCGACGGCACGTTCGGCGAGCTCGTCCAGGAGCTGGCCGACTACCTGCAGATCAGCGAGTCCATTGCTGCGCTCGTCGCCAAGAACAAGAACGAGGAGGCCCTCGCGGCCGTCGTCGAGGCGTCGAGCGCGCTCAACGCGGCGCCTGAGAAGGACTTCACCGGCACCTACAACCTGCTGATCCACCTCGCCATCAACGAGTCCAAGGACCCTAGCCCGTACCTGCGCACGATCTGCCAGAACCTCAGCAAGCCCGTGACCGGCTCGCCCGTCAACGGCGTGGGCCTGGCCCTCAACGCCCTGCAGGCCGTCTTCAACCTGCTGGCGCCCAACAACGCCTTGCGCTACAATGTCTTCATGACCATCCTGCGCTTTGTGCGCACGCACGGCCTGTACGACAACATCCGGTCGACGCTGCCGCAGCTGCCCTCGTGGCTGGTGGACTGGGACGTCAGCGAGGAGGCGCAGCGCAAGCTGTATCTGGAGATTGTGGCCTTTGCCGCTGAGCAAGGCGAGGCTGAGTATGTTGTCCCCTCCGCCATTCCTTCCGCACGGTGTTCATGTACCTGGCTGTTTCGAATATGCAAAGCTGACAAAACTAGGGAATCCTACCAGCACCTGCTCAAGGTGCTGCGGACATTTGACGCCTCGGACGACAGCGAGGTCAAGTCGGAGGAGGCCGAGCAGCTGTCTGTGCGCGCCGTCCGCACCGCCCTGGTGTCCAACACGCACTACGACTTTCAGGATCTGCGCGCGCTCCCCACCGTGCAGGCGCTGGCCGACTCCGACAAGAACGCCGTCTACGCGCAGCTGCTCGACATCTTCGCCGAGCAGGACCTCGAGGACTACCACGACTTTTGCGAGGAGCACGAGGGCTGGGTGGAGGCGCAGAACCTGGACGGCGACAAGCTGCAGCGCAAGATGCGCCTCCTGACGTTTACGAGCTTGGCGGCCAGCACGCAGAGCCGCCAGATCGAGTACGCCCGCATCGCCAAGGCGCTGCAGGTGCCTGTCGAGGACGTCGAGGTGTGGGCCATTGACGTGATCCGTGCCGGGCTCGTCGAGGGCAAGCTGTCGCAGCAGCAGCAGGTGTTCTTGGTGCACCGCACCACGTACCGCGTGTTTGGCGAGAAGCAGTGGCGCGAGCTGGGCACGCGCATTGACCAGTGGCGCGGCAGCCTGAGCAGCGTCCTGACGGTGCTGCGGCGGCAGCAGGCCGAGGTCGAAGCGGCCAAGGAGCGCGAGGCCCAGGAGCTGGAGCGCAAGCTGGCCAACGCCAACCTCGAGGGCGGCAGCAGCCACCAGGGCGGTGGTGGTCGTGGCCGTGGCGGCGCACGGCAGTACAACAACCGCCAGCAACAACAACGCCCGCCGCGCAACGACAACGACGACTAACAAATTACAACAAAAAAGGTGTTTTAAGGAATAATATTGTCTTCTCGTCTATTTTTTCTAATTTTCTTTTGTTGTCGTCAGTGACGTCCGATTCGTGTCCTGTGTTGCTATGTCTTTGTGCGTTCATGGTTTATTCATAATTTTGCGTTTCTTGTTGTTTCTTTCCACCTCTCTATCTTCTCGTATTCGCTCCGTCTTTTTCAGTCTTTTCCCGAGATAGAAAAAAGTATGGTCTTTTGTTCGTGCATTAAAAGGAGAAAGGGGGCATAAGCTGCGCGGCCGCGGAAGAACAGGACATGGAAACGAACGGTTTTTACCAGTATGAGTTGATACATGTTTATGACGGCACATGTTTTATTGCATGGTCTACGGGTCAACCAAAAAGGGGAAGGGGGTCTTGATAAAAATCTACAACAATAGAAACAAAGGTTATTAAAAATTGATAAAACAAATGAAATATGTAAGAATATGGGAACAGTGCTGGACCTGATATCCGCTTCAGTCCGTCTACCCCGATACGTATGCCTTCTTTCTAGTTTTTCTTTTTCTTTTGCAATACCGCCCAAGCAAAATAATCAAATTGGAAAGGGAATGTAGGAATCTAAAGAATAGGGGAATGCCCGCCCGCATGGCACACCGCTCTTTGCGGGCGCCCAGTCTTCAGTGTATGTCACCATTTTACAGGGACAAGCGTGAGCCCAGCTCCTTCTGGGTGGCCGCAAAGACAGCGTCGGGTGTCGACGTGGCGTCAATCTTGACCACGCGGCCCTCCTTTTCGTAGGCGTCCACGACGGGCATGCTCGTCTCCACAAACGTCCGGAAACGCTTGCGGATCGACGCGGCGTTGTCGTCCGCACGGCCCGACGTCTTGCCGCGCTCCATCAGGCGGCGCTCCAGCTCCGACTCGGGGCAGTCGTAGAACAGCACCAGCTTGGCCTGGCAGACCGCCTCCTCAAAGGCCACGGCCTGGTCCATCTTGCGCGGGAAGCCGTCAATCAAAAACTTGTGCTCCTTGCCCTTCTTCGTGTCAATGGTCTCCTGCATGGCATTCTCGAGCAGCTTGACCGTGACCTCGAGCGGGACAATGGCGCCGTCGCGGATGCAGTCGCGGATCAGCTGGCCAAACTGGGAACCCGGACGGTCCTGCTCGGCGCGCAGGAGGTCACCAGCGGACAGGTGGGTGAAGCCGTAGGCCTTGACGAGACGGGCGCACTGGGTGCCCTTGCCAGCACCGGGGCCGCCGAGGACAAAGACGACGGACACGTCATCGGTCGAGAAGGTGGGCTTGGGGGGGCCGCCGCCAAGGCCCTTGCCGGTCGATGTCTTATCTGTCATCTTGCCTGTGCGGGCGGGGTTCGAATTAGACCGAGTGCTTCAACACGCTTCCATGGGGCTTGCAAAGAGCGGAAAGGCGGATAGGAAGGGGTGGGGGGAGGGAAGATACGCACTGTTGTTGCGCTGTTGCACGAGGAGCATGTAACCACCGGAGCCGAGGGCGATGACGACGAGGAAAGGCCAGAACTTGATGTTGCTAGGCTTCGGTGGCGGCGGTGGCGGGGGCGGCGGAGGCGGCGGAGGCGGGGGGGTGCCGCTGTTCTTGCTGCTGTCAGAACCGTCCGAGTAGAAGCGACGCGCAACCAGCGGGCGCAGAGCAGGGCGAGCCAAGGAAATCGAGGCAGAGGTGGTGGTTGGCGCGCGGCACGTTGAGGCGCGACTGGCTGTCGCAGCACGTGGCAGAGCATTCGCTGCTGCTGCTGCTGCCGTCAGCGGCCGGCGCAGAAGTGCGCGCGGAAACAGGGAGGCCATTATTCAAGGAGTAAAAGAGGGGTTTGTCGGCTGCGTGGACTGCGGCGGCTCCTTGGACGGCAATTGACGTTGGAAAGCCGGGTAGGTGTGATTGTTCGACGAAAAAAAGCTGCCTGCTTTCGACGGCAGCTTTTGGCTCTGGCTTCTTTTTTTCTGCCGTCTCCTTTTTTTGGCCTGTTTGCTGATAAGCTTCAGACGCCAGAGCTCTAACTTCAGGAGGAGCCAGGCCCACCGCCCTGGTATTACGTTGTAATTAACAGCTCCTGCCTCGTGTGCTTCGTGATAATTATGCTACTGTCCATCAGCTGCGTGATCGTTGTAGTATGAAGGGTTTACATTGGCATTTCCTGGCATTGATACCGTCTTCGACTTGTGGACTTATTGCTTTGGTTTCACCGGCCTCGAAAACAAGCTTTGTCCCAACTAGGGGGCATCGAGTCGACGCGTTCTCACGTGAAATGGTTAAGGACTGTGGACTGGACTGGTCAGGACCTCCGCTAATAGCATGTAATTATAGGGCACGTCTGAGCTCCATCGACCCCTGAACTAAAAACACAGCTAAAACGGAATTACAACCAACAGCAGCTACGACCTATTTATTCGATTTCATTTGTTGACTTTGGCACCCTTCTTCTCTCCTCCTGTCATGGGTTATTTCCGGGCATTGAGACGTAGCCGCCCGGCATGGTCGGTCTCCGTTGTCACAAACCCACGAGGCCGCAGATGTGCTGGCCGACTTACAACGCACATTTCATAACACGTAACGACCAAGAACAGACCGGCGGGTCGATACAAATGTGGTTGGGTGGCGGCCAGGAAGGCAACCCAGCCGTTCTCATGGCAGTTTCGAGGTTATGGCATCCGACTGAGACTTCACCCTTGTTCATGATCACTCTGCATCATCGGGACGGGGAGTATGTTATGTTGGAATTGTATTTGAGCAAAAAGTATCAGAAATGTTCCTGCTTGCATTAATTGGAATAGTCGTCGATCTTTACAAAAACCTAAACTTGTCGCTTACTTGTCTCTCGTACACGTTCACACCCCGGAAACAACAATAGAAAAACGCCGCAGTGGTATAATATCGCCCCTTGGCTTGTACCTGCTGTACAGACGAGACCAGTACAAATAAAGGGAGCCAAATCAAGATCAATAGCGAGAAAAGAAACATAAGAAAGGGGGAACCAAAGATAGAAAAAGGAGCAGCTTGTGCTAATAAAAGGAGTAATAATAACGGAGAGAGTGAATAAGAAGAAGTAGAGTGTGCAAAATCAAAAAAGGTCTTTTTCGCGTGTTTTGTGTCGTATTTATTTGTTTTCTTTTTTAGTACCTTGGGCTCTTGAGGGCAGCGCCGGCGTACGCTCCGGGGATCGGCACGGCTGCGTACTGCACCTCACCAGGAGCCACAGGTGCGTGCCGGTTGACGTTCTCTGCGTTCCCTGGTGGCGGCGTCGGTGACGCCCGGGACGACATGGACGAGCTCGACCGTGATGAGTTGGAGGAGTACGACCGCGATGGCCGAGGAGCGGGCATGGGCGCAGGTGCGCTGAACCCCACGCCGTTCATCTTGGGGGTGGCTGAGGGCGCCTTTTGCGGCGGTGCCTGCAGCTTGAAGGATGTGCCTGACGGAGACGAACCCGCCGACAGGCCAGACCGGGCAGCGAAAGCCGACTTGGGCTCGACCAGGTTACGGCCGCCGGGTGTGAAAGGTATGGCGTCTTCCTCTTCGACGTCGCCGAGCGAGCGGTAGGCCTGTGGCGGGAAGCGTGGCGACAAGGCGTACTGCGAGAAGGACGGGGACTTGGGGCCAAAGCCAGGCGTGTTGGGGGCCGACTGTGTGCGCAGCTGGGCGAGGTACAGATCGGAGCGGGCCTTGTCGCGCATGTCCATGGACTTGTGAAGCTTGCGCTTCGAGTAGTAGCGGTAGAAGACGACGCTGTAGAGCGTGATGCTAATGACCTCGACGACGATTTCGATGATGATGCAGATCAACGACCAGCTCTGCAGGCGACAGACGAGGGCGTAATCAACCTTTTCCGAGAACACTTGCGAGCGCTGGTTCTGAACGCAAGACCAGCCCCACATGTCCTGATTGTTGCTGTTGTTGCGCGAGAACTGGAGGACACCGGCGGCGGCAGCCCACATGCCCAAGCTGACAATGAACCAGCCGACAGCGAAGAGTGTGTAGTAGACAGAGACCTTCTCAGCGCGGCGGTGGCCACCACGGCAGTAACCAATAAAGACAATGACCGAGATAGTCAGGGAGACAATAGAGGCGCCGAGCACGACCTTCTGCGGCCACGACTTGGTGTTGGTGGCCCACGGCGGGAAGTTGCTTTGTGTCGGGAGACTTCTCGTGGCGTTGAAAATGGAGAAGGAGGCCGAGAGCATGGACAGAACGATCAAACTGCAGCTGAAGTTGACACCACGGAGGGCAAACTTTGCCATCCGGACACGCGTTTTGATTTTCTAGTTGGACAGTCAGTACGTAAAATTCCTTGAGCATGTCTATAGTTTTGGGGGGGGGGGGGGGGGGGGGGCCAGAGTAAGGTCGCAAAACGTACCAGGTCGCGAGCTTGCTCCTTGTCAGTCAAAGACTCTTGTTTTTCCAAGATTTGCTCTTCCCGGAACGTCGGGCTCAGGGGATTGTCAAAGCGGCGGCCAGGCGTTCCTGGCACCTTCATGGCGCTCTTGAGGGGTGACCGGGGTGCCATGGGAACGTCGTCGTCTGCGCCCTTTCCAATGTATCCAAAGCCGACGAAGCCGGGCTGGGAGCTGTTGTCGTCCTTCTCGGGATCGGCAAAGGGCGACTTTCCGTGGACGGGCGAGTGAACGGTCGTGGCCTCGGCGAAGCGTGGCGTCCGCGGTTGTTTGAGAGACTCGGTGGAAGAGCCACTGGAAGAAGGCCGGGAGCTCAGTTTGAGCGCCGACGGCCGCTTCCTCTCATCGGAGAACATGATGAGACTGGACTTGTTGTGTAAGTAGGTTTGTGCTTTCTTGTAAGATCGACTCTGAGTATGTGTTGCAAGAGGAACAGATATGAACGAAGAGAAATGTGACGTTGTAGCCGACAATACAGAGGGGAGAAAGGTGCACCTCTCGTATTATGCGAACAGGTTGTGGATGAGAGCAAACACAGTTTGGTCAAAGCACAGGTTATATAAAATGAGAAATGAGAAATTCCAACAGAGACCAGCTGACGAAGGAAAGGAGAAAAGAAAAAGAGATCAAATCGTCTCCAACCAGCTGGGAGGGCAGGCTATTATGAATTATGTTGCCGCCCAGTCCCTCGACATAGGATGGTAAGCAGGACGGAGGGGACGAAGAGAGCGACGTTGGCTAGTGTGGCGGGTAGTAAAACGGGAGGGGGGAAAAGGTGGAGGAAAGCTGTCGTACATACTTTTTGCCAACGTGCGACCAGGGTAGATGGTGTATTGTATTAGTGAATTTTCGAAAAGTCGTCGTTGCGAAGCTGATAGGGCGCAGCCGTCCTGAGCTTGCCAATGAGAATCAGTCGTGATCTTGACGGATTTAGACGCCCGCTCTCTGAAGCAGGTCTTGTATGCAGTGGCGCCAGATCGAGGTCGTGGGCGTCTACAAAGTGGCCAGTGTGGCCTGGCCGGCGCGAGGAGAGATGAGAGGGAGTATGTGAATGGATCCTGATCTCCGTTGTGTTTGTCTGAGATGTTCCAATCTTGTGCAAAGAGGGAAAATGGCCAAAGAAAATCTACAAGGAAAAATGACGCAAAGGTTTAAAATACGGGGGGGAGGGAGTAAAGTATTATGGATTTCGAAAAAGGAAACGAAAGGCGGGCGAGGTAGAAAACAAAAGGAAACACGAAAAGGAAGAAACAACCGTTTCTCAAGCAGGAATCTCTGCCATAAACGGCTTCTGGCAATGTCCTCCATCAATGTGAAGGACGGGCTTCCATCTTGCACCCAATCGACTCGCACATGGAGCCCGTCAGTGCGCATGCGTGAGAAGGGGAAAGACGGGACCATACAACCTGTTTCTCTAAGTGTATTGTCTCAATCGCCCGCCAGCCCCATGCACCAGAGAGGAACGGGAGGTGCAGGCATCGTTCTCGAAGAGTTTGCAGCAAGAAACATACAGAGCCTTTGCAGAACACACTCGCATGGTGCAGGGTGATATTGGGGGTGATACGTGCTCGCAAGGGTCTTGGCGCCCGCCATAGTTCTCTTGACTTTTGTCTTGCCCATTTGCTGCGGAGCCAGGCACGTCTCGTGTTTGACGAGGCGGTAGGGGAAAAGTCTGCACCCTCCTGGCCAGCCAATATCGAACATCTCGATACCACGGCCACTTCTCTGTCAGTTTCCAGCTTAGGGAAGCCAAAAACAAAAAAGTTAACAGAAACCGAGATGATGTTCCACTCGCTGAAGTCGAACAACACCGCGCAAATTCGAGCGGGAAGAAGAGGACGGTGATGTGCGGTCGGTAGGTGGACAAGGGATGTGGGGCACGATGAAGGTCGGCGGCCAATGCAGCATTGTGGTTGGGCGAGCCGTGAACTAACCCCCGGCCCTACCCTTATTCGCTATTGCTTCTTTGGTCGCATTATCTTGCCGTTGCAGGGATCCACACATCCCAGCTTCGATCTCGACGTTCTGATAGGTGTGCCGTGCATAGCAAGGGACCGGAAGTAGAAAGGTGACAGCCAATGAGCCGTGCAGTTGATGTGACGAGCACCCAGCCATCGTGCAGCGTGGGCGGCAAGTCGCAACGGAGTTGGCCAGTGCGAGCCATGTCTGCTCTTCTCTGGTCTCCATTTGTCTCCATTGTTCCTCCATTCGTTCATCAAGGCCTATTCTGGTCAGTTTCTTGCTCAATGCTGAGTTTTCGTCACGCCGCCTCTTCGCGCCGCTTGTCGACGCAACGAATGTTCCGGGCCTGAGACGGGCCGCATTAGTGCTAGTGACGACAATATGAGCGAACACGAGCGATTGACGCTCTGCAAGAGGGCTCAGTGTCAAGTGCTTCCTGTATTGCAATAGCAGGATTGTTTGTTGTCGTCTGATGCTCACAAGTGTGCTTGCAAATGTTGTACTCGAGTCAGAGTCCCTCGAAATCCGCATCCCCCCTCCCATTGTGAGTCTTTTTTTAGTCCTGCCAACCTCCCTCGCGTCACCAAGGGTGTGATGGCCGATGCGCTCAGTCCTCCGGCGGCGACTTCTTGGGTTCAGCTATGTGGGAAGGTGGTTGGTCTGGTCAACTCAGGGCCCAATCACCTAATAGATCATCCTATCCGGTACTCCGTATTGCCTCTCAGTGTTCCTGTGGCTGTTGTGTTGCCCAGCTCTGTCTCGTCAGTGGCGTGAAGGTTGTGCATCGGCTTGTCGAATCAATCCTATGTAGGATTGCGACGTGTGAATTGTGCCGGCGGAAAGAGATAAAACAGGTGACATCCAGCGCCAGATAGATTACACCAAAAGTGCCCGTTGGAGGGTGCGCCTGGTGTCTGGTTCGCCGACGGGTGATCAGAGGATGGGATGTCCCGCCTCTAGAAAGTGAGAATAGGCCGCGTGCGATATGATCCTCCTGTTCGAGAGCTGTTGAGTCGGCGGTCAACCGGAGATGGATAAAAGTGTTTTCTGTTTCTGGGCGGTCACTTTGGAAGAATGTTGCCGGGGCGAGGCAACGGGAAAGCGCGTAGATGTGCGCACAAGCGTTGCAAATGCTCTTGTTCGCCCCTTCCCCTTCTGTCGATTCTCTCTCTAATTATTCACTGTCGCTCCTGCCGTCAAGCCGATATCAAAGCGCTTACAGGAACCCGGCACGGCAGGCGCATCCCAGCGCGCACACGCTGTCTTGCATTGCTGTTCCCGTGTCGTCTTGCTGTACCCCTTTTGGACGCGTTAAGAGCGATGGAAAGTGCGTTCCAGGCTATCTATCTTCCCGTCCAACATTTGTGTGATTCGCGATCCTCACGACCACTTACACCGTAACCACTGCACTGTTCTTTACACACAGACTGTGGCATTTATTTTTAGCCTTTGCTGTGCGCACGAACCTCAAATGCACTAATTATCACTTTACGGGACCTAAGCTAGCACGGTGTCACAAAGCGGGCGAGCTCAGGATCGCCACTCATATTTGACTTAACTGCATTTTTTACAACATGGAAACGGTAAAGAGCTTGTTGAGTTAGTACACCTGATCTTTCTTTTGAGCGACATTGTTCTTTCCTTCCATGGATCGGAACGAAGAATCTTGTTTCATAAGGTCAAAAATGCTGCAGCTAACCTTCCATCACCCACCCGTCTCTCGTTTATTCTTCTTTTTTGGTCGTCATACATGCTGCCGTCATTGTCTGATCATATTTTCATATTCTTGCCTCGAAACTCTCAATATCTATTCTAAGAGAGTTATGATCCGCAACTTCTGTTCTATTTGCCTTTCAGAGATCAAGTCACGCGTAATTAGTCAGTATATTTAGTCAAAATTAGAACTCAAGAAGCTCGTCAGCAAAAGAACTCGTGCCGGCTTAACATACATTGTGCAAACACGACAATACGTTTTAAACGTTAAAGTAAGTCGCAACATATAATAAAGCCTACGAATATTATGTTTCTTATACCAATCAAAGTCACGTGTCTCAGTATAACAAGCAAATCGGTTATTCTCGATGCCCGTGACTTATGAAACAATTCATCGTAAAAACAAAAGCCAAGGAGAATTGCAAGGAAACGTCAGAAGCCGGTGTTCGACATGAAAACAGAATTCGCCATTGTCCATCGTCAACATTGTTGGAAGCTTCCATTCCTTCGCTGTCCCATTGCCACAGCCAAGTCTTATCTTATCAGGCTCTAAGAGGACTAGCGTCGAGTCACATCTCGCCGTCCGCCAAACCCCACCATCTTCGCGCTGCGCACGAATTTTTAACCTTGCTATGGGCGAAAAAATAAAACACGGCTAACGAACTATCACGACGACCCCCTCATATCCACGTAGCCTCGCCTGCCCACTGGTCTGGACAACATATTCGCGATTTCCGGTACGTGCAGCTGTCCCACTTCTGGTTTCTCATTTTGAAATACCTTGTCTGAGCCCTTTTCCTAACATATCCCTCCAGCCCTATAGAACTGTATACTCCCCTCGTACGTCAATTCGACATCACCTCCCTCGCGTCACACGATATCACATTGAACCGCGAACATGGCGTCCAACGGCGACAAATACGACCCCGAGGTGGAGTCGGACTCCGACTCGGGCCCCGGCTCCCCCGCCCTTGATCCTCAGGATGCGTCCGACAACGAGATCGACGAGAAGCCCCTCAAGTCGGCCCTGAAGAAGTCGCACGCCCCCGTCCCCGACCCGACCGTCGCCAAGCCGTACCTGCCACCACAGACCGACCCCAAGGACCTAGACGTCAGCACTCTATCTCCCCTGACGCCCGAGATCATTGCACGGCAGGCCACCGTCAACGTCGGCACCATCGGCCATGTGGCGCACGGCAAGTCGACCGTGGTCAAGGCGATTTCGGGTGTGCAGACCATTCGTTTCAAGAACGAGCTGATCCGCAACATTACCATCAAGCTGGGCTACGCAAACGCCAAGATCTACAAGTGCGACAACCAGGAGTGCCCGCGGCCAACGTGCTACCGCAGCTACAAGAGCGACAAGGAGGTTGACCCGCCGTGCGAGCGCGAGGGCTGCTCCGGCACCTACCGCCTGCTGCGCCACGTGTCGTTTGTCGATTGCCCCGGTCACGATATTCTGATGAGCACCATGTTGTCGGGCGCCGCCGTCATGGACGCCGCCCTGCTGCTGATTGCCGGCAACGAAGCCTGCCCGCAGCCCCAGACGTCGGAGCATCTGGCTGCCATCCAGATCATGAAGCTCGACAAGGTCATTATCCTGCAGAACAAGGTCGATCTGATGCGCGAGGAGACGGCCCAGCAGCACCACGAGTCGATCCTCAAGTTCATCCGCGGCACCGTCGCCGCCAAGTCGCCCATTGTGCCCATCTCCGCCCAGCTCAAGATCAACATTGACGCCGTGCTGGACAACCTCGTCAACAACATCCCCGTCCCACCGCGTGATTTCACCATGGACCCGCAGATGATTGTCATCCGCTCGTTCGATGTCAACAAGCCCGGTTCCGAGGTCGACGACCTCAAGGGCGGTGTCGCCGGTGGCAGCATCCTGCACGGCGTGCTCAAGCTCGGCGACGAGATTGAAATCCGTCCCGGTCTGGTCACCCGTGACGATGCCGGCAACCTCAACTGCACGCCCATCTTCAGCCGCATCGTGTCTCTCAACTCCGAGTCCAACGACCTCAAGTACGCCGTGCCTGGTGGCCTGATTGGTGTCGGTACCCACATTGACCCCACGCTGTGCCGTGCGGATCGTCTTGTCGGCTTCGTGCTGGGTCTCAAGGGTCGCCTGCCCGACATCTACAGCGAGATCGAGGTCAACTTCTACCTGCTGCGGCGGCTGCTCGGTGTGCGGACGGCCGATGGCAAGCAGGCCAAGGTGGAGAAGCTGTCGAAGAACGAGGCCATCATGGTCAACATTGGCTCGACATCGACCGGTGCCAAGGTGGCGGCCATCAAGAACGACGCCGCCAAGCTGGTTCTGACGAGCCCGACGTGCACAAACATCGGCGAGAAGGTTGCGCTGTCCCGGCGTATCGACAAGCACTGGCGTCTGATTGGCTGGGCGACCATCACTGCGTACGTATTCATTCTCCTCTTTCCCTCTTGTTGTCCCTTCTATGCAGACATGCTAACACATCACAGTGGTGTCGTTCTGGAGCCGACAATGCCGTAAGGAAGTCGTTGGGCCAAGGAAATTAAAAAGCGGTAGATTGGACAGTGCATAGGGAATTAACGCAAAATAAAACGAAGCAAACATATAGTAGAAGAGCAGCGCAAAAAAGCGTTGCTATTGGGATACTTTGCTGCTGAGCGACAGGAGGTACAGCGATGTCAACGACTGTTCGTCTCTTTTCCTAGCTCGTGTAGATGATATGCATATGAATGTTATTTGACACCAAATTACGGCAAGCTTGAGACTTTAAGGCGTACGGTTGACCAAATAGTGATATACAGTACTCGTAGTATCCTTGTATTAATGTGGTGTATCGCTCGCTCAAAATATATATCCAGGATCATATCAGACTTTTCATGTCAAAAGGAATCCTATTTTTCGGCCACTCTCTCTCACTTGCGCGTCTTCCGGGCGTGTGCAACCAGGCTCTCTATCACGCCCTCAAACGCTTCGCGGTCGCCAATCTTCTCGTCGGTCCGCTTCGTCCAGTACTCTAGCACCTCATTAGCAGCCACCTCCAATGACGCCAGCCGCTGTGCATGTGCCCTGAGCTCGTCGTCTGTCATCCCGTCCAGAGCCTCGTCCGTCGTCCTGCACAGTTGCTGACCAGCCACAAGATCCAAATCGGGTGGCGGTGGTGGCCCTTTCCGCTTACGCGAGGACGACGAGGGCTTTCCTTGCGAGTCGACACTCGAATTGGACCCGTTGGCTCCCGGCTGCTTCAGCCTTGCCACGCTGTTGTTAGCAGCCGCGGAAGACCCGTCTTTGGCGCCAGTGTTCGACCGACTGTCGGACGATGTACGCGGTGAGTCGGTGCGGCGGACAGAAAGCGACGGCAGTATGAGCTTCTTTTGTTTGGAAGCAGGCAAAATCTCGTCTAGGTCGACGGGCACGCCCAGGCTAACCAAAAAGAGGCGCCGGATGCGGCTTCGGATCCAGTCCGGCGGCTGCAACGGTGGTGGGGCCACAAGCTGTGACCAGAGAGACGCGCTTCGTGGCGTCAAGAAAATCGAGTTGCTCAGTTGTGGCGGGGTGGGGAGGGCGTCGTCTGGTTGGAAGAGACCGTTCAAGTAGGGAGCGGTGGTCTTAAGGATGTCGTCTGCATCGAGCTCCTCAAAGTCGGGAATGGGAAACGGTAATGCTGGTGGTGCAGATTGCGCAGGCTGTGCTGGAGCTTGCTTTGGTAGTGGTGGTGCTGCTGCTGCTGGAGGCGGTTCTTGAAAGCCGTCATCAAATTCTCCAAAGTCCTCGTCGTCCCCACCGCCCTCTTCAAATTCGTCAAAGTCATCGCCAAAACCATCGTCTTCGCCTTTGTCCCCACCATCCTCTTCGGCGTCCTCCGCAGCGTCTGCTGCAGCCGCTGTACCTGTACTACGCGGCTCTTGGGGAGAACTAGAGTCTGAGCTGTTCAAAGCTGGAGATGATATTGGTGCTTCAACTACGGTAAATAAAAACTGTCAATAAAAAAACGACGGCCACACAAGAAATAGAGCATTGCAGGAAAGCGTGAGTGTGAGAAACGAGAAACAGGCACTGGGGAAACGAAAACGAACGAGCAGGGAAAGTAGGGGGGCGTCGGCAACAGGAAACAGTGAGACACAAAAAGGAACCCAAAGTCCTCTAGGCATTCGTACCAGTATTGCCAGCGAAGTTCAGCGTTCCGTCCGCCTTCACGACCAAGTCCGGCACGGGATCAGACTCGTGCTTCTTCCCGTCGGCCGTCTTGGCACCGTCACCGTCGGCCGTCTCCTCCACCAACGTCGTGGGAATGGGCTTGCCGCCGGGCGTGCTTGGGCGATCCGGCAGGTGTGTAGTAGCAGAGCCGTCGCTTGCGCCGCCATCTGCATCAGCAATCATGGCGATCTCGTCAGGCTCAGCGTCCCCCTCCCGTAGGCGGTAGGCATCGGTGCCAGGAACCTCGCCATACGAGGGCTCGTCGCTGACCTTCTCGACCCGCGTCCGTGGTATAGGCGAGGCCCGCGACGACTCGGCGGGAAGCGAGTGGGCATCGGAGAAGTGGTCGTCGGACTCGGAATCTGCTGTGTTTTGTGGTTCTGTCAGCGGGATGTTCGCTGCTTTTCTGTGTGCATCTCATCTTTCCCCTCTATCCCCTCTATCCCCTCCTCTATACATGCCAACGTACTCAGATCATGAGCCCCTGGATCCTCCGTATGGGTGCGCTCCGGAGGCGACAGACTGTTTCGTCGGCTGGACATGATGTGTATGTGCTCGGTAGGCGAAGAAAAGGGGCTGACACGGGCGGCGATGGTGCCTGAGAGAAGAGCCAGGCGAAGATGCGCAGGTAGCGAAATGGAGGGTCTAGATGGGTCGACCACCAGCCAGAGAGGCGCGGGGTTGCACCAAATTAAGTCACGGCCTTCTGTGCAATGACTAGATATGCGGTATAACCGGCAGGGTTGCTTATATCGACAAATGGGCGGTAGGACTGTGTCATACAATGGAAACCGATTTGCGAGACGGTCGGATCGAGCTCGACAGTCTGTGGGAGTGGCAGCTACAGAGAGAGTCGCGGTGCCTGAGGTGGTCTGGCCCCTCTAGGCATAGCGCACTAGTTAGGTAAGCGGTCTGGCAAACAGAAAAAGCGGGGCCCTCCTTGCAACAGGCAGTAGTTGACTGTGGCCCTGGCGCCGTTCCTTCCCCCTGTGCGCGACTGGGCCTTCTTAGCAGGGAGCTTTGTTGTCGCGTTAAATCGTTTTTTATTTTCCTATTTTTTGGTGTTCATGTCCCAAAAGCTCTCGCAGCGGCGACCAACCTCCAACATCTCAAACACCATTCACCAGGAGAGCTCGAAATCATTTACTTGGGACTCCTTTGATCGACAAGACTATCAACAACAAGGTGTTCCCATCCTGGTTGGATAGAGCTCGTAACCGTTCCTCGACATCGACGCGCGATTCTACCAAAACCTTGGGGGTATTTTTGACAGCTTCGGTTCAAGCTTTCAGTCTCTTCAGCATCATCCCGATACCTCTTCCAGCACGCCTCAAAAGCCCCGTGAAGGAATAGTTTGGGACAGAGACGGTGACCGATCGCCCATTTACGATAATTGCCCATCGAGGAACGAACGATAAGCTACCTTCTACATCCCCAACCATGTCCTTCAGTTTCGGCGGGACTTCGGCGGCGGGCGGCTCGTCGACGCCCGCTACGACGGCGCCATCACTGTTCGGTGCTTCTGGGGCGGGCACCACGAGCGGCACCCCTTCGTTCTCTTTTGGTAGTGCCGGAACCAGTGCTGCCCCCGCGGCATCCTCACAGCCTGCTACGTCTGGCGGCGGTCTCTTCGGCGGCGCTGCTTCGACAGCAAAGCCAGCTACCGGCACATCGCTGTTTGGTGGTACTTCAACTGGTGGCGGAGGTCTGTTTGGCTCAACACCCACTGCTGGCTCCACGACGCCCAGCTCGGGTGGTCTCTTTGGCGGAGGTGCCGCAGCAGCAAAGCCTGCCACGACCGGCCTGAGCTTTGGCTCTGCTACGCCGGCTACAGCTGGCACCGCTGCACCCAAGAGTCTTTTCGGTGCCACGCCTGCTACCAGTGCTCCATCGGGCACGACAACGCCGAGCTTTGGTGGCTTTGGCACTGCAGCCTCCTCCGCGCCGGCAGCCGCTGGTACAACTGCTACTACAACTGCAGGCGGCCGGGGCGGCGGCCTGTTTTCTGGAGCCGGCTCTGCTACACCTGCGAAGCCCTTATTTAGCGGACTGGGGTCGACCACCCCCGCCGGGGCACCGCCAGTTTCAACAAAGCCTGCATCTACTTCACTGTTTGGTAGCACGTCCGCGGCGCCTGCGGCTGCTGCTGGAACTACTAGCGCCCCTTCGGGTGGCTTGTTTGGTGGCGCTGCCACATCCCAGGCCGCAAAGCCCAGCAGCTTGTTCCCTGCTACAACGAGCACTGCACAGCCAGCCACGACCACATCCGCGACAACTCCCTCGCTCTTCGGCGCCAAGCCGGCCGCTGCGTCGACCACCCCGGCTACCACGGCTAGCACGGGCGGTTCTCTGTTTGGTGCTGCTGCACCTGCAACCACAACTGCCGCTGCGCCGTCTGGTGGTCTGTTTGGTGGTGGTACGACATCGACCCCTGCCACCACTTCCGCTCCTGCCGCTGCCGGTGGCCTCTTTGGCGGTGGCTCTGCCACGGCCACGACCACTACGGCTCCTGCAGCCGGTGGTCTGTTTGGCCTCGGCGGCGGTACCTCTACTGCTACAGCAACCCCCACCACTACTTCAACAGCTGCGCCAGCTGCCTCGACGCCCTCGCCGTTTGGCGCTAAGCCAGCTGCCACACCTGCCACTACAACTGCTCCTGCCGCGGCGTCTGGCGGGCTGTTTGGCGGCGGCGCGACTGCTACAACCACTCCGGCATCGACTACTGCTCCTGCTGCCGCGGCTACGGCCGGCGGTGGTCTCTTCGGCGCAAAGCCGGACGCTTCTACCGCTGCACCCGCCGCTGCTTCAACTACGACGACTGCGCCTGCGACTGCGACCGTCACTACCGCGACAACCTCTGCCGCTACCGGCGCTGCCGCATCCACTCCATCAACCACAGCCCTTGGTAGCTCCACCACGGGACCTACCTCACAGCTGGCACGGTTAAAGAACCGCACCATGGACGAAATTATTGGTCGCTGGGCGACTGACCTGGACAAGTACCAAAAAGAGTTCCAGGGCCAGGCGTCGCGCGTCAAGGAATGGGACCAGAAGCTCGTGGAGAACGGCGAGAAAATTCAAAAGTTGTACCTCGAGACATACGAGGCAGAGCGTGCCAGCAACGAGATTGACCGGCAGCTGCAGTCGGTGGAGAGCCAGCAGGACGAGCTAGCGGCATGGCTGGACCGGTACGAGCGCGAGGCCGAGGAGCTGCTCAGCCGGCAGAGCGGGCCAGGCGAGCAGCTCACGGGCCCTGACCAGGAGCGCGAGCGGACGTACAAGCTGGCGGAGCGGCTGATTGACCGCATGGACGAAATGAGCAAGGACATGACCAAGATGATCAAGGAGATCAACGACATTTCGGGTAGCCTGAGCAAGACGGGCAAGACGGACGATCCTGTGAGTGTTCCATTTATTTTTTGGCAAACGTGTCAGAACCTACAAATATGCTAACAACTCGCCAGCTGAGCCAAATCGTACGGGTGCTCAACGGCCACTTGAGCCAGCTGCAGTGGATCGACACCAATGCAGCGGCCCTGCAGGCCAAGGTCGCGGCGGCCAAGAAGACAGAGGCCAACCTCGGCGGGTCGCACAGCGGACTGGAGAACGACGTAGCCGAGAGCTTCTACCGCTCGTACATGGCCCGGCGGTAAAGCCGATAATTGAAAGTAAGATGCGTGTGGAGAAACATCGGGAGGAAAGAAAGCATGGAATTGCAAAATTAGTGGCCTGCCTACGTTTCGTTGGATTGGCGGCCTTGTTTATGTACGCGGATCACGGTTGATATTTTTGTTCACTTTTTTTCGTTTTGTTTTGCATTTGGTACAATTCTTGAGTCTTGATGAGTTTACTGTACAATATGTCCAGGTGGATGGATAGTAGTGCGCAAAATACGGTAGATTTTCTTGATTTTACACTTGTGGCTTACGATGTTGACAGTTTGATGCCGCACTTTTAAAACAGGATTTCACGAAAACAGGTAGACAACGCAATTGAAGGGAAACAACGTGAGCTGAGTGGTTGTCTTTTTGGCGACGGAATAGACCCCAATGGTCTCCCATTTTGTTATGTGTTCCTGTATGTACTCGACGGCTCCTCTTCGACACCAGTGATTCCTTTCACAAAATCCTCGTTGCTCTGGCGCCCCGCAAATCCAACTCCAGAATTCCGGCTTCCAAAGCCCGTTGTTTTGTGCTACAATCGAGGCTACGTCGTGTCGTGCGCCGCCATCATCAGATCCGAAATTTCTGTAAGTTTGAATACTTAGTTCTTCTCGCCGCCCTGCTCACGGGTGAGCTCGTCGCTGTTGGCAGAGTTAGCAAATTGAGCCCGACAACAAAACACCCACGCCTCACGCCAGGTCATCCTTCGACGTACATGTGCTGGGCGAGCTGGTCCAGGTGGGCCTGCTGCTCCTTGAGCTTCTGTCTCAGCTGCAGGAGCTTCTCCTTCTCACGCTGGCGGATGGCATAGTCTTCGGCGGCCTTCTCGCGGCGGGTGAAGGCATCGCTAGTACGGTGTTAGCTGTCTCTCGTTCTCTCTCCCTCTCTCTCTCTCTCTCTCTCTCCTCAGCATATGGAGCAGCTTACGCAGTAGGGCGCGGTGCGCCGGTGTCGCCCTCGCCCATGCGAATGGCGCTGGTGGCAAAGGTCCGGGCAGTGGTGCGCAGAGTCGCCGGGCGGCCAGCAGCGGTGAATTGGCGAAGCATTTTAGTAGAGGTAGGCGGGCGTGGGTGAGGTTGCTGTGCGTTGGTGGTAATCGAGAGGGAAAAGAGGGAGGTTTGTGGAGAGAGAAAGGATTGAGGAGGGAGTCCGTCAAGTAAATAGGCCGGAAGCAAAGAAAACCACGCGTGATTGGATATGCGGCTTGGACTGGGTTTGTGGCGGCGGGACCAAAGTGCAAACGCAAGACCACAAAGCAGAGCGGGAGGGGTGGTGTGAGTTAGGTGCAAGCTGGTGAAGACACAGCGCACCATGGGCCCATTGTCCACTGTGAGACTCCTCGCCTAAAGCACCCCACTTTCTGGGCCTGGCCGGGCTAGGACCAGGCCACAACCGCCAGAAACGTCACAACTTAGCAGGCAAAGCAGCTTGGAGCTCGAAGCTCCGTCATCCGCCGAGGTGCGCTGATTGGACAACGGGGCCATGAGGCGATCACGGCAAGATCGGATTAGACGACGATGTAGATGACGATAGATGAAATTCTTGAGCATTCCAGTTATATCCATGGTAAATTCTACAGCGTCTTATAACCAGCATCGAAGCTCGTAACGGACATAGAAACTATGCTACTGTGTCCATCATTGTCCCTTGCGATTTGTCACGTGATACTTTTGACCAAGGCACTCACCGTTCGCCCATGGCATGATGCCGTTGGCCAGGTTATCCGTTTGACTACTCTGAGGCCGTCTCTACGTCGTAGATTGCAGTAAAAATATGCTCTCTAGATGTGCAGCAAGGACAACTTCGATAGCAATATCCTGTGCGATCAACAGTGGCATAAGCCCAATAAGTCAGGTACCTAGTCAGGCCCTACAGTTGAAAGCGAAACGAGTCGGGCACGTAGGCACGTGGTTTGGCCGAACACATTGCGAACGGGATACTATGCAAAAAGAAGCTCCTGGAATGTGTCGTCTAGTGGCTGGCCCACAGGGTCCAGCTGGCAAGGAAAAAGACTTTGGTGCAAAACTGTTTTCAGACAGCACAGCTGATGGTAAGATAAAAGTACAGCTAAAGGTACCGGAGTAAGATTATAATGGTGTTGTGTTCTCGAGTGCCAGATGGCCGCAAACAACCAGCGTGGCCATCTGCAAAACGAAAGCTGCATGCCCCAATCAGTTATCTGAAATAACCCGACGGTGCAATGCATGCACGAGAACGTCATCAGGCCAACCGGCAGTTACCGCGAAAAGAACATAATTCAACTGCTTGCTGTTCCTGGTAAAGTTTGATGGCAGCTTCACTAACAGCGGCTCGATTTCGTCTTCTGATATGTGTGTGCACGCCATCGGAAAGCATTATCGAGCCTACTTTTGTATTTTGCTCATTTCTCGTAGTCTTCACCATCTCCTAAATAACAACAAAGCGATCGCAATAGGTCATATAAATAGCCTGACTCGCTGGTTAATCAGAGGGAGAGTGGGAAATGAGGGAGTCAAGGCGATTCCCGTTTGAGCGTGGGCAGACTTGGTTTATGATGCTAAGAACCCCCAGACATCGACACATCCTCTCAACACCAAGGATACGCAGGTTAGTTTCAAGAGGGAAACAAATCAAGTGACGTTATCTTCATGGCATGTGCGTTGCGGGTTTGCCTTCAGCCCCCTCTTTCCTGTTCCTGTTTCTCTCTGTTTCCTTGGTCGTCGTTCGCTCTTGCCTCGTTTTGTATATGCCAACACAGCCACACCAATCTGCCCATGCCAAAACCCACCTGGGAGAGAAGCACCCCTCACCTCCCTTCCCTTTCGAACGAGACACACGGCGGCAAGCCGACAACACGGGCCAGCTGCGCAGGCGCGTTTTCTGTCACGTGAAACGAAGCCCATCCACGAACGATTGGCATTCATTCTCGTTCTCGTCACAATGGGAGTGCTCTGGAGAATCAATTGGGTGGAGACAGGGCTGCACTGCTCCCTGATTGCTTGCTAATGTGTCCAGTATCCGAACTTTCTGTTCCTGCCGGTGTTTCTGTGGCAGGAATGGAAGGCGCTGATGACAGGTCGCCCTGGTTGCAAAGTTGAGGCGTGCGGCGCTTTCGAACCAGGGCCAGGCCAGGAGGAAGGAGCAACTGGCCGGAAACGGGGGATGCTTTCTCACGAGAAATGCAAAGCCAATACATCCAAACACACGAAGATGCAGTGTACGACAATACGACGCTTTGCAAAATTGCATTCTACTCTAAGGGATCAAATGTGCGGTGTGAAAATGGTCGAGATCCGGGGCTAAAAGTCCCACGCGCCCTGGCTTTAACAGTCGGTACCCGAACTCCCATGGTCCCTTCACCTTCAGCTTTGTATCGGTGCAGCACATTACTGCGACCGGGAGCCCCTGTCATTCCAACGAAACAGCTCACTGAAAAGTGCACTGAGGCATTGCACTGGATAGGCCGTTCCTGTTCGCTCCTGCCCTTGTTGCCCGTTCCCTGCCATCTCCCACGCCCCTCCTGCCTCCCTTCCGGCCTGCTAGAGCACCCCCCTCCTACCCCCCTTGACGCCGCATTTTCTTGATTCCTTCCTTCCCAGTCTGGCTCCCTTTCACCAACAAATCGCGTCAACCAAAACAGACAGCAACACCACTCCCAAATTCTCCAAATTTCCTGCCTCAAACGCATTTTTGCCTTCTTTTACACTTGTTTCTTCTTCCCTAATTATCTTCCCAACCATTCAACCATCGACCACCACTCCAACACCACCCACAACTAACACCATCTTCGATACCCTTCACCGTCTTACATTTCCCCTTCTCTTCAAGGTACGTATCAGCCCTACAGGAATTCACACAATGCTTCTTTCTGTCTTGCAGAGTCAATTTCGTCACAATCCATCATAACTCACGACGACGAAGCCCATGTTCGTCGTCCGCTGCCCCTTACCCATGCCCTCTCTTGCCTCGCCAAACTATATGCTTCCATGCCTGTTCCTCTGCCCATTCCCCGCGATTGCCCGCAGGCGACGAGACAAGCGCAACATGCAACAGCACAGCGTTGCGCCCAATCTACCGCGAGACCATAGAGACCGGCGAACCACCGTGACCGTTCGCATCGACCGGCCCCTCCTCCATCATGCTCATGCTCGCCCTCGTCCGGCACGCCACATCCTCAATTGGCCGCCGCTCGTTCCCGCTTCCTCTGCTCGCACAGCGGTTGCAGACAAGGACAAAAGAGACCAGTGAGCGGGATGCCGAAGCCGGTAGCTTGTCCAGCTGCGCCTAGCTCTCTAGCTTGTTTGTCTGTTCCAGCTTGCGCGTCTATTTCGTCTGCGATTAAACAAAATCGATCGGACGAAGCGCAATAGGGCATTTTGCACACGGATCACGGCCTCGCGTTGCGCTGTGTGCAGATGCAGCGCGGGCTTAATACTCGGTTGGTTTGGTCGCGGGTTGTCCTGCGCTGTTGGTTGGCCTTGCCAGCGTTGCTGCTTGTCCACCTGTCCACCTGTCCACCTTAGCGCCACATTTGCGCGGACCCCACCGAATCGGCCAGATGAGAGAGGAGCGGGGAGAGCCTCCTTTTTTTCACTCACTGCCGCCTGGCCCTCTTTTTGCTCGCCTTGTTCCACCTGACCTCTCCTTCCAATCTGCCCTTACTGTTCACTCCGCCTCCTAACTCCTTTCCTTCGCATCCTCTCACCTCGCTCAACAATCTACCTTCTGCATATCGTCAACACCGCAACAAACACCAACACCACCTTCTTTTCCTGTCTAGTGCAGTATTTCTTTCCAGCAATCCGTGTCTATCGATATCTCCATCAACCTGTTCGTCTCTCTCGTCTTAATATGTGACCGCTTTGCAATTTCCTTCTGCCTACACTTCCCCCCTCCTATCACCTTTGATTCACCTGTTGTGTTCTGTTCCTCTCTTCTCCTGGCGCAGATGGATGCTGCAACAGTTGAAGATTTGTTTTGCGTTGCCAGTTTTCCGCGGTTCAAGTTTTGAGCATCGCATTTGCGCCTCCTGCATCTTGCGAACAGTTTCTTGGTGTCATCGTGCTAACACACAGTTTCAGTCACATTACCGCCACAATGGGTCACGAAGATGCTGTCTACCTCGCCAAGCTCGCTGAGCAGGCTGAGCGCTACGAGGGTACGTCATTACTATACGACTGCTATAGAACGGCTTCTTGAATTTGGGGAAACAATGGAGATGCTCGAGGTAGAGCGCAAAGGGACAGCTCAGCGTCTGCTTCGGCCTGATTCAAGCCGGATCAAACTATACCAATCGAACACGCCTGCTAACGCGCCGCTTTTTGCCTCTCTGCAGAGATGGTCGACAACATGAAGATTGTCGCCTCCAAGGACCAGGACCTGACCGTTGAGGAGCGCAACCTGCTGTCCGTCGCCTACAAGAACGTTATCGGTGCCCGCCGTGCGTCGTGGAGAATCGTCACTTCCATTGAGCAGAAGGAGGAATCCAAGGGCAACTCTTCCCAGGTCACCCTTATCAAGGAGTACCGCCAGAAGATCGAGGAGGAGCTTGCCGGTATCTGCGACGACATCCTCAAGGTTCTCGACGACCACCTGATCCCCTCTGCCAAGACCGGCGAGTCCAAGGTCTTCTACCACAAGATGAAGGGCGACTACCACCGCTACCTGGCCGAGTTCGCCATCGGCGACAGACGCAAGGACTCTGCCGACAAGTCGCTCGAGGCCTACAAGGCCGCCACCGAGGTCGCCCAGACCGAGCTGCCGCCTACCCACCCCATCCGCCTTGGTCTTGCGCTGAACTTCTCCGTCTTCTACTACGAGATCCTCAATGCCCCCGACCAGGCCTGCCACCTGGCCAAGCAGGCCTTCGACGATGCGATTGCCGGTGCGTATTTTTCTGTCATTGCATGACCCAGCGTTGCCGGGTCCAAATTTGCCAAGAATCAAAACCCGCTAACCCCGCCATTTAATAGAGCTCGACACATTGAGCGAGGAGAGCTACAAGGACTCGACTCTCATCATGCAGCTGCTGCGCGACAACCTTGTAAGGACTTTTCAGATCCGTGACCCCTCATTAATCAGCACCATTGTACGAATACGAACAATCTACTAATCTATTTTCACCCTAACTGCAGACCCTCTGGACGTCTTCCGAGGCAGAGCCCGCTGCTGCCCCCGCCGAGGCCGCCGCCGCCACCCAGGAAGAGCCCAAGGCTGCCGAGGCGGCCCCGGCCGCGGAGGAGCCCAAGGCCGAGTAAACCAAAAATGGACGCAATCGTGTACTTTCCTTTCTTGGGTTGCTTTTTCTCGCCCGGTTCTCGGTTGATCTTTTGATTGTTGAATTTGCGGCGGATTCTGGCTGGTGTCTTCGGAGTGTGTGTGCACAAAGGAAAGAAGGAAGGGATTTTCGTCTTTTTCACTGAAAAACGGAAAGAAAAAAAACTACACAAGGAATTGTGCATGATTTCATATGCTGTGCGAGTCACAATATTTTCCCTTCCTTCGAGCCCTCCCCCCCCCCTCTCCCCCCCCTGTCTTACAAAATTCCCCCAAACCAAACTTTTTTCACGACTTTTATCTCGGTCTTCTTTTTTGTACTTGTTTTCCCAATCTCATTTTTTGAGGTCGACAAGAAAAAGATCAAGAGGCGAAGAAAAAAAAAAAACTTGCAAAAAAAAGATTAATTTTCCAATATATCAAAGAATTCCCATTGTGGTGATATCTCTCAAACCCGCTCCCAGTCTCTTGTGTGTAGTTTCAGTCCCATTATGTTGCCATTTTTCTTATAAGTAACTGTACGTATCGCTGGTCTTCAAGCTGTGTTTCTCGTGGCTACAAATTAAACGGTTCGTCCTGTGTTCATACGACAAAAACAGTCAGGTATTTTAAAGTGTATTTGAGAAAAGGCTCTGGAATACACTATGAACCAGGGTGCGTTCAAACGTACAAACGGTTGGCATAGAATCTCTTCAAACACGATTGGTATTAATTCGTATTTCGACAGTTGCGGCCTGTGGACGCTCGGTCCATGCAAGCCATAAATATTCCGACCGCTCCCGTAATACATATATGCATGGCTAAAGGACAATACGCTGCACTTTTGTTTTTGGCTGTGACTGTCAAGGCTGCTGGATCAAGCTTCCTCCGCCACGTCGTCATCGTCGTCCTCGCCCCCATCTGGCGCCACAGCAAAGTGTACACACAGCCACAGACTGCAGTCCTGGCACCCTACGAGGAGCTCGCCGGCTGGTATTGTCGTCGTGGCCTCTCCGCCCACGAGCAGCTCCTCCATCGCCTCCGCGTCCAGCTCTTCCTCCAGATCCTGCTCACTAAACGCGTACCCTCGCGGGTTGCCGCACCGGCAAGCCCGGTACCATGTCTGCGTGGCCTCGTCATACGGCAGCTCGTCGAGGTCGACAATCTCGAGCCCCGTAGCGGTTGGCTCGAGGGCGGCCGAGGCGCTCTCCAGCGCCCCGCCGCCGGGGGGTGCCGTTCCACCCGCGCTGTCCCCACCCAGGGCAATGTAGGCGGCCTTAATGTCGTCGACGGTAAAGGCAGACGCAGGCTGGGTGCCTGTGCGCATCTGCTTGTCCGGGTGGTGCTGTAGAAGGGCGCGGCGGTAGGCGCGGCGCACCAGAGCAGCACGAGTTGCGTGGTCCGCCGGCGATGAAGAAGAACCTGCATCCGGGGAAGCATTCGTCGTTGATGTGAACCACGAGGGGTCCAGGCCGAGAACGAGCCATGGCGTCTTTCGTGGGTCGGCCATGATTGGAGGGTTGGAGTGGGTGTGAAATAAATGCTAAGGTGTTGTTACCAGAAACAAGCAAAAGCTCGAAGCATTAAAAATAGTTCGGTTACTGAATAAATTATATATAAAAAAAAACTTGTAAATTGTGAGCTATGCGTAGAATTTGCCGAGAAATATGAAAATATTAACTGCACTCAGTGAACTCACAGAAGGCCTAAGTAAAAGACTTGTATTTTTGTAGTCTCCGAGCATCATCACGGAAAATTTTAGTATTGAGGCAAAATGACTAAGCAACACCAACACGAACAAAACACCACACTGCAAAATATCACCATGACGTTCTGCACCCAAATATGTTTTCCGACGTCCCCAAACTAGTTTGGATATTTTCATTCGCGTTTTGCTGTATAACAATTCTTACACTCAAACAAAGGTTCCCTTTGAAACGTCCAATCCTTTTCCATGCCCTGTTCTCTCTCCGTCACCTCTGATAATCTCTTAACTGTTCTAGTAGTTCAGCTCACCACCGGCGCCGTTGCCAGCCTGATCCAAGTCGTCGTAGCTCTTGATTGTCCGGCCCTGGATCGCCTCACGCGGGCCGACAGCGGAGCCACCACCAGCACCGTCCCAGCGTCCAGGCAGGCCGACAGCGCCGCCGACAGCGAATCCACCAGGACCACCACCTCCATTGCGCCCGCCACGACCGCCACCTCCACCGTGCATCGGGGACCCGCCGGTGATACCACTGTCAGGGTTCCAGCGCATGGGCCGACGGTCGTAGGGGCCCGTCCGGTTGTTGTTGTGCCGAGTCCCGCCACTCCGGCGGATGGGTCCGGGTCCCCCAGGGCTGCCACCTACGGGGCTTTGCCAACTACCTGGCACCTGCATAGCAACTGGGTTGAACATGTTAAAACCGCTGTTGCCGCCAGGACCAGGGAAGCCTGGCATGGGCGGCAGGCCGCCAGCCGCGCTGAGGTTGTAGTTGTGCAGGTTGAAGCCACGAGGTGTGCCCGTAGGTGTCTGTCCTGCCCCCGCCGAAAAGTGCCCATTAGAGCTGGCGTCTGTTCGGGACGGTGCGATGTGCGCCGGATCGGCCGCGTAGGCATTCACCAATTCAAGCTGAAAAGGCAAGGTTAGTACGGAGAATATAAACGCAGTAATCAGAGAGAATAGACAGGGTTGCTCACATCGGCTTTCAACGCTTCATACCACTCGCTGTGGCGCTTCTCGACGTGCTTCCGCCAAAAGTGTTCCTCCTTAAACAGCTTCGTGCATTCGGGAAGTTTGCATCGATACTTGTGCTCATCCTCCTGCTTGACGTGGTTGGCGAGCTCGTCGTTCAAGGCGTCGTCCAGAGGCTTACCGCCGAACTTGCGTAGGTCAGTCGATTCGGGGTCCAGCACTTGACTGATCTTCTCCTCAAATGTCTTGACCCAGTTAAAGGCGCGCAGTAGCTGTTGCTCAGCCTTTGGTAAGCTGGCGCGGCCCTTGCCACCGCTGCCCTTATCACCACCAGCGCCGCCCCGGCCACCCTCGTCAGGCAGTTCACCCTCCTCAGCATCTGCCGATGACGAGGGATCGTGGCGCTTGACCGGGAACGGCTCCCCGTGTGCAGAAGCCCGTGCCACCTCCAGGGCCGCCGGGGTCAACGAGCTCCGCGGCCGGCGCAGATGTCCTCCCGGGCACTTCCGCGTCAGCTCATGCACGGAGTCGCTCTCAAACACGCAGAAGAAGCAGAAGTTGAAGACACGCCGCAGGTACTCAATCAGCAGATCAAGCTGCTTCTTCTGGCCGAGCACATACTCGTCATCGACATCGTCTACGACAACACCATCTTCCAGCTCCTCGCCATCTTCTTCTTCCTCATCTTCCTCACCGTCTTCGATGTCGTCCATCTCGTCATCACCGCCAACCTCAAAATCCAGGTTCACATCCATGTCGACACGACGGCTCTTCTGGGCCTTTCTCTTCTTGGCTGCAGCAGGCCGAGTGCTAGGAACATGGACAGGCTGGAGTCGGCCTGTGTGGCGAAGCTCCTCGACCTTTTCCTCGACCTTGAACACACCATTAAAAGTCGAGTCAACATCGGCTTCGAACTTGGCCACAAGGCGCTGGACGAGATGCAGATCTCTGTCGATGCGTTCCGGTGCCGAGAAGAGGTCCCACAACGCCTTCTTTCGGAAATTTGTCGGCGGGTTATGTACGCCCACGTGGCATGTAAAGTCGCCACGGACCTCGTCCTTGACTGTCTTACTGTTGACGGCCTCGAGCGCCCGCTCGGCAACGGGAACGGTCGCGGGATTCTCTATGTCCACGTTCCCATCCTCATCTTGGACAGGAAAGCCGCCCTCGGGACCTGGGTTAAGCATAATCCATCCGATGCGGTGGTAACGTTTTCCAGGATTGGGGTCACTCAACGAGAGCCAGCGGTAGCCACCCTCGCCTTCACCGAGATGCTCACGGCAGAAGTTCTCCAGGTTTTGGCGGCTGACAGTCGGCGCTATCGTCTTGATCAACAACGTCGGCGCAGTCAGAGATTCGTCCCGAATATCGGCGGCAGCCACTGCCGGGACCAAATCGCCCACTCCCAGAACATCGTTGGCCGCAGCCTCACCCTCTTCCTTTTCAACCGCAGCGGCGACGGCAAGAGTATCGCTCTTCGACACGCCCTCGAGGGTGAACTCGTCGAAAAGGCCTGTTTCAAGATCTTGTTCCCACTGCGAATAAAAGGTCTTGCGGACCTCTGCGAGCTGTTGCCGTAACGGGTCGCGGACGGCCGGGACGTAGCGCTCAATAAACCACTGCTCGTCCTTATGTTGCTTGACAAAAGCCGTGGCCATCTTGCCCTGCACTTCTTCTTTGTAGGCGTCGTAGGCAGCCTGGATCTTGGCCTTCTCCTCCTGGGCCTCCTTAGGGCCTCGGGGCTGGCGTTCTCGCTCCGGCCGGCGTCCTGTTCTTTGTGCCTCATTTTCTTCCTTGATCTTTTCGTTTGTGCGCCACCATTCTCCAAAGAAAGAGAAGCCGACCTGGTATGGCAGGGTGAGGGGATCCGGCATGGGGTTGGTCAAGGCCGGGCGCGGTGGCTGCTGATGTAATGGAGGAGTCAGTGTGGTGATGCCGCCGCTAGACGTCGCCAAGTGCAATGGCTGGCCAGGAACGTAACGGTCGATGTTGGCGGGCGGTGAGTTGATGCGACGGCGGTCGTCCCGGTCACGATCCCGGCCACCTCCATTCCCATATTCGTCTCTCACTCGCGAACGAGGCTCGTAGCGATCAACGGCGGTCGGCGACCGTGAACGCGCTGGACGGCGATTCCGCTCGGGTTGTCCTACACATTCAGAGAACAGTCAGTACTGCCCGCAACGTAGGTGCAATATGTCTGCTTCTGGTTCACCACAGAAAAGGGGTAATAGGTACCTGGAGACCGGCCACGGTAGAATGGGTCACGATCGTCTTTGCGCCCGTCGTTCCATGATCTATCCGGCGGTGACCGCATTGAGTCTGCTCTGAAGTAAGAGTCCATCGCTGCGACGGCGGGCTACAGGTGTGAAAGCTATAGGCGACATGATGGCGGTTAGAGATAGGATCGGTAAAGGGTATGTATGAGCTAGATTTGAAAAGAAGAATAAGAGAAGATTGAAATTGGAAGGAAACGAAGACAAGAGATGGAACAGAGACGGCCTTGAGAAAAGGCGGAAGTAGGAGAAAAGGTACGGGACCGAGCACGGCAGGCCGGGCGGAGAATACGTGAATAAAAGAAAGAGAGGCTAGAGAAAAGGACGAAGAGAACGACGATGGGAGGAGAAAAACGACATATGACGAGGGAGGCAGGGAACGGACGAAGAAGAGAAAGACGAGAGAAAACGAACAATTTTCTGATTGAATTCTTGGGGATAAATCAAAGAAGAAGCAGAGACCAAAGGTTCAAAGGGCGACAATGGTCTCCTGGCGATGTAGTCGGCAGCCTAGCTCGTCTTGACATTCACGAGGGCCTGGATGTTGTGATGGTTGTGGGTGTGAGAACGACAGCGACGGAGAGAGGAAGCCAGAAAGTCAAGACATGAGCAACAAAGGGACGAGAGTTGGAACGTCGCGCCGCGATTGAGCAGCATTCTGGGGGCAGGAGCGCTGGGAGGAACGGGGCAAAGGGGCTAATGCACAGCGCTAGTCTATTTTGGTACTATTAAGGTGCAAGCATGCCCGCTGATTGGCTTAAATTGAGCCTAGCGGAATCACGTGAGGCTGAAACCCAAAAAAATAGGACACGACGGCGGTAAAAGTCGAGACAGGGCGCGTGCGCAAAACACACTAACGGCAAGCTGCAGCTGGAGCTGGAGCTCTTGCGATGAACATTGTAGGCTTGGAAATTCTGAAGTCTCATGATGTCAATGAGGAGCATCGATGAGGAGCACAGGTGACGTAATATTAAAACTTCAAAATGGTCATTACTATGTCTCTCTATCTGTTTGTTGAAGCGGGGAAGTTGCGATTCGTGTGCATTTGCTGGTAGCCGGGAACTTGACTTATTGGGAAAGATCGCGGAACAACGCGCGAAGACGGAAGGAGCAAGCGGCTCATGAAATCGGATGAAATGGCTCCACGTGACGTAATGAGGAGACTTGTAATAAGCCGCTCTCGAACTTCTCCGATTCGATTTTGTTACCATCAATAACGAACTGATTGCTGCTTTCTTTCGCTGCCCAGTTCTTTTACTTCATTGCTTTGCGCCTTTTCTATTCTTTCTTCGTTGACGAACTCCTCGCATCCCCGAGCTGCACTGGAAAGCATCAGCATGACGTCCTTCCTCTACCACTTCGCCCTCCCCGAGGATGTCTTCGCCAGTCCGGCAGCTTCCATTCTGCTGCCCATTGCCCTCGGCACAGCCGTTGGCTACAGCACGCGGCGTAGGCAACCACTGTCGATTGTACAAGACAAGCAAGTATTTGAAACTAACCGAGCCTCTTACACGTATCTTAGCCAAAGAAAACGACCCTGAAGTCCATGCTCTGAAGCAACCGCCCTTCAGGCCTCCCCCGCGCATCTTTGGACCCGTCTGGACGCTCCTGTACGGCACGATGGGCTATGCAGCGCATCTCGCCATCGGACAAACAACTACAGGACTGGACATCTCCGGACATACAAAGGCTGTCAGTGCCGGCTTATACACACTGCAGCTCGGCCTTAACCTTGCGTGGATGCCACTCTTCTTTTCGTTGAAGCGGCCGGTTGAGGCGACGGTGGACGTGGTGGCACTGCTCGGTATCAACGGCTATTTGACGGCGTTGTGGCTGGACAATGTGAGCACTGAGACGGCCGGATGGCTGATGGTGCCTTACGTGTCCTGGCTGGCGTTTGCGACTTATCTGAGCGCGGGCACGGGCTACCTGAACGGCTGGTCGTTCGGATCGTCCAAGGCGACGAAGAAGGAGTAAGTACGGGGTAATCGATGATTGACCTCGTGTTTTCCCCCATTACAGATGTGTCGCCAACGTATGCGTGGTTTCATATTATTGTCAAATAGTATTCCACCTAGCGGTTCTCACTTAAATATGATCATATTGTAAAACACCCGTGCATATTTATGCGACGAGCACGACCTTGTTGGGATATGAAAGAAATCAACTATATGTTACCATGCAATCCAAATGCGGAGCAAAAAACGTCCAAAATAAGAGAACAAAACGCCGACAGCCTTCTATCAGCTTTTATATGACAAAAGAAAGTATAAACGTAACAAGGAAAAGAAAGCAGCTGTCCCTTCATGCAGTCCAAGGAAAGAAATTTATGTTCAAGTATGTGCTACAGTTTTGTAGGGCAATATGTGCAATGTTCCGCTATGCCAGCGGGATATATGTCTTAAGGCCGTCAAAGACCATGAATATGAAGGCCGAGCTCGGGGCTGACCGGACCACGGTGATACCACAGCCCCGGTAGAAGCCACGAATGCCTGCCTGTCTGTAGAGCGCCTTGGCCTCGCCAAAAAAGGTCCGCGGCACCATCGAAGAGCTGCCCAGAGGGGACGTCTGCATGCGAGATTTGACAGTATCGGCCGGAAAGAAGAGGAAATTGTACGACATGCCAGCCGAGGCACCGGCCATGGCCTGTTGCCAGAGCGGAAGCGGGTCAGTGGCGACCGACGCGAGGGTAGCAGGGGTCGAATCGGCCTTGGCCTTTGCCGAGCGGATGTTGTACTCGCGAAGCAGCTTCGACGTTGTCTCCTTGCTGCCGAACCAGGACGCACAGCCACCGGCCTCGCGGATCAACGTGCCCACCTGACCATGCCAGAAACCCGCAAGGCCGCCGTACCGGTAGACGTCGCGGATGACAGAAAGCGGGTTCCGGTTGACCGTCTTGGCCGTGCCCGTGGCAGAGCCGGCGGCCGAAGGAAGAGAGTCGGCCGGCACCTGAATCTTGCACTTGACGAGTTCGACGGGGGTCAAGATGAACGAGGTGAAAACACCGGAGAAGGCACCCGTGAACCATAGAGCAGGGAGAGACAAGGGTGCGTCGCGCGGGGAAAGACCCGCCCAGACAAGCGAGGCGCGACCAAGACGCTCAAACATGAACAAGCTGCTGGTCTCGAGGGCAGCTCCAACAAGTGGAGCGCTGATTCCCCGGTACATGCCAATAACTCCGTCTGTACGAATAGACTGGCGGAAGCAGTCGAGAGGGCCCGTGTAACGAAGCGGAAGGTGATCGGGCTGCGACTGGAGACGGACCTTGACGGTATCGAAAGGATACTCAATGTACTTGCCGACAATTCCAGCAAGCTGTAAGGAGTGGAGACGTCAGCATACATCAAGACGAACAAGTATGAGATGAGAAGAGAAGATTATGCATACAGATCCGTATAAAATGTCTTCGGTTGCCTCGAGGGCAGCAGCCCGAGGCTTCACCGGAGAAGTGGTTGGAGCAGCCTCTGTCGCCACGAGAACATGGTGGCCGGGGGTTGTGGTATCTGCAGCAGCCATGGTGATTGTTGATGCGTATGTGACCGAGTGTATAGGAAAGGCGGGAGGCAAGATATCGATGATCGATGATCGAAGGAAAGAACACGATATGGGAGACGTAAAATTAATCGACGACGAGAAGAAAATTACTGTCGAATTGCTTCTTATGCTCTCTCAAAGTTCACAACAAGATGAGCATCCCCCGCCGCGAGGGGCGGGTGAGCCCCCTTGGGGGCTGGACAGGCAGCTGTTGGTAGTTGATGCGTGGATGGGCAGCTGTCCAGCAAGACGAAACCACGTATATGCCTGGCGTCCTGTTGGTGACCTGGCCGGCCTTTGCCCTGCTTGCGTTACGGCGTTGCGTGCTACCGGGGACTGATCACTCCCACTTCCGTCGCTAGGAAGTAGGAGGAGCTGGAAATGTTGGCAGTAGGTACAGGAAGGTGTCTGCAAGTGGCCGGGGAAGAACTGCTGTTGGTTCGAGGTAGCACGCAGAGGGTTTCTGCTGCTCTTGTCGAAAGGGCCGATGTTACGGAGAGGGGGAGAAGTTGTCGAAGTGAAGGCCGGACGAGGGTGAGGGGTGAGTGAGACGAAACCAAGACGGAGGTGAGGATGTGCCGAACGAGAAGTAACCGGGACTGGAGCGAAATAAAAGGCGATGCGATGAAAGTTGAAATGGAAATAAGGTGAAGGAGTGAATAATTGCAAACGGTCCTTTCCGCCAATAGAACAATACTCAAGTATATACAGACAAGGAAGGAGCGGAATAAAAGAGGGGAGAGAGAGGAAGAAGGGGTGATGTAGAAAGAGGCACGTAAAAGAAAAAAAGACCAAATTGTTTGTTGCCGCGCTTGCGCCCGTCGACGTCGTTCAAGATCTAATCAGAAAAAAGTTTTAGTTGCGGTATGGTCGCAGTCGGCTCTGCTAACAGCAAAACTGTGAAGATGGTCATAGGGCCGAGACCGGGCTGTAAGTATTTTGAGGCGTAAATTAGGCACAGAGGTACAGGCAAAGAGGCTGGCGGCAAGGGACTTTCTGCGCTAGAGCCGATAACGCAGATAGCTGCTTGAGACTTTGCCAAACGGCAGCGTTTACCCCCTTGTCACTTTCCAGTGGGGGTTTTTGGAGGGGCACGTTAGAGTCGCCGTGGACATCACGAACATACGATACAAGCAGCACCATGTGCCGACCTTTTTACTTCGAGATCGATGGCCGTATTATGAAAACCAAGCACTGAACAATTGAGGGAAATGTATATTGTCTGCTGTAGTTTTGGGTCCCCAAGGAAGTATATACGTTGATTAATATATACAAAAGTGACAGGGTTATAACAAAGGAAAGAAAAGATGACAGAAAAAAAAACAGACTTAAGGAGGCCGACTAGGAAGGAATGATGCCTCCAATGTAGTTACTAAATGGCATGCAATGGGCAAGGGAGAGAAAGTAAAAGACAAATGAGTGAGCGAAACGCCGTCAGACTAATGAAAACACCAATATACATTGAAATGAAACACAAGAGCTCGCTTGACCATGCAGAGTGGGAAAAGAAAAGAAAAAATCAACGCAAGGAACAAGGACTGTAGCCGAGATGAAGGCTTCTGGAAAGGCTACATCGCCTTGGGAATAGGTGCGTTCGACGCGCGTTGGCTAGAGCTGCTGCCGATTATTGTCGGGCTATCGCCATCGACTGCCGGGTCATACTCCGGATCAGAAACAACAGTAGCCGTAACAGCACGTGCCTTTTTGCTCGACTTGGTTGTCCGAGACGTACCATTGCGTGACGGCACCAGGAGGCTGTCCGCACGCTTGCGTGACGTCACTTCGTCAGCCTGCCGCCGTCCGCCTTCGAGGCTGTTGCTGCTGTCGGTGTTGCTGCCTGTGTAGACGTCGTCATCCGAGTCACCGCCGTCGGTGTCAGAGCCCTCATCGTCGGCGCTATCCGACAAGTGGTCGTATAGACCGACACGGTCGGGGCCCGAACCAGAATCTGTCGCCGTTGTTTGGTCCTTGATGAAGCTGTCGATTATGTAGTACTGCAGGGCGTTCATAATGAGCGGGAACAGCATCATGACAAAGATGATCTGCAGCTGTTCGTTGCCGTCCGTCCAACCCAGCGCCCAGTCGCCAACGTGGGAGATCCATGGCATAACGATGAAGATAATAAGCACGCAGATTTTCATGCCAAACAGGCCGCAGAAGTATAGAATGCTCTGTTTCAACCACCACCACGCGTTGGGCGGCCGGCCGTAGTTACCCGACTGGATGGACTCGGGTGGCTGGCCCAGTGGTGTGTACGAAACAAGGGCTGTGACGAGGCGAAGGAGAAAGATGAGAATGGGGATGCCGAGAGTCGTCTGGTGTGTGGTTAGCTACGAATGGGGCATAGAACTAGGATATATATATATAAACGTGAAATCCACAACTTACATCAATGGCGAGGTTGAGGAGGTAAAAGGAACACGGGTTTGGCGTGTACGGCACGCTGCCACTGTCGTCGTCTCGCCGCAGGAGCATCGCCGCAGTGGATACAACGCCAGGTGTCACTTTGATAGAGAAGCGGCCCGACGTAAGCAACGACATGAAGACGTTGGCCATGTGCACCAGCACGGACCCGAACACCTGCTTTGACGCGTCAAAGAACCAGATCTTCAGCGGCCGCTGCGGCCGCTCGCGCCAGCGCTTGTACACGAGGGACATAAGCGCCAGTCCACCCAGGCCAAGTTGAACAAAAATTGCAAAGGGTCCCATGAGCCGGCAGTCGCCAGAGCCGTCCGACTGGCCAGGGCCCTTCTCACTGCCTTCCTTCTGGGCCGCACTGCTGTCTGGAGCCGTAGGTTGTGGCGGCGATGCCGCTGATGGTGTCGTGGTCACTTGGACGACCGTGACGCCATTGCCGTTACCCCCGGGTGACGTCGGTACTGGAGGAAGACCTGCCGCAGCGGCAACGGTCTGGATTGTAAACGGCCCATCGGCGGCAGTATCGGCTGGCGGGCGGTTTTCAACGGGAGGAAGGCCTTGTGGTGGAGGTGCTGGCGGAGGGAGCATCAGGTCGTTGACCTTTGTCGGGACAGGGAGAGGTATCGGCGCACGCTGCGCCAGATGGTCAGCAAAGGCCGGCCCTAGCGCAGCCATCGGAAAGTTATGACGTGCAGAGAAGCCGGAGCGGCTATGTGGTGATGCTGACGGGGCGCAGATGAAGGCGGCGTTGGTGATGGCAGTGGGCTGATGTAGTCAGGATAAGGCTGACGTTTGGATCGCTCTTCGCGCGGTGTGAGACAGTGGCTGCGAGGCTGCGCAGATTCGTGGAACGGTAGGACGAAACGAAGCCGGAGAACAAAACCGAGGAGAAAGGAATCGTACAGGAGAGAAGTAGACGTGACGTTTGATGTTTTGCGCGAGTAAGGAAACGACTGTAGGCAGACGACGGCAAAACGCGAGGTGACGTCGAGTAGTCCGGCGTAGAACAAGGAAGGGGGAAATGCTCCCCAATCGCGCTAACAGGGGGCTGATGGACTGGACAGAGCTCAAACGAATCAGGCGGATGTACGACGCATATGACAAAAGAAGGAGCGAAAACAAAGAAAGACGAGAAAGGTGACGAGGCAAGTAAAATAAACGACGCTGAAGTGGGCGAGTGAAGCCGTAAAGGCAACCTTAATATTAAATGAGCTAAGGGGAAGCGAACGAGGAGCGGCGAAAGGGGCGATGGGGCTGGAGAAGAGGGTCAGGAGCAGCTGTCTCAGAATACGGCTTCGTGAGCTGGACGTTTCGACCTTGTTGGCGAGGCTCGGCGTGATCGCACGAACTACAAAAATCGTAAAGACAAAAAATATGAAAGAAGTTGAGTACGTGGAAGAAAGGCACGGGAACGAAGTTGCCTCCGTTGAGGAGGAAGGCACGGGACGAACACTGTAATCCGGATTGTTCTCTGTGATGGGGAGGTTTGTAGCCTAATTTAGAAGGGGCGAAATGGGAAGGCGGGCCAGACCTCACAGGGGAAGGCGCGATGGGTTCCAGGAGAAAACGGGGATGATAGACCTGGTTGTGAGGTGTCTAGAACATGGCCCAATTGGGGTCTTCACTATCTCCTCCTGGCGCGGCTTATTACGTCACGTGTTGCAACCAAGTCACAACTGCCGACCTCAGACTCAGACCAACGAGACCACAAGATCCGGCATCCATCGCAACACCCGATCACAGTCCTTTGTAAACGTACTGAACCTCGGAGAAGAAGACACAGCTGCAAGTCTCTACCTCCTCATTCCCCTCACCTTTCTTGCTGCTTTTTTCACTCAATTTTCAGTATCTGGACAGTAGTTAAAATTTTAATTACGATAGTCGTGCGATAAAGTGAATACTGACTCGTGGAATACAACTACTTTCCTGGCGCGTCTTGACGCGACCAGAGATTTTATATGAAATTACGCGACAATTGTGACTACGTAGTTTTTAAACTGCGTTATTTCATCTATATTTCTTTATTCAAAATACGACGATATTATCGGTACTTACACGGAGCCAAAATCGTAAGAAGACGCCTATGCCATGCTCGCGTTAGCTTTGTGTACTAGTCGTCGCAATAGTCGGCAATAGAAGCCGGAGATGAAGAATAAAACTCCCTTGTGACCATGCAAAGTTTAAATCAATTCCAACAAAAAGCCCCTTTTCCCCCCTGTTACTGGTTGCGGAAGCCGTTGCTCTTGCCGCCGCCGCCAAAATCGTTGCCGCCTTTGCCGGCCTTGTTTGGCTTCTGCTGCGCGGCCTCGTTCCGCCGAAGCTCCTCCGGCACCTTGGAAATGGAGCTCTTGGAAATCATCTGCTTGAGATCGTACAGAACGTCGTTGTCTTCGCTTCCCAGGAACGTAATCGCCACACCACTCTTGCCGGCACGACCAGTACGACCAATACGATGCGTGTACTGTTCGATGCTCGTTGCCATGTTGAAGTTGATGACAAGCGACACGTCCGCGACGTCGATACCACGACCGGCCAAGTCCGTGGCCACCAGCACGTCTGCCTGGCCGGTGCGGACCTTTTCGAGCGCCAGCTCACGCTGTTCCTGCGTTTTGCTGCCATGTAGGGTAACAGGGTTCCGACCGGCCGCGCGCACGTCTCGCGCCACCATCTCGCAGTTTCGCTTGATATTGACAAAGACAATGATGGGAGGCTTGTACTGGGTCGAGTGCATGAGCTCCTTGAGCCGCTCTTTGCGCCGGTCTTCACCAGCAATGAACTCGACGCGCTGCTCGACCGTGTCGACCGCCTCGCCGGCGTTACCAATGGTAACAATGGCCGGCCGCCGCAGGTACCGCTTGGCAATCTTCTCCACAATCGGGGGCATCGTGGCCGTGTACATCATCGTCTGGCGGTAGCGCGTCCGCTCCCCGAGGAAACGCGTCATGGCCTTGGCATCTTCGGCGTCGTCTGTGTCGGGCTTGATGTTTGCCGTCGGCATCGCATCCAGGATCTTGTTCAGCGGCTCTTCGAAACCGAGGTCGATCATGCGGTCGGCTTCGTCCATGATCACGTAACAACACTGCGACAGGACAAGCAGGCGGCGCTCGATACAATCGACAAGACGGCCGGGCGTGGCCACAATAATCTCGGCACCATTGCTGAGCGCGAACGCCTGTTCCTCCAGCGAGTGGCCGCCGACAATACTGACGACTTTGTAGCCGAATGGCGTTGCGAACTTGTGCGCCTCGGTCTCGATCTGCTGGGCCAATTCACGCGTTGGCGCCAGGATGAGCGCGTAGGGACCATCGTTTTTGGAGAAATCATCGAGAGGAGGCAGCTTTTGGATGTAGACGAGCAGTGGAAGGAGGAACGCTGCGGTTTTGCCGGAACCAGTCACGGCGATACCGATGAGATCGCGGCCTTGCAGGGCAATCGGGATGGCCGCACGCTGGATAGGAGACGGCTCATGATACCCAACGCTCTCAACAACATCCAGCAGCCGGGAGGGAAGCGCCGATTCGCGCCACTTCCGCATGGGGTCCGGAATCGAGCCGCCCTTGGTCGAGATGCTGAAGTCCTCCTTGAAGATGCGCCAGTCGCGCTCGCGCATCTCACTCAGCGGCTTTTCAGACCAGTGCTTCATTTTATGCAGGGGCTTGTCGCGCTGCTCGAGCCCTTGGTAGTAAGCGTCCATGATGGCCCGGGCGCGCTCCTTGCCGTGGACCGGGTCGGCCTTCTCGACGGCGTCCGCCTTCATCATCTCCTGAAGCTCCCATTCTGGTTCCTGCGAAAACATGTGGAAGCTGTTTGTCGTCGTCAGGCGGGCCTCAAATGGTTTGCGACGCGCCAGCTCGGCTTCGTCGTCCGCCAGATGCTGTGCTGTGCGCGTGTCTTCCGAATCGTCCCAGCCAAAGTTAAACTCATTTACGCGCCGCCGCCGCTTGTTCCTCGGTACGAATGTGCTTTTTGTTCTGTCAGGTCCGTAGTGCTTCAGCCGCAGCTGGTCGTACTGTTCCTGCTCCACGGCAGAGCGCCGGAGGTCGCCATCGTCTTCCCGTGTGTGCTTCTTCGATTTTCGGTCAAAATCGCCTCGCCGTAATGCTTCCCGGACTTCAGCAGCCTTTCGCGCCTCGCGCTCCTTTTTTGCCCGTAGCTCCTCGGCTTCGCGCTGCTCTTCTTGTTTCTTTTTTTGTTCGCGCTGTGCTTCTCGCTCTGCTTTCGAGAGGTTCGTGAGCTTGAGCTTCGGGAGAACAAACGTGTCGATCCCCATGGTAGCAAATAGTGGTTCGCAGGCGTCGCGGTTGGCAAGAATATGATGTAAGCGTATTGTTGGAGTATGTCGACTGAAAATTGAAATGTTGTTCGGAGTTGTTCGTTTGTAGGATGCTGTTCTAACGAAAGAGCTGTGGCGTCGGTTCCATACATAGACCCACTTATTAACATCTATCTGGCCAATAATGTGAGACACATTCAGCTCCGCTGTCTGCAGTCAAGGGACGTATGATCACGTGTTGTTTGCCGGTTGGGCCCACCTCCAATGGACTTTTCTCAAGCTCTGAACACCACCAATTTTTGGACTGCTTCGACCTCACGTGTGGAACGACGACAATCGACGACGGCACCCGCAAACATGGCGTCACAATCACCGGCACAATACATCCAGCTGGCCAAGACGCTCCCGCCGCGTCTGCTGCGGTTCCTGGCCCGGTACCCTCCGGCGGCAATCCAGGGCGCAGGAGCGAATCCTACCGGCTACCAGCAGGAGACACCGAACCCCTTCAAGGCGACCAAACACCCTGTGACGGGCCAGTGGCATGACCCCGTCTACTCCTTGCGGCGGCAGGCAGACCTTATCAAGATGGCGCGCGATCATGGTGTGGCGGAGCTGATGCCGGAGTCGGAGAAGAACCCGGAGACCAAGCTGCGGAAGCGGGTCGAGTTCGGTCTGCGGGTCAAGGGTACTGGTGTTGGCCAGTCGGTCAAGGGCCACATCTTTGAGCGTCGCATGATCGCCAAGATGGACGAGCGGAGAAACGCCATGCTGAACATGCCCAAGCTCATCCGCGAGTGGAAGCGGGTAGGTTGCACCTCAGTTTTTTTGTTTTTGTCTCTTTGTCTCTTTCGCCTTGTCATCTTTCATACCAATATGTCACCACTAACGCTCTATCTAGGTTGGCCGCAAGAACTGGGTTCGGTACCCAAGCTGATCGTGGCAATATGCCTACTCGTTACGACCTTTCTTCTTTCATATACCTCCTACGAATTTCTGTACAAAAGCCTTATCCTCGAGCCATTCTGTATATCTAGATGTCTGAATATATATACGTTCCCAACGATCAAATGCGCCCTGCAAAATTGACCGTCACTCAACAAAATTGTAGCAGATGTGGTTTTATTTTAATGTTTGATAACCATTGTACAAAACCGTATTATTTCATGAATATTTTGTTTGTAGTCTTCGTGCATGACGTGGTCTATATTTTTTAACCTCACTGCCCGGTCTTTTTTCTTTTCTTCGTTCCAACTATATTGTACAGCCATCCCTTATCTGCTCAGGGCAATGTCGTCTATCCGCAGAATCATCTTGACAGTCTCGGCCGCCAGCTCAATCGAGCTCGTGCTCACCAACAAGGGCTGCAGAACGTTCTCCTTGGCAATGTTGGTGTTGACACCGCCCGACTTGATGCTGACACCCGCGTTCACCTCGCCCTTCTCGTGACGGTGCCGCAGGTCGGTGACAACCTTGATAGGGTTCAGGCCGGCGTTCTCTGCCAGCGTCGTCGGAATCACCTCAAGCGACTCTGCAAACGCCTTCCAGCAGATGGCCTCCGTGCCCGTCAGCGCACGCGCTTGTTTGCTCAGCTGGGCGGCAATTTCAATCTCCGGTGCCCCACCACCGGCAATCAGCGCCTTCTTCTTGACCAGGCACCGCACCACGCACAGAGCGTCGTGCAGAGACCGCTCCGCCTCGTCGAGAATGAGGCTGTTGGCACCACGCACCACAACCGACACGGTGCGGCCTGTGATGCCAGCGGCGGCAGCAGCCGAACCGCTGGCCGACGCAGAGGACGACGACGAGCCCGACACCAAGCTATTGGCCGTGCCGGTGATCTTGACGAGACGCGAGCCTGACGACGTGACCTCCTCAACCAGGTCGGCGCTGCCCAGCTTGTCCTCAGCGAACGAGTCGATGTCGGCAATGGGCTTGCAGCCGGTAGACTTGCAGATAAACTCGACCTCGTCGCGCTCAATGTCCTTGATGGCAAGGATGCCAAGCTTGGCCAGGAAGTGCAGGGAGAGCTCGTTAACAGCGTCACGCAAAATGGACTTCTGGATCAAAAGGACGTTGCACTTGGCCTTCTTGATCTTCTTGACCATATTCAGTAGGTACAAGCGCTCCTCCTTGACGATCTTGTCCATCTGGCGGTAGTCGTTGACTGCGATTGTGTTTTCCATCTACTCTGTTAGCAAAAGGTTCCATAAATGCGATGGGCCAAGGTCTGGCAAGAGTATGAGAGGGACTTGCATCTGGCTTGGGGGGCGACAGCTGGAATTGAACCAGGGCAATCTTGGCCTTCTCGATGCGGGTGGGGCCGCCGGCGTTCTTGAGCACGGGCTGCGTCAGGACGAGGCCATCGACCAGTTCGCTGTCCTCAATTGTGCCGCCGACCTTCTTGACGACACGGATGTTGCGCAGGTCAACGTTGTCGGCCGTCTTAAGGTCGATCGTCTTGGTGACGGCGTTGACGGCCATGGGACCGAGCAAGTTGGCGTACTGGGACACAATCTTCGACGACAGCGACGTGTTGGCGGCCTGCAGCAGCGCAGATGTGTCGGTCAGGGCCACGGGCTGCGACATGCCGTGCAGGATCTTGACAGCGGCCGCGGCCGCGCGCTGGAAAGACTCGGAGATGACAGAGGGGTGGATGCCCTTGGACAGCAGGCGGTCGGCGGCGCCGAGCAGGCTGCCGCAGATAACCACAACGGACGTCGTGCCGTCACCAGCCTCCACATCCTGTGCGTGCGACAGCTGGACCAGCATCTTCGCGGTGGGGTGCAGTACGGCCATGCTCTTGAGCATGGTGCTGCCGTCGTTGGTGATGATGGTTTCGCCCTTGCCGCTGCGAATCATCTTGTCCATGCCGCGAGGGCCGAGGGAGGTACGGATAGCATCGGCGACAGCTAAATCGTGGGAGGAAGAAACATCAGGTCAGCATTGATCCTGCTCGGTCAAGGTAACTGCCGCGAACGTCAAATAGGGGCAACCTGTCGCGGGGACGACATACCTCGTGCGGCGACGATGTTGGCCGAGCGCACAGCCAGCGGCTTCTCCTTGTCCTATACATATAGGTTAGCGGACAGCTACTAGACGTGTTGTGCACACCAGAATGGTATCTGGGATTGCGCCGGGGCCGATTGTCGAAAAGGGGCCAGACTCACGCGAAAAGCAGCGTTTGATGGGCCTCCGCCCGACGGAGCCACTGCTGCCATGGTTTATATGCGACGGGTGTGTGCGTTGCAGGATGCAGTAGTTTATGTCGAATGCGAAGATACCGTTGTAGAAGGTAAAAGTCGTGGAAATGCGAAACGTGAATGGTGGCAGCGAGTTAAGGGTTGTCGTCGCTTTGTAAACGCTGGTGCCTCGAAGCTTTTCTCTGCTTCTCCAAGCTTCCCTCATTCACCGTTTGGTGGGGCGCGAAAGGCACAAAAAAACTTGTGGTGTCCTAAGGGGGGTTAACGGCAGTTATCGCCTAATTGCATACTTACTGTTCAGGGGTGGTGCGCTAATGGTAAATTAGGACTAGCGCCAATGCCGCGTAGTTGCGGATTCTACTGGAAACGGGCGGCAGAGCTCCCCAAGGCAGGCACGGATTACGCTGTTTGAGCAAGAGCGAATCGCCGCTGGCAACGCCTCAACTCGCTGCTTTCCGCGTTTGGCTTCCTTGGAGCACGTTCGCCAAACTTCATCATTACCAATACCAATTTACCACCAGAACGCCCCAACACTTCTTGACGACCTGGCCATCGATCCGCTGGAAACCGACACTGTTGTTTTCAAAGACGAAAATCCATCGAAACGACTTTGTTTACTGAAGCTCAGCGCACCGTGAACACTCAACACACCTTCCCTCCTGCAACGAGTATCGCCATTGCGCATCCGCCAAGATGGTGAGTCTGCTCTCTGACGACCCGATTAGCTTTGCATACGCCTTGTACAGACCCGCTAATACCACGTTCAGCCTTCCGCAACCGGCAGGGACTGGGAGAAATACCAGAAGAAGTTTGCGGACGACGAGATCGAGGAGAAGAAGATTGCACCGTTGACAGATGAGTAAGTCCCGCAGCTAATCTACACAAAAAGAAGCAGAATATAGAATCGTCGGGAAGGGTTGGAGGTAGCAGATGCTAACGCGTGGCTTGTCTAGGGATATCCAGGTCCTCAAGACCTACGGAGCCGCCCCTTATGGCGCGGCACTCAAGAAGCTCGAGCAGCAAATAAAGGAGAAGCAGCAGAGTGTGGACGAGAAGATTGGCGTCAAAGAGTCTGACACGGGTCTTGCCCCGCCACATCTGTGGGATGTCGCCGCAGACCGGCAACGCATGTCTGAAGAGCAGCCGCTCCAGGTGGCCCGCTGCACGAAGATTATTGCGGATGAGCTCGACGACTCCAAGAGCAAGTACGTGATCAACGTCAAGCAGATCGCCAAGTTTGTCGTTCAGCTCGGCGAGCGTGTTGCCCCCACCGACATTGAGGAGGGCATGCGCGTCGGTGTCGACCGCAACAAGTACCAGATCCTGCTGCCATTGCCACCCAAGATCGACGCCAGCGTGACCATGATGACGGTCGAGGAGAAGCCCGATGTGACCTACGGTGATGTCGGTGGCTGCAAGGAGCAGGTCGAGAAACTGCGCGAGGTCGTCGAGATGCCGCTGCTGTCGCCCGAGCGGTTCGTCGATCTGGGTATTGACCCGCCCAAGGGTGCACTGCTGTACGGCCCGCCCGGTACAGGCAAGACACTTTGTGCGCGTGCTGTGGCCAACCGTACGGATGCCACATTCATCCGCGTCATTGGCAGTGAGCTTGTGCAGAAGTACGTTGGCGAAGGCGCGCGCATGGTGCGTGAGCTGTTTGAGATGGCACGGACAAAGAAGGCCTGCATTATCTTCTTTGACGAAATCGACGCCATCGGCGGTGCCCGTTTCGATGACGGTGCAGGTGGTGACAACGAGGTGCAGCGCACGATGCTGGAGCTGATTACGCAGCTGGACGGTTTCGATGCACGTGGCAACATCAAGGTCATGTTCGCGACGAACCGTCCATCCACACTGGACCCTGCGCTGATGCGTCCGGGCCGTATCGACCGCAAGATTGAGTTCTCTCTGCCCGACCTCGAGGGCCGCGCCAACATCCTGCGGATTCACGCCAAGAGCATGTCGGTGGAGCGGGACATCCGGTGGGAGCTGATTTCGCGGTTGTGCCCCAATGCGACGGGTGCTGAGCTGCGCAGTGTGTGCACGGAGGCTGGTATGTTTGCCATCCGTGCCCGACGGAAGGTTGCATCAGAGAAGGACTTTTTGAGTGCGGTGGACAAGGTCATCAAGGCGAACCTCAAGTTCAACTCGACGGCATCATACATGCAGTACAACTAAAGAAGGGAAACGTATGGGGAGTTGTGGATACCATTACATTCTGCCATTCTTTGCCCTTGTTTCGTGTGTGTCTATTTTTTTATATCCGCGTAGAATATGTATGAGTATAGAATCATTACGGAGTCTATTTTTGCGTTTTAACATTAACTTTGTGACTGAGAAAGAAGACTATCAAATCACCGGTTTTATACTGATCTGGTGATGGGTAACACTACAAAAAGCAATCCGTTCGCGGTGTGGCAGAATGTAGGATGCGTGCTGCTAATGCTATTTTGAATAAACCAAAATGCATTGAGAGGGATGGTGCCCTATGTTAAGCGATATATACATTGGAAGCAAAGCCTGCGACCCCTTTCAGTGAGCCCTGGATATCGTGACTTATGCGTGTGCCGCGGAAGAAACAAACGAAGCAAATAGATACCATGCCGCACCAATTAAAGATAATAAAAACAAGGCTAGCTGGCAGGCATGAATGGTCATGACATTAAAAACAACCAGAAGCAGCCGTACTCCATCAATGCCCTAATGTGCTTGCAACGCCGTTTTTGACCCGCGTAAAAAATATGAAAATAGTGAGAAACCCTAGGCACACGAATCATTGTGGTGGAAATGAATGGCCCAGGCAAAAGACAAGAGGCTTCCATTAGCCATTAGTGCCTCTTGTTACATTGTCCCCTTCCCCTTCGATGCTTTGCGATGCCATTCGCAAAATCGTCATTTATTCTCCGGCCACAGCCACGCAGCCGAGGCAAACCACGTCGCCATCCTCGCCGCGTTCCACGCAGCACCGACTGCAGACCATCCGGCGATGGCCATGGCTGGTTGTAGACCAAGGCTGTAGCAGTTTTTGGGATGGAGGCGTCGACTCTGTCGGGGTTTCGTTCTCCGTCCAACTGAGACATTCTCGGAGACACACGAAACACGTTCTCTGGCCACAGCCCTCGCAGTTGGCGAGCGAGTCCAAGTCGACCTTCCGCCGCGGCCTACGGTGGCAGATGTGGCACGGCGCTGTTGTCGACTGCGCAGGGAGGGTATGGTGGTGTGACAACGGCGATTCACGGCCGGCTCTCGCAGGTGATGATATTGACAATGGCCGGCCGTCGTCGACACTGCTGTTGCTCAAGCAAAGCCTTTTGCTTCCGAGAGGGATAATCTTTCGTTGTGAAGGGGACGAGTGGTTGCGAGTGTAGGTAGCTGTCGTTCCTGCGGTAGGTGTGTTGCGTTGATCCACGCGGTCGTGGTCGGTACCGTGCACGAAGATGGTGACGACGTCGTTTCCGCCGCCGACACTGCCGCCGCTGGCCCTGCAGCTGTCATCCCACCGCCGTTTCTTAGCGAGGACGGAGATGCCATGTGCAGTACCGCTGTTGTTCCGGCCGTCAGCCTCGGGGCCTTCCTGAGCCACCGACGGCATCCCAGCGACTTTGATCGAGAGATTCACAGGATGGGGACGTGAGGAAGTATATTGGACGCGATGCGAGCGTCGGTCTCGGTTGAAAATAGAAAAAACAGCGCAGCCAATGACGACTCGAATGCTTTCTTGACGCAGTCGGAGTCACGGTGCTGTTTTGCTGGTCGCGGTTGGCTGTTGTTGCGGTGGTCGAGGTTGTCGATGTGGTCGAAGAATCCAGGGTCAAAGACAGCATGAGGTTGTGAAGGCGGTCGGAGGCAAGAAAGGCTTGGCTTGATTTCTTGGATAGCACTTCCATTCATCCACCCATTGGCCCTCTCTGAGCCATTGCCCTAGGTTACAGGCGAGGTTACAGGGGAAGAGTGCCAGAAGGGGTCGCTAGGGCGGCCAAGAGGCGTGAAACAACCGCCAGGGCTTCGGGAGGCTGGGGACCTGTTATGCCCGTTAATGTCCAATGATTTCCTAGCATTGCCGTGTTTGGTTGGTCCAGCACGTCGGGGGAGTTTTGTTTGGTGCGTCTAGTGGGCCTGACATGAACGCGACAGCAACATTCAGTGATTCATAAGGCCTGGTGTGGTTTCGCCATTTCAAGCCCAGAGTCGTCGGTCGGAGTTATCGCTCCAGCGCTGTCGCCGCCTGTAATCCGCGGCACTAAGGCCGAGTTCAGCGACGTGGTCAAGGCCGTCGAGGCTTGTCTCGTCGACTTTGCGGGGGCGAAGAGCGCCGTATCCACCGAAGCCGACCGAAGGAACGCTCCTGCGCTGCAGATAAACTGCTGCCCTAGGCCAGTCAGAAACTAACTCCGCTTGAGTAGCAGCGCATGACGCGGTCTGATTGGCCGAGTTAATCACGTGGGAGAGCTGGAGACAGTGCGCGTTAAGGAGAGACAGGCGTTCGAGCTCAACTAGCACAGTGCGACTCGTGTCGCCTTTTCGCCTTTTCCTGCCAGCATTTTCCAACTTTTGCGCATTCTGAACTGGAAACGCCTCTGAGCCACATCCACACTTCAATTTTGTGCAAAGATAAGTTGGTGCACTGTGCTCACTGTGCGCCCCCTCCAGTGGCTCTTTCCCTAAATCTCGTCTGATGCCCACGAGCCGCAAAAACCTTGCTTGTTCTTCGTCTTTTCCACAGCTTGCAATCAGTCTTCCCGTGCCCAACTCCGCTGTTCGTCGCTCATCCCTTCCCTCAACAATCCCTACCACGTCGGCTTGAGAATCGCTTCGACACCTCGACTTTGATTTCGGATTTCAACACGATCTTGTTTTGCATCGTCCAAAGCATTTGTCTTTTATCGCGCCCAACGACCGGTCATCCGCGCCGCACGCCCCCGTCCCCCTACCCACCACCGCCGACAAGAACGAGTTTTCGTGATCCTTTCCGAATTCAATATCGTGAATTGCAGCAACCGGCCATCAAGATATGAGTCGCGCAGGCAAACTTGCCCCGGAGGTTAACCGGTAAGTGTTCTTGGTCATTTGAACGCCTGTGTACCTTTGCGGCCCTTTCGTGTTTTGTTTCCTATCCGGGGCTTCGTCATCACAGTCCGTCACAAGCCTCGCATTCGGCTTGTAAGATGCTGCCTGACCCGTATCAAAATCCATCCGTCTGCCGTCGAACATCAAGACCGCATCCGTTCTTTTGTCTATTGCACGCCTCGGTCGAGCGATACTGTCTCTGTTTTGTTAGCCTGGCATCTGCGTTTAGGCCCCCGCGCCGTTTCTCATCATGGTCACACTTTTTGGTTGTCGATCTTCGTGCTAACCACGTCATGGCGTTTCTCTCGAACAGAGCTTTATTCGTAAAGAATCTAAGGTATGTCGTCTATCCTCTTGCTGCGCATGCGACGACGAATCTGTGGCTGGACCTTCTCGCTAACCGCCCTTCTAGCTACAACGTTACTCCCGAGGAGCTCTTTGAGCTCTTTGGCAAGTTTGGCGCCATTCGGTACGTGATCCATTACCAGGTTTTCCTGTTCTTTCCCCTCCCTCCTTCGGACAACATCTAACACATCCCAGCCAAGTGCGTCAGGGCATTGCCAACAACACAAAGGGCACTGCCTTTGTCGTCTATGAAGACGTCATGGACGCAAAGCAGGCTTGCGACAAGCTAAACGGCTTCAACTTCCAAAACCGTTACCTTGTCGTCCTCTACCACCAGCCCGACAAGGTGGCCAAGTCAAAAGAGGACCTCGAGGCCCGCAAGGAGAATTTAGCTCGGCTCAAGAAACAGCACGGCATCGATTGACGATTAGACGGGCCTGTGGACCAGCGCCTGCAGACGGCAACCAACAAAATCTCGTTGTCTCGACCCACTGCAGGCCCGTCTCCTTACTCTCCCCCCGCGCGGCCGTCGTCCTCGTCTAAGACGCCGGCCTCGCCGTCTCCGACAAAGACACCCTCGAAGCTTCGCGCCAAGCTGTCGCCGTCGACGCCGTCCAAGTCCTCGCCGGCTCGCCTGGTGACGTTCACGCCGCCCGTTACGACGACCTCAGCATCGGCCACGACCGTCGTGTCAACTGCAAACGTGTCGTCTTCCTCCCCCCGAAGCAGCGGCAAGCCGAGCCTTGCAGACCAGACGCGCAATGCCATGCCGCATTTTGTCCGCAAGCTCCTGCCTACCGTGACCGAGTGCGCCTAGAGCAGCGGATTGGCCCTTCCCTGGGACCTCTGCCTAGCCGTGTTTCACTCGTTCGGATGTGCCTTTATCGACTAAGAACAATCTCAATCGTCGACGCTATGACAGATTATTCGGCACATTTGTGGGAGGACGGGAGGTCTCCCCGCCTGGCGCAACAAACCGGGACCAATAGATACCGACCGTTGCAGTCATGTTACGAGATTGCATTGTGTATTTCGTTGTCCCGTTTTGTTGGCCTTTGTCTTTGACTCGCACCGCTCAGTAGTGCATTCGCCTTTTCTATATCCAGGGCGACATCCATCTTTTTATTATTCAAATTTGCGCCATCTCCACTTTCGTTTCTGCGTTGCATTTCCTTCAAACTTCCTAACGACTCTTTTATTTACTGCGTCTTGCGCCGGGACGGTTATTTATTCATTTATTCTTCAGTTGGTTCTGTTCTATCACTTGTACCATGTTACGGTTATTTCTCCCTTACGATTTCCATCTCATTGCTTAATGTTCGACTTTGATGCATTGGGAAGGCAGGCGAATTGGGAGGAAGGAAAGGCGTTTTACCAGTCCAACTCTTGACCCTTTTTGCTCTGGCCGGGAAAGGAGACAATTCATATTTTGTGTGATTGGCTCTCAAGTTGTTGGAGGTGTTGAGAATCGGCAAATGGCATGCACGATCCACCTCCAGGGGAAACAAAAATCAGATTGTGTTTGCTTTTCTTTTTCAATTATTCTGAGACACAATATCTGCACTTTTCGCTCCTCGTTTGCTAAGAACAGACGAGCTGCGGTACTGGGCGCTCCTCATTTTTATTCCATCTAGGTTTTTTCTTGGTGCGACTGTAACGGGCCACCTCCATAGGATTGACAGGAAATGAAGGCGAAGAAGGACGCACCGAATAGGCTTCCTGGGTTTCAAGACTTATTGGTTTTCCAACGTTCTTTGTGATCTGCTTCATATCATTGTCATTTATGTCTGGTACAAATGTCTTGTCCAAGCCCTCGTTTCTCGTATATCAAAGTAAGATGATTTGTGTAAATGGTATCTATGAATCGTACAATGTGTATATACTTCCCCCTATGTTTTCTCCAATGTGGCTTAAAATTGCCACACCCCAATTCCAAGATCTTTGCAGAGGTTATTATATTCTCTCTTCGAAACGTTCCCGGTTCACCGTTCATACCGTGGCAACGGCTCTGCATGTTCGTTTCCACCGCTAGTTCCATGGACGGCTTCTGGACCACTCCCGGGCCCGTATGTATAGTGCCGGCCATAGCGTTCTTCATCCGTGGTACCCTCTGCTGGAGCATCAACATCCTCGGCAAGAGGGGCGCTGGGAGCATCATCCACAGCACTAGGGCTCACAATATCATCACCCAGAAGAGCATCGGCAGGAGGTGCAGATGGTGCCATTGCAGAAGACACAGGCGGGGCTGAAGGCCCAGCAACTGGCGGCGCAGAAGGAAACGACGACGAGCCGCTTGCGGGACGAAGATGTAAGTAAGCAGGACTGTGATCGTACTGCTGATAATGGCCATCTTCCTCTTCGATAACTGGTGCAGATGGCGCCGACGGCGCCGATGGGTCAGCGGCTGTGGCACGAGCTCCGTTGAAGCTTGGCACCCGGGCACCGGCACTGCTGCTTGGACCAGCCGCGTACATTCTTGTCGTCCTGCCGACACGGCTGTTGTTGCTGCTCGATCTGACGTCCTCGTAGTCTTCTGGGAAAGAAGGAGGTGCACTGGCTTCGGCCAGCAACCGCCGCCGCTCTAGCTCTTGCTTGTCCTCGGTTGGTGGCTGTGCCGGACCAGGGCGGGAGTCGGCGTCGAACGGGGGCGCAAATGGACCGTATGTGGTCAACTCATCGAGCGTTGGGGCCGTGGGCACGGACGGTGCATGGCGGCCGGCACTTCTGCTGCCCTCTCCATTGTCTACTGGCGCTGATGATCCTGGAGCCTCACCAGGATGGCTGGGCAGGAGCCGCTGCTCGGCACGGCGGACTCGTTCCTTCTCTGATATGTTGGGGTCACGCTCAGCAGCAAGCATCTCAGCCGTCGGCACGTATTGCGGTGCTTGTGACGATTGCCCGGGATCGATATACGGAGGGCGGGGCGGTGCAGTAGCAGACGGCGAGCCTGGTTCGTCATAGTAGTCATAGTTGTGCCCATGGCGAGGATGATTGTGGTAGTTGCTGTTGTTGTAGTCGTGCTGTTGGTGGTACTGGTAATGCGGATAATGCTGCTGCTCATAGTAAGGTTCGTTAGGAGGGCCTGGTGGCGCAGTTGATGGCCCTGCAGAGGTACCACCTGATGCTGTCCCGTTCGCCGGCCAGCTCGGGTATGGAGGTTGCTGAGGCTGCTGGTATGGACCTTTACGGTCTTCTGGGTACCAGTCAGGTGGGTGGTGTGAGACATATGGTAATGGCTGTTGTTGCTGCTGCAAAAGGATTTGCTGTGGGTCTGGCTGCTGCTGGACATCCAGAGACAGTGCGGTTCCTTTAAGGCCACGGCCGCGTTGCCGGCTCGTATCTGTCGTACCGACGACGACCTCAAAGGCAACAAAGATCACGCCCTTTTGTCGCCGTAGCTGGTCCGTATCGATCATGTTGCTGCCGCCGCTCCAGAGAGCCGATGTAGGCGCCAGCATGGGCTTGCCATCATAAGGGTTGCTGCTGTTGCTGACCAAATTGGGGCCGGTAGGGCCGACGCCAGACTGTAGCAGGCCAGCCAACTTTCCTCCCAAGTCGACAATGACCTCAAGCTGGTACTTGAAGCTGATCATGTCACCCGGAACACCCTTGATGGTGGCAAAGGCATCCTCGGGCATACGGACAGATGCAGTCACGCTTGACTGCAGAGTGCGTGGGTCAATGATCAGTGGGCTGAAGGACTGCGAGAGATCTTTGCGAAATACGCTGCAGGTACCCGCAGACATAAGAGACAGGCCGCCAAGACCAGTCTTGGACTTGGGATAGTAGTTGTCGTGCTTGGCAGCCCCGTTCCCGCCGCCACTTTTCTTGTCCTTGCTGCTCTTGTGGTTATGTTCTTTGTCTTTTTTTCGGTCGTTCACCTGTTTTTCTTTCTCTTTCGCCTCTCGCTCCAATTGTTTCCGTTGCTTCCGACCTTTTGGTTCGGCTTGCTCGTCATCCAGATCGGGATGCGGCTGCGAGCCGGCGTCTGTGTTGCTATTTAGCAGAACGCCATTGCTGCCTGCGCCTTCGCCGCTGGGCTCTTCGTCCTCTTCAGCGATGCTCGTCCCCGCAGAAGGGAACATGAATTCTGGCGGTGCCGAGTCGATCCGGCCCTGGCGGTAAAGGGTGACAACCACGCCGTGCAAGCTCTTGATGCGCTTCACATGCTGCACTGAGACTTTCACGCTGACGACCTCGCCGGGCAGGCAGCCGCCTTTGAGCAAGTCGATTGTGGCCGTAATCGTTCGGTCGTCGACAACACCACTCACGGTAGTGGTAGAAACAGACGACGCGGGCACAGGGTGTGAGCGGTAGCCATTTCCAGAAGTGCTGTTTCCGTTGTTGCTGCCGGCGGCCGGGTTTGTGATGGTCGACGAGGATGTGTTCGTTCCAGTGGTTGATGCCACTGATTGTCCAGCCATGCTTGCTGGAGCGTGTGAGCTTGCTGGACTCGATAGGCGGATGACGTTGCTTCCAGCACCAGCACCAGCCCCAGAAACGGCTCCAGAACCTAGACCAGAACCAGGTCCTGCTCCGGAGCCAGATCCTGAGCCAGATCCCGAGCCAGATCCTGCGCCGCCAACTGTTCCTGCAATACCACTGCTTCTACTGCGGCCTTCGCTCCCTCCACTGGTCACACTGTCAACGCTGACTTCGCTACGGATGTCCGTTGGCGCGGGACTTCGAGGTTGTGACGTTCGTGACGTCCGGCTTTGGGCTTCAGCGTAGCCGTCATGCTCGTTGTCTTCGGTTTGTATAGTTCCGTGGGTACTATCTCGCGCCGACCCACGGTCAGAAAGCGCAGCAGTATCGTGCCGGTCGGTGCTGCCGCTGCCCGACGCAAAGGAAATTGTGGACATGGCGCCTGGAGCGCCGGCTGAGCCTGCTGGTATGACTGATGTGGGACCGCTTCCTGGCGGCGGTTGGGTCACAACAACGATTTTGCGTTTCTTGGACCGCTTGGATATGGGCTCGAGGGAGATTGTGCGCGGCCGTGGCTTCGGTACTGTGCCGATGTCGACTGGGTCAACGAGATAGACCCTCCGATCACAAGACTGGGTGGGTGCAACCGTGGTCGGACGAGTCAGGGTAGCGGTAATGACATAGCATATGGAGCCACGCTCAAACTAGAAGCAGAAACGACACAGTTAGTTAGATATCGACACCGTAGTGGACGAAAGCCAATGACGCGAGACTCACATCGATACTACTAGGCAGCCGGCGCGAGGGAAAGATGAGGTCGAACTCGAACTCGTAGTTGCCGGGCTCTAACCGGCCGGTGCCACTCAGGACCATCTCATCGCGGAAGAGAAGGGCATGGCCGTTGCCCAGGTAGGAGGAGGACGAAGAGGAGGAGGAGGATTTCGATGCCAGTAGACGCGACGAGGACGAGGAGTCGGTGGCGGTATCGTTGGGCAACGTTGCCGTGGCAGCCGAGTTGGGGTCCTTGAAGACACGCACGAGGCCACGCAGCGACACGGTCAAGTGGGTGATGCGAACTGGCTTGACGACAGCCAGTACGACTGCGCCTAGGACATGATCGCCGGCGCCATACTTGCGATGCGGCTCGGCAGGACGGATGTGGAAGTCGGCGATGGTGCGGGCGGGCGCATGGAACGGGAGGGAGAAGCGGGAGAAGAAGGAGCGTCGGCGCGGCGGTGTCGCCGTGGAGGAGGCGGGAGATGTATGTTGTGGCTGTCGTTGACGTTCCGAGCTTCGCTGGCTTCGTCGATCGTGATCAAGGTCCTCTTCTTGTCCACGGTCTCGTAGGCTTCCTCGCAAAGATGTCGGTGACGAGGATCTCAAGCCTGCAGCAGCTGGAGCCGGAGGCCCATCAGGCCTTCGCGCTGGTGGCAAAGACGGGTCTATTGTTAACGCAGACGCCGCTGCTGTGACTGCAGGTTCCGTCCCCCTGCCGGCCACGTTGGCTGCCCCCGTCGTCGCCGGAGACTCGGACACCACTGCTCCAGCCGCACCCTCGGCACCGGGCGGGGCTGCGGCAGCGGTCGGCGGCGGCGGCGGCGAGCTGGAGTCGCTCATGGGGTGTTGGCGGGGGACCCGCGGTCCGCCGTGCGCTGTGGCGGCTGCTGGTGGAAGTCGTTGTCGATGGCGTGGCGTTGCTGTTGGTGTCGGATAGGTTCCGGGTGTAGAAAAAGGTGCCCGTGGTCCTTCTTCTTGTATCGGCCCGGGGTGCTCTTGCCTTGTCTCTTGGGTTTGGTTGTTCGCTCTTTCCCTCTGTCTTCCGTATCTTGTGTATCTAAGCCGCAACAGTCGGTTGATGTCGCGTGGGAATGCCAAGAAAGGGCGCAAAGAGGGCAGAGGCGGGAATGCGGTTGCGACGACTTTATCTTAGGGGCCTTTCGAGCCCTCTATTTTTGCTGGTGCTGGCTGGCTAAGACGCGGAACCCTGTCTCGGGATCTGGGGCAAAACTCGCAAAAGAATAGGCCACGCAATGCTTGCCTCGTATGGGGCACTTTCGGTAGTGGGGAAGGCTATCTGAGGAAGGAGCCAGGGGTGCACATGCATTTTTAGATCACTTCTCGGGGGGGTGTTGGGGCAGACTATTGGTGGGGCCGTTTTGGTAGGCTGTTCCTCACCTGGAATCACCCTTGACCAAGCGGGAAGGAGAGTGAAAAGGGGAGGTGCGCAGCGTACGTCGTAAACAGATTAGAAAATGGAGACAGACAAAACGAGAAAAACAACTTTAGGAAGGAGACAAAGTGGCCCAGGAGCTCAACAACCTATCACGGGAAGGTGGGACCGTATCGACGAGAACGGGCTCTAGTGGAAGGAAGCACTGGTGGACACTGAACTCGGTAGATACTCACTCCGAGGCAATGTCCTCGAACCTCTTCATTTTGTGAGACTATCGTCGCGAGTTATTTGCACTTGGCATACATCGGAGTATTATGTGGCCCTGCGTCACCTCAGAAGCAACAAAGCTCCAGGTAGTCTGTTGTCGTCTCGGTGCTGCCAACCACAGCTTGCCAACACACCACAGGTTTCCTGTGCCTAGATTCACTATTCACTGCCAGGCACCATCGTCGCGTTCGTCATTTTCTTTCCATTATCTGCTTCTGTACTTCCGTCGTCCTTTTGTCATTGAACCACGTCCGTCGTGCCTCCGTTCACTAGTCAATTGCTTTATTCTCAAACGGGGTTCTCCGTCACTCACTCCGCCTACGATCACACCTGATTGATTGGCAGCACTGGCCCGTGCAGGGTCGAACAACGGCGACGAGGGCAAATGTGCACAGAGGGGGCACACGGAAACCGGCACAAATACAGGATTAAAATCCGAACGGTCCAGCCATATCTCGGTTACGTGCTATTTGCGGTGCACCTCGATGCAGACAGCTGCTCAGTCTGGGCGTTTTGTTTACTTGGTTTGCGCCGATGGGAGGGTTGAAACAACCAAATAAAGGAACAAGTTCGCCGTAAGGCTGTTGCGAAGCGAGATAATTATCTTGGCATCTGGGAACATCGCCAATAAATACGTTGTACATCGGCCCTTTGAGTTTCGAGGGCCAAGAAATGACCTCCAGCTGTCATTATCAATCTGCCCGAGGTCACATCGTCATCTCTCGTCACCATCGTATCTCTGTTTCCCTTTTACTCCGTACATTCTAATTTCTCGCATCGTCCCCCTGTCTCATTCCCCATTTCTGCACCCTCGCATTGCTTGTTCTGGCTTCCCATGCCACCCTATTGGCCTTTCGCGGCCTTGGCAAGTAGCCCGTTTGATGTCCGTCTCACCCCCTTTCCTTCCATCTTTTGTTCTAGATTCTGTGCGCTTCGCTGAATTCAATCAAGTCTCGTCTTGTCTCCCAGCAGAGATAGCAACTTCTGGAGCTTGCACCACTCGTTCAATTGCCTCACTGCAGACACTTGATCAAGCTTTCTGCCCTTTCAGCCAATTTTTAGGTTATTATTCCTCTCCCGTCTTTGCTTCCCGTCTGGCTAAGCTGGGTTGGCCATCCTTGGCACAGTTTCCGGGTTGGAGAAACTAGTTCTGACAGCTTGGCGGCGTTCGCAAAGTATGTAAGTGCAAGGCATTCGTGTTTGTTTATTGTTTGCGGCTGCTGTTTCCACTGTCATCGTTTCCTATCACTTAAACACTTGTTGCCTAACCCTTCGTAACGAATGCGAGCCCCCTGCCCACAACCAAAAAAAACTGATAATTCACACCAAAAAAACGCCAAGATGCTGCCATGCTTCCTTTTGTAGACTGCGCCCATGAAAAGGGAAAAGAAAAACGCACAGAGAGAATAAAATGTACAATGAAATGCTTGCCAAATACAAAACTTCAGTCGAGCGCCTCGCCGCTGAGAATACTCTGCAAAATATCGGCGCCGGCTCCATCCAGCGCTTGCCGCAGCTCCTTTTCGCCAACACAGCTGGCAACGCGCTTCTCATCACCAGCCACACCAGTAACACCCGAACTGCCACCGCCCATCATGCTGTTGCTGACAGCGCCACCGGGCCGTCGGCCTCGCCGACCACTCCCACTGCCGGGCGCCGACTGAAGCACTGCAAAGGATCCGTTGCGGCCGTCGACGGCAGTCACCAGCGACAGGGTCTCTAAGCTGCCGACAACCTCACGGAATTCGGAGCTTGAGAGCGGGTGCAGGACAGCGTCGCGCTTGCACATGAGGTTGTATGTCGCATACAGCTTCTTGATGGTCGGCGCTGCCGTACCTGCCGCACCACCGCCCGGCGCCTGGAGCCGGCTGGGTGTGGGCGCCTTGACGAGCTTCTTGACGCCGCTGGACGGCTGCAGCGACGTGTTTGTCTGTGCAGCGGCTTGTGTAGCTGCGTATGCCTCGCGGCTCCACTTTTCAAACGCCATCAGGGCACACAGTGCCGCCTTTTGTTGCAGGTTGAGGCCCTTAAGCCGCTGCTGGGCGCCGTTGCCGAAGGCGGATGCGGTGACCTTGTTGAGGTGGCCAATGGACACGCGGGGCGCGTTTTCAATGGTCAGGTTCTGGGCGGCCCACGACGCCCACGACGACCGCTTTGGAACTGTGCGAGATGACGCTGCCGAGGCAGGAGGCGACGAGGCCAAGTTCATGTTCTCGGCCAGGGGCTGCTTCTTCGTAGGTGTCGTCAGCACGTTCGATGTGGTTGCGTTACACGCATCACGTGCGTCGTTGAGGTACTTTTCGCGGGCTTCGGACTCGACTAGGTCTAGTGCTCGACGCAAGATCTCAAAGGCCTTGCGTAGGTCACCGGTTTGGCTGGCCACCTTGCGTGAGCAGAGCTCAATGGCGGCAGGGTGAAAAAAGGGAAGGAAGTTGGTGGGAGCAGGGGCGGAAGCAGATGCTTCTGGCACAGAAGGAAGAGTCGTCTGGAGGACAGTTTTAAGTCGGGTCGTAATGATGTTCTTGATTTGCGGTGCGGTATAGGGCAAAAATGGAAGCAGCTCGGGCTGTAGGTTGCGCGACTTGAGACGGGGGAGAAAGCGGTCTGTCAAATCGAGGGCATTGGCAATGCCAACTAGCACCAGGCGCGACGTCTTGAGCATGGACCACTCCATTACCCGGTACAAGCTCTCGAGGTCGAGGGTCAGGATGTGATCGATCTCGTCAAGAACAACTAGGTAGGTGCTTGGGGATCCGGCCGCCTTGGCGGAAGCAGCCTTTTTGCTCGCCTTGGGCAGAAACATAGCCTGAAGCGCATTCACGGCATTCGTTTCTGTCAAGTCCACACCCATAGCTTCAGCAGCCTGCTCGTCGCTATTATTTTCGTCATCCTCGCTGCCGGTACCCAGCACTAGTAACCGAAGAAGTGTGCTGTAGAGGTCGTTGGACGATCGAATGCTCATACAGTTGACGTAAGCCTTGCGTACAGAGCCAGACTGTTCGGTGCAGACCTGCTCCGTCATCTCGTTTACCATGGCACTCTTGCCAGTACCAGGCGGTCCGCTGACGTACAGGCACCCACAATCACTCTTGAATGTCGCGGCGTCGCTTCCACAGTTGGCACTCAGGAACGTCCGCAGCCGCGCGCGCTCATCGTCGCGGCCAACAAGAGAGCCTGCCGCCATGCCCGAGCTTCGCGCAAACAGCTGCCGCGCTACGTGGTAGACTGTCTGAACGCTCCCAGACGGTGTCCGTGGTGTTGTGGGTGTCGTATCACCACCGAGACCTTCACTTGGTTTTGAAAAAAGGCCGTGCGGTGTGGTACGCCGAGAGAGTCTGCCTGCGGACATAACACGGTGGCGCGGTGTGCTAGGCGTGACAGGTGTCGCAGGCGTCGTCGCTGTTGTGGAGCGGCTGGCACTGATGGTGCCGAGGCCATCCCGATAACGAGGTGTAGATGGGGTAAGTGGAACACCAGCGACGGACACGGCACGTTTTGTGGGTGAAGTCTTAGTCGGCGAGACGAGTGTACTGTTGGTCGAGATAGCCCGTCGTACCTTTGGGGTGGCATCGGCATCTGCGGCGAGAGCATCCTCGAATGTGACTGCGTTGGGATCCTGGTTTTCATCGTTGACCACGAAGCTGCGGGTACTGCGTCTCACGCGCTTCAGAGAAAGACTGGCGTCTGCGTCTGTAGTGTGAGTAGAGGGACAAAAGACTTGAAAGAAGCTATGGTTTTGCGATGTTCATACCTTCTACGTCCGAAGCTCTGCTCCGCTTTCCGAGCGAGAAAGCAACCATGTTTGTTGTGTGTGGTGAGGAAAGAGCAAAGGAGGAAGTGTTTAGAGAAAGGGGTAACGCAATGGTAAGAACAGCGATGTGATATGCAAACAACGGAAAGAACGATGGATAGATGCGTAGATGCTCGCAAAGAAAAGAATAGAAAGTCGCAAGAATGGACAAAATGGAAGTAACAGGGAATGAAAGTCAAACGTGGAAAGCACGAAGGAAAGTTCAAGATGGCGGCCAAGGGAGGTACAAGATTTAATGAGGAAGCGCGCGCCAAATAGAGGAACCACTTTACGCGAAGAAGGCGCGACTGACTTACCCCTGCCATTCCTGGACGCGTTGGCGGTTTTACGCGTACGTGGGAGGATTGACCCCAGACCCGCCCAGCCGCCGTGGCGCGTGCTTGCACACCAGCCACAGATACACTGTGCGGGCGCCTATCGTGCTATTCGTATGTCGTACAGTGGGCTTTAATGGCGGACGACATGGCTCAGCTCGCCCGACGAGTTTGGTGGACTTCGCCCAACTCCGGGGCCCTTTACACCACCTGGAGACTCAGTTAGCGCTAAATTGGCCGTTACCCTTCACATTCCCCGCCCTATTCGACCAACATAATGTAGTCCGTTCTGGTCCTCCCCGTATCAGCTGCCAATAATTATGGACGACAAAGACGTACTGGTCGGCGAGAGGCGAAAGAGGAGGCAAAACCATAGCTCTTTCCCTCCCCGTAATGCGACGGAATCAGGCGGTCTGGGGAAGAACGTGCTTTTCTGCGATCTGGGAAGGAGGTCACTTGCACGACGATAAAGGGCCCCGATAAAGCAGCTTTCTCTCTCTTCTTTCTTGATCTTTCGTTCTTGGAACCACCGCGGTTTATCATTCATCATTCCGTGTCTGTCTCATACCTCCGCCGTACTGATAGGCGTTCATAAGCCCTTCTCGTTCTGGGACACGGCCATCCCCAAAACAGAAAACTATCCGGTTTGCACATATCATCGGATTGCGATGGCGGCCAAGCGTGCAACGTACAACAGCTCTGTTGAGGCGTTCCGCGAGCATGAATTTCCAATGCTCAAAGGTGAGTGTGCCTGCTATCGTGTCTATCTTTCGGCCGACTCCTAACTCTGCCAGACAGCATCTACCTGGACCATGCCGGCACTACGCTCTACAGCCGCTCGTTGGTTGATCGGTTCGCTGCCGATATGATGGCCAACTTATTAGGCAATCCGCACGCAGCCTCGGCGTCCTCCCAAGCTGCCGGACACATGATTGAGGACATCCGAATAAGGACACTACAGTTCTTTGGCGCCGACCCGGCCGAGTTTGATCTCATTTTCGTAGCCAACGCAACGGCCGGCGCCAAGCTAGTTGCAGAAGCCTTTCGCGCTCTTCCGGGCGGTTTTTCGTACGCGTACCACCAGGCGTGCCACACGAGCCTGGTGGGTGTGCGTGAAGAGGCCGATAAAGCTGTCTGTCTGCCGTCGGGCGAGGTGGAAGCATGGGCAGCCGGTGAGACCCACGACATCGCCATGAACGGCAATAACACTCTCTTTGCCTACCCAGCACAGTCCAACATGGATGGACGCCGATTTCCGTTATCGTGGTCACATCGTCTACGAAATCAGAATCAGACACTTGATCCTGACGACATAGAGCGGGACGAAGGAAAAAACAACGTCTGGACACTACTCGATGCAGCCGCCTATGCTGCAACCTCACCACTCGACCTGAGTGACGTGCACACAGCACCCGACTTCACTATCATCAGCTTCTACAAGATCTTTGGCTTCCCAGACTTGGGAGGACTTATTGTACGCCGACCCGCCGACCATCTTTTCGATTCTCGGCGCTATTTTGGTGGCGGCACCGTCGACATGGTCGTCTGCTCGTCAAAGGAACAGTGGCATGCCACAAAGGGCAGTGTGGGTCAGGGTGGCAGCAGAGGCTATGCTTTACACGACCGACTCGAAGATGGGACGCTGCCAGTACACAATATCTTCGCTTTGGCTGCCGCGCTGGAGACACACGCGACGCTCTTTGGGTCGATGGCACAAGTAGCATCACATACCCGTTACCTTGCCGACCGCCTCTACACAGGGTTAGCCGCCATGCGCCACGGAAATGGGATGCCCTTGTGCCACATATATTCTCCGGAAAAAGAAGAGGCTGGCGCCGTGGTGGCATTCAACCTGCAAAACGCGCTAGGTGCATGGGTCAGCCTCGGCGAGTTCGATAAGTTGGTGTCATTGAAAAAGATCCATCTCCGCACGGGCAGCGTCTGCAACCCGGGAGGCGTCGCAGCAGCCTTGGGCCTGGAGCCCTGGGAGATGCGGCGCAACTTTTCGCGCGGAATGCGGTGCGGTTCCGACGAAGGTGGCGACGATATTGTGTCGGGCAAGCCAACTGGGATCATCCGAGTGAGCTTGGGGGCCATGAGTACAGCTGGGGATGTAGACGGATTTCTGGCATTTCTCGACGAATTTTACCGAGACAACACAATGGGGGTGGAACAAACCACACCACCCAATGCAGCCGCAAACACAACCCCAAGCATAGGCAGTCTCTTCGTCGCCAAAATCAGTGTATACCCGATTAAAAGCTGCGGCGCGTTCGACGTTCCACAGGGCACGCGTTGGGCGGTGCGGCCTGAAGGTCTTGCGTGGGACCGGGAGTGGTGCCTTGTTCACCGAGGCACGCGGCGGGCACTGAGCCAGAAGCAGCACCCGAAGATGGCGCTCCTGCGACCAGTCGTGGATTTTGACCGGGGTGTGCTCCGGGTCTCGTTTGCTGGGAAAGACGAGAAATGGCGCCATTCGGAGGTGTCCGTGCCGCTCTCCAATAATCCGGCCATGTTTGCGCCAACAGTGACAACATCACGGTCGTCGCGTGTCTGTGGGGAGGAGATCGCCGCACAAGTATACACGTCGGAGGAAGTGAGCAGCTTCTTCTCTCGGGCGCTAGGCGTCCCATGTTTACTGGCGCGTTTCCCTCCTGGCGGCCAGGGGACGAGTATGCGACACTCCAAAGCGCACCTGCAAAAACACCAGCACCAGGGACTAGGAGATCTGCCATCTCCCCCAGACTCGGATTCTGAGAGGGACGGCCTTCGCAGCCGCGGAGGATCCAGTACAGCAAGTCGAATCGGCGATAGAAGCGAAGATGACACCAGCAGAAACTCGCTGGCCGGCCGCCAGCAGCAACGCATTCTCTTGTCCAACGAGAGTCCTATCCTTGCTATACATATGGCCAGCCTGCGCGAGCTAAACGCAGCCGTTCGGCTGTACAGCAAAGACGGCAACAATGCTCCAAGCGTGCCCGCCTCCGTCTTCCGCGCCAACATTGTTCTTGACAGCCGCCTGGGAGAAGAGCAGAAACCGTATGCCGAAGATGGCTGGTCACGGCTACGGATCGGCCAGCAGCCCTTCAAAATGTTGGGCTCCTGCCGCCGCTGCCACATGGTTTGCATCAACCAGGAGACGGGCGCCAAGAACGAGGAGCCGTTTGTGACTCTCACCAAGACACGGCGGTTCGACGGTAAAGTGTTTTTTGGTACACACATGGGCCACGACCCAGATAGAGCGGCGACCGGCAATGAGGGTGGGGAGAACGGGATGGTTACGTCGAAAACTCCTGAAAAACAGTACCCGACTATCATGGTTGGCGACTGTGTTAGTGTTGAGTGAAAAAAGAATATGGGTATTACAAGATTACGTCGTAGATGATATAGTTGGATGTTTTTAAGATATTTTCAATACGAAAACAAATCACCTAAGTAAATAAATAACAGTGCTTCATTATTTCATTGCTGTTAATATGTGATATTATTATCATTTCGTCTCTATGAAAAATTTCACCTGCACGGTCAATTTGAACAAAAAAAATTACTTTTTTTATTTTATATAAAAAAAAGGCAAGATTTTGCGAGTCAAACCCGGCTTCTGGACGATCCCTTTTAATTTGGCAATGTTACACCTCGCTTCGCTCGTCGTGTCATTTCGCCTTGTGATTCCAAGTTGTCGCCCCAATTCCTACATTGATCTCCTTTAATTCCACGACGTCTGCCCCGTGAACTGCCCTTTCTTCCCTGTCGACCCTGTCGCGCCTTCCCCACGCTCCGTATAAGCTCGCATTGGGCCAATAGGAAGGAGCTACCCACCCTTACTTTCCAAGATGATCAGCCTCACATAGACGATACATCCTTTCCCCCCTTTCTCCTTTTCTGTAGTTTTGTTTTGGTTGTTGATGTCTGTATTTTCTTCGTTTCGCCTGCACCCTCCTGAGCTAACTCAATTGCCCGCCATGGACGCCATCACGCTGGCAGATTACCAGCGCGGCGTGCTGCGGAACGCGTTCCGCTCTGCTATGGCTCGTGGCGAGGCGCGGCCGCTTATGTTGGTGGCTTGTGCCGTGCCCGCTATCATTGTGCCAGCCACGTTCCTGGCGGTGGCAGGTCGACACCGGGCGCTCCGACCTCTTCGGTATGCGGTAGCCGTTGCCCTGCTTGCCTACAATGCTCACCAACTTTCACCGCTCTGGAACGGCCCCAGTTGGGCCCGCACATCGAGCTTAAACTTTGCGTCTGCTTATGGCGCCGGGTTGGTTTTCGGATGGGGCACACTGTGGGCATTGGTGGTGCTTGTTTGGACCAATCCATGGGACGGCGAGCGGGTGGCTAGGCGGCGGAAGATACTGCCGGCCGGAACAAAGGAAAGAGAGGCAGACGTTGTCAATATTGACACATTGAACATCCAAAACGCCGACAACGCACCGGACGAGGACATTGCTCGCAGTCTACGCCTGGGCCACGAATACTACTGGCAGTCATTCCCAGCCCACGCCTCCTTTTTTGCTCGCTTTGACTGGGCTATAGACCTGTGCCTGGCTTGGAGGGGTATTGGTGGGTTAAACGACAGCAGGTTTCAGCTCTTTTTTGTGATTTGGTATTTCTAATGCTAACGTCTCTGCTGCACAGGATGGAGCTGGGGCAAGACAGTTGTGCCGAATTTTGCACCGCCCATACGGCCACACACAAATGAGCTGGTCCGCTTATCGTCCTTGCTAGAGGGGACCAAACATGGCTACCGCCGTCAGCGAACACGGGCCGGGTTCTACCGGGCCCGTATAACTACTATTTTGAGCAGTTATCTGGTGCTCGACATCTGCGCTGTGCTCATGACTCATGACCCGTACTTTGTTGTTGGTCCACCGCCCTCACGCAACAAACCGTGGTCGGAGCAGATTGACCAGTTTCCGACTCCAGTCATGGGCGCGGTTTGGACACCACCGCCTTCGCCTGCTCTTATGGCCATGCCTGCCTACCTCGAGTTCCTCTATCGCCACCCTCACCTGCTCGCACTGCACAGAAGCCTGCTGGGGTTGGTCGGTATGGTGGCTGCTCTGCAATTTGTCCTGAGCCTTGATCAATTTGTACGAGTATCGCTAGGTACTCTCATCTCAGGCAAGAACTCAATCTCTACGGTGTCAACCGCAGCTCAGCTCTGGAACTACCCGTCCATATTCGGAAGTGTGTCCCAAGTGCTGGACCACGGTCTCGCTGGATTCTGGGGTAGCACGTGGCACCAGACATTCCGATGGGCCTTTATGGCGCCGACTCTATGGCTCGTCAACCGGGGAATCTTGCCGAAGGGTAAGGCAGTGTGCGGCAAGGCCACGGAGATCAAGAACATGGCCAACGGCACCAACGGCACTGCCAAGGCAAATGGTGCCAACGGTCACATCTCCAAGAGAAGCATGCCCCAAGAGAAGGCACACCTGCCCGCCATCACCCGTCTCACCGGCCTCGTCATTGCGTTCGGTCAGTCTGCTATCTTGCATGCCGCCGCGAGTGAAACTGCACTGCCCACGCACACCCTCTGGTGGGGGCCCACACTTTTTTTTGTCCTGTCAGGAGTTGGTGTCGTTGTGCAGGGCATCGTCCTCCCGTCTGCTGTCATGAAGCGGCTTCCGCGCCGCGCCCGCCAGGTTGCCAACTTGCTCTTCACTCTCGGGTGGCTGCACGCTACAATATGGCTGTTCCTTGATGACACATCACGTTGTGGTTTGTGGTTGTTTGAGCCAGTACCATTCTCGCCCACTCGTTACCTGATATGCCTTGTGCAAGGAGCCGAAACGTCCTCAATCATCAGCCCAGCAGGCAACAATCGGGCAGGCCTGTCTGCTTGGCGCTGGTACAGCGACGACCTCGCGTATTGGCACACGGGCAAGCGTTGGTGGGAGACCGGGCTGGCCATTTAACCTTTCATTCCTGTTGCCTTATGGTCACCGGAATCGTTCGTCATGGAGGTTGGACCTATTTTGTCTTCTTGCTCTTTCTTTGTGCTCTGGATACCACAGGTGGTTTTAGTACGACAACCCATGTCGCATTTGCCACTTTCAAGGTATAGATGAGACCTGTCCCAACAACTAAGATCCTAAAATAGAATTAGATAGAAGGCGCATTGTTGGTGGAATATTATGAGAAACAAAAGATATCATTATTCGTCAACTCATTGTCCATCATTTTGCTATATTTGACAGTCTGAACTCCTTTGGCAGAGGTGCCCGTCCATTTTCCTGCAGCTGCTGCATGGCGTCGCGTATATACGCGAGTACGTCTTTGTATCCTGTCTGCTTCTTCCCGAGAACGACCATAAATGCATGTAGCAGCAAGCTGAAAAATGTTAGTTATAACATAGACCACATGTCCTCGTTTCCGCTTGCTGTTTATTCTTAAAACGTACTATCGTAGGTGTGGCTTGGACACGTCAAACTTGTATTCGGGCCACTGCTGTGCACGCGTCTTGCTGTTGAGGAGGCCAAAGGCCATTTGGCCGACTTCCTCCATGGTGCGGATGGTCAGCTGCGCGCTGGGTCGCTTGGTCTTGGGCATGCGTCGCGCATACGCCCACATCTTTCCGGCCGTCTCGGCGAAGGCGCTGTGGAGGTTGCGTAGTGTCGTCCGCCGCGAGTTGAACGACGTATCGAAAAACATATGGTGAGATTGGATTTGGAAGCAGTCTAGGACGCCGGTGTTAGTATGGAAAGAGCATGGAAGACGGAAGAGAGTCACAAACGGAGCATGGACACACGACATACTGAGAATTCTGCGCTGGAACTGGTAGCCTGGGGATCGCGTGTGCTCGATGGTGATCGAGTTGAAGAGGTCTGGGCTTGTTAGCAAGTGTTTGTTCACATTTTGTGCTTTCTAGCCAAGGCATGCCTCATACCCTGTGGCTTCGACTCGCGGTCTTTGGCCAGATCGAGTGTCGAACAGTGAATGGTTGTGCCGCAGTACGGGAACGGTAGCCCCGGAGCAAGCCGTGGCACGGGCTTGCCACCGATCTCCAGATGGAAATTGACCAGGATTTTGCTCGGGTTGACCGTAACACCGTACCTGGGGTGGCCGCGCTGCATCACTTCGACGAACCGTGCTGCTTTGGACCGGTCGACGGTGATTAGAAGAAAATCGTCAATCAGCCGTAGCAGGAGACAGTCCTCGTTGCTACTGTCAGCCGGCCCCAAGAAGCCCAGCTCCTTCTCCTCCAGGTCGGCATAGAAATAGCTGCATAGAGCCGCTGATAAGACGGATCCCTGCGGGATGCCTTCTTTCTGCCGATAAAACTTCTTGCCGATTTTGACAATGTTCTGGTGAATGTGTGTCACCGCCAGCCTGGCCAACGACTCGGCATCGCGTGTCTTGCGGAAAGCGCTGTCCACAAACACGGTATTGCACTTGTTCAGTGCAATCGAGCCCTGCACGGCGTCATGGAAGCCAGACATGTCATCACTCGGCCGGGCCATCGTTTTCCAAGTCGTGCGAGGGCCCACGTTCTTTCTCGAAGTGGCAGGGGCGCTCAAGACATCATTGTATTCTGTCGCCGAGATCTCAACATGCTTCTCCATGTGGTATGCTGCGTGTTCCGGAACTGACAAGAGCAATTTTATCATGGCCTCCTGTGGAATGGTGTCAAAAGCTGCCTTGACGTCAACCTTGGCAAAATAAAAGATCTTTTTGTCTTTGGCGTGCATGCGCTGCTTAAAGTCTTTTAGTCGCGAGTACATCCCCCTTGTCGACAGCATGCCTGATCGGAGACGCTCGGGGTGCTCCTTCATTTCGAGCTTGAGCATGGCCGCCACTGGCCGCAGGACTGCATTGATGCTGGCCGCTGGGCCCGAGCCTCCTTTCTTCGGGACACAATGACTCAGATTGGTAATGGCACGAACAGTCATGTTCTTGGGCAGGAGCCGCAGCTTGCCGAAACCAAGATCACGGGCACTGGCCATAAGCGCCGTATTTTTTGCGTGGACTCTTTCAAGGCGGCCGGCCTTGATCGCTGCCATGGCCGGCAGCGATATGCGTCGCCAGACATCGTGGCGAAAGTAGAAGAGCTGGTTTCGGTGCACGTTGGACTCGGTCACGTAAAAGTTGGTCGCGAGGAGGGGGATGAGCAGCAACTCGAAGAGAAAGTAGAGGAACTCGGAGAAGATCTCTTGTCGTTTATCTAGATCGGTCTTGCTTAGCTTGCAGTACTTGAGTTTCGGTGGTGCCAGCCACGGAAGCTCTGCAATCTACAACGAAAGTTTCTGTTAGAAGCCGGGAAGAAGAAACGTGAAGGAAAGGTGAAGCGCGAGATATACTGTCACCGTACTTTGAATCCTTGCAGCAGGGAATGGAAATTGAGCTTTTCATAGCGCTGCAGTCGCACGAACAAGTCGAGTTTCTTTAAAAATATAGCTTTATTGTGAACTTGGACCTCCCCCAGGCCCCAGAAGTCATCTGGGACAATCTTTAGAAAAACTGCCTGGCAAAAAGCAGAGACCTGCCGCACCGGTGTAGCCAACTGCACCAGCGGAACCGGGCTGAGGGGTTTGGATGCTTTCGTCCCGGGTCTGTCGTCTTCGCCCGTCTGTTGTGGATATGGTTCCTTTTTGTCTGCAAGCTTCTCCGACGATTCGGTGCTGCCTGAAGGGGCAGTGACTCGAATGTCTCCTGCCGGAGTTGAGCCTTGGCTTCGGTCCGGACAGTAATACTGGAGAAGCGCAGCATAGGAACATTTTCGATGAAGCGTTTGCATCTTCTCCACGAGACCCAAAAGCGTTCCACGCAACCGCTTAGGAGTCGGCACCTGGAAATTATATTCCTGAAGTTTTTCTTCTCCGAATTTGGCCACGATCTCTTCTTCCCGTGCAAAAACGTGGTGCAGTGACCGGGGCAATTTCCCGCCATCGGTAGCTGATGTGAAGATATTTTGAAGTCCAAATTGTTTTGGGAATATATGCATCACCGTGCGTATCGTTCTCGCCTTGTTGACAGAGGCAAGAAAATGACCACGGGGAGATTCTTCAGGGAGTTTGGAAAGTTTTGGGAACTGGTCAAGGATATCTTTGTTTCGTGAGCTGTGGGAAAGAAGACAAAAAAAAGGTATAGAGGGAGAGCAACGTACGTCTATTTTGTAATCCGAAACGGACCTTACGTGCCTTCGAAAGACTGGGCGTGGTATACAGCATGCGGGTTCTCGAGAGCGTGATGTCGGAAGGCTGCTTGGTTTTGGTTGCAGTTGTTTTCGTCGGTGGACACGCACCGGCCGTCTCCGTACTGGAGATGGTCTCGAACAGCGGCTTGCCGGTAAGCTGGACATAGTTTCCGTTACCGGCATCCACCGGTAGGAAAACCGAGCAATCCAAAAGAAGATCCGTCATGATCTTCTCGGCCGACGCGCCCAGAATGGCAAGAAGCTGCGGCCACGGCGCCTCCTTCAGTGTCTGCGCGTTCTGGGGATTCCTAGCGGCGTAGACACCTGGGATGGTATACGTTGGCAGGGATATCACGTTGGCATCGGCAATCTGCTGATGCAAGTCCCAAACGGGCGGCCGCTGGCCTCGCTGAAAGCCATGACAGATGACGTTGTCCGGGAAGCTACTGTAGCCCTTGGACCCGCCGGTTTTCTTGCTTCGTTCGAAGAGAAGCCAAACAACAAAGTCGACAATCTGCCAGATTAGAGATTGGCTCTGAAACAGGCAGAGCATAGACTGGCAGGGGACACGCACCTCGGACTGGGGAGCGAAAGCACCCTCGGCAGCGTTCGAGACCGTCACATACGACTCGTCGGCGCCCTTGGTTTGGGAAAACGTCATGCGTAGTCTCGCCCGCTCGCCGTCGTCAAGGACTGGCCCGCTGCTAAAGCCATCACCATTGGTGCCACTGGCGCAGGCCACGAGCGTCGAATCGAGCACATGGCTCAGAAGTTTCTCAACTTCGGTGGCGTTTTCCTGCTTGCCAACTGCGGACAACTTTTTGCGGCGGAGTCGCGATGTCGCAGGCAGCCGTGTCAAGAGATATGCCCGAAGCGTGTCGACTCGTGCAAAGTACCGGGCCAGGAGATCTTCTTTGACGGATCGATCTCGGCCAGGAGCGCGGGCCACTGCTTCTTCTCGCGGTTTTCGTTGCGGCTCTGCGGAGTCTCGTTGCACCTTTGCATTCGGCTTTGCCCCCCCCTTCGTCTTTGCTCGTTTCTGCGAGCGGCCATCGGACGTATTCTTGGTCTTTGGCCTCTTTCTTTTGTTGGCCATGATGCGAAGCTGGCCCTGCCAAAGCGGTGACCTGTGTCTCGTCCGGGTCTCGATATGTCAATGCGGGCCAGTATCAACGTCCCGTCTCTATCATTCTGCCCTCTCCTATTTCCAACCGACTTTGGGCATAGGCGTCCGCGACAGCTCCATGGCCTATGTAACTCGGGATGGAATCCAGCACGCTGAGGGGAAAGGCAGAGAAGATTGCGATGGCAAGGAGATGAAATTGCAGGAGAACACAGAAGCATTCCTGGCAAATCAAGGCGGGGGTTGCACAAAAGTGGTCAAATTGCACGTTTGGAAAATGGCGTTGAGCTACGTCGTACTTTCGCAGTGTGTTACAGGCAAGATCGAATGCAATATTCTGTTGACACTACTGGTCCCGTGATTTCCATCCGTCGGCTGTTGTTGACCTTGTAATTACAGAGAAGGTTTTGTTTATTGGCCTGGGCCATTTGGTCTAATTTACACCTGTTCCAGTTCCTCCTCGGAGCATTCTTTTCTCCCCTGTCGGACTTCGGGTCCTGTCTGCTTCTTCTCTTGTGGCATTTGTGCTCGCTGCGCCTGCTTTGATCGAGAATGCCAGTACGGCATACATCGTACGACGCAATGGCACAGCGTTCATGAAACAGTGTGTTGGTGTTTGTCAGGACCTTTTCTTTGATACGCGCGTCCAGGCGCGTCAGTGGGATTTGGTGGAGAACGTCGCGTTCCTTCTTTTCTGGGTTGGTGAGCCGCCAAGCTTGACGACGGTGGTTCGTGGTCAGACAAAAAGCGGCAGGAGCGATAGTGCTACCGAAGCGCTACAGGAAAGAACGGATGAGAAAATTGGGAGGGGAGGGAAGATCCACATGCCTCTTTTCGAGCAAGACATAATAGACGCAGAAGGCACGTTGAACACACGACGTAAGCACACGAGATAAGGAGGGGGCCTATACGGTGTAATGCTTGCGGAAGACGGCAGTGCGTTCCGGGGGATAGGTCTTGCTATGACGATGGTGAACGGGCCTACTTTTCTGTTTCTTCTCCGTCGATGTGTTCAGAGGCCGCAGACCACAAAATCGGCCAACAGCGGGTGGTGAAAGCGCCTACGGCAAGGCTACGTCGGCAATTTACTAGGTGAATCTGACTTTGGAGCCGATCCCATATGAATATGAAAACACGATATCGGACAGGCACCAAAAGAAATGCACAACAAAGAGACGCACTTGGGGGTTGGCCTGACTGAGCAACACACCAACGGCAGCGGTTCCAGGGGGGCCCGCACGCCAGGGACGCAAGGGACGAATGGCCTAAGAGAAAACAAGACAATGCCCCTGGATTGCGATGATCCTGTGGCTGCAAGCTCGGACAGAGGTGGCCTGCGCTGGTCGAACGTGTTGGTGCGGCAGAGTGGGCTAGCGCTTTGGATGTGCCTTCCCGTTGGTGGATGCACAATCTAATGGCGAGTGTGTGAGTGTTGCGATTGCGTGTGAGTGGATGGGCCGCTCTGCACAGGACGGAGTTGCAGATGTGACAAGGATTGAGTTTAGGTCAGTGAGCCGAGGACCATTCTTGTTTCTTTCACAAAGGAAGGCATATTTGGGACAGAATGACGGGGACCCTGTGAACACGGGACAGCACCATGAATTACGAGGAAAAGCTAGGTCTTCAAGCGAAATACTCTGCATAGATACGAACCTACAGAATGGATAAAAAGGAAGCGAGCAGCTCTTGGAGTGGATAAATGCCTGTACGACTGTGCCAGCGAAGACAGGTCGGTGGGCGGATGGACGTGCCAACAAACCACCAGGATCCAGGATGCATCTCCAACGACAACGTAACGCAGTGCAATTGGCGAGGGGGTGTGGGGTGGATGGCCAGGTCGCAGCGTTGGGCAGGCGCGACGGGTCAGATTTTGTTGTCGGTGCGCAGTAGTGCCAGTCGGCAGCGGCCGTTGAATAAAAGGAAAGTGCGACCGGTATGTGGGAGAGCTATGTACGGTGACAAGAAGGGATCGAGAAATTCGAGGAGAGAGTGTGTGAACCTGGTCACAGTACGGAGGACGGAGTACGGAATACATACTTTCGTTGTGATGAATGTGGCTCAAAATGCGACTTGTTGTGACCAACCGGATGCTCTACGGATCGTCGACAAGGCTCAACAAGAGAAAGATGGAAAGTAACCGCCTCCATACAGCCACGTTCGACTTGGGCAGGGAAGGGGCAGGGGCCACCGCATGCGTGTGGTACCGTCCTTGGGACAAGGAAAGAAGTAAGAACAGCAAAGAAAAGATGGAGCACCCAGTCGGACATAGAGTGCTTTTTGGATGCAGGGAGCCGTGGGGGGAAAATGCACAGGCGAGTGGCTCAGAAGCAGCACTCCGCGGACCGATATTCTGTATCTTACGACAGCCACGAATGAAGCATGCAGGACGGGGGTGTCCAGGGCAGCTGCAGCACCAGTATTGGACGTGTGGACAAGCGGCCGACACGGATTAGCCGCATGCAGCGGATGTGTCGATCAATACTGGCCAGTCGATTCATCCAGAACCGTGATCGACGGGGCACAAGAGGGCGAGAAGGCTTTCAGGTTTGTAGGCTTGGTGGTGAAGATTGAAGGGCTGTGAGAGCAGGACGGAGTGACTGGTGGAGGACGACAGGATGAAATGGGGAATGCGAAGCGAGGGAATAGACGAGATTGGAGGGAGTATAGGAGAGACGAAGGTGCGACTCCAGCGACTGTGTGGGCTGTTATCAAAAATGAAAGATCCGACGGCATCACAGCGACGCTCGTATGACCAAAACATAGCGCCGGCAGCACGTCGTAAGCCGTAATGCTTGCTATCCAAGGTCGCGCACTCCAATCTGGCAATCAACGAGGAGCCGATACGAAAACGCCCAGATGCGATACGACTGAAAGTACCAGCCGTGGAGGACGTTTGCCGTTCAAGCCTCACGAGCGTGCAGGTGAACAGAGGAGCCGCCACAGCGAGGGACGAGTTCTCTGGCTGCATTAGGAAAAGCAGAAATAGAAACGCAGGGTATTCTGTACTGCGGGCCAAGGAGAGGGACAGCGCCCTGCATGTTAAGATACAGCCAGTAAAGGTACGCCAAGTTGGCCAGCGAGCTTTGGGAAACGGAGCACAACGGCCACCATCGCAGGCCAACATCTTCCCAACCAGGGAAAACACTCTTTCTAGTCATTCTCCCTCTGGAAAGGTAACCTTGGGTCCGTCGTACACTGGACTGGCCCTGGTCGCTCGTTCGTTCCTCCGCCGTTCCTCCACTCCTTCAACCGCACCACCCCGGCCTCTCAGACAAACCACCCCAGCCATCCAGGCCATCCAGCCCGAACCCTCTTTTGACAGGCCTCGACCCCCTGAGGGTCTGTTGGACTAGCGTCGAAAAGGATTTGCTGGACTGATGCAGTTGCTGGACACATTGGAATGCCTGTGTGAGCATGTGGCATTTTTGCTTTTGCGTTTCCTCTCGAATATTTTGGCCTAATGACGCCGATGCTGCGACGGGCTCGCACTCTTGCACTCTACCTCTGAAATACGAAGCACTGAGCCGCCATCTGCCTTCCAGCGATTCCGCGTCACAAATCCGTGGGTATCATCCATACGATACGCACGAGGCCCCGTGTTAGCGTGCTTTTTCTACTTCGTAGGTTGTTTTGGCTGCAAACCCCGTCCCATAGGCGCCAGCCTGTACCTATCCCGCGAACGATCGCCCCTTCCCCAAATCGCTGGTTGTCGCTGCACAGCGCCTGCCCTCCCCCCGAGAGAGACACGCGCTTTTGCATAAGCCAGGCCAACCCACCCGTTCTGACTGCATCCTGCACCCGCCTTTCCAAGACAGAGCATCCCGTCGCCTCCTGTTTTCTCTGTCTCCCCCCTTCCTCGTGTCCTCGTGTTTCTCCTCGTCCACCCCCTTTCCCCCCCCCAATCGCTCGCCGAGCAGGCATAGCCAACCACGACCGTTTGCCCCAACCGGCCGCGAAAGCCTAAATGTCCAGCCTGTCATGGACGGCGGCCACCGAGACGAGGACGATCCCCTCGATCCTCCCAACCGCCTCGACCGCCTCGACTTGTTCGACCGACTGGACCAGCTGGACCGCATGAACAACGCAGCCCGTCCCAGCAACACCCACCTCGACAGCCACAGCCTTCTGCCACAGCCTCCGTCTGACCGCCTCGCCGCGAACCTCAGCAAGCAAACACTGGCCTCACCCTCCCCGCGTGAGCATCACCACATCCAGCAACAGCATCTCCATCACAACCACCACGCGCACGCCCTCCAGCCCTCGCTGCTGCCGTCCTTCGATGTCCCGCCTCCACCACCACCACCACCGCCGCCCCTGCCGCCCCTGTCGTCGTCATCGTCCCATCCGCTTGTCGCGTCCAATGCCGGCGTAGACACCGCGCAGTACTCGGCCGAACCCTCTTCTCAGCCCTTTCCCCCATTTCCCGCCCACGACGACGCCCGCAGCGACTTGCTCGACGACCCTGGCGACTTTTATCGCTCTTACACCGACAGCAGCCTTCGGGGACACCAGCAAGACGACCAGGACACGGCCGTGGCGTTCACGGCCGCTGACCTCATGGCACCAGAGACACCTGTCTCTCGACCAGCACCGCTCGCACCGTCCCACAACACCTCTCCCAATGGCGTAACCATCAAGCAGATGCACGAGTCACAGCAGACACAGCAATTACCGCAGCGGTCCCGGCCACCGCCGTCGCTCGCCAACCGCACAAATGCAATTCGGTCTGGTCGTTCCGTCTCGACTCCTGTCGGCAGCAACGGCGCCAACCCGACCACCAACCGGCCGGGTTATGGACCGTCCGCCTCGTCGTCCACCAGCGTCAAGGACTTGAAGAAGCGCTTCGACCAGATCAACACCGGCCCGTCAGCCTCCGCCACAGCCGCATCATCGTCTGCATCGTCTTCGACGCGGTTAAAACCGACGACACGGACCGGCCTCGCTCCCCCCTCAACAGCGTCTCGATCTCGGGCGACTACAGCCGGCAGCAACCGGGGTCCGTCACCGACCGCCACGACGCGAGCCAAGACGCCGACGAACCGCAGCCACGCCCCGCCGCCGGTGAGCAGTCCGAACTCTTTTGCCAGCCGCATCGCCAAGCCGCGAGCCGGTGCCCCAGGAACACTTCCCACCTCTGTCAACGAACAAGCGTCCAAGTCCACGCCTCATCTGACGGCGCCCCTCGCATCACCGCGGGTAAACCGGACGGCACCGCCACCGGCCCCGCCGCCTGTATCACGAGCGAATGGCCTATTGTTTGGAGAGATCCTGCCCGAATACAATAATTTGTTAACCACTGGATACGGCATCGACGCAGCAGTCCGGCCACGGCGAACGTCCGAGTCCGTCCTGCACGACCCACCACGGATCTTCACGCGCTCACGGTCTGAGATGGACCAGGATGCCGAGGCCGTTTCACCTACAGATTGGTATCGTAGCGCGACCTCTCCACGATCTCTGGGCGACCAAGGTCCAGGCACCCAAGGAGATGCCTCGTTCCAAAACCAAGCTCCACCGGAGCGCACGGCAGCACCATCGCGCAGTCCGACAGGACACATTCGGGCGCACAGCGATCTCGCCGGGGCAAAGCCGACGTATCACCACCACCACCATAAAAATCAACAAAGCGGACAGACCAACGCTTTGGCTGTTCTGCCGCCTCCGCCCCCGTCCTCTAACCCTCCGCCTTCGCGCCTCGCCACTCAGAACAAGAACCCTACTACCACCCGTCCGCCTACCTCCATGTCCGACGTGCCGCAGTCGCCAACGTCCCCCACCTCGCGCCTTCCCATCTCCGTCAGGAAACTGTCTGAAGCTTCCAACCGCTCCAGTCCATCGTCGACACGCTCCAACTCCCCCGCATCTGCAGCTGGACGCCGCTCTGCTGCGGCCAGCAGAGTCCCACGTCAGCAGCACTCGCATGGCCCCCCACCATCCACAGCGAGTGCGAAGACACCAACAAAACGTGCAGCAACCCCAACATCGACAACCGCCTCGCGGGCCAAGGCCGCAACGACGCCCACCTCGACCTCGTCGCGCAGGCCCCCACCGTCCCAAATCGCAACCTCTGGCAATGGCCGTCTCAGCGCCTATATTGCGGCGCCGCCACCAAAGCTTTCTCCACCCCTCCGCAGCTCACGACCAAGGCAACCTGTCTCATCCGCAAACGCTCCAGCCTCTGCGTCACGCCTGGGTCGGACATCAGCAGCATCCTCCTCCTCGTCCACCACCGCCGAACGAAGTCGGATGCCGTACGCTGGCAGCACCCGCTCGTCAGCCGCAAAACAAGATGAAAGTCGAACTGCCAATCGCCGAAAGATCGACGTCGGCCCTATCGACTTCGCCCAGCGCCGCGAGACGATCCGTCTCAAATATAGCAAGTCCATTCGAGAAACGGAGGCCTCGGCGGCCCGACAGGCTGCGGCAGACAGACGAAAAAAGGAGCTCGAGGCTGCTGCCAAAGCCAAGGCACTGGCCGAAGCTGCTGTACGCGCGCAGTCCGAGGTCAGCAGGCGCGCCATGGCTGCCTCAGCGGCCACATTGTCCTCCAAGTCGTCAGCATCATCCCTGTCGGCCTCGTCCAATGCGGCCGCTAGCACCACGACCTCGTCGGCGGCTGCCGCTGCCGCTGTCGCACGGTCCCATAGTGTCCGGTCGTCGACCGCCTCCATTGCTGCCAATGCGGCGGTATTGGCAGCGGCGTCGTCATCGTCCCCAACGGCCTCCAGATTCCCGGGCACGTCAACGCCACCCCCTTCATCCCCCACTGCTGCCACTGCTGCCAGTGCAGCAGCAGCAGCTTCGGCAGCAGTCTCTACACCGCCCCGCAACAGTCCCCGCCAAAGCCCACTGCATAGTCCGGGAGTGCGACGCACTGTGAGCGTGCGGAAAAGCGCCGTCGAGCTACCGTCTCTGGCCATCTCGACCTCCATCCCGGAATTGCGGCCGGCCCCAAGTCGCCGGGTTCCCAGAGAGAATGACTCACCGACACTGGGCATTCCAGGGACATTTCCCGGTGGCGTGTATTCCCCGCCCCGAAAGGATGCCCGAGACGAACCGCCGCCATCCGCGATTTCTCTCAACTCAGCCATCACGGAGTTCGACAATGAGCCGCAAACAGATCCTCCGCGGCAAGATACTGCCAGCGGCCTGCAGCATGCTGGAACTGAACCGCAGCCGCAACCCGGTTACCTTAGTTATGGCAACGCAAAAGTTGAGTATCGCTCGCCTTTTGACTTGCCTACACCAGACGATCAGACCGCCCACACATCTCATCATTCAACCCCTCAGAAGCTGCACAGACAAGGGGACGACACGTACAGGTCCCCAAAGTCCTCGTACATGTATCCCTTTGAAGATGAGGGGGCTGATGATGTAACACCTATGGCAAACAACATCTCAACCGAACAACCAAAAGATGCCGATATGTCGCCTTTTGATCGTTTCATTCCTGGCTCATACCGCCAGGACAGCTACGAAAGCAGGCCTTATACGCCTCCTCAAGATCGCGATGCTTCGCAGGAAGCTACCCAGCTGGCCACATCGTTGCACCAAAGCCCCGTGCGAGTACATGAGCTTCGCCGAAGCGCCTCTGGCTACCACATGGCGGAACCGACAAGCGAACACGATGTACCAATCCACATCGGAACCGCCGTCACTGAGACACCGGACGAGACAGTACGGGAAGACGTTGCCATCGGCTTTGCGCTCACATCGTCAGTGCCTACAGCAAACGTGGAAGAAGATTCTGAGCCGACAATGCCGAGTCGGAACATCGAGCCAGAGTATGAGGTGCAGCCTTACCAGCCAGATAAGGTGCAGACAACGACAACTGTCACCATACTTGGTCGCGAGACCGACATTCCCAGCCGGCGCCCGCCCTTGTCACGACTCAATAGTTCATCTAGCCGCCTGGACCTGCCGAATGACTCTGACTATGGAAATCCCGAGGGTTTCTACGCTGTGCCGACCTTGAAAGACAACATCGCGGCATTGCGTGGATCCGCATTTGCTTCATCTGATATTTCAGACGAACCCCAGCGGTCAGCCAGCGAGCCACAGCGCACACCGGACACGTCAAATAGTCTCAACTTGCCTTCGCTCATGTCCCCTGCAAACCGGTCCAGCCAACAATCTGGCTGGACAGATTTCTCGATCGAAAGCGAGGATGCCCGCGCGTTCCTTGCCGCCCGGGACTCGGCGGCGTTGTCGAACAGTACGGAGGTGATCAACAGTAGCCACGATATCGATGGCGGCTCTCCCATTCGTACCCGTGCAGTGCCGCCCTCGATATTGCAAAACCAGCAGAGCCAGCAAAACCAGCAAAGCGAGCAAAACGAGCAGCGTCTGCGACCGCGCCACCGTCGGAATCCGTACGAGTTTGATTCCAGGCCCGCTTCGGTTCTCGAAGGCGAGCAGGAGCAAAATGAACGGGATGAGAACATCGACCCGTACGAAGAGGAATCGCCTGATGGCCCGGGAGCTTCGCCAGCCGACGAGCCTACATCGACCATGCTCCCGGAGCTGGATACGGGGACCAACTTTTTCGTCCCTTATTTGTCGGATGACAAGGTTGCGCACCAACATATTCCCGTGCTTCCCGACCACGACCCGCCGCCAATTCCCGTGTCCGTCGATGGGCGAGATTCGTTCACCGAAAACAGTGTTCGCCCGAGCTCGTCCAGTGCGTACTATGATTCCTCGCGCCCAAACAGCTTTGCTCTTGGTATGCGCGACGACCATGACGGCCAAGATTCGTTCACGTTTGGCGGGAATGGCAGTGCGGACGACTCCATGTATACGTCGCCCCCACCAACCATGACAATGCAGTCGTCTGCCCAAGCATCCCTTGATCTCCCACGGCAGTCGATTAGCGGCGCGACACTTATTGACAGCGAGCGGCCTAGTGGGCTTGACGGTACTGGTGATGCCTACGAAGGCGATGCTCCTTTCAAACGTACAGGCGGCAGCCCCAAGAAGACCACACCCAGCAAAGAACAGTCGCGTCTTGTCCAGCGCCAAATGGTCATTCGTGAGCTGATTGATACCGAGGCCGTTTTCGTGCGCGACATGAACATTGTCGAGGAAATTTACAAGGGCACGGCCGAAGCATGCCCGCAGCTCGATGCCAAGACGGTCAAGCTCATTTTCCGCAATACGGACGAGATTATTGCTTTCCACACAGCGTTTCTGGTCCAGCTGAAAGACGCCGTGTCCACGGTGTATGCTCCAAAGGGTGGCCGGCGCACATCCCCCCCACCTCGAGAAGACTCCATTTTGTCCGAATCGGACACCCTGAACTCAACGTCGGCAACCTCCGCGGCCGAGACGACCGGCTCGTCCTCGACCACAGCAGCTGCCTCGTCGGCAACGACTGGAACAGTTGCTGAAGACGCCCGGGATCGCCAGACGTCTCTCGGACCTGTTTTCCGCAAGAACATTGACCAAATGCGTGTCACCCACGAGGCCTTCTTGCGAAGCAGCGACAACGCGGCGAAGCGCCTCATCCAGATCCAGGAAGACCCGACTGTCAAGCTTTGGCTCACGGAGTGTAATGAGGTGGCACAGGATCTGACCGCCGCCTGGAACCTCGACTCGCTGCTGATCAAGCCCATGCAACGCATCACCAAATATCCGAACCTGATCAGCCAGCTGCTCCAGTACACGCCCGAAGATCACCCCGACCGTGGCCCGCTCATCTCCGCGCGCACCGTTCTTGAGAACTCGATCCTCGAAATTAACAAAACCAAGAAGAATTTTGAGCTGGTTGGCCAGATTGTCGGCCGCAAACGCAAGGACTCGGACGTGCGTGCTGGTTTTGCCCGGGCGTTTGGCAAGCGCGTTGACAAGCTGCAAGTGTCCAGCAACCGGCCGCCCGAGGACCAAGTGTATACCAAGCTCAACGAGAAGTTTGGCGACGACTACCTTCGTCTGCAGGTAGTCCTTCGCGACGTGGAGTTCTACACCCGCCAGGTCTCGGCATACGTGCACGAATTCTTACAGCTTTTATCGGCCATGGAACTGGTTATGCGCCTGCAGCCATCGCCGTACCCAGAGCTGGAGAGCAAGTGGGCCCGCTTCAATGTGTCTATGCGTGACATGGAAAAGGTGGCCCTGGATCAGCATCTGGCGCAGGTCCGAAAGCACGTCATTGAGCCGTTTGAGCTGGTCATCAAGTGCTACGGCAATCCGAGTCTCGCAATGAAGAAACGTGCAAAGCGGCGTCTCGACTACGAACGGGCAGCACAGCTCAAGAAAAGCGGGAAGAAGGTCGACAAGCAGCTCGCCGAGCTCGTGGAGCAGTATGAAGCCCTCAACGAGGCGCTCAAGAAGGAGCTGCCCATGCTGTCTGCCAACACAGAAAAGATTGGCAACATCTGCCTGGGCAACTTTGTCAACATCCAGGTTCGGTGGTTTGCCATCTGGAAAGAAAAGGTCAAGGTTGTGCTGGAAGACCAGCAGAACGTGCCGGAGGTGGTTGACATTATGAGCACGTTTGCGCGCGACTTCCACGACATGGAAGACCACATCAAGCAAAGCTTGACAATCCTGACCAAGGGCGCGGGCGGCGGCAGCGGCGGCAGCAGCGGCAGCGCTGGCCGTGCTGATGACAGCCAAAGCAGCCCCACTCCTGGTGGCACGAGCATGCTTCGGACGCGCTCTGGCCGACCGATGGATCTGTCTCCCCGCGGGCGCGGCGAGTCTGTGAACAGCGACAGCGCACCCACGCTTCCAGCCCCCGACTTTGGCGGACGTGCCAGCGGCCCCTTTGCGTTCTCGCCCACGACGACGTCGGCGCCGAACCTGGCCGGACACGCGGCATCCACATCGATAGCAACGGCTGCAGGACTACCGAGTCCGCACCAGTACTACTACCGCGGCGACTACTACAGCGGCCTCAACCTGAATGACAACCATGCTCGCAGCGGTGGCTCTGGCTCGCCTGGTATGCCGGCCGAGTCATCGTCGTCGACACGGTCGCTTGGTGGCTATGCTGGCGGTAGCAGCGTTTCGGTATCGGGGTCTGGACGGCCCAGCACCGGTCGCAGCTATGACTCGTCCGGCAACACCGCGCCGCGCCCGAGTGTCGACTCGCTTAACAACAACCATGGCCTGCCGACCGCTGGCCAATCGAGCATGGCAGCGGCCCTTCAGGCTAGCAAGCGCGACTCGGGATCCACGTACAACTCCAGCAACCAGTACCCGCCGGGCAGTACGGTTGGTGGCGACACCAGCAGTATGACGGGCAGCGGTGACCGCCGCTTCTCGGGCCTATTCCACTCGGCGATGCCCATGGATGACATCCCGGCACCGACCGCGACCTCTGTGCCAGGCGCTGGCAGTCACCACCACCACCATCACCATCACCACCACCAGCGCAACCACCACCATGGTGGCGCCGGTGGCCACCTGATGGCAGATGATGCCAGCCGATTGTCGTCACGCGCACCTTCGCGGGAACGGGCCGGGACGACGTCCTCGAACGCCTCGTCGTCGACAACGGGCGCCGGCCACAGCAGCGGATACAATGTGCTCTGGCTCGCGGCGTCTCTGTTCGAGTTCAATATTGAGACAAAGCACGAAGCAGGGTACCCGTACCTGACGTACCAAGCAGGCGAGGTAATTGAGGCCCCCCTCCCCCCATGAACCCCGCAACCCATTGTGATGCGATACCTGACTCCAACATATTACTGACAACGCGTTTAGATCTTTGATGTTATTGCCGAAAAGGGCGAGCTGTGGCTGGCCAAGAATCAGGACGACCCGTCCGAGCTTGTGGGCTGGATCTGGTCGAAGCACTTTGCCAAGCTGGCCGACTCGTAGAGCGAGCATGCGGCAGCAGGTGTACAATGATGGTGACACCATTGTGTCGACTCTGTACTGTATGAGATTCTTTTTATTTTGGACTGCCGGTTTCCGTTTTTGAGGAGAACACATAGCCACATCTCTGTTTGGAATCACAGCGTTTTTTTTTTTTTCTTGATTCTCTCTTTCATACTTTTCTTTTGCAATGACAGACGAAGGGATGAACAGGGGACTGTTCGCATCAGATAAGACGGACAAGGCGAACCGGGATGGAATGGAGGGGGAAAAAAGCAAGGGCCAGGGTAATAAAAAGAACAGGAGTTTTCTTTGTTTATTTCTATTTTGTGTTGACTACCTTTTCTCTCCTTCATCTGCTCCAATCTTGACTGTTGACTTGGACAGTGCCTTGTTGTTTTTCGGAACCAGCGGGCGTTGGCTGCCTCCTATTTTTACATTTTGCATTTCCTATTTCCCATTTTCCGCTTTCGTTTTAGCCTTCTAGTCTACCCTTTAGCTGTATGGCATCATTAGAATTCACATCCCGACTGTCACCGGTTCGCAGTACCTCTTGTTTTCTCTCGAAGCCGCTTGACCATGTTCTGTACTGGCTTGCCCAACGTCTTCTGTATAACCTTTACCCCCTATTCTTATGCTTGCCTTTCTCCAGCGTTGATACTGTTTTATTCCTTAGCACACAACTTAATTGCATGTTGTATAATCTTTGCACACTCGTGTCTTTCCAACTTTTTTGTTTTCTTCACTGATTTAGCCTCGTGCCGTCCCTCTGCAGAGACTGTACACAAAACATGCCGTGGACAGTACGAAACCCCATTCATACATCCCAGTGACCCGGAAGCCATCTTATTGTTGAGCAGACATGGGAGGGCTGGCAATATTTTATTCGCCAGAAGCAATATACAATATACTGGCGACATGTGGAGCGACGCCCGTAGAGCCAGCGACATCTCAAAAAGCGCCCGAAACCCGGATCGCTGCATGTTTCGCGGCACGAAAAGTTATGGTGCACAACATTTTATGGAGCGGCATCCCATCCATATCTTTTGTGTCGCTCTTGACTTGTTCATGTCGTGTCCTGTGCGACTTGATTATGCATGCCAGCTGTCACCTCTTAGTGTTGCCTCAGAGCAAAATATGAAAAAGGGTGTGTGGCTGTTCTCTTGCATGTCTGATGTAACAAGCCACCCGCCATACTTTTCTTTTTGGCCTCGTCATGTTTTTAACTGCCCCTTCCACGGTGGTACTACGGCATGAGCCACAGCGAGATTAGCAAGGAGAGAAGCCGAGTGACCGGGGGTTGGATAATAATAATAAAAAACAATGCGAGTGTGACATTGACAGAGACGGCAAGACGTCGTATTTTATTTATTTTTATTTTACTTCTTTCCGCGCGGAGGAAGCAAAATAGTACAACGTACGGCGTATGTACACACTTGATAACATCTCCCACCTCCCTTCGAAAGCGATGACAGGGGGAGGGACTGGGAGGTTTTGTAGCATCCGCCCCAGGAAAGAGATTACAGTGATGTAACCAGGCGCTATGGTCATTTCCCTCCCCGCCCACATTTTCTGTCGATAAAGGTTTCCATTCCTTGCTCGGCGGCTCGATTCTGCGGAGGCATAAAAAATGCTCCGAATATAATTAGGCTCGGCATTTGACCCTGTGATAGACCCCCTTGGTCATTTAAACTTCTTTCTGTAAATGCACCGTAATGGCTCCTCAAATGAAGAGACACTACCGTCTTCTAGTGCATCCTGTCCTTTCAGCTTTTTGTGATATGAGAGTCAGCGGCGGCGCAACGAAGACAAAGCTGAGCTGTAGAAAAACTAGCTGTAAGTGTGAGGAATTGCGCACGTATGGTAGAGGGAGTAATACGACGCCGGGGACGGATACAACGAACATCAAGATTGCCATGTTGACAGTGGTTCTGGGTCATCTGGAGACGCAAGAGATGAACTTCGAACTCTCTATTACAACGGGTTATTGGTTTCCCTGGAACTGGGTGTCAATAAAATCCTGGAAGATACCACCGTCGGGCTGCACCGGTGTGCTTAGACGGTGAATCCCGCTTAGACACCGTTCCTCCGTTTCTAGAGTCCTCCATCGTTCCACGGTCGTTTACTTTGCGGCTCTAGATCGACACACGCCAGACGCATGAGAGAAGCGTACGAGAGGTGAACATGAACGAAGAAGAGACAAATAAGGGAAAGAAAGGAAAAGCAGAGGTATGCATCTGATACAGGATGATTGACGACAATGCAGTCGCCATACTGACACCGCACGGACACTCCCTGTCAGCCAGCAGGCCGGAAAGAATCGAGGAGAGAAAGAAGTATTCTGGAACGTGACGCTCAGACTCGGCGAACGCGGATGTGCATAACGATGTGCACTGGGATGGTGTCTGGCGAGGAAACTGCCTGTGGGTTCAACGGTAGAAGGAGGTAAAACATACACAATAGAAGAAAAAGAAAAAAAGAAGAAGGGGAAGAGGACAGGAAAAGAGGGGCTGGCGGATATGCAAGAGAAGACGAGAGAAAACTTCCCTCTCATCCCGATTTGGACGCATCGAAAGATGCGTTGTCCGCGAAGCACGTCGCACGCACAGCATGCACAGACGGAACCCCTTGAAACCATGAGCTCGCCAACCTGGGTCCGGGTAGATCGGCAGTCGCAGGTAGCCCACCAGCGGTGTCATTTGTCAACGTCTCTTCGTCGTCTGTTGTTTTCTTTCATCTCGTTGGCTTGTCACATCCGTCGTCTTTTCCTTTCCATTTTCTTTCTTGTCTCACTCTGGCGCATCTCCTGATCATCCATCCACCAAGGCGTTCCCACAGCTCCCGCGGCTGGGAAGGTTGTGCAACTCTGGCGAAGAAAAATGGTGGGAAAAGAAGACAATGCCGCGAAGTCTGGTCGAAAATAGCACAAAAACTGCAAATTAATCAATCTCGTTTCCGTTCAGCCAATGGCACAGCGAGGCTCATCCTTTTCCCTGGCACCTGGGCCGTCCCAAAGCCAGGTCTGTGGCGTGTGTGTCTGTGTGTCTGGATGCCCCATGACCAAGCTCCAGATACGATGCAATATTGTTCGTGGGGTTCTTTCTCGTTCTTTCTCCTCGAAATCTTCATTTCGAGCTCTGCGCCTGCTCGTATTCTCTATATCGACCATGTGCTCATCCCAATCATACTCGACAACGTCTGTCGATATTTGACCCAACAATGAAAAAGAAAAGGACCTTGCCGGCGCACCTTTTCATGTATTCTTGGACGTCTCGTCAATGCATATCGAGGACGACGTACGTTCCACGCCAAGCCGCGATTAAATCGTTTCAACGCGATTGACAATGTTTGGTGGCAACCGTCGGTCTGTCGTTTCTTATTCATCCCCATACTCGTCTGATTTCTGGATGTCAGGCTGCCCCTTTTCTCGAGACTCATCTGGAGTTCGCTTGCCTGGGATTTGGAATCTCTCTCTGTCCCTCTTTTCCTGGAAGCTCCTGGATCGACACCGATGTCTGGTCTCATCTGTTATCTGCCGCCGCCAATTGTGCTGATGTCTGTCCCAGGTTTTCCAAGGATCTCCAGGCCTCCCGCGTTGGTCTCTTCCGTTCTCCTTCGGTTGTTGCCAGTGCCACCTGTCATGCCTTCGATCGGCCTCGACAGCTGCTGTGCCGCGACGGTGGTGTTGCCTGATCTCCCTATGCTATTGCGTTGTACGCCTGTTAAGACATCGGTGGCGATGACGAGTGCCATGCGTAGCTTGGAAGCACTCCGTACCGAGCATGAAGCCACGGAGTGCGGAGTATATTCCGTTTAAAGACATCGAGAACGCGCCGCGTACATAGTTTGATGTCAGCCGCCAATTTATGGCTGACCATGGTTGCCCTTTTAGGCAGTCCATTGCCGTACCATCCTTTTGCTTGTTTTCACTTTGCCCTTTTTTCTCTTTTCATTGTTTCGTTCGCACTTGCCTGCGGAGCAATCGTTGAACCGAGCAAAGGCAATTGAATTTGGCAGCGGCACATTGACCGGAAAGAACTACTGGTCGCTGCCATTTGGTGTATTTTACCTTCACACCCAGTAGGATGCAACCGCGCTATTTCTGGCACTCGTCCCTTCCCAATCCAGCAGCTTGGGAAGGGATAGATGCCGTCTGTGGCACAGCACATGTATCTTACAGCGCACGCCACACTCACAGCGCAGGCACACGGAAGGGGCGAGGGGCCAGAACAAAGGCACGGCAGTCGCACCTTCTGGGAAACTTGCGAGTAGACCCCTCCAACCTCGCTTAAAAAAAGGCCCCAATGCCTAAACGCCTACATGCTTTCACGTCCTAACGCTCCAACGCCGTCGTTAACCCGTATATCCCTTGCGTCAAGGTTGGCGGAGGGTTTCCACGCCCCTATGGTATGGCACCTTCTTTGCCCTGCCCCCAAAACCCTTCAGCAGCTAGCGCTTGCCGTATTGGGCTAAACGCTAGATGACTAGCTGAGCCCGCCTATTGGTTTCCCACCGCACCGGAGCCAACAGGCACAGGGACAGAAGGGGCGCCGGGCAGGCAGGAGCCAAGGCCTATTGGCGCTTTTGCTGACAGCATTTCCCCAATTCCGTCTCAATGCTCCTGGCTCCTTCTTACTTTGAATAGGAGCCAGTATGCAGGGAGAGACGTCTGCGTTTCATTGTTTATTCTTGGTTAAAATTCTTCAACGAAGATGCTGGGCAAATCTTGGCTCCCAACTTTACTGCTTGACACGTCGAGGTCTGCCTCTGTCTCACATCCTCTTTTCCTAAAAAAGTATCCGCCCGTGCACTCTCGCTACGGAGCAGGCGTTTTCGCCCAAGAGCCACTGTGGAGAGCAATCCTCGCGCAAGGTAGCAACTTAATCCTCTTTTGGGCGGGTTCTTGCAGTGCATTAATACTAGCACGGCGCATTCTCTTTCCCGTTTTGAACTGACACAGACAGACGGGACCACAGAAGCCCACCACTACCGATGACCTATCTCCATACACTGAGCTTATGGCACCCCGTCAGTGCTGCACAGCATACTTCGTAGCCGTAGCTTCCTAATTCGTGCAGGTGCCCTGTCTCTCGAGATCTGATTTCTACTCTAAGATTACTTCGTATGTTAATATTGCTGGCTAGGCCGCACATGCTGTGCCCCTTCTTGGGTCCTTCTAGTTCTGGACATACTTTATCCTCCTCCGACTTCTCCAACACTCGTTCCCTTTGGAATAAGCACACGTCGTAGCTTGTTTCTCCGCCACTACCCAATTTCTGGGTCTTCAGACCGTTTGCTAGCGAGTCGATGTCCCTCTCCCCCCAAGCCATCACCCCCTGACACTTGTTCCGTTTGTAGTCCCACCTCTATCCGTCCTCTGTAACCCACCCTTACATGGTCTCCTCGCGGCGCCTCCCAATTCATAACACTAAAACACCAGAAACACCTAGCTGGCGGGCGATACGACATGTCCAAGACACTTTGAGATACAGTGACCTCATGGTCCCCAAGTAATTGCTCCGTGCAGTGGTCCGCGCGAGTTCATAAGTCACCAAATACAGTTCAGCTTCCCACGCCACAGCACAGACAGACATACTGCCAACTGTCCCCTACCTATCACAGCAAATAAATACAAGAGACAGGAAGCTTCCGCGTGCCGTGACGAGTGCTAGTTCCCTGAGAGCAAGTGCTGGCCAGCCCCCTGGCCAAGGCATTTCGCAACAGCCACTTGACACAATACAAATGCCCTCGTAGTCGAACATAATATGTCGTAAATGGATAAGTTACCAACACCCACGCGTAAATCCATACGGGAAACCCGAGTCCATTTCCCATTGACTTGCCACCTGCTACCATGCTACCTGCACACCTCTAGGGAAAGAGGCTGGGATGCTTTCTTTCTTCTTGCCTGTGTCCTTTAGGTTTTGACTATGTCTCCTCAGGGCCTTTTAGCTCTCTTTCGTTTTTTAGTGTGTTTATCAACGCCGTTCTCTGTCCTCCAAGAACCGCTAGCTCATCTCCTCGCTCGTTCCAGGTTCTGGCTTTTTTCCTTGTTCGCATGTGGCCGTCGTATTTCTACTATTTTGTCTGGCAGCTCCTCCCCACATGCGGATTGCTTCCCCCCCAAAGCAGAGAAACAAGCCTCTTTTCTCAACTGTCAAACTTACCTTTCCATCCCATCTCCCTGTTTCGCCTCCTCGCTCCTTCCTCGCTCCCATCCACAGTCTTGTTGTTCTTAACGGGGAGCCTTCCGTCTCTTCTCCCACTTGACCTTCACCACCTTCTCCCACCTTCAACACCTTTTTCATCCGCATCGACGACTGCTCCCCTCGTCGTATCATCAGCTCCACGACCGCCGACTTGTCCCTCTTCTCCATTCGTCCCTCGCGCCTGTTTGAGAACTGCGGCCCAGTCTGCAGCTGTGCCCCTGTCCCCTGCAACCGGCCCCCCTTCCTCTCTGCACCCCTGTTCTTCCTCCGACTTCTGAATTTGGCTCCTCGTCTTTCGTCTTTCGTCTGACTGCATGTTTGCGACTTTGCTCTCAATGTCGCATTTACGACATACCCTTGCAGATCAGACCAAGCACTCATAAATAAAGCCTGAACCTGTACCTCGCCTTACTTTCAGGACTTTTTTATACCTTTTTTTATTATTATTTTTATTTTCTCGCTTTGCTGTCACACTTTCTTTGCTCTCAGTCAAATGTGCTCTGCTTGTGGATAGGCATTGCTTAATTTAGAAGACAAAAACAGACACACTTGGCTGTCGCGTTGCTGCTCCAGCTCCCGACGTAATTACGTCTCGACAACTTCAGCTCGACAGGCACGACATCCGACCAAGCCTACGAAATACAATTCCACGGCTTACGACGTTCAAGGCGCGCATCGGCCAGCTCCTTGTCCCTGGTTTTGCTGTCTCGCACTCTTCTTATTTCCCCTTCTCTTTTTCGGCTGGTGGGTCTACCTAGCCCCCCTGGCTGGCTGCCGTGATCTTCTGTCAACCGTCTGCTCCGCTCTTTTGGCTCTCCCACCGCCAGCCTTTTGGGTCCTGCTCTTTTTTCTTCAGCGCGGCTCCACGCAAACGCAACACACAGACACATCCCACACCTCCTTTGCGCGGCGAGCCAGACACGCCCCCTCCACCCCCTCCTCTCTGCAACCCGCCGTTCAATATCCGTCATCCGCGCGACCAACCACGCAAGACACATGCATACACTCACAAACACAAACGGCTGACAAAAAGGCAACAATAACGGCGCTCTTGTTACTGCAACGTGAGCTCGAGAAAAGTAGCAAAGCGGCCAAGCTATTGTAAACAAAAGGCTCTGGTGTGCCGCCTCTCTGGACCTGGATCGTCTCTCCAACACTTATTACGCCTTTCTTCTCCCTGTCCTTGTTATTCTTCGGCCTCGAGCACAAGCATCTTCCCACATTTACTCTGACAACGGTACGCAAGGATATATATATATATATATATATATACACGGTCTGCGGTCTGCCTCTATCTTTTCGGTACGTGCTTTTCTCTCTCTCATCTCCCCCTCTTCCTTCATTTGCTTCTGGTTTTGTCCCCTCTCACCCTCTCTTCTTCATTTAAACAATTCCACACGCGACACAAGGACAGTTGAGACGACTGAGCTGACACCACGTGAAGGTCATTTCGGCCCTCGCAACCGCCTCCCACCGCCTTGTCCAGCATCTCATTACTGTACTCTAAGTTAGCCTATCACCTCCGCAATTGGCAGAAGCTTGCTTACCTTGGCCTGTCCAACGCACTGGATACAGTAAGGTCATTTCACTCGACACCACCGACACATCGCACGCAAACGAACGCTCGTGTTTCTTTGTTCTCCCGTTTGGCGTGTTGGAGACCACCGTCAAGCTGTAGCTATTTTGACTCCACGAACAACAAACACTGGCACTTTGTGAAAGTCGGCTTCCGAACAGAAACAAAGCACGGGCGTCGGGAACATCGTGCGAAGTCGGCCCTCCTTTTCTTCAATATCGCTTTCGCCCACTATCGTGACCTGCTGTCGCCAACGCCGCCGCCTCTTTTGTGACACCGGCGCTGCTAGAACAAATCCACACATTTGATTTAACCTTATCTTTTGGAGTGGGCAGTATGAACACACATATATACTCGCAGCAATCCCAACAACCGCCAGCCATGCAGCAGGACATGCACAACCAACTGCCTGCCCTCGGCCATCAGAGTTATCAACAGTCGCACCAGTCGACACACCTGCCCACCATGAGTCTCCCTCCGCCGCACGGTTACGCGGACCAATACCAACACCCGTCGCACGCGCAACATCCCCAGCATCCTCAGCATCCTCAGCATCCCCAGCACTCTCAGCACCCGTCGCATACTCAGCATCCGTCGCATCCGCAGCACCCTCAGCATGCCTCGCAACACTCACAGCACTCTCAACATGGCCAACATTCGCAGCATGCCCCACTACCAACGTCGCTCCCTCCTGTTGACCCGGGCCGTTCGTCGCCCACGCCCGCCTTGGAACCACCAAAGCCCACGCCAGAACAGGAGGCGGCCACGCGGAAAGCTCTTGAGCCCACGGTTGGCAGCGAGGGAACCCGGTCCTACAGGTGCTAATTACCCTCCCCCTTCCTTCATGCTCCGGCTCCCGCGCTCCTTGCGAAGCATGAGACAAACCGAGCTCAGCGTTTTGTATTTTTTTTTTTTTTGTGGCTTCATGATACTAACGCCGAGATGCACTGGTAGACTCGATGTTGTGCAACAACCGAAACGTGCCCGAATGTGTGGTTTCGGCGACAAGGTACGACCAGGCAAACCCAACCCAGCATTCCCTTGCCTCTAGCTGTTACAAATCTGTGTCTCTTTTGACGGCGTCTTACAGCATTTCCTTGTTTGCAAGATGTGTCCGTCGGGGGTTTGGAATGCGTGCTGCCATTTTCCGTTTCCTCACTTTACTAACCCCTCTTATTTGCTTTGTAGGACCGACGACCCATTACCCCTCCGCCTTGCGTGCGTATCGTTGTCACAGACCTGGCTACCGGCAAGGAGGTGGATTGCAAGTACGTGGCAGAAATTTGTCCCACGTCTCACAGACGGAAGGGTACCCAAATTCCTGTGCAGAATGTATTGCTAATCGGTAACCCCTCACAGTGAAATCGAGCACACAATGTTTGTGCTGAATGTCGATTTGTGGTCAGAAGATGCACTCAAGGAGGTCAACCTGGTGCGACATACGACCACCACGCCTTCCATTTCATCTACGACCCCTGCCTCGTACGAGCAGGTGGAGAACACCCCAACCTACTCGCCATTAATACAGTCCGACTCGCGTGGATCGGGCTATGGATCGAGCATGTATGGCCAGTCGAGCGCGAATCCGTACGGTCAGCAGTTGGCGTACTCTCAAGTCGCTCCTCCGTACATGCACCAATCCAATGGCTACGGCCAGTCGGGCCAATACGGCGGCTATCACGGAGGCGATTATGGCATGCAACTCTCTTCGCAGGCTCCGGGTTACGGCCCTCCGCGAGTCTTCGGTGGACCCGGTGACATGATGACGCAGCGCCTGATCCAGGGCAACCAGCCGCAGGGCATGTTCACCCGGAATTTAATCGGCAGCTTGGCCGCTAGTGCGTTCCGGCTCCAGGACCCTGCCGACAAGATTGGCATCTGGTTTGTCCTCCAGGATCTTAGTGTTCGTACTGAGGGCAACTTCCGGTAAGCACACTATCGCTCACTGCAATGATCGAAACCCATACGGTTATTCTGCATACTGACATTGACAGCCTGCGCTTTTCGTTTGTTAACGTCGGACCACTGGGCGGATCTCCCACTGGAACACCTGGTGGTCAACATGTCAACATCGGCAAGGCGCCTGTCCTGGCATCTTGCTTCAGTGACGTATTCACGGTCTACTCCGCCAAGAAGTTCCCGGGCGTGTGCGAGAGCACGGTGCTGAGCAAGACGTTTGCGACACAAGGAATCAAGATCCCCATCCGGAAAGAAGGCATCGGCAAGAACGGCCGCGGCGATGACGACGACGACTACGAGTGAAGATGCCAAACAACAACGTGGACGCCGTCTGTCGATCCCACCAAACTGTGACTTGGGTGGTGTCGTTAGCCGCTTTTTTGTCTCTATCCATCGTTTTCTCATTCTTTTGGCCCACAACTGCATCCCACAACTGCATCACTATACCTTGGTACCGTATCCATTGACGGCATCACCGATAGTGACAAAACCGTACCGACAACGTCTTCCATAACAAATAACATATTTCAGCTTCTTCCGGTTGTGCGTCATACTGTCTCTAACACGCCAGGGATGACAGCAAGACCAGACCCTATGGCACAGTCGCCGAACACGAAAACGGGCGCGAACGCCTAGGCAACTTTTGCGAACCAGCTTTTTGGTAGAGTAAAAATAAGACTTGAGGATGACGGAGCGAATTCCGCAGCCAATACGAACCAACAGAACCACTAAGACGACGTCTCGGACGGGCCCCTTATTTGGTACTAGCGAAGCGAGGACCAACGTTCTGGAGGCGAACTTTATTCAACGCACCTTTCTCTTTCATTCCCTTTGGTCTGTGTCCTCTGGTCAAATTATCCCTTGGTTCCGAGCATCTGGTTTGTCCCTCTGGATGCTGCCTATGTTTTTTGTCTGCCCACCAACAGCAGCAATGGTCTTGGTCGCGGCAATACGGTGTATCCAGTTTTGCGTGCAACCCCTGAGGGAAGCCAGGTTCTATTGAATAGGTGTGCATGGGTTATTTCATTTCGTTACGTTTTTGTGATATCTTTTGAATTTTTGAATTTTTTTGGATGGCTTTTCTATGCGGTTGGGTGTCTATCTTGCTTAAGAGAATGTTTTGGTATACCATGTCTACAGGTTGTATTACATTGTTTAGACTGGCGGCGTGGAATTCTTCGGCGGCTGTCTCATTAGCTTCGCCATATATACAGTGCAGAGGTTTTCACAATACATTTCGCGATACCTTTATGAATTGAACAGCCCCCCCCCATACTACTTTGCTGTGCGCGCGGCCTTGACCGAAACACCGGCGGTCGTGTGACGCAAAAGTTACGTCCGAGTGGATTGGGAACTAACAGGTTCTGCGTTTGCCTGCCGCTGGCCAATGTTCTTTCTTCCGTCTCCCTCGTTCATCCATTGTCCGGGAGCAAGGGATATGCTTTCTCGATTGAACCAATGGAGATTCCGTACATCGTACAAAGGATCCGAGATCCGAGAATCAGGACGCAAGTGAAAACGTGGTGTCTCAGTCTTTGACGCACCCAAAACGGGCTTTCCGGTAACAGAAAGTGTCTTCCTTTCATTCGCTGTCTCTCCCTGGCCTCGAGGACCCGGGGCTTTGGTTCTTGGGAAACAGGCTGCTGATTGAGATACTCTCTCCCTCGAAACGAGAAAACAAGTGCCGCCAAATGCTAACATGATGTACCAAGGCCTCCGACGTGGGAAGCATATCCCTCGCTTCTGCTTGCCTCTTTGAAATGCCAGTTTGTTTTTTACTATAACATATATTTGACAGCGGTTACATCATCAGCAGAGCTACAAGCTCGTATTTCCCAATCCGGATAGGTCGACTGCACGACTCAACAGCTCGCCAGCAGAGCTTTGCCGACAGCTTTGGCGTATTCCACTGGACGAGCACGACACTGATTCTCGAGCAAAAGCTCAGCGAATAAAGAGGAGAGCTGTGAGGAAGCCAGCAAGACCCTATCAGTAAGTCTAGCTCGGTTTGACAAGCCCTCAGCCGCATCAACTTTTCCATCGTGCATTTTTGGCCTTGCAAGAGGAGGTACCTGGGTGCCTCCCCGTCGCTTGGCCCTGGAAAAGCTACGGCAGCCTGGATTTTCTTGTCTGAGTTTGGGAAAGCTCTCCTTTGCCCGACAAACAAGTACCATCACCCATCACCACACCTGCAAACATCTCTGACCTCTGACATCCAATGGTGTGCACAGCCCTGTAGCAAGTGACGACACCCTTTCCTCCTCTGCAGGCCGCACTTAAAAAACCATGCAGCAGCTGATCCTGGGAAAGCTTTCTTTCCCGAGAAGGCAACAGAAAAATGGCAAACCAAGAGCTCTCTTGCATTGATTGGGGTAGGAAGGCCAAGGCGCTGGCTCGGGCCACAACGTTGGCGTCAAACTACCCCAGGTGCTTCAAATGTCTGCTGTCGTGATTGAGGTCCCTGGTTTTGGACCCCGGCTTGTTCTCCATCGACCTTCATTTCGCCTTTATGTTCTCGAGGGTGGGGTGTGAGATTTCGTCCTCTTGTCTTTCCTGCAACTTTACTTAATATAATAGTTTATTTATATATTTTCTTTTTATATATTTATATTCCTCGTACGTTAGGCTATACGTAAGGCAATCGAGGGGCACCCGCACCACGAGCCAAGCTTACACGTTCGCAATCAGGGTGACGCTCGTAGGGCGAAGAGGCAGAAAATAAAAGGGCTATTTAAGTCGTGGGGGATCCATTGGGTGTGCTTGGCCCTGGTACTTTGAACTTGAGCAAGATGCAGTTTGCGTAGTCCCGAAGTCTGAGGAAAACAAAACTACAGCACCTTTCTAAACATTTGCATGAATTGTATACGATAAGTTGCTATACCGAGCCATCGTCACATTGTTTTCATTTCTTGTAAGAAAATATACGGTCAAACGACACCCAATTGGGAGGCGTCTGTCTCTCGTCACCGCATGTTTACAATGCAAGGCGTAATCTGCAGTCGTAAAGCACATATAAACTCTGGAATAATTTACAATGACATGCAAAGAATCGTGGCTGGTCGGTGCTTCCGTAGAAGCAAAAATCGTACAAGCATCTCATATGGATTCCAATTTTCCTGAATATGTGAATCTTTACAGATGTTCCTTTTTTCCCATTTCAGTATGTCAGTCCCGTGGACATAGGCCCACAAGCAGGACATGTCTTCACAACTAGCCTGCCCGCCTGCTTCCTACATGTGAAGGTTGCGCAAGCTTTCGTAGCCATGATGTGGAATTGAGTTCCGTGATAATTGAGTTCCGTGATGTTGTCCAGTCGCGGCGGAAGGCGCCATCAGCCGCGCAAATGAGGCGAAGAGCGACTAACGCAAGGCAAGTAGGGAGGACGGCGTCGCATGGCGACGACGATATGCCCAGTAGCCAGAAACACGCTCTGCTCGCTCGTCTCCTGGCCACACACAACAGAAAGCCCAGGCATGCCGAGCACGTCCAGCTCGCGTAGCTCTGGTGGCATCCAAACGTGTAGGCGTGACCTGTTCTGGGAGCACTAAGGTGCTAGCCCAGGTCTTGTCTTTGACCATTTGATCTTGTGCCTTTTTGCAACTTTCATTTTGGGTGTAAGTGCGTATGGCAACAGAATTGCGCGTTTCTTCGCCTATGGACCGACGGACCAATTGTGCACTAAAAACCGACGTCGTGTAAAATAGTACCAAAAGACCCCCTAAAACGGATTTTCATTACGTTTTAATTTACCAATTCCCGTTCTGCCACCTTTCTGCATTTTCAGTCGCATCCTGGCCCATTCAGCCCAGACCGTCCCTTTTCTATGGCAAAGCTCGTCCGCACTGATAATTCCTGGAATGCACCCTGTCAAAGAGCAGCGCCGCTGGGCAAATGTGAAGGTCAGGATCAAAGAAGGGTGAACAGTGAACACCGTAAACCACTGCCTCAGAATGCCTCAGCCATATTTTCAGCTCTCAGAAGGCATGCCATTCTCGTTGTTTTTTTGGGGGGTAGGACGATGCCACCATGTTCAGCAGGTGCGCCCAGCAAGACCTTTCTTGGCCCCTTTCGCTATGAGAGCGCAAAGACCGCAATGGCTGAGAACGATCTGGCGTGCGCACAGCAGAGACTGTCGACAGCTTGCATCGCAAACGCACATCCCCTGTGGAGTCGATTGAACGGCCTGGGACAGAAAAAAAACTTTTTTTGCCTTCCGTGTGATCAATTCTGCCCAAGAACTGTGTGTGCCGTAGTGGTTTTTTCCCAGCACTCCATCCCCTGGAACGGCCATTCTTTCCCTGGAGCGCAGGTGACGTGACGTCCCACAAGGCCCAGGCCAAGGCCACGTTCCCCTCACTCTCCCCTGTCCAGTCGTGTTAGACGCCCCTGGTTACCCTTCTTAGGGGCAACGCATTGCGCAGCCTCGTTTCTCTTTGCCTTTGTACCGTCGCTCCCCTCCTTTGGAAGTTTTTCTTTTCCGCCATCGTGACCAAAACAAAACAGCAAAGCGCACTGTCCACCTCCTGCTCAGCATAAAGAGCTGACCGTCCCGTCCCCTTTGCTTCGAATCGACACTCGTCCCTTCACGCCATTCAACTCAACAAAGCCATAACAGCTCACTCGAGTTCAGCTCACGTTCTCCCACACTCATTCCCACTCTCTCCCGTACTTTTCTCCTCTTCCACTACCTCCCCTACCGCCACCACAGCCAGACAACGTCAAAATGACTGGCCATCTTGCTTCGTATGGCCGCGGCGGCGCCGGCAACATGGCTGACAGCACCAAGTCCCCCAAGCTGCAGCCCAAGGACCTCGAGACCCCCGTTTTGCGGACGTCCGTCGTGACCACCGGTCGTGGCGGAACCGGCAACATGGCCAAGAACACCGACCCGAAAGAGACGCGCGCCCGCCAGGACGTGGAACCGTACGTGCATCCACCCCACCCGTCTTTGCGTCTCAAGGCAACATCACGCGTGTCCACTAACCTCTCCTAGTGTCGTTCGTCGTCACAGCAGTGGCGCAACCCACGCTGGCCGTGGCGGTGCCGGCAACGTCTTCAAGGCCGGCTCGGCGGACGCGGAGGCCGCTGCCGGGGCCTCCGCTGGCTCGGCCGTCCCCGACGATGCCCACCCGACATCGTCCGCCTCGTCTGCCACCTTGCGCAGCAGCAACGACACCAACGGCAAGAAGCCCCGGTCACCCACCCAGCGGCCCGAGCAACCCGAGAAGAGCCTGGCCACCAAGGGCAAGGAGTGGCTGCTGGGCAAGAAGTAGACGGTGTCCGCTGTCTCTTTTTCTTGCATTCTCGTCTTGTTTTTCTGCGCGCGTATGCGCGCGTGCATACGCTCAAAAAAGGAGGTCGATCATCGGGCTGTTGGGATTTGGTCGCTGTGTAGCATCATCATGGCCTGGCGTTTTCGTTTTCGTTTTCGTTTTCTTTCTTTTCTAACTTTGTTTCTGGTCGTTTCCGTACATGCTCAGCGAAGCATGTTTTCGCGTTTCTGTTTTGTCTTGTCTTCATTGTCTTTGGCGCATTCCGCATAAATGGTTGGCGCTTTCTCTAGTATGGTGATTTGTCGATTTTTCATGTCTTTTATTATTACCCCATGCAAACATGATGTATTTCTAGGTTTTGGACAACGGTTTGTCGGATAGCGCCCGTCGTCTTTTTGAGAGTCACTGACCGTATCGCACGCCTTACCTATATTTGTCAACCAGTCAGTTTATGGCACATTTCTCTCACGTCTGCTTTTCTCGTGTCTCTTACAACGTATTCGTTTTTCTGTCGTTTGTCCTGTTTCACTCAATTCCAGCTGCACACTGGGATGTTGTTCCAAGTAAGTATCACGGCGGAACAGAATGAGCGGTGAAAGATAGAGATTAGACGAGCAGATGTCACATTGGAGCCTGAGAGATAACAGATCGCAACGAAACGCTCCGTCCTGCATGCATATCTGCATCTTGAATTGCCATATCGATAACGAAAGATAGAGAGGGACGGACAGCACCAGATACATGCAACCATCAGTGTGGAGAGTTTTGAAGGGGACAACGCACATTGGGGAAAACGACTAGGATGGCAACCTGCTTCCTGTCTTGTCCAAAAGCGCAAAACAACAAAGGACAAGCTTTGCTTCTGTCCTGCCTGTTGTTTTACCACCAAAGCATGCCGGTCGTCCTCTTTCGCTGATCTTACCGGCGGCCGTGCATACGGCGTTAATAGTTACACTTGCACCGTCACTGTGAGGCCTGGCATACAATGTGACTCACAGCTAGAGCCATCGTAAATCGGCTCTGGCTTCGAAACCACCACATGAATTGGAGTGAGCACAATTTCGCAATCCCCACGTCGAATTGCGGGCGCAAAGATTGATTTATAAAAATCCCCGTTCAGGTAGTCAGGTACCGGCCGTGTTATTTTCAGGAAGAGACCAAAGAAGGCCTATCAACACGGACCCCAACAGACGTGCCTTGGCTTGACTCTGACACGACGGTCAACATACGGGATATTCTGGTTCGACGAGCTAGTACAGGATACATGGATTGGGTTGCTACCAAGTGCAGTCAGTCCTTCTGCCCACCGCAGATATGGTTATCGAGGAGATCCCCGTGAAGCCAACGCAGGCGCAGTTGCGCCTTCTTCGCGCCCACCTGCCCTACTCGCTGCAGGTCCTCCGTCGCCTGCAGGTTGCCGCCGGCGCCTTTGACGGCATCAACTCGAATGGTTTGTCGGGCAGTGGCACTTCCGAGTATGCCCGCGTCCTATTTGCCTACGACGGGGCCCAGGTGCCGCCGGAGGCGGAAGACGACGCCGTCCACACGCCCTTTGCGGCTGCCTTTGTGGACCTTTCCAAGGCCCGGGAGACGGCTACCTGGATCTATGCGTCCGACCAAGACCAGTCGCTTCCCGCTGGCGCGGACCTGTATGCCGCCGACAACGACCAGCCCGCGTCCTGGGTCGTCGACCGCGGCGCCGAGCTTGTGTCCGCGTGGTCGCCCGCGCGCCGTGCCCGCAGCCGCCGTCTCGTGCTGGCCCTACTTCGTCGCATCCGCGCCATTGCCCAAGACGTTGCACCCGCTCTGGCGGTCCGTTTTCCTGGTCGCTTTGGTACGGAGGGCACAGCCGCGGACGTTGTCAAGAACGTCAAAGCCAACATCCATGATGGCATCCGCTACCTTTTGCAGAGCCCGGGCAACGCGGCTGACGATCCCGACCGCACTGCCATCGTCTTGACGTATTTTGACGCCTTCGACAAGTGGCTCTTCCGCTTCGAGGATGTGCCAGTGTTGTCGCAACCGGAGGACACGGAGCTTGTGACGGGTATCCACGAGGACGTGGCGGACGGCCCGGACGGCGCCCGCGCTTCCTTGTCCTGGGATAGGGTGCGATCCCATGATGATGCTTCCCTTGTCATCAGCCGCACGTCCATTCCGCGTACCGTGCATACACTGCTAGGCGTGCCCAGTGTCGCACTGCGAGAAAAGGCTGCGACCAAAGGACAGGACGGCACCCTCCAAGCTTGGGCCTTTGTGGGCGTGGACGGCTCGCTGTGGACATTGCATACGGAACCCAAGTACCGGGGCCGCGGCCTGGCCAAGACCCTGGCGGCACGGTTGCTGCGGCAGTACTGCGGCGTGTTTAATGCCACAGTCGACGGACAATCAGGAAATGGCATCGCTGACGACGCAAAGGGTGACGGCTGGTGTGCCGCTGATGTCAGTGCCAAGAACCGGCAGAGCCAGGCAGTGTGTCGGCGACTCGGAGGAAAGCGGGCCTGGGCGACGTCATGGATCGTGGTCAGTTATGATAGCTTGGGAGATGATGGATGAATGACGTGCCGATATGACTAGACTAGAAACAGAATAATACACTTTGTTCTTTTTTTTCTAGAGTCAAGATACCCAACATTTTGTAGAAACACATAAGCCGAAACCCATGTACTTGTTGCACTTTTTTTTTGCCTTTACTCCTTTCTTTTTGATTTCCGGCCAACTGCTTTACAGCTTCGTCTGCCGGTGGATCTCCTCCAGGAAGAACTTGAGGGTGTCTGGCTTGACAAACGGCGTGATGCCGTGGCCCAGGTTCACAATCCACCCAGACTGCCGCTTCTTCCACTCAAAGCCCTCCACCATCTCCTTCACAGTCTGCGTGATCCCCTCCTCCGTACCGTACAGTATGCCAGGGTCTGCGTTGCCCTGCAGCACCACCTTGCGGTCGCCACGCGTGGCCACCGCCGCCGCCGGGTCGTGCTGCCAGTCCAGACCGACCACGTCGTAGCCCAGCGTCTCCTTGTTGCAGCACGCGTCCAGCGCGTACCACGCGCCCTTGGGGAACAGGATCATCGGCACGCGCTCCAGTCCCAGCGCGGCAAGCCGCTTCGGCAGCTGCTCCACAATGTACGCCAGGCTCGGCTGCGTGAACTCGCGGAACGCCGCCGGCGACAGCTCGCCCGCCCACGAGTCAAACACCTGCACCAGCTGCGCGCCCGCCTGCACCTGCCGCGCCAGGTACTCTACGCACACCTCGGCGATCTTGTGCAGCAGCGCCTTGGTCTCCTTGGGGTAGCGGTACAGCCACGTCTTGCTCTGCACAAACAGCTTCGTGCCGCCGCCCTCGACCATGTAGCACAGCAGCGTCCACGGTGCGCCGCAGAAGCCGATCAGCGGCACGCGGCCCTGCAGCTTGGTGCGCGTCAATGTGATCGCCTTGTACACGTAGTCCAGCTCCTCGACCGCCGCCAGCGTGTCCTTGGCCACGACCGTCTCGTACTGCCCGTCGTCGGGCGACACCAGCGGCTGCGGGAAGTGCGGGCCCTTCTTGTCGACCATCTCGACGACCATGCCAAGCGCCTGCGGAATGACCAGAATGTCCGAAAAGATAATGGCCGCATCCAGGAGCCCGGCGAACCGCTCCACCGGCTGCAGCGTGATGGTCGATGCCACCTCGGGGCTGCGGCAGCACTCGAAGAAGTCGCGGTCGCCCTTGGCCTCGTGGTACTCGGGCAGGTAGCGGCCGGCCTGGCGCATGATCCAGATCGGGGGCCGCTCGACCTTTTCGCCTACAGTTTGCAACGCATTGTTAGCCCGTGGTCCGTGTTCAATTGGGCATTCTATTCTGTCCATATGGTTGCCATCCCCTTCCAATGCCTACCCTTGGCGGCCCGGATGATCAGGTCGTTCTTCATCGGCGCGAAATCGTGACCCATAGTTGCAGTGATGTGTAGAGAGATGGCCAGCCGTGCGTTGCTGGGAATGGAGGTGTGATTGATGGCGAGATGATTATGCACAGCGTTGATGTGGCCCTGTCGATTTATTGTCTCTCGTTTTTCCGTCCGCGGCAGCCGAGTTTTGCATCTGGTCTTATTCTCTGTCTGGAGCCACAGTTCAAGTCCCGCGTCTCGGCCGTGCCTTCCTCTCTGATTAAGACACGAGAAAAGCTTCTGAAAAGCTCCTGCCCCACCATCTCGGCTTGCCGAGAATCGTATTTTACAGTGGGCGACGGGCCTGGGTCGGCCTTTCCCCAGGACGGGTAAAAGCGCGATAAGGTAGAGCGACATGGTGGCTGCAGATCGGTGACAGTACAGTATGAATTGGCTCTTCACGCACGGGTTATGCACACTGTACACTGCAAAGGGAAGTGGCAGTGGTATTCAATCCTCGGTTTCTGGTTGGACGGACAGGCTGAAGAGGCCCCACCCCAACTGCCCGCAAAAAACGAGCACACAATATCCACACCAAATCGAAGCTCAGGAACAGCATTCAACATCGACGACCGGCACACGACGAAAGGTTCTCCGCCGCCACCAATTGACCGGCGGGATTAGGAACTCGGGTTCTGGCAAATCTTGACCTCGGTGGTGCGAATACCGACCCCGACCTCGTATCCCTCGCCCTACGTTACCATGCGACGATATTGAGGCCCGAATTCTGAAAACAAATTAAACCGCGACCTTCGGCCACATCTTCTTGCGGCCTTCCCTTTCCCCGTCTCGGGAAGGCCGTCACTCTCGTCCTCTTTGCCTCCGATGGCTCCACAGCCAGCGTCGAGGTGCTGCCGCGCTGTCCGTAGCCACCTCACAAGCTCTCCCGGCGCATCCACTTCTGCCGCCGCCCTCGACGGCATCTGGATCACCGACTTGGTTCTGGCCCGCGCATTTTCCCACTACTGTCGCATCGCCGCACCGCCTACCTCTACGACGCCCACTCGACGCTTTGCTAGCAATGTCCCGGGACCGCTCGAAAGCCGCCGCCGCCTTGGGAAGCGCCAGATGACCGACCAGCTCAGCTCGCAGCTGTCGCTTGGCCCCGGTGGACCTCTTCTGCCAGCATGGGGACTGCCGAATGCGCCAGATTTGCGGGAATGGACATGGTCGCCACCACGGAGGGCAGAGGAGCTGTCAGAACAAAACGTGGTGTCATCACGGCAAGTCCAAGACAACAGCAGCCGCGGACGCCGTCGGGAAAGCAGCACGTCAGTCTTTCCTGCATGGCTTGCAGGCTTCGGCGGTGAGCAGCCCGTGTCTGAAGCAGCATCGCCGGCAGAGTCAATCGAGCCAATGCAACGGAGCATGGCCGCCCAGCTCATGTTCACAAAAGTGCACACCTGGCGCGAGTCCATCCCCACTCTATCGGATCAGGACTTTAGTCGCCAGTTAGACGATATATGCAGGGATTTCCGGTCACACCTGGCCCTTGCCGCTATGACCGTCGACGAGTCTCGTGAAGCAGTTGGTCTGATTTGGAAGGGACTGAGCGATAAGGAAGGAGAGCATGCGCTTCAAACAAATGCGTCAAAGCTGTATTCTGCCGTGCTGGAGGGCATTCGTGCATGTCGTCTTCTCACGGCGAGCGACTATGGTGTTACTTTCTGGCGCGACCTCTATGTCTACGTCTCACAGCTGTTGCCCAACAGCAGCAGCACAGACAGCCGTAGGAACAGAAGTCCACGGGTGATGACAATGGCACTCGAGACACTGTTGGCCACACCACCTCAGTTTCTCACGAGCGTGGCGGATCTTCTCCCGCCGCATCTGTGCGCCGTTTTTGTCGACCAGAATCTGGCCACAAGTACGCTCACGGAAACAAGGAATGCGGCAGAAGAATCGTCCCATATCCTCACGCGAGCCAAGACGCAGGAGATTGCCGACGCCCTTGAGCACATTGACGTTGGTCAGCATGGCAAGTTCATCGATGCGACCACCAATCTACTGGTCGCGGCCTCTTTGCCTTCGAGCAACAGCGGCCCGCCCGACGCCAAGATCTCCATGACGAATCACACCATTACGACCTCTTCCTCCACCATTTCGGGTTGGCTGCTCACCCTGGCACACATGCCCAGTGTGCGGCAAGACTGCCTCTTCAAGACCATGTCGCAGCTGCAGTCGTCGGCGTCACAGGCTCAAGCTGAGACAACACAGGTGGCCACGACAGCACAGACGACACAAACAACACAGGACGCACAAGAAGAACCAAGGATACCAATACTCGCGGCCACAGAAACCGAAACACAGATAGCAACTGCTGCCAGCAACAACGCGTGGCACATGCGCAGCGCACACCTCGGCCATGTCGACCTGTGTGAGCTCTTGCTCGCCCAGTGGATCAGCCGAGGCTACGTCACGCAGCAGGTGCGGCGCTCGTTTGAGCAGACCATGGCGGCGCTGGCCTTGCAGGACGTGAACGCAGCGTACAGCCACCCCTGTGCGCTGGCGGCGCTCGCGCTGGCCGTGTTCTGGCCCAAGCACAGCCGCGGCCAGTGCGTGGCCCTGTACGTGAGCCTCTTGCGGGGCCTGCGCGAGAAGCTGGGCCGTGAGGCACCGGACGTGCTCGTCGAGTCGTTGAACGCGCTGCTGGCGCACATGCAGTCGGCCCAGTCCTCAGATTCTTCACAATGCTCTGTGCAAGCTGGGCTCCCCACGTTCCCACCGAACACGTTTTACGAGTCACTGGCTTGGGCTGCTGGTGACCTCGAGACGGCGATACAACTGCACGGGATGTATACGAGCACCATCCCCCTGCAAACGCCCCCGCCAGCCCAACCCTTTTGGAACATTGGTTTTTGGGACAAGTTTGCCAATGATCTGGGCACGGCTCTCGATGCTGGCAAACTGTCGCCGGGCCAGGTGTCCCATGCGCTCGACCTACTGCCCCGCAGCAAAGGCACACCCGTCTCCCATGCGATGAACGCAAGCCAAGACCCCGCGAAATTATCAAAGTCGAAGCCAAAATCGAAACCGAAATCGAATGTGACGTACAAGCCTGCCAAGGAGCTGGGAGCGGCTACAGTCGGCCTCATCGAAAAGCTTGCTATGCATTTTGCTCTAGCGCCGAACCTGGTACCCCGGCGCGCGCTCCGTGGCGTCGAGCTGTGCTGGGCAATTCTTGCCTCGAACACAAGCAAGGCGGAGAAGGCAAGGCTGCAGGGCATGAAACATTCTCTACCGCTCCCCGTCTCCATGCCGGCCCCGTCCCTGCCCCTGGCCTCGCCTACTATTCTCCGCGCTCTTTTCCACCTGGTCACCCGCGACCTCGACGATGCCATGCCTGGCCGGACAAGCCGTCTGAGGTGGTTCCTTGCCATTGTTGCGCGAGAGCGCGGTGTGAAGGCAGCGGCGGAGTGCGAGCGGGCTCTAGTCCGCTGGCGCGGTGCTGTCAAGGAGCACCATAAACGGGAAGCCATGCGGATTCGCCGTGGAGACTGGCAAATTGACAGTGGAGAGAGCGTGGAGATATAAGCTCGGCGTGTCGCGAAGACGAAATCTTATTTCCAAACAAATAATCAAAACCTCAAAAGGAGCTACAAATTAAATATACATATATCCACATTCAAACGACTAAAATATGCACTCGTTGACGTAACAACCCACGCCTCCTAATTTTATCGTTTTGCACTGGCAATGGCACGCAAAAGCCGTCTCTACATACGAACAAGTCCATTGTACTGACGATAATTTTACTGACGATTGTCCACACTAAGCACGGGTGAAGAGTACGACAAAGTGTATAGTTGCAGGTCGTGTCGCTTATTTTGCTCGGTTTCCCTTCTATGTCTGTCACACAGCATTTGTCTGACCATTTGACTGGATCTGTCCTAGCTTTCCTCTTCTTTTTCTCCTGCTCTCAAGGGAAATGTAGCGTGGTGTAGAATTCGGCGTCGTACAAAGTCAAACTGGCCTCTTTTGTCTCTTTCCCCTCCGCGATTCAGTCACGAATATCTCTTCATAACCCTGTCCTCGTTTTCTGGTGTCTGCTGTACTTTTGCAGCAATGATGTCGCCTCAGAACAATCGATCTCGATACCATGACCGGATCTCATGTCCTTGCCATCTCGCTAGTACCACGAGTAATATATTTTGACAGCCGTGCTACAACCATCCTCACCGCCAGCCGGCGCTGACTTGCATCACGTCCTGCAGCCAGCCGCCGTCTCGTCTTTCTATCTCTCCGTATTCCCTGATCCCGTTCCCGTCTCTCCCGTATCTTGATCACGATGCACAGAGTGTATTTTTTGCCCCTGTCCACCGACATACTTCGCTAGTGATTGGTCCACCTGTGATTTTTTTTTTCTGGATTTTTCTGTTGCATCTCTTTTAAACGTCAATGATATCTCTAGACGAATCTGCAGTACATTTCAATGCTGATACCATAATTCATATTGAATTCGACAGCTTTGTGAAGATGAATCAAAACCATAATTATATACAGCGTTCAGGGATATTCCTGGTTGTCTTGTTAAATCTTTGCTCTTGTAGCGAGACGCAACCGTTCCCCACAGTGAAGCCCCCCACAGGTAAAAAAGCCATGCGGCCGCCTCTCGGGAACTTGCTTTCGGCAGTCTCGAGAAGCGAGCGGGCGAGACGTCTGGCAAGGTGACCAAAAAGGGCTAAGGCAAGCAGAGAAGACACTGCAAGGCAATTGTGTTGCCGAACAACGACTCTTATAGTGTGCTACGTTCTTGGCCGTTATTTCTCCTCCCACGTCTTCATGTTTGTCGGTGTGCTTCTCCATTTTTAATTCATCTTCAAACAAGGTAACTTTCCTCTTCCTCAGTACGTATTTCTCTCGCTTCATGTGGCCAACCGTGTGTCGTTTACCCGACAACAGAAGCGATGAGCACCTTTTCACTCTCAGCTGGCCGCAATCTCCGAGGCCTTTGTTCATCGAACCTCTGGTGCCCTCTCAGTCCATCGTGTCTTTGCCTTTCGGGGGCTGGACTCGTCCTTCCCCGGAACCTCCGTCGTGTCTTTCCAGACTGGCTTTGGCTGTACGTATCTGGCCATTTCTTGTTTTTTGTCAGTGCTTCTCCTTCCCTTCCTTCCTTGTGGGTTTCTGCATTTTACTTCCATTTTCGTCCCATCACAGCGACGCACAAGCCGTTACACCCGCTCGCCACAAAAGTCTCGCCGTTGGGAACCTCAAGAGTGGACAGGGAGACGGGTAGTTGTGACTCCGTTCTCTGATGGATAACGTATCTTCTCATATTCGGGTTAAGCGTTTTGTACCGCGTATGTATCTCCTTTTCCCTTTCCTTGTATTTTCTTTCTTCGACTCGAAGCCAAACCCACTCGGTTTGTTGACCTGGGTGGCGCGGGACTTTGACGGGTGTACGACATACGAAACCAGTGAACAGGCGGACGGCAGAGGAGTGACAGAAGAACGAAACTCTTGCACAAGAAACTTTGTGTTCTGCCCCCCCGCCACATACTTGATTTTGTGTTTTCGATCAGCTGTTCCTGCTCTGGTATACTTCGTTCTTCCTTACATCGTTCCGATAGACATTGTCTGCTGCTCCTCGGAACTCTCCTTTCCGTCTCTGCCCTTCCTCTTTCGATCAATTTTTTCACATTCCCAGTATCGGCGGGTCGTGTGTGAGACATGAGCACGAATGGTGCGCATATTTTGTGCTCCGATTTCATTTCTGCCTTTCCGTCTTCTGATTTTGTGTGAACGTACACCTGTATGTACCGCGCGGCTCCACGACCTGTACACTACATGCCATATGCTGCAGCAGGGCGAACGCTTCCTGCTCATATGTGCGATCGGCTCCGCGTGCAGGTTGTCGAGACCTTGGTGGCCCATTGGGGTAGTTGGGGACGACAAGGGGCAGTGCTGATTGTGTTCGTATCCCTCTTGTATCTCTCTTGGATGTGTACCAGCGCTTTGTTGAAACTTCTGCTAGATGTACGTCGTACACAGGTTGTACAGGGTATGCACTGTATATGTATGGAGAGCCTAGGAGGTGAAATGGCCTTGTAGCCAACAGGAAAAGTGCTAGTGGAATGTTTGGAAGGTGTAATCCGAATTAGGAAAGAGAGAAAGTAAAAAAGGAAAGAGAGAGAGACATAACGGCCCACCGAAAAAGGGACAGGAAAGCGCGTATACAACTTCGGCTTCGGCTTAACCGCCTCCCCTATTTGTCAGATACGCCTTTTCTTTTTCTCGCTACGGAGTTCCCATGGTTACACACACCACGTCCTTGTTGAGGTCCCGAGGAAAGAGGGGGTGAGAGCGTGAGTTGTGAATGGTGGAAGGAGCGAGGGAGGGAAGGACCAACGTGCAAAAGAAGGTCAAAATGCCCGGATAGGTAGGTGTTGAAAGAAGTGAAAGGGCAAGAGGCAATGAAATTTGCTTCCCAATGGAAGCAAGAGCGAAGGACCCAGAAGCTGTACAGGGAAAGAGCAAGACACAAAACAGAAGAACAGAAAACAAACAAAAGCCACGGGCTGGCTCGGTCCTTCCTTCTCATGTATTTATTATTTTGTCTCAACTACCACGTTTCTTGCCAGCATGCCCTGTGGAGGCCTTGCTACCCCCGTCATTCTCCGTGGCGCCTTCCCCTTGCCCTTTTATGTCCACAGTCAGATTTCGTATTGCACAACTTTTCTTTCTCTCCCTATCCCTGCATCTTATTTTTCGAGATACCAAAGGCATCGCGATACACACTCGATTACTGGAAACGCTGTTCTTACTTCTCTATTACGGCAAGATTGTCTCGAACAAGATTCTCTTTCTGCAACCAACCTCCCGTTGTCCGTCGACGGAGCCTTGAAGCCTCGGTTGACGCGGCGTGGTGATTTGTACAAACAGATCAATCCCTTGGATCGCGAGACTACCAAGGATTCAAAAGAGCAAAACACGTACTGAGGACGTGGCTAGGTCGTTGGTCTGATACTTTTGACTTGCAATTTGGCTTTCTTGGCTCCTCTTGATCAGTGCAGGGGTGAAAGAATCGAGATAAAGCTCGCAGTTCAATTCCTTACAACAACGACGACAACAACAACCCCCAGCCTCATCACCCAGGACTCCGGTTACAAGATGGAATCACATCGAACTTACTCGGCAATGAGGCCACCTTCGGAGCAAATGACTTTGCCAGACAGCTCATCGTTTCCACCTCCAGCAACCAAGATCCCAGAACGACACCGCCCTCCACCATTGCAGCAGGTGCCGCAGCAGCCTCTTCCTGGCTTCAAGGTCCACCATGCCGATAGCCCGCAGGAGGTGTCAATAGCGTGCGAGAAAATGTTTGACGAGAAGCCGCTTGTTTCTAGCGGACGGGATTTTTTGACCGGCAGCGGCGACGTCAAACCGCACGATGACAAGCCCGTCAAGCGTAGGATGCGCGGCATTACATCGTGTCTCGAGTGCCGGCGTCGAAAGATGAAGTGCGGTCGAACCCAGCCCTGCGACCACTGCCACAAGTCCGGCCGCGTCTGCATCTATCTTGGCGACCGCCTGGATCCCGACAGCCAGGGAAAGATCACGGAGATCAAGGAAAAAGTCAGCTCACTCGAACTTCAGTTGCAAAAATCAGTGGTCCACCAGCGCATCGGCGGCGGCCTTTTAGGATCCGATGTGCCGGCGTATTCATTGGACCCAGCCGAAACTGGGCTTGAGATCAGCCACATGGTCACCTCGGACTTGATCTATGACCACGGCGACGAAAACAGCATGGACGAAGACGACGACGAAGACGAGGCAACCAACGACATGATCGACCTCGGGTTCAAGGTCGGTCGCATGCGCATGACCGAGCGCATTGGTGGTCTGAATCGCCCACGCCTAGCTGAAGAGGTAAGAGTGACCAAGTTGAGGGGGTATTCATAGACCGGGCGCATTCTAAATCCTGTAGATCAACGTGGCTCTTGCGAGCAAACCAGGGACTTTTGGCTTCAACCTCAACCGGGTCGGCTCTCAGAGGCATACGTCAAGTGTGTCGCAGCCAAAAGCATCCACGCAAGACGGCTTCAATGGCGACTATGGAGACGAGGGCAACAACATGAGCGATTCACCGCCAATTCCAGACTTCTTACGGCCTTCGAACGATTACATCCCGCCATCTAGCGGTGCTCTCTTTGGCCATCTCACAGCCGTACCCGCGGTGCAGAACCTGCTGCCGTCGTCATGGATCTGTGACTTCTTGAAGAACACATATTTTACGAATGTGCATCCCATTGCATCGTGCCTGCATCAGCCCACTTTCGAGCAGCAGTTTAGCGAATTTCTGCTACTTGTGGGCCGCGGACGCCAGCCTCGCCGACCACGTCAGGCTCTGGTCCTCGCCGTACTCTTTTCCGGTGTGGTTGCCGCTGATGAACAGGCAATCGCCGTCCAGTTCAACGTCAGAAAAATAGATCTAGTCGGCATCGTCAAGTATGGCGTCGAAGCCTCGCTGGGCATGGCCAACCTCCTTCGCACCACCAGTGTCGAGGCGATGCAAGCCTTTGTTATTTACCTTGTACGTGCTGCATTATACACATTATGCTAGCTACCGTTTTTCGTGCGTCCCGTTGTCTGACACTGGATCTTAGGTTGCACTTTGCCGCGACGAGGTCTCGCGGTCGCACTCGATCATGGTTGGAGCCGCCATTCGAATGGCTGAGTGTATGGCCCTACACCGTGACGGCAGCGCTTTTGGCCTGACGCCCCTGGAAACGCATGTTCGCCGTCTGATTTGGCACCAGCTTTGCTTTTTGGATATTCGCACCTGCGAGGCTCAGGGTCCACGGCCGACAATCCATCGCGAGGATTACGACACATTCTTGCCTTACAATTGCGATGACGACGACTTGACTCTCGAAGCAGACATGGTGCCGTTCACTTCAAAGCAGAGCTGGGCGTCGTCGTTCCTTGCTGTGTTGCGGTTTGAGGTCAACGAGATGATGCGCATCATTTGGATCGATCGTTTTAAGCTCGAGCGGCGCAAATCAAACCTCACGATCGTGATGGCCAAAATTGACAAATTCTGCCACCGTCTCAACCAAAAGTACGAAGGTTACCTCGACGACGCCACCCCTATTAAGCGCTACACAAAGCTGGTCAAAGAGCTCTTCATTTGTCGCATGCATGTCATGGTCCTCCACCCATACCACTCCAATACAAGCAACCCCCTCTCCGAGCGCCTTCACTCGTCTCTGATTCAGAGCGGTATTCGCATCATCGAAATTGGTATTGAGCTGGAAACTAATCCGGAGTACGCCCAGTGGCGCTGGTATCTTGGTGCCTTTATGCAGTACCAGATTGCCCTGCTACTCACCACCGAAGCATTCCATGGCCAGTCGGTCAGCGAATCCGACCGCATTAGCAGATGTCTTGACTATGTTTTTGACACGGATCCCTCACAGGGGCTCCATGAAAAGGCTCAGGGCATTCTTTATGAAGTCATGCAAAAGAGTGCTACCTACTGCGAGTTTCGCAAATTACGTGCGCCGACATCTACAAAGCAAGCAGTTCCTCAGGCTCAGCTGGCTCAGCATACCACCAAAGTGGCGAATGGAGGGATGTCGATGCCAGGTATTCCACCACACCGTATGGCTACGGAGCCGAACCGGAATATGCCAGATATCGGGATGGTCAAAAATGAGATCTTCTCGCCTGGTATTACCAATCTGTTGCAGTTCTCCACGAGTGGAACGTCCAGCATGATTACGGGAACAATACCTTCAATGCCATTCCAACTACCCACACAACAGTACCAATCACTGGGTAATGGTAATCCGTACCATCAGCACAATAACCACCACAACCAGCTGCAACCACAACCACAACCACAACAACGGCCGCAGTCGCAGCTGCAGTTGCAGCATAAACAACACCAAAAGCAGCAGCAAAGATACCAGACAGCTACAAATGACCAGGAGTCCATTCCGCGGACACTGGCACCACCGGACACTGTGGGCCGTATTGCCACCGAGCAGACATCCGAGCTCAACCTACCGGGGCAACCTATGGCACCAACTGCCCCATATGCTCCAAGCAGTAACAACATGGTTTTTTCCGGTGTAGCCAACGGCGAGGCGCTGTGGGGTCACCCACAAGTGGTTAATGCCGACAGCCCCGAGGCTTTTGGCGGCGAGTGGTCCGCAACAAATGCGATGCAACAGCAACAGACACAGCCTCTTCAGCAGCAGCCATCATCTTCTCAACAACAGCAGCCGCAGCACATAAATCTGGGACGCCACCAGTATCCCTACACGACGACTGCTGGTCTTGGCCGGTTCCAAGAGCAGGAGGGAAACTTGCTGGACAGCATCAGCTGGGTAGGTAATTCTGCCAAGGCAGCTTCTTTGAAGCTATGAATGCTAACAATCCACTAGGACGATCTCAATTCGATGCTTCCTAAAAAATGATAGACTAGCTAGGTAGGCAAAGGAAACAATATGTGTGTCATTTGTCCAGAGTATTCATATTGCAGATATTAGGTACGACCGATGATTGGCAACCTACGTAAAGGTCATATTATTTACAATCAAAATCGAAGAGTTGGCTGTTTAGTTTTCAAGGCACGAGGTGGGCAAGATATATAGAATACCGTAGAGCACTTGGACAATCACTTAAGAGTTACGTTCGAACTTTGTTTTGGAAACAAGTCAATGTTATAAAATCTTTGTTGTTGTCCAGAGACCCGAAACCATATGATCGAACGAGCAAAATTGCAAGGCAATAAGTCACGCAACGAACTATCACGAGATAAGAAAGGGGCACATTCAGGTGAGAAAAACATGGCCGTATAAATTATACACTGTAAAATGGTTGACAAAAAGAAAAGGTCATCGTCATCAGAGGTCATAAAGTAGACCGAAGAAAGGAAATAAAAAAGCAGAGTGAGATGTAGTCTGAAACCAGATTGCAAATGCGAAAGGCAGATCAAAAAGAAATAAAGGACGCAGAGACAGAAAACAGAAAACAGAGAACAGAAACTAGAAAGCTGAAACAATGCAAAGCTGAAAACAAAGTAAGACCAGAAGCAAAAGCCACAACGAATAAAAAACCAGACGAAAACCAGATGAAAAATGAAAACCGAAACCCGTGTCCTGTTATATGATGGTAGTTCGCACACATCCCATGTCCATTTCGTTTTTAGTCCCTCCTCCCTCATTTTTTTATTTCCCCTAAATCCCACCCTCAATGTACTGGGCCTCGGCAATCGAGCCCGCATCCGTCATGCTGATCGTGCTCCGGTTGTCCGGGCGGCCTCCCTGGTGGGGTTGCGATGGCTGGTGAGCAGCGGACAGCAGGCTGACACCGCCGGCGTCCGAGCTCGGCGTCATCATGCGTCGCTTGCTGGCCGGCTGGTCAACGATGCTCGGGGCCGTGCCGGCCCGGGATGCCGAGCGCCGCGGAAGAGGCGCGGCGACCAGCACCTGGGCCGGACAGACGACGATCTCGTCGTCCCCCTGGCCCGCGTCGTCGCCCTTTTTGACGACGAGCGGGAACAGGACAATGCGCACGGGCGTACCGGCCGTTTCGTCGGCCCCCTCTCCTCCTCCTCCTCGCCCGTCGCGTTCGGTCATCAGCTCCGGGTTAAACGCGACGGTCTCGACCAGCTCGCCGTTGCCGTCGTACTCGGGCTGCAGAGGCGGCAGCATCATGTACTCGGCGCGCTGGCAGCGCATTTCAATGGAGAGATCCACAGCCTCGCGGATGACGCGGCGGAGCTGGGTCTCGATCTGTTCCTCCTTGTTGGTGGGCGGGGGCAGGATCGCGCTCAAGGTCTGCAGGATGGCCTGGACGACGGCCTCGGTGTCCTGGTCGCGCTGCTCGCGGAAGGACGGCTGGCGCATCAGCAGCGTCAGGGTGACGGCACGCCACTGGCGGACGGCGGAGATGGGACCGACGTCGAGCAGGGTCTTCTCGAGCGACTTGATCTTTTGGCGCTGCTCGCGGTCCATGCCAAACAGGTAGCGCGTAAAGACAAACTCCCACACCATGTACATGGTCATGGCCATGAAGACGTCCCGGCGGTGGACGCGGTCTCGGAGGTAGTCGTCGACGTCCGAGCCGTCGAGCACGGCATTGTCAAGGCGGTCCACCGTCTTTTCGTCGTTGATTTCGGCCGTCAGTCGGCAGGCGCGCAAGTCGGAAAACTTGCTAAAGCGCAAGACCCACTGCTGGACGTGGGTGCACAGCTGCTGGCAGCGGCGGTCAAAGTAGTCGACGTCTTGAATGCGCAGCAGGTCGGCGCCGTCGGCAGGCATGGACGCCAGAATCTTGGCCTGCATGGCACGGATCTCGTCTTGGGCCGCCTGCAGCTGGGCTTTGAGTGCCGCGATTTCGGCATCCTTGTCATCGAGCTGCTTCTTGGTGGTCTCGAGGTGTTCGTTGCGTTCGCTGGCAGCGCTGGCGAGATCGCGTGTTGCTTGTGCGTGGTCGGTCTCGAGCTGCCGGAAGCGTTCGTTGTGCTGCATCGCCGACGAGTTGATGGCCGAATTGAGGCCCTCGTTGACCTCGGTGAGGCGCTTGACTTCCTTTTGGAAGAAATCGAGCGACCGTTTGAGGGCATCGATTTGGCTGTCGCGCTCGGCGAGCGAGCTGGCCGCTTTGCTGGAGGACGATTGCTCGGCTTGTGATCGTGCTTCGGCGAGCATCCGGTTCTCGGCCATCAACTGCTCGACACGGTTCTCCAGCTCCATCACCTGCATGCTTTGTCGGCGGCGCATGCTGTGTGGCCGGGTCGGCGACCGCGGCGAGCCGATGCGGCCCTCGCCATAGCCATCCTGAGGGCGTTAGTTGGATGCGACATGGGGAAAGTGGTGGGAATTGATGAAATGCGAAAGTAAACACGGAAACAAGGCGATGAGGGGGGAGGGGGTCACAAAGGGCAATGAGGGGAGGAGACGAAACAGTGAACTCACATATACGTCGGTCATGCCGCCCTTGTCGCGTACACGGCCTTCATTGGCAACTGGAATGCTTGCAGTCGTGCCAGAAAGGTCTTTGCTGGAGGAGCCTTCGTCGCGTGTCGTCGACGTGGAAGCGGTGGCGTGTTGCTTGTTGGTGTTGTTGTCGGGCGGTAACGGCCCCAGCGCGCTAGCGCCCGCGGCAGTAGCAGTGGCAGCAGCTGCGCCGGCGAGGGCAGCGGGCGAGGCAAAAAGGTCAGTCTGGCTTCGGTTGCTGAGCGACCTAAGACCGCCGCTCATTCGTCGGTCAATGCGCCTCAAGGGTGGGGTTGATGAGTAAGCGGCGCGATTGATGCCTGGGCTTTCAGGCCGCCGCAAATTGAGTGGGTCCGGTGTCCTGCGCCGCACTAGACTCGTATTGGACGCGGAACGGCGCGGCGCCTGTTGCGGCAGCATGGCGCCAGACACAGAGCCCGCGTCGGATGGCATGGGCGACGACATGAGGCGCCGTTCGCGGTCGCGGCTCGCAGCGTGGGTGTTGTCGGAGACGCTGCGCATGCCGGGCAGGCCAGGCTCGGTCGATCCTGGTCGGGAACGAACCGCCGGCAGAATGCCTGCGGCCAGTCCGGCGTCCTTGTAGCTCGTGGATCGCTTGTCGTCGCTGCTGTGTCGCACCGCTGGCAGCGACTCGGGGCTTCTCTGTAGGTCGGCAGCGGTGTTGCTGCTGGTGCTCCCGCCGTGATGGCCCGACCAGTCGCGGAGGTGCACGCCGCTGTCACGCAGCTGGGTGTCGTCGCTGAGACGACTCTTGGGTGCAGCTGGCGCGGTGGGTAGGGCGTGGGCGTTGTCCTCGGCAAAGCCGCTGTCACGGTTGGCGTCGGGCGTGGCAGCCCTGTGCTGGTGCTCTGCCGGGCGACGTGGCTGGCTGCGCGAGGGCGTCGTGTCGAGATCGCGACCATGGTAGTGCCGCCCGTGATCCCTACCGTCCTCGTCTTCGTAGGTCTCTTCGAGAACAGGCGCGAGAATGCTCGAAGCGGACCGTCTCAGATCACCACCGCTGGCATGGTGTACCACGTGCGAAACCGACTTGCCGGCCATGCTTCCCATGCTTCCGAGGAGGGCGGCGCCGGCGACACCGGCGACACCTGCCGCCTCGGGCAAGATGGAAGGCGAGTGTGAGAGCCCACGGCTGGGTGTGTTGTAGTCGTAATCGTGGTGGCCGCCCTTGTCCGTAGAAGGCCTCTTTTCCGGCTCGGGTGTCCATTCGCGCGAGGCGCGAGGCGACTCGAGCACAGGCCGCCGCAACAGATCCTCCTGGCGGGGCGTTGGCTCGCGGGAATCCTCGAGCAATGCGTCGGGAATGTCGATGCCACGGCTCGTGTCAGTTCCGGCAGCAGCAGCGGCAGCAGCAGCAGCATTGGCGGCGGCCACCATGGGCAGCGGGTTGGTCTTGAGCTTGTCCGAGTCGCGACGGCCGAGAACCGGGCTCTCGAGGTCGTCGTTTTTGTCGCTGCTGACGCCCCGTGCAGACTGGAGCTCGGTGCCACCTTGGCTGCCATTCTCGTCAAAGGAGGTGTCCGTCAATTTGCTCAAAATGGCGTCCGGAACAACCCGCTCCTCGTTCGTTTCCTCCCCTTTTGTCTCCTCCTGCTCTCTTGGGTAAATGTCGTCCATCGTCTCATCATCACGGCCCGCCCGCTCTTGTGCAAAGAAGCCGGGCATCTCATCCCCGTCGGCCGTCGCCTCTCGCGGACTGTCGCCCATGACCTCTTCGTGCACCTTGGGATCCTTGCTCTCCCATAGGGCGGCATCGTCAAAAATGTCATCACCGTCGGACCGCCTGTCCACAATCTTCTTCTTTCCCCCTTTCTTCTTCTTGCTTGCCTTCTCAGGCTTGGGTGAAACGACTGTTAGCACTTTCACCTTGTCCGGCTTCACCTCGGTCACCTCGCTCTTCACTTCCACCTCCCTGTCCTTCCCCTTACCCTTGCTCTTTTTCTTTGGCGATTTAAGTTTCATCGACACGTCTCCTCCTCCGCGACCACGCTCATCGCGCTCATCGCGCTCCTCTCTGTCGTCTCTGACGTCGTACATGATGTCACTGTCGCTCAACACGGCGTCTTCTGCAAAGTGGCCAGGGTCATTGTCGGCGGCCAGCGGCGTAAGGACCGCTTGCACCTTGGTCTTCTTCTTGTCGGGTTGGGCGTCGTCGCTCGACTCCTTCTCAAAAGGCGGGTCGTGCGGCAGTGACACCTTGCGGTCGCGCTCTTGGCCCAGGGCGAGCTCGGCAAAGGACGGCCCAGCACTGCCCGAAGGCGGCGAAGGCAACGTGGCGGTCGGGCTGAAACTCTGCATCGGGAGCAGCTTCGGGACGTGGCCGGCCCGCTCAAAGACGTCCGAGTCGGCGCGTGTCATCAGGCCCCAGACAGGCACTGTGGGCGACGACGGCGACGACAGACGGTCGGCCTTGTCGAACATGCCGGTCAGAGCAGGGTTGATGGAGAGCTTGTCCAGGACTGGCTCGTCGAGGGCCGCTTTGTCACTGTCCAACTGCACGTCCTTTGTATTTGCGGCTGGTTCCCTGTCAGGCGTCTCGGGGCGCTTCCGGGACCGCGGGGATACAGACGGCGACGGCGTCCGTCGCCGCGGCAGCTCATACTCCTTGGCAGGGAGAAGGTCTGTGTCTTCGCTACCTCTGTGCAGATGCTCCGCTGCGAAACCGACGGCGGCAATGCCAGCAGCGGCAGTGGCTGCTGTGGCGAGAGAGCTGTCCCTGGTAGGCTCACTGGCGGACTCGGTGTGCTGTTCAGGCAGAAGCGACCGGGCGCCTTCTGTCAAGTCCATGTACGATTGGAGCGTACCGCGCTGCTTCTTGCCCTTCTTGCCCTTCTTAGTCATAGGCGCAAAGTCGTCTTTGGCAGCGGCCTCCGCGATAGGTTCTGTGACAGCCGGCTCCATATTCATCGGCTCGGCAGCCTCGACGGTGTCGGGTGTGTCAACAGAAGAAGGTTCGGTGGCTGGGACGGGACTCTCGTCAAACTGGCTGACGTCCACGACCTGTCTTCCCTTCTTCCCTTTCTTGCTCTTGGCAGGAGCCGGAGCAGACCAGTCCTCCTCGGGGAGAGCTTCGGGGACGACGTCTGGGCCAGCCTCACGAGCAGTCTCAGGGAGATCCATAGGCTCCTCCACGATGGTGTCGAGGCCCTCTGGCTCCTCGAAGCCGCGGGCATCATCAACGACTTCCTCCGCTATGGCATCGTCGGCAAATGTGGCAGGTTCGACAAGAGGCTCAGAATCGAGGGGCTGCTCCGGCTCGTCGTCCCAGGTTGGAAGCGACTTCTTCTTTTTCTTGCCTTTCTTGGACTTGCGCGCGACCGGAGCAAAGCTGTCGTCTTCTTCGGCGACTGGAGGGGGAGCATCGGCCGTGGGCTCCTCACTGACAACCTCAGACTCGCGTGTCGTTTCGGCTGTGGGCTCGACAGTCTCCTCGACAATGGGATTGACTGGTTCAACAATCAGCTCGCTCACCGGCTCAACGACCTCGGCAGACTCGGTCCCTTCCTGGGGCTCGTCCTCAAAAGCAGCCCAGGTCGGTGCCTTCTTAGACTTCTTGTCCTTCTTCTCCTTTTTTTCCTTCTTCTCCTTCTTGGTCTTGCGCGAAACAGGGGCAAAGGCATCGTCTTCCTGTGCTGGCTCAGCCGCAGGCTCGGCAGCTGGGAAGGAAGACTCGGTGGCCATGTCGTGAGACAGGGAGCTGTGCGGTTCTTCGTCAATCGGCGCGATCTTTCTCGTTTGTTCTTGCTCGGCACTTGGAACAACCTCGGAGGGCACAATCTCTTCGCTAGGGGCGTCGACCTTGGCAGCTTCCTCCTCGACCTCGTCAGCCCAGGAGGCGGACTGCGCCGTCTTCTTGGCTGCTTTCTTTTCCTTTTTGGAGAGCTTGCGCGAGACAGGGGCAAAGTCAAGGGCATCGTCAACAGGTGGCTCAGTGATGTCTTGTGACGCCGTCTGCGCATCATCATATGCCGTCGCTGTCTCCACGTCCCGAGCCACCCCTCGTTCTTGGGCAGGCTCGGTGACCTCTTGGAGAGACTCGGGAACATCGTCAGCGGCAGCCACCTCTTCTGCTGTCGGCGTTGTTTCAGCGGCTGCTTCAGATGGAACGTCTTCATCCCATGCAGAGAGATGAGCCTTCTTCTTCTTCTTATCTTTCTTCGATATTTTGCCCGAAGAGACAGGCGCAAAGTCGTCTTTGGCAGACTCCGTCGTCTCTGTGGTGGCGGCCATACCTGCGGCGGCAAGGCCTGCAGCAACAATGGCAGCGGCTGCAGCGCTCGACCCGGCCTCGGTTTCAGGCTCAACCTCCTTGGGGGTTTCCGGCACGGACTCGGCAGGCTTCTCTTCCCAGTCGTCGTCCCAGGCCAGCTTCGCCTTTTTCTTGGAGGACTTCTTGTCCTTCTTGTCTTTTTTGTCCTTCTTGGACTTTTTGGTCACCTGCGCAAAGTCGTCCTCGGCGGGCGCAGCAGTGGGGTCGGCAGCTGGTTCGGCGACAGGTTCGACGACAGGTTCGACGACAAGTTCGGAAGCAGGCTCCACAGCGGTCTCGATGTCAGGTGCTGACGGCGAATCAACCTCAGCAGCTCTCTTGCTTAGCTGAAGTGGCTCATCGGCGACAGGAAGAACGTCGACTGGGGCGGGCTCAGGAGCAGCGTCCGCCTCGATTTGGCGGTCAGCGGCCACCTCTTCAACGACATCATCGGTCGTAGCAGGTTCTTCAACGTCAGCCCACGATTGTTGCTGTGCCTTCTTCTTGGACCGCTTCTCCTTCTTGGAAGATTTCTTGACAGGAGAAAAGTCGTCCACCGGCTTCTCGTCGGACTGGGTCGCGGGCTCGTCGACAATGTCAGCGCTGTCAAGAGATGTAGTCTCGGGCTGGTCGGCTGCCTTAGATACAGCCTCAGATACAGCCTCGAATGTCGGCTCTGGGATGGCGTCAATGGCGGGCTCAACTGGAGGCTCGACAACCGGCTCAGACACAGACGCCGGAGCAGCCTCGGCCGGAACATCATCATCCCACGAAGCGAGCAGGGTCTTCTTCTTTTTGCCCTTCTTCGACTGCTTGCGAGAGACGGACACGAAATCGAGAGGCTGTTCCAGCTGTTCTTGAGCAGGCGTCTCTTGAGACGTCTCGTCGGCTGCTGCGGGCACAAACTCGTCAAGTTCGCGACGCTGCTCATGTTCTTGATCGGCAGCAGCCGTAACAGCGGGCTCAACGGGCTCAGCGGGCTCAACGAGCGCAACGGGCTCGGCATCTTCGGCAGGCTCCACCAATTTGCCAGCCTCTTCGACTACCTCCGTGACCGACTCGGTAGCCGACGGCTCAGGAGTACGTTCAATATCGGTCCAGGCCTGAGCCTTCTTCTTGCTCTTCTTGTCATTCTTCGACTTGCGGGACACAGGAGCAAAGTCGAGAGGCTCCTCGGCAGATTGTTTGGCCGGTTCGCTGTCAATTTCAGCAATATCTGCTGTGGACTCAGAGATAGCCTTATCCGTGGGTTGCGATATTTCACGGTCGGCAGAAACCTTCGGCTCTTGCTCTTGGGGAGCTTCTGCAGCTGGCTCTATCACAGACTCAATGACCGGCTCCGGCGGCGTAGCAGTGGCCGACTCCGGCGTCTCCTCAGCGTCTGTCCACGCCTGCGACTTTTTCTTTTTCTTGTCCTTCTTTGACTTCTTGCCTGGAACCGGGGCAACATCAAGAGGCTCGTCGTCGGCCTTAGCGGCGGGGATCGCAGCGTGCACGTCAGTGGCTTCGGTCACCTCGCGGTCCAGAGAAGCCTCAGCCTCGGGCGGAGCCTCTGCGGAAACGTCTGTGACCGGATCGGTCGGCTCAGCTGGCTCAGGGACATTGTCGGGAGCGGATTGAGCTTCTGCTGTCTCTGCAAGTGGCTCCGGCGCCTCTTCAAAGTCAGTCCACGCCTGCGACTCCTTCTTTTTCTTTTCCTTCTTTGACTTTTTGCTAGAGACGGGAGCAAAGTCAAGCGGTTCTGCGGCGGGTTCCTTAGCAAGCTCTGCAGATGTGGCGTCCACGGTGACAGGCGGAACAGTAGACGCTTCAGGTGCCTCGATGACTTCGCGGTCAATAGAGACCTCTGGAACTGCTTCGGGAACAAGGTCCCCAGAAACGGGCTCTTCCGGAACGTTTACAGAAGGGTCCAGAGGCTCGACGGGCTCGACGGGTTCAGAAACGGCTTCAGCGGCAGGCTCAACAGCAGGTTCAGCTGCTGGGCCAGATGTCTCAACGGTCAGATCCGGAGTCTCCTCAAAATCAGTCCAAGCCTGCGCCTTCTTCTTCGACTTCTTGTCTTTTTTGGCTTTCTTGCCAGAGACAGGGGCAACGTCAAGAGAGTCATCAACAGCCTCCTTGACGGGCTGGGGCGCAGGCTCTGTGATGGTTTCGACAATCTCACGTTCGGCAGATGGTTCGCGCTCGGCCGCTCCGATCTCGAGATCTGCGGTCTCCGTAGGTTCAGGAACAGGTTCCTCGACAGGCTCTTGGATAGGCTCTTGGATAGGCTCAGTCGAAGACTCGACGGACTCAACAGGGGCATCGGCTGGAGGCTGAGGAGTATCGTCAAAGTCAGACCATGTCGACGACTTCTTCTTTTTTTTCTTGTCCTTTTTCTCCTTCTTGGATTCCTCGCGAGAGATGGGCGGGACGTCGTCGACGGAGTCAGCAGCAGTGGGCTCAGTCTGCTCGGGCTGCTCAGACGAGGGCTCTGTTGCGGTCTCGACGGCAGCGACTTCAAGCGGCTCGACGTCGGCAGCTGTCGTAGTGGTTGGCTGGACACTGTCGACAGTGTCAACAGCGTCAACAGTATCAACAGTCGGCTCTGCCTCCGCAAGCGGCTCGCTGACATTGTCAGGCTCAGGTGCAAGCTCGGCTGTTTGCTCAGGCTCTGGAGTAGGCGTCTCCTCAGCATCTGTCCAAGCCTGGGCAGCTTTTTTCTTTTGTCCTTTTTCTTTTCTTTCTTTGACTTGTTCGAAACAGGCGCAAAATCAAGCGGCTTGCCAACAGGCTCAGCGGGTTGTTGTGAAGGCGTCTCGTCTGCTGGAGCCAAGGCTTCAGCAACAGGCTCGACAGGTTCGACAGGTTCGACAGACTCGGCAGAGTCGACAGGGACTGGCTCAACGGAGTCCACAGGAACGGTGGCCTCTGCCTCGGTGGGCTGGACGGCTACAGGTTCGACGGCAGCTGGCTCAGCGGCTTCAGTCTCAGCAGGCGTGGCCGTCCCAGTTGCAGGTTCGGATGCTGGTGATGCGGACTCCTCGACATCAGCCCAAGCCTGAACCTGAACCTTCTTCTTTTTCTTGTCCTTTTTTGCCTTCTTCGTGACAGGAGCAAAATCAAAAGACTCGACAGGGTCGCTCACTAGCTGAGGCGCGGAATCTTCTGTCGGCTCTGCTACATCTCGGCCGGCAATGATCTCCGGGACTGTGTCAACAGGCTCCGTTGGTTCGACAGGAACAGCAGCTTCAGAAGCCTCCGTAGTCTCGGCAGGCTCAGGACGGAGGACACCCTCGACGGGAGCGGCAGAGTCAGCCGCTGGTTCAAGCGTCTCGGCAGGCTCAGGAGGCGCGGGCGTCTCCTCAAAGTCGGCCCAAGCCTTTGCTTTCTTTTTCTTCTTGTTCTTGTCCTTCTTTGACTTTTTGCCAGACACGGGCGCCAAGTCAACCGGCTCGTCAGCGAGAGGCTCGTCATGGGTATTGGCAGGCGTCTCAGCGACGGGTGCAGGGGCGGCCTCGATGACCGTATCAGCAATGTGTTCGGTCGTAGGCTCAACGGCGCGCTCGGCCGAAGGATCAAGAGCGGCGGCAGAATCGTCGACGGGAGTCTCTATACTTGACGGTTTCTCAACAATCGACTTTTCAGTGACAGCCTCAGTGACAGCTTCGGGTGTCGGCTTGGTCACCGGCTCAGTGTCCGGCTCGGTAACAGGAGGCTCGCCCACAAACTCTGTCTCGGGAAGAGCCTCGGGTTGCTCGAAAGAAGCATCAGAAGGCTCCGGCGGCACGTCTGTTGTCTCGGTTGCCTCATCCGCATCGCCCCAGGCCATCTGCTTCTTCTTCTTGGCTGCCTTCTTGTCTTTCTTGGACTGCTTGCGGGTGTGTGCGGGAGCAAAGACATCTTCTTCGGGCTTCTCCGCGTCTTGAGCTTCGGCGACCTCAGCAGGAAGCTCGTCTGTGGGCAAGTCTCTGGGAGTGGACTCCGGCTCGGTGGTGGTGACAGTGTCGTCTGGTATAGCCGGTACTGTTTCAGGCACTGGTTCCTCGGTCTTGTCGGCAGCGACAACGTCTGCTGGTGTGTCCTCGGGCGCCTCTTCTGGTGTCTGAGCCTCGGGAGCGTCCCAGTCGGACAGCACGGCCGAGCCCTTGCGGTTCTTCTTGCCCTTCTTGGCTTTCTTGAGAGACGGGGCCGACGCGGCCCAAACGTCGTCCTGCTCTGCGGCCTCGGGCGTGGCAGGAGACGCTGTCTCCGCCGGCAAGTCTTCAGCGGCAGGAACCTCGGGCTCGGGCTCGGGCTTGGTCTGGGGTATGGTCTCGGGCTCGACCACATCACGCGATGTCGATACAAGCGCCTCGTCGAGGTCGGGTTGAAACGAGACGGACTTGCGACCCTTCTTGCCCTTTGCCTTTTTGAGGCCGATGGAAGCGTCGACGGTGTTGTCAGCGTCGTCGGCAACGGGAGGTGCTTCGACCACGGACGGCTCCTCCTCAACCACAGGTGCAGGAGAAGACACAGGCTCCCTTTCGACAGGCAGAATAGACTCCTCCTCGGCAAGCAGGGCAGAGTTCTCGACAGGTAGCGCCGCCGGCTCTTCAGGCGTGGGACCATCAACATCAAAGCCAGTATCTTTCTTCCCCTTGCGCTTCTTGGACTTTTTGAGGCTGACAGAGTAGGGCCCACCAGCGTCGGTGGTAGAGAGAGCAGGTTCGGCGGGCGCCTCCTCACTGGCAGGCGTGTCCTCGACGACGGGTTCCACGGGAAGAGTGTCGCGGCTCTGATCGTCTGGCTGCTCTCCAGTCGCCGTGGGAGCAGGCGTCTCTTCTGTTGCCGCTTCGACAGGGGTCTCAGCAGGCGCCTCGACAGGAACCTCGACAGGTACTGCGATAGGAGTGTCCTCCTCTTCCTCGGGAGTATCATCTGTGCTGCCCCAGGAGAACCAAGACCTAGACTTCTTCACCCTCTTTGCCTTTTTGATCGTGGGAGCAGCTATCCGCTCCGGCTCGGAAGGTGTTGGGGCGGAAGCAGAAATATCCTCAGCAGCAATCTCTTTGGATGTTTCGGGCTGCACTGGTGTTTCGACCGGAAGCGCTACCAGAGGCTCTTCAGCAGGCTCGACTGGCTCGACTGGCTCGACTGGCTCGACTGGCTCGACTGGCTCGACAGGCGCCTCTGCAGGTACCTCAGTCAGCTCAGTCGCGGGCTCAACCTCCGGCTCGGTTGCTGGCTCGGTTGCCGCCTCTGCTGCCGGCTGCGTTGTTGGCTCGCCCAATGCAAAGGTCACGTGCGAGTCCTTGCGCTTCTTCTTCTTGTCCTTGTCTTGTTTCTTGAGTCCGCCGCCGGATGCGAGGTCGTCGGTGGTGGGCTCTGTGGCAACGGGTGCGCCGGACAAAGGATCGGTGGGAGCAGACTCCGCCTCGGGCTCGACGGCACGGTCGGTCGCAACAATGTCGGGTTGGCTGGCGACAACGGACTCGTCTGTCTCTGCCACGACCGGGCCAGTCTCAGATGGAGCAACCTCAGCTGCCTTGCCCTTCTTTCCCTTTTTGCCCTTTTTGGACTTCTTGGTGGTCATCGCAGACCACTCGTCGTTGTCATCTACAGCTGTTGGCGTTGCATCCGATGTGGTCGTCGTGGTCAAGTCAGTGCTGCCGACGTCAAGGTCAGCTGCTGCAGGGCTGTCGCCAGTTTCTCGGACGTCTTGTGGTTGTTGGCATTCTTCGACAGGTGCGTCGACGGGCGAGGCAGTTTGCGTGTCGTCGCGGTTCTTGTCCTCGCGGCGGTCGGCGTCCACGACGACGGCCTCTGTCTCTGTCGCAGGCTGTTCAACCGAGCGGACCGCCTCAGTGGTGCTGTTGTCGTCCGCTGCGGCCTCTTCTGTGCCGACTGCACCGGCTGTACCTGCACCGACTGCACCGACAGCAGCGGCAGCGAGAGCAGCGGCAGCCACTTTGCGCTGCTGCTTCTTGGAGAGCTTCTTGGCCTGGCCCGAGCTTCGGCGGGTGCTTTCGTCGCCGACGCCGGCATTGTCCATCGTGTCGGACGTGACGGCTGCTGTGTCCATGTCTTGTTGACGAGGTTGCTCTTCCAAGCTGCGGTCCGAAGCAGGCCCCGGGGTCGCTTCAGGAGCGGTCTCTTGGATAGAGGTTGGAGAGTCTGAGCCATCTCTGCCTGCCTGGGCAGGCTCTCGCGTGAGAACGGTGGCGCCGGCATCGCCAGAGCTTGCATGCAGGGTCGGTTCCACGTCGTGCCGGGTTTTGCTGGATTTGCTGTTGTTGCTGTTGTTGCTGTCGTCGTCTCCGCTGCGGGCGTTTTCGGCCTTGCTCGTGTCGTCAGACAGCTCCTTGGAAGTGGCCTCAACCGTCTCCTCAGTGGGCCGGCCCGCCGCGTCCTGATTGGACGGCCCGCCGATAGAAGACCCCGCTGGATCCTGTTGGCGGTTGTCATTGGTCACAGCCGAGGCGAGGGGAGCCGTGTCGCTGTCAGGCAGCAAGGCCTTGTCGGCTACGACGTCGCCAGGGGTCGTTTCCGTGTTGTCAAGAGCGTCGTTGTTGTCGTTGTCGCTGTCGTCGAATGTCCGCTCACCGCCGCCAGTCAGGCTGGGCGCCTCCACTTGGTGTTGGTTCTTGCTGCTCGTGTGGGGCTCAGCGCGGATACTGCCATGCAACCAAGTGGGCTCTTTGGCGGAGTCGTCCAAGTCGCTCGTCTCCGGCTCGTGCGCCTTGTCCTCGCCCTTGTTCATCGTCAACAGCTCGGCCGCCGCTAGCACTGCTGTGGCTCCGGCTGTGGCAGCAACTGCCGTTGGAAGAATTGAAGCTGAACCTGAACCTGAACCTGAACCTGCACCTGAACCTGAACCCGACATGTCGCGGTCAGAATCCGCGGGCGAGTCGTCGACCGACTTGGCCTGTCCCTTGTTCTTCTTGTTGGCCTTTTTTGTCTTGGTCCAGGACGCCCTGGAAAAGTCGTCGTCGGGCACCGCAGCAGCCGCTGTCTGCTCTACATCAGCCGCTGGCGTGGGGGGCTGCTCAGCCTCCACCTGGGTGACGGCCATCTCGTCGGCTTCGGTAAAGTCAGCCGGCGTCGTGGCGGCTTGGCTCTGGCTCTGGCTCTGGCTCTGGCTCAGGCTCTTGCACTTTTTGCCCTTCTTCTTGCGGTCCTTTTTTGAAACAGGTGCAAAGTCGTCGACGACCTCCTCGGGAACGGCCTCTGGCTCTTCAACCAACGCCGTCTCCGTCTCCGTCTCCGTCTCCGTGACCGTCGGCTGCGGGCTGGGGTCGCGGGGCGAGACGTTTGCGCTGTCGTCCACGTTCAGGACGTCCGGCTCAGCCCGGCTGCCCTTCTTGTTCTTCTTGGCCTTCTTCTGCTTCTTGTACGCGCTGGGGCTGGCCGTGTACGCTGGCTCTTCAAAGACGGGCTTGTCCTCAGCAGGCGTCTCCTCGAGAGCAGGCTCGACGCTGGGGAAAAGGATGTCACGGCGCGCGTCCTTGTCGACACCGACAGCAGCAGCACCAGCAGCAGCAGGTTCGTCGTAGACGACATCGTCAAAGAAGCGGTCGAGGTCAGTACCGCTGGTCACAGTGTCGGGGTGCGATGTGCTGGCCACCTCCTTGACAGGCTCGTCCGCCGGCTCAGGAACCGCCCCGGGCTTTTTGTCCTCGCTGAAGCCGCGACGGACAAACGACGAAAAGACGGAGCCGAGACGCGAGGCAAAGCCGCCCGTCAGCGTCGAGGCAGGTGTGGCAGGAGCAGAGACGGCCGTCTGGTCTGCCACTGCTTCTCTGGTCAAGTCCGCCTCATCCGCCTCGACCTCCTTCGCCTTGCCCTTGCCCTTGCCCTTGTCCTTGTCCTCGTTTGTAGACGTAGACGTAGATGTAGGCGTAGCATCCTCCACGGCGGCCAGGACGTCGCTGCGTAGAATATCCATGGACGGACGTGTAGACTGCGACCTAGGTGGCGGCGTCGTCGAGACTGCCGGGATGTCTGCCATGGCATCCTCCTCGGTGCGTTCCTTGTCCGGGCTTGCGTTTGTCGACTTGGAACCCGCGGTGGCCTGCGCAGCTGCAGCACCAGCCTGTGCGGCGGTGAACGCGTCCAGCTCCATAGCGAGTGCGTTGGGACTCGGCAGGCTTCGGCGGTTCTGCGCGTGCGCATTCTTGTCATTGTTGGCCATGGAGGCACGCGCCAGCGCTTCACGCAGCGGGGATGCCTCGCCGCCGCCAACGCCCATGCCCATGCCCATACCCATACCGGTGCCGACACCAACACCGGCCAGACCACCCGTGACGAAGCCGCGGCGGATGGGCGTGGACAGGGCGCTGGGATTGCTGCTACTGCCCTGGCTTTGGTTTGTCGATGGGGCACCAGCTGTATTAGCCTCTGCGTCCGACAACTGGCTGCTCGACCGGTGGTGCTGCTGCATCAACAGCTTGAGGGGCTTGAGATCGCGCGTGCTGTCCCACGACTGCGGCCGCGAGGCGCGCTTGGTCGGCGTGGAGAAAAAGTCCAGCACGGCCTGTGCCTCGCGGGAGCTGGGCGTGCCCGCTGCCACAGGCGAGCCAGAGGCCAAGGGAGAGCCGTCCGTCGTGTTGGCAGGACCATAGGACGTCGAGGGGACAGTCGTCGAAACAGGATCTGTCGCGTCGCCGGCTGCAGTCGTAGGCGACGGCATGGCCGACTGGGACATGGCCGACGGCTGGGTTGGCTGCGCCTGCTGCGCCTGCTGCGACGCGCCAGACGGCAGCGGCTGCTTGTACATGCGAGGGCTGCCGGCAATCGCAGACGGCGAGCCCGAGCGCTGCATCAGCCATTGGATGGGCACGGCTGTCGGACTGGCCGTGGACGACTTGACCTTGATGGGTGTCTCGGAGCGCCGGCGCTGGGCGGCGGCCAGGGCCATCTGCTGCTCGCGGAGGTGGCTCTCGCGCTCCTGCTCGGGCGGCGTCTCGGGCCGGCTGTCGGGCAGGTCAGGGAACTCAAAGTCGGAGTCGAGTTCGGATATGACACTCTTGGGCGATCCCGGCTCGCTGGGCTGCGGCGGCAGGGGCAGCAGGTCGCCGAAATGAGGGTCGATCGCCGGCCGGATCTGGCGCGCGACAATCTCTGGGTCGATGACAGGCTCCGAGTGCGCCGCCGAAGGGGCTGCCGATGCCGCGTCGGAGGGTGCACGCGAACGGTGGCCGGGCGTGGCAAGGCCGTCGAGGAGGTCTGTGTGCGGGGCCAACTGTTCTTGTTCGTTTTCTTGCTGTTGCGATTCGTGCTGTTGTGAATCGTCTTGTTGCAACTCGCGTTGCTGCTGTTCGTCCTGTGGCCGCTCCGGGACCACAGCATCGTCCTCCGTTTCCATCCCACGAGGGTGGTCGGCGGCAGGCTCCTTCTCGTCGGAAGAAGCGTCGGCGACTTTTGTGCGGGAAGGCCCGGCGGCGCTAGCAATGGCCGCCACGGCTGCTCCCGCAAGTCCGACACCCGCGCCAAGGGTGCCGGCATTAGCTAAAAAAGACTGCTTGTCGGTGTCCTGCGAGGACGTGGTCGTTGTAGCAGTTTTGCCCTTGCCGGCCTTGCCCTTTTTGCTCTTCTTGCCCTTTTTGCCAGTTTCCACCTCGCCCGTCTGGCCCGTCTCGCCCGTCTCGCCCGTCTCAACCGTTCGCTCACGGTCTCGATCTCGATCTCGATCCGGCGGTGGACTGGGATCGTCTTCGTCCCAGACAGACTTGGCAGGGGCCGTGGAGACAGTATGCGTGTAGCTGTCGTTCGGGTCGGCGTCAACATCGACGGCCGTCGTCTCGCTGGCTTCGGACCGCGACAGACTGCCGGACAGCGCGTCGTCGTCCTCGGCGGCCTTCTTTTGCTTGCGCTTGTCCTTTTTGGATTGTTTGCGGGACTTTGTGAACGTGGACGACCATTCGTCGTTGTCGTCCTTTGGGGCGTCGACATCGGCAGCGTTGGCAGCGTTGGCATTGTCGTCATTGTCGGCGATGGTCGTGTCGGCGCGCTCGATGGGTTCAGAGACGACAGGCCCAAGAACAGGCTCAGGAACAACATCGGACAGCACAGACACGTCCCGGCCGCGGTCCTCTTCCTCGGCATAGGACGACACCTTCTTGTTCTTCCTGTTCTTGCCCTGTTTCTTTGTAGGCGTGTAGGCAGCCCAGTCGTCGACGGCAGGAGTGGGAGCAGAAGCGGCAGCGCGAGTCTCCTCTTCCATTCTCGTCTTCTCTTTCTCACGCTCGCTCTCGCGCTGGCGCTCAAGCTCCCGCTCACGCTCTTCTGCCCGCTCTTCTTCACGCTCTCGCTGCAGCTCCCGCTGCTTGGCCTTTTTGCTACGGTGGCCAGTGCGCACAGTCACGGGGGCCGCGTCGCCGAGCGCCGTCTCGGAGACGATTTCGCGCGACGACGACGAGCCGGCGCCCGAGTCGTCCGAGTCGTGGCCGCGTTCGCGACTCTGACGCGGTGGCGACGACCGCTGCCAGTAGCTCGGATCCTGGACGACAATGTTGTCGTCAAACCCGGACGCAGGCATGCCGGCAGACACGATGGCGGCGAACTCGAGGTCGTCGCCAAAGGCGCCCTGTTGCGTGGACTTGTTCTTGGCGCTGAAATAGTGGTCAGGGCTTTGACTTTGATTTTCCCTGCGCCTTTGGCTTGGACGGTCGCGGGCGGCGGCGGAGCGATCGGAGACAGCCTGACGAGGACTCGGGGGCGGAGAGGCCGAGACCGGTTCTGCAGCAGTGACCTTGTCGTCGATGGGGATGCCACTGCCGTCACGACGCGGGCGCAGAGGGAGCTCCTCTTCAGCTACCTCTTTGCCCTGGCCGTTTTTTGACTGGCTGTCGCTGTTCTTGTTGTTCTCCTTGTCGTCGTCCTCGGGAAATTCACCGGCCATGTGTTCGACCGTCTTTTCGGGCTTGCTGTCCTTGGCATGGACGTCCTTGTCCTTGGCGTTCTTGTCCTTTACAGGCTCCTCCTTGTCGGCATTCTTGGAGGACGTGTCAGACGCCACAGATCCGGCAGATGCAGCGGCAGCACCAGCTGCCGTGCCGGTCACAGCACCAATAATAGCGGCCCAGCCCGACTTGCGGAGGGGCGCCGTGCTAGTTCGCTTGGCGTTGGGGAAGCGAGACTGGGTGACCGGGACAGGCGATCCGTCCGACTTTTCTGTAGGCTTGGCCTCGCTCGCCTTGTCGACGGAGTCTGCCTTTACCTCTCTGTCCTTGGGCCCTGCGTAGGTGGGCGGCGGCGGCGGCTTCGGCGGAGCAACGTCGTCGTCAAAGTCGTCGGGGGGGCCGACGGTGATAATTTCGGGCTCGACAGTGACAATGTTGGCGTCCATGTCGACAGGATCAGTCGTCGGCTTCGTCCCGCCCGTCCCGCCGGTCACGCCGGACACACCGCGGCTTCGGTTCTTGCGCGCCTCCTCTTCTTCCACGTGCTCGGCGGCACGCTCGAGTCTCTGGACCTGCTTCTCGGGCGTCGGCGACGGCACAGGGGTGGGCATGACGAGGTTGAGCAGCGGGCGTTCGCGCTCGCAGGACGGGTCGCGCGAGATAAAGACAGGCATGGTCATGGACCGACCGCGGCTGCGGCTGCGGTTGCGACCATGTTCGTCACCCGCCTCGTACGAGCCGTGCACGGCCTTGCGGCGGTCCTCGGCGCGCAAGAGGTACTTGTCGAGCTCGTTGGGGTAGATTTTGTTGTCGATGCGGACGTCGGCGTTGGGCTCGGCGTACTTGTTCTTCTCGTGGCGGCGCTCCATCTCGGGCGGCGTGACAATGCGGACGACGGGCGGCTCGTCGCTGTTGCTGCGGGACACGGTGCCGCGCGAGTCCTTGCCCGAGCCGCGGCTGCTTGAGCGGTCGTTGGCATCGCCACGCTTGTCGTTCTTGTCGTTCTTGTCGTTCTTCTCATGCTGGTCATGCTCGTCGTTCTCGTCACGCCGGTCGTGCTGGTCGTCGACGTTGTCCCGGCTGTAGCTGTTGCTGCGGCTCATGTACTTTTCAACGACCGACTCCGACGGCGAGGCACTGCGCGAACGGATCTCGTCCTCGGCAATGCGGCGGGCCATGGCCGTCTTGCGGTAGTAGCGGTCGGCGTCGTCGCGGATGTCGCGGTCGGTGCGCCCTTGTTCGTCGCGCGGTTCGCGGCGGCCGGACGTGCGGCCGCGCGGCGGCTCGTTCCTGTACTGGCTCTCCTCGCGCATGATGACGGCCTCGGCGGCGGTCACGGCGGACTTGTCAATGGGCGCGGTGGAGTGGTTGGTGCGTTCCAGGATAGCCTCGGCCTCGTGCTGCTCGCGCTCGAGGCTGCCGCTGCGGCGCTGCTGCTCGCGGTCGCGCCGGGCGCGTTCGATGGTACGCTCGCTCTCGCGGCGCACAAGAGACTCGCGCTGGCGCTCAAGCTCGCGCTCGCGGTCCCGCTGCGCACCGGGCGATATGGCGGGCGTGGATGGGCCAGGTGGGCCAGCCGCTGCCGACGAAGGTGGCGGCGCCTTCTTGACGGGCGTGGCCGGCTCATCCATGGTGGCCCATGACGGGCCGTCGTCGACCGTGACGATGGCGGGCGTCAGGGGGCGCATGACGGGTGTGTTGCCGTACACCGGCGTGGGGAAGGCGTCGGTGGCCACCTGGTACTGGAACGGGTCGACGGCCGGCTTGTCGTCGGCCTTGGTTACCGCGCGCTCTCGCTCGTCGAGCTTGTGCTTCTCGGCAAGCAGGGCATATGCGGCGGTGGACATGGACATGGCAGACGCGCCCGCGACAGTCTTGTCATCGGATCGCGGCGCTGCGCCAGCCGCCTCTCGCTTCAGGCGCTCAGCCTCATCCTGGGCGCGGTAGTAGCGTTCGGCACGGCGGAAGCGCTCGTCCAACGTTTCCTTGCGGCGTTCAGCACGGCGGTCGGAACGACGGGCGTCGTAGTCGTCGTTTTTGCGATCGCGGTCGCGGTCATCACGACGGTCGTCACGACGGTCGTCACGACGGCCATCCGTGCGGTCTTTGCGGTCATCCTTGCGGACGATATCGGCCAAGACGGCGCCGGCAACGCCGCCGACAGCCGCCGCCACCAGAGGCGAGGAAGTGCGCTCCTGCTTGCGTTCATTGTAACGAGAGTCGGTTGTGCTGGGCTCGTCTTGGCGACGGTCATAACGATCACGGCGGTCACGGTCACGGTCACGGTCACGGCGGTCCCCCGCACGTTCGCGTTCGCGTTCGCGTTCGCGCTCACGTTCATATTCCCGCTCCCGCTCCCGCTCCTTCTCCCGCTGGCGATTCCGGACCTCCGACGCCATAATGACGTCGTCGTCAAACACGCGGCTGCTAACCGGGGTCACGGGTTTGGGCGTTTTGATTTCCACGGGGCCTTGGGGCTGCTGCTGACGACGGCGCGGCGTCGTGGGCGCTGCGTTGGCGGTGCGCGAGTCGGACTGGCTGGGCGGCCGGATGTCCGAGGCAATCACGCCTGCCGGGCCCGAAGGGACAGGACGCCCGTCAAACCCGCAGGGGCTGGTGACGTGGCCGCGCAGCGAGTTTTGCGGGCCAAAGAGGGACGGGTCGACAATGGAGGACTGGCGACGGCCCGCGTGCGAAGGGTGAGCATTGTTGTAGCGGTTGTTAGCGGGCGACGAGTGCGCCGAGTCACGTCCGGCGCCATGACGGCCAGAAACAGCAGCTCCGGCGAGAGCGGCACCAGCTGCCACGCCCAGAGCAGCAGCGCCTACACCCCCTGCCGTGTGCGAGGCCGTACGCGACGCTGACGGGCGGGTCTGCTTTGGCGGCAGGTGGTGGCTCGAGCCATAGGCCAGGCCCGAGTCGCCGTCGCTGCTGCTCGCAAAGGAGTCGTCGTCCGAGTGGCCGTCTTCGGAGGCAGACTCCCACTCGGAGTCGTCGGGCGACGACGGGAGGTCATCATGACCGTGGTTGGGGCGCGAAAGGGCGGCGCCGCGCCCACCGCTAAAGTCGTCGCGGCTGCCACCCTGGGAATGGCGCTGCTGGCGGAAGCGCTGCAAGGCGACCGAGGCGGCGGCCATCTGGGTGGGGGCGCGGCGGCCGACACGGGCCAGGTCGCGGCGGTTCTCGTCGTGGGCCAGCTGGGCAAGCTCGCGGCCGATGCGCAGAATCTCTTCGTCGTCGCCGGTACCGCGTTGCGGACGCGACGAAGACGAGTGGTCGCCGCCATAGGCCAGATGGTCCGTCACAGCCGCAACACCAGCAACACCGGCAGCAGCAGCAGCAGCAGCAGCAGCCACGCCAGCTCCATGGCTGTGGCCATGGTTTTGGCTAGGCCACTGGTCGTAGCTTTGACTGTGGCTGGCGGCGGCGACCGTCTCGTCACGCGCCAGCTGCACGCGCGAGCGCGAAATGTAACCGCGGCCGTAAAAGAGGCCGTCGTCGACGGACGAGGAGCTGGAGTTGCTGAAACGCAAGAATCGCTTCTTCGTCTTGCGGTGGCCCGACGACGCCCGGTGCTGCTGGCGCGTCGGCGACCGTCCAGACGTGCTGCTGCGTCGCCGGAAAAAGGATATGATGCCGTTAACGTGCGACCGCGGCGCCGAGATGTTGAGCAGCGAGTCGGACGTCGACGACGTCGACGAGCCGCCCGACGATGCCGAACCTACGCGGTGGTGGCGGCGCGGATCACGGTCGCGGACGTTGTGCGTGGGTGTGTACGGTTGCTGTTGTTGGCTGTGTTGACTTTGTTGACTGTGTTGACTGTTTTGTTGATACAGATGGGACGCGGCCGCAATGCCTGTGGCTGCGGCGGCGCCCAAACCTATACCGGGTGCTGCACTCGAAATAGGCCCTGTCGGACGGAACGCCGCAGGGTCGACAAAAGTGTTGCTCGTGTCGTAGTAGCTGGCAGCCTCGCCTCGCGAGCGTGAAGGTGAGGCCACATGTGGGATGGTTGTGACGGGTGCCTTTCCGGATGTTGTCGTCGCGGCCGCGGTCGCCGCGTGGTGTGAGGAGCGTGACGAGCGGTGACGGCCGCCCGACCGGGTCGACTCGCCGGCGCGTGAGTAGGTATCTCCGCCGTCTGACGCGCCGTCCGCGGACAAAGACCGGGACCGGCGCCGTTCCTTGCGGCGTCGCCGCGCGCTTTCCGGGCTGCGGCGACGGCCTTCGAGCGGCATGGCGGTGGCTGTCTTGAAACTAAATTCCAGTTCAGGGTCAGGGTGCACCGTCTGCACCGTTTTGCTGGCGCGGACAGCGGCTGCTGCCGTCGAGCGACTGGAATGCAAGACGGGAAGGGAGATTCGGGATGAGTGGGCTAGTCGATCAGTCGGGTATTCTTTCGGGTGGTGAGGAATGGAGAGTTAAAGTGTGTGGTATCGACGACGTCGAAAGTCAAAGCTCGATATCCGATGCTCGATACTCGAGTGCAATCGCAACAAATCGAGTCAGCCTTAACAAAGGTCTGTTATCGTGTAGTCGTATTGGGGGGGTCGACGTGGCGGTGGTGGGAAAGAAGCAAAGTCGGGATGAAAATAATACACCAAAACACCAGCAGACAATAACAAAAGCCTGAGTGCCGATGGGTACAGTGGACGTTTTGCCTGCAACATAAAATTAGGCGGCTTCCTGGCAGTGGGATCAAAGAGGAAAAATCATAACAAACCAAAACAAAAGAAAACGGAACCCACTCTGACTTGCGAAGTACTCCTCCACATGGGTGAGGGAAAACGGGTCAGGCCTCCAGGGTTCCACAATGATGTGGTTCTGGTGTGTGCGGTAGCCGAGAGGCAAAGGCAAAAAGGGCAGAGAGAGCGAGGAAGAGGGTGACGGCAGGAAATCGAGGAAAATCAAAAGAAAAGCGGTGGCTGGGAAATCGAGAGCAGGGGTGGGCGGTCGAGGAAAGAGGGTGTCGTGGGCGCTCGGGGAAGGAGCTGGACAGCTGAGCTGGGCTGGGCCAAGCTGGCTCGCTGGCTGGGGTCAAGCTGGCTCGGCAGGCCTCAATGACGACTCACGGCTCCCGACTCCACACACACTGAAATCAACATACATGATTCGTACGAAATACTGCCGCTGTGTCTCGACAAATCACATGCCTCCACCCGTGTTGACGGCCGATGCCTTTTTGCTACCACTTGCAGGATGGCGTGCATTGCATTTACGAAAGAACAATGGCAAGAAGCGCGGAGGCAATGATGTAGGATCTGGCATATCAGGTACAGGCATTCTTCAACTGCGTTTTGTTCAGAGTTTTTCTCTTCGCAAGCAGATCCAGCACAACTCCAAAATTAGCCAGGGGCGGAAGGATGGAAAGCTGAAGCTACGACGCAAAGCTACCCAGAAAAGAGCTCCAGAAAAGAGGTCCAGAAAGTGCACAGGGCACGCACCCCCGAGGCTGACGAAACAGCCGGGGGTGGTTGGCGGCAGAAACGAAGTTCGGAATGGCGCCTGTCGGCCACTGTCCACTGTAACGTCGAGCCGTAGGGCAGGATTCAATACTATTCGTAAGATAGTTTTTGCGGCTCTGCTACCACGCAAAAGAGAATTTAACGTCCAGGAAAACACATCAACAATGCTACAGACCACGGACACGTCGAGAAACAAACGCGCCAAATTCACCCTAACAACAATACAAAGGCAAAGAGACACGCGCTAGGTCTGGGAACAGCCGCCAAATGGTCACCAAATGCTGTCCAAACTGCCCGTCGTCGGACGACTAGTTCGCTGTTAGTTCACTATTGGTCGTGTTGTGGTGCCTCTTGTTTTGGCCGGCGTCTGGAGTTTGTTTACATTGAAGTGCTTGGAGTGGAGCGACAACACCGCCCCTAGCGCCAAAACAGACGCACTTTCGGCTGGGGTCGATTCCCTTGGATGCTGGAGTGACGCGTGACGTCCAGGTGGGGCCGCCTCACTTTTGTCTCCAAACTGCTTGTTCTCTTTGTCCTGCATTCCCTGTCCAGCAGGTTCGTCCGCGAGGGAGGCTATCAATCTGCCAGAGCCGTTGACGATTGGCATCTTGAAGAGCAGCCTCATCATCATCGCGAAATAGGTGTCACCAATGGTCTGGAATGGTGGGAAGTGACAGACAGAAAGGCGAAATGCAAACTGCAGTTCGTATGATTTTAATTGTTAGAATGGAAGAACGGCATCGAGAGTTATCGAGTTCTCGTATGTTGGTTTATATTAGGCCAGTATTCCAGTATTGATTTTCTTCATTATAAGTGTTATGAATAAAATTAGTAATTGATTTTATAACATGTTCATGACGAGTAAAATAATATTACCTTTTTTTCTTTACAAAAATAAATAAGAATCGAAATTAAAAAGACCTGCGTTTAATTTATTTACGAGAAAACATTTCTTCATAAAAATACTTATCAAAGAGATATTTGGATTTATGTTTTATTTCTATATGTCGTGTCAACTGCGAATCTTCGCGTTGTCACGTATTTGATTTTGACTGTCTAGACACGCATAATATGTGTAGGAATGTAATCTACTGGGGCGAGCAGCTGGTGCCCATCCTTGTTTTGCATGTTCGAGGCCATGCAAAGTGATCCCTATCCCTTCCCTAGATGAACATGAAAAATGCCGTGTGCTCATGTACAATGCACATGATGGTTGCCCTATGCCCTGTGCCCCCTTTCCTTGCGTTGACCCAATCCGATGGCCGTAGATGACGAGAAAAACAATGAACCTAGATGCACCACTCCCCGTTCCATTTTTTGCCTGTTATCTGTTACATATGACCAGAAGCGCGTGAAAGTGAAAAAAAAAAATAAAAAAAAATCGAGAAAAGACTAAAAAGAAAAGGAGTCGAAGGACGGAAACAACGAGTAGTGAAACAAAATCAAGACAGAAACCCCGTTTTGTCTTGGAAACGGCCGTTCGTGAAAACCGAGAAAAGAAAAGCAAATGAAAGTGTGTCGTTCGTACCGACAATTCGAAACAAGAAGTAAAGAAAAGGGGCTTTAGACATGAGACGGAAGAAAAACGTGAAAGCCGTTCTTTACGACCGGTAGTACTGAGAACTGGCCGGCTGCCGGGATATGTTATCTACAGCGAGGTCTTGTCTACCGGTCCATGCTCCGTCGGTAACTTCGCTTGCAGGTAGTTCCACGATGTTAGAGATGGCGGCCTCAAAGGATGCTGCCAGCTGGATTGCGAATACGGCTGGGCACGATAGGACGACGCAGATGATTTGTGTGGCGACGTCGGCGAGAGGGTCTTGCTGGTATCTGAGAGCAGGGTGTGGATTGGCATCGAGCTTTCGAGTGGTGTGCGCGGGTAGCTGCCACTTCTGTTGCTGCTGGCTGTCGAGTACGACGAAGTGCCTGATCCATTGCTAACGTTGCTTGCGCTGCTGGCACTGCTGCTGCTGACCATCATGTGGTTGCTGTGCGGAGCCATGCCGGGGCTGTTGCTTCCAGTATCCGGTCTTGGTCCCGACATTGAGCCAATGGTTGTTGGCGAGTGCGAGTGTCTATTATCGTGGAACATACGTGACAGAGAAGGCAGGCCCATATGGGCGCTGCCACCGCTCTCACTGCGTCGGATTGCCGTCGATTGGCCATGGCTTGGCGGGAGCACCGTTGCGGTATGAGCGTGAGGACTCCGGCTGGCTGGGCGCGACGAGGGCGAGCGGTACGAGTGAGCATCGTGGCTGTGAGCGTCGTCGTTCTTTCGGTGGCTGAGAGGCGTCGGGGAGTGCATCAGTCCAGGCGAGGGCGAGGCCGAGTATTGACAGTCAGAACCAGAGGCAGTGGATCTAATGTGGCGTTTTCCACTGGCGTGGTGGCTGTCGATGTCGCGGGAACTTTCGCTACCGTACTGGGAGCCGTGGTCATTCAATCCCTCGCTGTTACGCTTGATGTGGCGTTCATGTAGGCTGCGGCCGTGGTCAGGGTGGTGTTGCGCTGTGGGAGGAGACGCAAATCTACCGTCGAGCATGGGCGTGTTCGTGGTGCTGAAATCAGCGAGCTTGATCCGCTTGAATGCATTGTTGTCTAAACCAGGGAAAACAGGGCACACGGTGTTAGATATATGTAATCAGAAATGGAGAAAGCAAGCAGGAAAAGTTAAGCAGGCAAGCTATTATAAAACAACAACAGAAAGTATTCTTGGTAGAGGCCAAGGAGAGGGGAAACAGAGCAGACTGCATCCATCTGTGCCTCCTCTCGCAGTAAGACAACAAATAGTATTCCATTTCAAAATAGAATGGGTATTTTTTGCTGAATCAAAATGCTGCGAGAAAACAACCAATCCCTAGCTTTTCTGTTTATTTTTCTGCTTCTCGCTTTTCCTTTTTGGTTCCTTTTCAAGATCGATGCATATCGGTAGCAGGGAAGAAGTAAGACACACCTTGGGTCTGATTGCCGCCATGCTTGGCCTTGAAATCCTGCAGGTACACCATGTACTGCTTGTATTCGTCGGTCTTCTTGTACTCGGCCAAGTCTTGGTTGTACTTGCCCTTGGCGAGTTGAGCTTGCGTCTCAAAGGGCTCACGCTCGGCCGCAGTCAGACCCTGCCAGTTTTCGCCGACATGCTTGGCGATTTCCGTAAACGATAGGTTCTTGCCCTTCAGATCCTCTCTTATTTCTGTCGAAGTGTGTTAGTAACCGCACCTCTTTCGACGAGGACATATATGTGATGGTCAACGCACTGTTCGAAAAGAGTACGTAGGCGGACGGCGGACGTTCTGGTGCGTTCTCGTCTGGCTATTTCTCCTGTTAGTAAGTGGTCACACAATGGATATGGACATGGTATTTTGTGACCATGGATACGCACTTTAGGGTGTCTCCGGTACTTCCGCTTTGCGAGGACACCGGGGACTGCACCACGGCTGTCGAGATTGAAGTTTGAAGGCGCCTCTTGCTTCGTTGTGGAGTCTGTTCTTGATGAGTCTTCTCCGGGCGTGCGAGTGGGTGAAACAAGAGAGACGTCCTGGGCGACACCGCGATAGTTTGCAATCCGCCGTTGTAGTTTCTGGAACAAAGCAATCGTTAGTTGGCCGACGATAGCAGAGCAAACACAGAAAAGTCGTTCTTACCCGGCGGTGGCCAAGCTTGACTCCAAGGGCGTCCCTGTAAGAATGTGAAGATTAGTGCGCTGTCGATACGATAAAGACAGCCAACGGCGAAGGAGAGAAACCATACAGATCGGACTCTGTGATGTCGAGAAGCGTCTCCCAGGAGTCAAAGCCTTGGTCTACAAACGCGTCGTAGTACTGTGTTAATTGGAGCTCTTCAAGCTCGTCTTCTAAGCGTTGTGACATGTTGGCCTCGGCTTTTGCGCCCGCTGCGGTCGTCAATCTTCTATCCAGGTCTCTGTGACCATGGAAAGCGGTAGATTTCGTCCTCAGACGGGGTTGGAAAGAAAAAAAAAAGAGGAAGTAACTGGCGCCGCTCCGAGGATGGGCTACAAAGTCATGGGATGTCAGCAAAGTCCGATCCGCGCACGAAAGATTCAAAGAGCCAAAAGACAAAATAAGGCACACCGGGACGGGCAGGAGAACACAGGAGGAGAGGAAGAATGGAAGGGATTGGAAGGCGATCAAGACGAGAGGTTAGAGAGAACGATGGACGAAGAGGGTGAGGGAGGGGGGCAGATTCTGAATATAGGGCTCTAGATATTCCAGAGCCAAGAACGACAGCAATGCCAGTCCTCACATAGCCAGTTGCCGCCGGGGAATATTTAGCGGGCACAAATAGATCCGTGGAAGCGATTGAATGGGAGTTTCGATAGAGTTCGACTTGACTGTGTCTGCGTGTGGCTGTTGACATTGACCAGATGGTAATGGTGAGCAATAGAGGTTGGAAATTGAGGTAGTGTGAACGCTGGGGGTAGAATAAAGTAAAGTAATCTACTTCACCGAAGCAGGACGGTGGAGCGTGCAGATATTGGAAAAACAGAAAGCGAGCAAGGCAGAAGTGGACGGAAATGTCGAGAAGATGGAGCACGACACACTGAAAACGAAAGAAACTCGTCTCTCCCAATGGAGGTCAAGGAAATGGTACCAGCTCGGGAGGATACCGGCGTCTTGGGATGAAGCGTTCTGCTCTAAATTTTGACAAAGAACGGCCCTTGCTTGACCAAACAAAAGGGTGGAAGCAACGAGCCATGATGCCGACGTCCCGAGATGCATGCAATGGTGGCCGCCCCGGGCGAGGACTGGAGTGGAGGCAGAAACAGAGTACGATGAAAACGGCGAACTTACGTTTGGAAATCAACTTCGCTTGGGAGCCGCCCCTGGGATGTGTGAAGGCACGGAGAAGAAGATTGGCGACGTTGTGCGCTTGCTGGTGAGGAGGAGCAGTGCTGGATGCCTCTCTAGGCCAGGGATATGGAGTTGGCGATGTTGGTAGAAGCGGGCGTGTGGAAAGCAGAGCGTTGCGCAGTCGGCTTAATGTGAGCCAGAGATGAGCGAGTGGTGAAGTAGAGAAGGGTGACGATCAGAGGGAGCGAGAAAGAGAATGTCGTCGACCGAGAAATGGCTCAGCGTGTCGTTAAAGTACAGAAATCGATTTCCGCCAAAGATGTAGAAGAATGAATGTGTTAGAAAATGGCACGAGAATGACTGGTAAGGAACGAGAGACCTTTTTGGGGCCAGCCAGCGGAGGAAGTAGAAAGGTGGTGGTGGATGGTGTAAGTGGCAGGAGCGGGTCAGAGCAGAGCGAATTTAGGAAAGAGGCAGCACAACACTATGGGGCCCTCCTTCCCGCTATTGACGTTGTCCAGAGAATGCACACCACCATGGTGGACCGAACAGGGAGCCCCTCTTACTGTCATACGCGGCTAACAGGGACACAACAATGGGACAAACTCAATAGCACCAGGTCAATACGTGAAATTTTCCACAATATAAGAATGCGAGGACTGGCTACGGCGAGGTCTGTAAAATGCAAAGTTGCGAGAGGACAGACCAGAAAGCGCACATCGAAAAGCTCCAAAGCAGGAAAGAGCAGACGGACGAGGCCTGTCCTGTTCTTTCTTGATCTAAGCATTTTGCCCAAAGATGAAGGAGAGGGAAGGAACACGACAGTCGTCCCGAAGGCAGGAGCAATGACCAAGGGCCGAGAGACTGACGAGGCAAGCAGAAACAAAACTAGCCTCACCCTTGACGTGACGGATCGTCGAGTTGGGACGGCGAGCGTGGGCCACAAATGGGAGAGGCAGTCTGGACGCTGATGCTTTATGCTCGCCAGGAACAGGGACAAAGCCACTGTTGTGAGCAAGACGGTCGGATGCGGAGTGCAGCAAGGGAAGGAACGACCGTGACATTGTGGATACTAAAAGGTACTTCTTTCCTTGAGAGAGTACATCGTACATATCCCAGAACGGGAAACAAAGTGTGAGAAAAAAGACCAGAATGGAAGCTGCAGCATCTCTACAGAGTACGTCGTAACGTGTTTGGCAGTTTGGTCTCGTCTTTTCTCGTTCACAGAGGGCGCCAAGAACAAGAAAGAAACAAAAGGCAGGGGGGAAGCAATGTGTAACAAGTTCTCTGTACTCCACAGAGCGATCCTGTCTAACGGCACGACAGAACAGGCCTGGTGAAATCTCGGCAAGAGAAGAGAAGAACGAAAACAGCAAGCGACACAAATATTCCGTACAGAAGTACAGAATGGGAAAAAGCATAATCGAGCAAAAGACATGGAGACTTGGGACCCAAGAAACACCAGGGGGGAGGGGTGAGGCCTGCAAGTGTGGGAGCTTCAGAAAAAAACGTACGATTTCGAAGCGTCGATGGGGTCAGATCAGCCAATCAAAACGCACTAGACGGGGGTTTTGCGCCGCAAGTGTAGTCGCGAAAAAGAGAAACAGGAGCCTGGGGATGGAAAAGAAGGATCGAGGCCGATCACCATTACTTTATCGTCTCAGTTTTGCAGGTGCCTCTCAGCATTTTGTGCCTCGTTGCGAGTTCGGGGAGCAAGGCTAGAGTCTACGATGGAGAAGAGCGATGCTGTTGTATATTATTGCAGGGCCAGCACAACTGCCGGAATTCGGGGCAATGGTAACAAAAGAGACACACGCCAGGGCAGCCAGGGCAGAGGCAGGGTGAGTGGGTAACAAGCAAGCTGGTGAGATTCATAGTCGACGCCGGACTGGTCAAAGAAAGAGGCGGAGAAACAGCCCGAGCCAACGATTTTGCATTGGAATCGAAAAGACGTCAATGGCCGACGCGCTGGAAGGTGATTTGGGTGCCGACTGCAATTGGCTGGATGGGCGGCGACAAGTTGACACCTAACGGATTGTTTCAACAGGCAGGCAGCCACAAGTGTAACTGTCCATTAAATCGACATTGGCAAGACAGGCGAACGACGTATCGTGCAGCATGTCAGACTGACTCGTGTAGGTTGTCAAAATTGTGGACGGACACAAGCTCGGCTGTAAATTGATACACTTGTATTGGATTTATCATATATTTTCTTTAGGCTCGCCCTCCGCGAAAGAGAACAGGTTTAGCAAGTAACTTGCGAAGCATTCCTGGGAAAAATAGAAAAATAGTTGAACCAAAGGCACGACGTCGAAAGGTAGTAGTCCTCATGTCACCAGCTGAAGATTTCCAACTCCAAGGGCAGCAGAGCAAAAAGTACACTTATGACATGATGGCTGGCCTTTTTTTGCAGCCATGGACGTTAACCATCATCTGGAACAAAATGACAGGGGGGAGGGGTGTATCTTCATCCGGCACAGTGTGGTGGGAGGTGGCACGAAAAGTACAAAATCCCATGTCTGGAGATGAGAATTGCAGGAAAATGCCACGCCTTGGCAGTTGGAAAACATGCGATTCTGCCGAGAATCCGACCTGAGTACGGATTGCACCGTACACAGGGGAAGAGGAAAAACTGGACGGGGGGCCAGGCCCGGCGATCTCGGTATGCATCTCGCGAGACGTTTCCGAATCACTCTCCCACTTCGTTCGGGATGTATAGCGTATATGTGTGGACCATACAAAAAGTACTTGCACCCGTACGAAAAGATGAACACGCTCTTTACTCTGTACGTGTCTTTTCCCGTCTTTTCCTGCCCTTTCTTCGCTTCTGTGGTTTTGGCGTTGGTGCTGTTAAATTCCATTGATTTATTTTTCGTATTAACTTTCCGTTTTTCGCAAAAAAAAACGGAAAAGAAAGAAAGAAAGTCCCTGTCGCGCGTGGATGAACCACTCTGCAGAAATCGTACGATTTGGGCTCAGGCATGTTTCCCCCTTTCCTCATCGTGGCCCACCCCCACTTCCCTTTTCGTATTCATACGCCCCCTAAAGCCAGGCACAATAAACTTGCTGGCTGGTTGTCCTTAATTACACGCCCCCTTGCTATCCCATCGTCCTGGCTTAATACCAGGCCTTATTTGCTTTTTCTTCCAGGGGTGCCTGTGCACCAGACATGGAAGAAATAAATAGCATACGAAAGAGGCTTCAGCGAAATGCGTACGCGTGCTTTTATTGTGCCGTTGACCCTGTGCGCTAGGGCAGGAGCGAACGGCATGCATCTAGGCGACATTGGCTTCTCGATCTCGTGGAATCTTACTTGATCTCGGTTGCAAATCACAGGATGAACGGCAAGGACAGTAAGTAGTATGTCGGTGGCCCTGCCTCCTTCATGACTGCTGCTCTGTACTCCTTATGACTCTGTTCGGCGCATCGAACACAGATAAAGTACACTTTGTGACATGTGTACGCCGTACTAAGGAGGCTCGTCTTGGTGACTGTCAAGCTTTCCCGGCCTTTAAACAAGGTTTCCCCCCTTCGCCATATTGGCTTCAAGCTTTTCTCACGGGTGTAACTTTGTCAATTTGTGGCCCAGCCTGCCTTGCTTCGTGGCCCCGCCACCCTCGTCATATTTCATATTTCGACTTCATGTTCCGAATATTTCATATCGAGATATCCTCTCCCAGTTTCGGTTGTTGATATGGGGCTTTCCATCCTTCATGGGGCACGTACTCTTATACACACTGCTTTCCCGGCGTTTCCCATGCTTCTGATGCATCCCTCGCGGTGGTAGAATTTCGTCAGCGTTTCTTTTCATTCTTCGACGTGTACATCACGAGGTATTTCAGCCGTGTCAATTGCACCGTGCAAGTAGGTCTGCACACTATATCGTTCTGTGGACTCCAACGGGCTTGCCGTACAAAAGTGTCCAGCCAATCATATAGCTAGGCCTTCTGACAGCAATATTCCAACATTGGCGGGTGAACATCAAAATATCAAGTTGAAGATCGCCTCTTCGCGTCCACCACGGAAGAGGAAGACATATGACGGAACACGGGCATACAGAACAGACAATAGTTGCTCAACACCGGCAGCCGCAGATAGAAGGAGAAAGAGAAAGCGAATAACGCCCTGCGCCATGGCCACCGACGACGCCGACAAGGCGGCCGACGGCCAGCAGCAGCAAGAGCACAATGCTGATCAACAGCACGCTCGCCTGGCAGCAGATGCCGCTCCATCCACAACATCATCGTCGCTGCCGCCCGACGACCAACCTCCTACCTCAGTGGCTGCGCAAAGGGCGGGCCTAGCACAGGTCAGCTGATTCCATGCCCTCTTCCTCCCATATGCCTTTTGTAACCCACTTGCACTTTGCTTCCTCAATTTCATTGCTTGTTTTTTTCCATCTTTGTCTCTTCACTACCTCTGTGCTGTGTTGACTCGTCTTGCCTATGTCGTCACCCTGATACCCTCGCATCTGCCCCGGAATCCTGCTTCGCTTCCAGATGCCCATGGTTATTACGTGTCCAATGCCCTGTCCCCCTCCCTCGCAACTTTCTCCATCAACTCCAATAAGCTCTTTGTTTTATTACGTTACCCTGTCCGTGCTTCTTATGTTGCCAGTTGAGCCCTACCGGCAGCCTTTCTACCTTCCCTTTCCTATGCCACCGAGCCTTGGTATCTCAAACTCATCTTACCTCTACATTGACTAATTTCTGCTGTTCCTTGCAGGCCCTAGAAGAACTGTCCAGGTAAGGAAAATACGCTTCAGAGTGGTTCGATTTTGGGACGTTTCTACTCATTTTTGTTCTGAATGGTGACCCTCTCCAAAAGTACCTGCTCTACACTTGCATTTTTGTCGTCCATTGCATTGAATTCCCTCATTCCTGCCTTTGACCCTTTACGCCCCCGTCAACCGATCTAGCTCCTTGGGCGAAGACACCCAAAGCTCTCACGAGCCGTCCTCCGCCTTCGAGGGTCCTTTTGCAAGGCCGAATTCCTCGAGTTTTGCGTGTTTTGCGTGCTTTGCGTGTTTTGCGAGTCTCGTGCCAGGGACATTTTTGCTTTCGGCCGTTTTCACAATCCCAATGGAGAATCTCCAAGGTACCTTTTTGACAACCCCACGTCATATTGCCAGTGCGTCTTTTTTCCCCAGGATCCGAACAGCAATCCCGTGACCCGCTTCGAGGACCATCATCCAAGGGTCTGGTGTCATGATGGGGCCATCACCTCGATTCGCTCCAAGAACTACTTTGCGGATCCTACCCCGTTTGTGCCAATGTTTTTCTATTGTTCTTGACGTTCCTCAAAAGTCGACCCATGTCCTTGGGCCCGGTCATGGACCTATCTCTCGCATGTGCTAAAGTGGCAAACGAGGCGTAGCCAAGACCTCGAAGCAGGAACCAGCTTCTGCCACATTTTGGGTCGCTCTGACAGGGGCCGCGGCAGCCTTTTGATCATCTTTTGGCTGCGCAAGATATTTCGGGTTCAGACCGTTTGCATCTGGGCAAGCAAGTGGCGGCCATGCTTGGTCGTGCCCGTTGGAGCTCATATTAGCTCGAGGGATGGGGCATCGAACCCACGACCAAGAGAAGGTAAACACGTGGAGAGGAGAAATGCAAGAGACAGAAACTAACATGATGCACACTATAGAGGAGAACGAGCCGCTGACAAGCTCGAGCGTGAGCTCCAAGCCTTCGAGGCCAAGCTAGAAGAGCTACTGTCGTCCATGGGCATGTCCGAAGAGGACCTGGACGCGACTAGGGACGACGAGCAAGAACAAGGTAGAGAGGCAGCCGGAGGGCGAGACACTGCATCACAAGAGGGCAAGAAATAATCGGGTTGAGCAAACTGGAGAGTATTGAGAGACACAGGACAGGTCTACATGTTTGATCTTGGTGGCTCTCGCCGGGTTGCTTTTATTAACACGCATAGATTTGGATTGGATCGGGCATCATTGATACACGTGGCACATAATTTTTTTTACATCAACACGGACCGTAGAGTGAGTGGTTTGCAGGAAGCTCTTTGGGTGCCTTCCGCTTAACTTGTCCCCTCGAAATGCAATGGTTCACACGTATGGCTACGTTTCTTTCCATACATTTGTAACGATTCGCGTAGTATACAATCAAAACAGTGAAATAAATTTGAAAAACCATCGCGGGGCCAATGGCTGTTTGGCACATATTATACGTCGTAGAGAGGAAATAAAACAAAGAGGACATAACATGAGATACGGGACGCAGAGATTTAAATCTCAACAGCATGAAAAACGTCAAGAAATAAAAAAGACAAACAATATCGTAAACGCCAAAATATGATGCGATCATGTCTCGCTTCCCTTAAGTCTCCAGAGGGTAGAGTAGATAATAAAGACGTTAGTCTTTATTTCCTCGTTCCCCTTCTCTCCCCTCCACATGATGGAAAGAAGCACGCTTCAACAAGAAATATGAAGCCCAGAAATACCGATAGCCCAGAATCAACGTGAGTATGTCACCCAACGGTCACCAAGGGGTGCCAGATGAAAAGCCATAAAAGACAAAAATAGAAAGATGAGTTGTTTGTAGAGAACACGCCGTGGAGAGGTAGTTTAGTTGAGAACATCGTAGGTAAACCGTTGCATGTAAACTCCTCTCGGTGGAAGCTTATTAGCTACTATGCGCGCGAAGAAGCTGCCAAAAAAAAGGAAATGTTAGCATATCTCGGTTGTTTTGAGAACACAAGACAGAGGGAGGAAGAAGGGAAACAAGTGGAGGTCCTTGTCCCTATCATCTGCTTGCCCTTGAAATGGTCTCGGCTTGGCTTTGTGCATCCTTACCGTGCTGCGCATTGTGCACGTCCGCGGCGGCGGTCGCGGCGGCGGCGGCCATGGAGGCATTTGCGGCATCGGTCACGGTGGTGGCGCGGTTGATTTGCGGGCGGAGGGACAGAGCCGAGGGCGAAGCCGCGGTGCTGGGGGACGACGCAGCGGTGGCTGCATTGGAGCCGCCCTTCTGGTCGGACTGCCGCGCCAGCTCGCGCTCGCGGTTTTTCTCGAGCAGCGCGCCACCGAGGGTCGCGCACTTGAGGATGGTCTCAATGAGATGGTTCTGCTGCAGCGGCTTGGACAGATACTCGTCCATCTGGGCTTGAATACACTTCTCGCGATCGCCCATCATAGCATGGGCGGTGAGGGCGATGATGGGTGTGCGCTGGGTGCCGCCCAGGTTGCGTTCGTATTCGCGAATCTTGCTGGTGGCCTCGAAGCCGCCCATGATGGGCATCTGCACGTCCATCAGGATGACGTCAAAGTTGCGGCGCTTGACGGCCTCCACAGCCTCCTCGCCGTTGCCGACGACGGTGACTACGTGGTGGTACTTCTCCAGGATCTTGACCGCAAGGCGTTGGTTGACCGTGTTGTCCTCGGCCAGTAGAATCTCAAACGACTTGGTGTTGTCCGCCAGCGAAGGCGTGGCACGGTTCTCCAGGGCCGGCACCATACCGTTGGCAAGGTCGATGAGCTTGCAGGGCGTGGTCATGAACGACGTCACGCCCAGCTCAATGCAAGACTTGAGGCTGACGTGCACGACGGGCGCGAGGAGCACGATGGGCACATATTCAAACTTATTGATGGATTGCAGCCGGCGCGCAGTCTCGAGCGAGTCGACAACGATAATGACGTCCTTGGGTGGCGAGCCCTTGGCGCGCGCTTGGGCCAGCGAAGGATTGCGCTCCGAGTCGACAACAACGGGCACGAGGCCCAGCGTGCCGAGCATGGTGACGATTTGGTCGCTGACAGGGTTGAGGCCCTTGTCAATGAACAGGACTTGGTGGCCACGGTACGGGTTGAGCTGCTTGTGGATGAGCGCGACATCGTTCTCGGCGAGGCGCACCACGCACGTGAAGTAGAACGAGCTGCCCTTGCCGTACTCGCTCTTGACCCACACGTCACCGCCCATGAGGCTGACGAGGCGCTTGGAAATGGAAAGACCAAGACCCGTGCCGCCGAACTTGCGCGTCATGGAGCCGTCGGCCTGCTGGAATGTGTCGAAAATCAGGTCCAGCTTGTCGGCCGGGATGCCGATGCCCGTGTCGGAGACGACAAACTCAATGGCGTATTCATCGACGTTGCAGTGGACCTGGCTGGCCTTGCGGATGGTGAGGCTGACCTCGCCGCGTTCGGTGAACTTGATGGCGTTGCCGACCAGGTTCAGGATGATCTGGCGGAGACGGAAGGAGTCGCCAACAACATGGTCGGGCACAGAGCTGTCGACGTGGAAGGTGAGGTCCAGGAACTTCTCGTTGGCCTTGACGGCGAGCGTCTTGAGGGCGTTGAAGACGGTGCCGCGCAGCGTGTACGGGATCTCCTCAATGACCATACGGCGGGCCTCGATCTTGGACAGATCCAGAATGTCGTCAATGATCGTCAGTAAGCTGTTTGCGAGGTTGTTGACAATGTTGAGCATTTCGCGCTGGTACTGCGTCAGGTCGGTGTCGAGCGTCAGCTGCGTCATGCCGATAATGCCGTTCATGGGCGTTCGGATCTCGTGGGACATGTTGGCGAGGAACTCGGACTTGGTCTTGTTGGCCAGCTCGGCCGCCTCACGAGCCTGCGTGTTGCGCTGAATACCATCGCGGAGGTTGTACACCATCTGGTTGATCTTCTTCTTCAGCTCGTCCATTTCGCCCGACGCCTCCACCTCGACGAGTTTCGTAAAGTCGCCGTCTGTCGCGGCGTTGGTGATGTCGCCAAAGGCGCGCACCTGGGCCGTCAAGTTGTTGGCCATGGTATTGACGTCCGTCGTGATTTCCTTCCAGCGGCCCTTGAGGCCAGCAATGTCGGCTTGACCACCCATGATGCCGTCCACACCCACGTCCTTGGCCACGCGCTGCACTTCGTTGCAGAAGACGGACAGCCGGTCAACCATGTTGTTGATGGTTTCCTTGAGAATCAAGATCTCGCCCTTGGCCTCGACGTCGATCTTGCGCGACATGTCACCGTTGGCGATGGCCTGCGTCACGTTGGAGATGTTGCGCACCTGGGACGTCAGGTTGGACGCCATGGTGTTCACGTTTTCGGTGAGGTCCTTCCACTTGCCCTCCACGTTGTCGACTTGCGCCTGGCCGCCGAGCGTACCGTCCGTGCCGACTTCACGCGCCACCTTGCTGACCTCAAAGGCGAACGTGCCAAGACGGTCCACCATGGTGTTGATGGTGTTTTTGAGATCCAGGATTTCGCCGCGCACCTCTACGCCGATCTTCTTCGTGAGGTCGCCCTTGGCTACGGCTGTTGTGACCTTGGCGATCTCGCGCACTTGCGTTGTCAGGTTCATAGCCATGCCGTTGACATTCTCGGTCAGATCGCGCCACGTGCCCTCGACATCGTGGACCGTGGCCTGGCCGCCAAGGCGACCTTCGGTACCGACCTCGCGGGCGATCTTGGTGACCTCGCGCGCGAATTGCTGGAGCTGGTCGACCATGGAGTTGATCGTTTTCTTGAGCTCGAAGATCTCGCCGCGGCACTCGGCCTGCACCTTCTGTGTCAGGTCACCCTTGGCGACCGCTGTTGTGACTTTGATAATATCACGCACTTGAGTAGTCAAGTTGTTTGCCATGGCGTTGACGTTCACGGTAAGTTCGTTCCACATGCCCTTCACACCCTCCACGTCTGCTTGGCCTCCGAGCATGCCCTCGGTACCGACATCGCGGGCGACGCGGGTCACTTCGGACGCGAACGTCCGGAGCTGGTCCACCATGGTGTTGATGGTTTGTTGCAGTTGCAGGATCTCACCGCGCGCCGGGCGCTCAATCTTCTTGGTGAGATCACCGAACGCGACAGCCGTGGTCACAGACGCGATTTCGCGCACCTGGTCCGTCAGGTTCTGGGCCATGATGTTGACGTTGTCGGTCAGCTCCTTCCAGGTGCCGTCGACGCCCTGGATTTGAGCCTGGCCGCCGAGTATACCTTCGGTACCGACTTCACGGGCCACACGGGACACTTCGCTGGAGAAGACTTGCAGCTGGTCCATCATCGTGTTGATGGTGCGCTTGAACGTGGTGATTTCGGGGTCCATTTCCACGGTGTTCATGCGGACCTTCTTGGACAGGTCACCGCGCGCGACGGCCGTGACGATCTCACCGATCTCGCGGAGCGCCTTCTGGAAGGCCTCGTTGGCCTTCTGGTGCTTCCACAACTCCCGCTCCAACGTGGCGACGCGTTGCTGCTCAAGAAGCTGCAGCGTGCGCTCCTGCAGGCTCTTCTGCTCCAAAAGCTGTGCATTGACGCCAGCCAGCTCCTGGCGCTGCGTGTCGAGAAGCTTGGATTGGTCGTCGACGTGCTCGCGCAGACCAGCGAGGGCCTCATCCGTCAGTGGTCCAGTGGGCGGGGTTAGGTGATCTTCGCTGAAGCTGCCGTGCGCGTTGTCCGAGGCCGACATCGTCTGGGCCATGCGCGACGCAACAGACGCGACCGGGGGCATGGTCGTCGCAATGGTGCTGCTGCTCTTGCTGGCAGTAGCGCTTGCCGTAGACGAAGGCGTATGGCCGTCATCGCCAAAAAGCGAATCGGCCGCCTCGTTGGGCGTGTCGGGGAACGCAGAGCTAGAAAAGACCGATCCGTTTGTATTGCAGATGGCCCGGGACTCGAGCTCGTGTATCCGGCGAATCAAAGACGATATCTCTGATTCCAGGTACTTTTTCGCAGCCGAGTCCTGGCCGGGAAGGTGGACATGGTCGGCCGCGTTGCGCGATGCAACGATAGTCGCAGTGGAATCGGTCGAGACGGCAAGCGGCGTGATGAAGGCCGCGACAGCCGCATAGAGAGTATCGTCGTCGGCCATCGTCGTCGGTACAACAGTCATTGTTGAAAGAGGGTAAACGGAGGTGAAAAGGGTCGACAGCTGACGCGCTACGTGTGGAAGCTTTCGCCTTGACTCGGGAAACACGACCCGACGGAGAAAGCAAGTGTCTTGGAGCGCGTCAAAGTAGCACTTTTGTGACGTTTGTGGTTCTCAATACGTGTCCGTTTGTTGCGTGGCGATCCCCCAAACGGGGAGAAGTCGCCCTTTGGGTCGTGACAACGCGCTCAATGTTTCGTGGTTGCGATGAGCGGAAAAGGCGGCAAAAAGGGTCGCTTTGGGGCGAGAGGAGAGAGGCAACAAAAAGGGGACTCTTAACCTGACAGCGGATGCTGCTTGACGTATTTCGTCGCCAGTTGGTGATGGTGATGATACAGTTCGATCCGCTGTAAAGGAAACTCGATAAGAAACTTAAAAAGGAGCCGGGAAAGGGGAGAAAGGACAAGAGGGGGATGGATACGAGAAATGAAAATGCTGAATGTGAGAAAAAAAAGGTAGGGATTGCTGAGAACGAGGCGAGCAGGTTGGTGGAGAGGGATGGTGGGAAAAAGGCAGATGGTAGCGGGAGACTTGCGTGTCACCAGCAATTCTTAGGCTCGTTACCGCTGCCAAGGCTGGATGGACGTCAATACAGGTAGCTAAATGAGATGGGAAAGTGTATTTACGACGAAGTAACTCGTACAAAGTAGGGGGCGGTCAACGAAGAAGGGACCAGGAGAGGCGCCAGAATGGCGAAAAGAGGGGGCACTGGTCGATAGGGTGGGGGAAAGTGGATGCTTTCAGGGTTGATGGGCAGAGGCTCCAGGGGGAGGGAAAAGGGATTGGTAGGGAGAGACGGTGGAAGCTGGCGGCAGATAGTGGGAGCCGTCGGGAGAGCCAGTGGCGATGGGCAAGAAGAACAGGGCCTCAGGACTAAAGTAGGTCTCGTCAGGCGTGTCACGTAACCAAGGGAAGGCTGAGAGGCCGCCTCGCATACGCTACCTACCTCGTCCATTCGCTATTTAACACAGGCCGTATGTGTCGCTAGTAATAAGTCTTCTTGCGTGTGACAAGGCCGGAGGCTGCTTCGACGCTCGCTGAGGATACAGGAGAAAAGAAGGGCGAACAAGTTGTGTTCTAGATCTGTGTGCGACACAACAGTTTCATTGGAATCTGAAGACCCGGAAAGGAGCCAGGCGATTGAAGGCGATAGTGATCGCCGGGAGCATGTTACGCCAGGGAGACAGAGCCTCTGAAGGGTAGACGGACTCCAAGTCGCACTCGAGATTAGGGGATTCTGGTGAGAAACGGCACCGTTGCAGCTGGGAGGTGCCACAGAGAAAACAAGGGGCTGTCGTGTTGGGTGGAGAAGAAGGAGACGGGTTGATGGCCCCAAGAGTGGGCTTCTTGAGGGGAACGTGACTGTGGATAGATTGAAAAGAACGGCGGCGGAAATACGGCGTGCGACTTGTGCAGACCGTTTTGTTGCAATAGTGACGGCTTGTTCGGTGGGCGCGCAGAGCCCTGCCCTCTTGTTCTCCGTCCTTGGCGACGGCTTGTGTTTTTTGAGGAATGGAAAAAGTGTCATCACGGCGCTGAAGAGGAAAAAGTAAGAACCGCCGAGGAAGCGAACCAAGTCCCGCGCATCTGGTTTTGAGGGCAAGAGCAGCTCTCGACTCGACGGGAAGGTGCTGCCCGAGACCTGATCTCGGAGGGGAAGGAAGCACAGGTACATTTGGTACGTTTACACCGGAATGAAGGCGCGATGGGCGGGTAAGAGCAAACGAATGAGACTCGAGGGCTGGCTTCACCGTTTTTGGGACATACGTAATTACGTCGTATCTCTGCAAGGACAGCAGGGCGAACCTTTCGACCTGCAGCTTCTACTCTTTTTCTGCGAGACATGCGGGCGGTGGAAGGCTGCTCACTGCAGGCAAAGCGGATGGAAGGAGCGGGGGAGGACTACATTGAGGAGAGAATGAGTGCAGCAGTGTGTGGAAGGGGACGGATGAGGATAGCTGCAGCTGCATCAGCCAGGTAAGCTCGTAAGGTAGCGAGGGTAGGACCTGTGGCTATCACGAGGTCGTTTCTGCCTGCAGTGCAACAAGCGTCGTGGAAAGCCTCTTGCATCTTCGTTGCCTCCCGCTCTCATTCCCGCCACCTAATCATCGCATTCCCTTTTTCTCTCGTCCGATCGTCAGGGTCTGGTCGACTGAGTACATTCGTTTAGTTTGAAACGGAGGCGCAGACAAGCTGACCTCGTTTGATAGTCTGCACAACTGCTATCTACGGGAGAGTTGGACCAATACGGCAGGGAACAAACCGAAACGATGGTGATTGCAAAGCTGGGATCACGGCCACGGCTGGCTGCGATCGACTTGTTCCGGCCATGGCCAAGTCACAACATACATCGGAGCGCATTGCGATGGTCCGCAGTCAGAGGCCAAAGTGCCAAAGTACCGCTACTGATGTCACCAGCATGTGGAATGACAAACTCCTATGAAAACGTGCCGCAGCCACTTTCACTTTAATTTCTGATTATGTATCTGCAACCCGCCCGGCCAGCCTCACTTCACTCCCTTATTCACTCTGTCACTGTCCCTTTCGCCAATTCATTTTTGTTTGCCCACCCACCTGCCGAGCCATGGCGGGCCCAATTCAACCCATTGACGTCATTAGTGGGTCAGTCTCGAAAGACATAGGTCTTATTTTAGCCTTCTCCCCTTTCGCTGATGTCCTTATGAATTTCTCATGGCTTTCGCGAAAGGACATCAACCGTTCTGTCGGCGGAAACAAAGGCAAATGTGGCATAATCAACGAAGACGCCACGGCTCTACGAAGGAGGAACAAAAAGGTCAACGAAAGGCTGGTGGGAGCAAAATGGCGGTGCGCAACAAAGGAGATGGCGACGTTTTCATGCACAGTGCCGACTATATAATCGCACTTGCGCCCATGGCCACCCTAAAATATAGGCGTTGAACACGCGCATGCTGTTTGGGTATTATTTTTATCGGCATATTTTTGCGCATCGCTCAACAGCAGAATTAAAAAGACCTTATGCGCGCCTCGTATTTTGCTGCAGAGTGCGACGTATATACAGTGTCCGTACCCTACTCTCTGCGGAGTAAATACGACGTACGGTGAAAGGAAGGATGAGCTAGTGCTCTGGTTTCCTTTTCTATATTTGAATGGCGTCGGTCCCGTTTTCTCTGGTCTGGTTGAACTTGCCTCGTTGGTTCGTTCTTCATCACTCGCTTCTCACTCTCCTGTGCTCGCCCTTTCTGTTCTTTGTTTCGCATCGCAGCAGGAGGCAACTGACCAATCCCGCGTGATCGTGTCAGACAACACTTGTCCTGGTTAAGACTAGGGTAGACACCGGGACCACTTTTTCTCCCTCTTTCCTTTTGTCGATTTGTTCCTCGTAATATGTTCGTCGTACCAGGTACAAATAGACTCACAATCAGACGCGGCAAGAATAGCACTATCACCATCTTTCCAAGGTACCACCTACAATATATTACCAGTGAGGTACATATCCGACACACAACGGCTTCCGGCGCCCATGCCCGCTCCAGAAAAGCAAGACCCAGAGAACCAGGGACAAGAGACAAGGGTCGCTCCTACCAGCAACCAGTGATCATATGTCAGGGGTGCTTTAATGCCCTTAACCAGCAGTAAAACACGGCCATTGGTGACTTGTTCCGCACTCGACATCTGTCACCAAGAAAAAGAAGTTTCCCCCCTCCACACTTGAACCACCTCTCTGAATTCTCAACTTGTGCAGCAGAGCAGTTACACGGACTCGGGGACTGTTGTCAATTTCTTCCTTCGTTTATTATGACTCTGACACGGTTGGCCCGTCCTCTAAATTGTGGCAAAGCGTCTTCCTGTTAACGGCCGCAGTTGGACGCCACACGCGTCCGAAACGATGCACTCTATGTCGTATTGCCCCGTCCGCTCCCGTTGCCTTCAGAGGACGTGGCCAGCGAGGCAGGCCAAGCAAGTCCTCTGAAGGATGCATCCTTGCATCGAAATGCAGCGCAGAAGATCGACAAATGGCTTTCACGCCGCCTTATTTTCCGTTTGACACATGCCCTTTCTTACCTGCGGGCTAACCATTCCGCGTACGATAACTGCGTATGGGTTGCAGGCCTACGAGGCGAGCCAGTTTGATGAAGCCTTGCTGGTCGGCAGCTGATATTGGATGCGACCTGATGACATGAGGCAACTTGTCCATCTAAACTCGTTTAAAAGCCTAGAAACAGAACTTGAAAACGTGTGTTGTATGGAGGTAGTGGCCATCGCCGTACGACTATGCCCGGGTCCCGCCGTCGGGATTTTCGACCGAAATATGTCCCAACACACAAAATCCGGCTGCCGCGTGTGCGGCACTATCTGCAATCCGACGGAGGAGACATCGGCGTCGACAAAAGGGAAACGGGCGCACCAATCCACATGCCAGATACATAAGGCCATTTCCGTCGTCCATTCAGGAGCATTAACGTGACTTGTGGCCTGATCAGGTCTTGACGGTGCTGCAATTCCCGTTAAGCAGACAACTGTATTTACACACGTTCTGCATGCCGCTCAACTGCAGAGATCAGCCCTTGGACGGGGCCTTTGCCTTGGTCCGAAGACCCTGCTTTTGGACTTGGCTTACAGTCAACATAGACCGAAAACCCACATCCCTTTGACGATCCCAATTGCATCCCACGACGACCCCGGAAAACGGGACACAGGCGGCAGGGAGAAAGGGAGTATTGGGATACTAGAAACAACGAAACGGCCAAGTATCATACGACGTAACAACAGCATTTAGTATTTAGCAGAGCAACAAGAGCCAGCCGTTGAATTTGGCGTCCACAGGTGGCGTACATATTGCATCGTAGTTTGTGAAGATCCAAAACGGGACCCTGAAAAAGTGTATGAAGTCCCAATACTCCCGGAGACTCCGTCCTCTGGCTTTAGCTCGTCTGGCTACCCAAAAAGGCAAGTGGGCTCTGTGAGCGAGAAACAGAGGAAGACATTGCAAATGGCATGGCGTCTGCGCATCGCACATGTGAGCATTCTACCTTGTAGAACAAAGCGCATTCCTGCCGCCTTGGAAGAGCAGCAGATGCGGAAAAAGCACCGCAACTGGATACTTGGCTGCTTGAGGAGGGTCGACATAAGGAGCAGGGGCTAGTCGACGTCAGGATGCTGCCTCCCGCCGATCAGCCTCCTTCAATTTGGGAAACTTGGAGCGTGGCCAGGTTTTCGCTTGTTTCATCATGTCCCGGTAGAGGGGATGTCTGAACGGTGATTAACACAAGGGGCAAAACAACTACCGACGAGGGCGCGTTTGTTTCGACTTGTGAGCCAGCAGCACACGCACGTTCATTGAGATGTTCAGATCTACGTCTGCCCCTAATCGATCGAGTAATGGCTCACATGAGAACATGAGGGGATAGGAGAATAAGAGAACAACAGCGCAATAAAGCGAGACCGCACCGTACCCGCCTGGACCTGATGTACGACGTAGTACTGGGAATCTGGAGAGCGACTCGCTAGCATTGAGGTAGACCTGACAACAACAGCGTTGAGTGTCTAGACCTCTACGACATCGTAGCATTTCGCCAACCCCAAGGTAGGCAAAGCATTCAACAAAGACGAACCTAGCGATACCCTACCAGTTCATGCTTGATGTTGTGCTGCCTTGTCTGACACTGCCTGACTGCGCATATTTATTTGCCTCCTGCATTCTGGACTTTGCCTTACAGCAACCTACAAGACACCAGTGCCAAATTGGATGTTAATATAAAAAGCAGGCATAGAGCAGAAAGAGACGTGATTGTGTGATTACTCCCCCCATGCTTTGTAAATAGCGAGGCAAAATTTATGACATATCGCCTTTATCGTAAATGGGTTACCGTGTTGGCGAGAGTTTGTCCTACAAGAAAAACCTGCAGTTGTCAAGAAGCGGAAGCTACTTCGGAGGCTTTATGCAACGTGAGAATTGCTCGAACAGTCTCTCCATGTATACAAAGCAGAAGATCGAATCGCTGTTTAGGAACGGGCGGTGGTGTTACAATTACATATTCCTCTACTCCGTATCATGAGACCGGATGCACAAAGCTAAGCCGCCATGGTAAAGCCGTTCTTCTGGCAACTGAAATGAGCCTTCAATGGCGTGCTACCAATCTTCAAACTGTCCGGTCGTCAACCGAATAATACCATCGGACGACTGAGTATTAGTAGTTGCCAACGTTACGTTTTGCTGAAGGGCCGCCGCTTCTGTACTTCTGTTTCTTTCCGCCATCACCATGGATCACGGACTTCTTGGCCGGTTTACCTGGTACGTAATATCGAGCAGCACGAAGCAGCATATCTCATACGTGGTTGAGCAGGCTTCTTCCTGGTTGCGTGGCGCAACGCTTAAATTGACCAGGTACTCTCCCAACACAAAACGCAACGAGCTGGATTCCAAGACACAGCAATTATTCGCTGCACCCAGCTTATAGGCTCACACGGTAATGCAGAGGCAGAGGAACCGCAAACAATAGTGCAACAACCACTCCAAGATCCCGTCTCCCTCTGCGTCCACATAAGACGTCCTTTCAACCTCCTCGTCCAACCACACCACACCTCTTACGGTTCTCTGTTGTCATTGCGGTCTCGACGAGCGCGAGGGTAAATAACGTGTACGACATGTCATGCATTACACTCGGGAAATATCCATGGCCACGAGGAACTTGCCGGGTATCCCGATTTGCAAAATGTGCGGCCTCAGCTCGTTTGGAGAAGATGACGGGACACGACATTGTAATAATTTCCGCTGTGAGACTGAACACTCTTGTGTCTGCTGAGGGAAAAAAAATACTACATTGCCATATCCCTGTGATTGGCTTGTGCGACCGAGGCAAACAAACTCCTACATGGGTTTCCTACGTTTCTTCATGGGTTATGAGGCGCGCTGCGCCAACATGGTATACATGAAGAAATGTCCACAAGGTTGTGATATACCACGGTCGGCTAAACATGCCTGAATCGATGGCTTGATGGCTGCGGGTGCTGCGCTTACAATTTCAATTTCAAAAGCAGCTGCACAGGAACAAACAATCACTTGTATGGTAATGGATCAAGAACGTGATATGCGTTACAAGAGAGAAACATGCAGTGCGAAACTCATTAGTCAAAAAAGTATGAAGCAAAAGATGCCCGCGTTCCAAGAAAGACAAATTGCAAGAATGAAATCCAGAACCCGGTCATCGCTACTCCGCTGTAATCTCCGCCGTCCAGTCCTTGCGGATGTCCAGATCCGTCAGAGACTCCGTCTTGTTGATTAGCAGGCCCTTTTCGTTGGCCAGATGCAACAGGCTGATAAAGCAGTAACTCGTCGAGATGTCGTCCATCATCGACTTGGAGTACACTGACTGCAACCCATTCATCACGTCCGTGAACTTGAGCATCTTGTCCTCTTCGGACTGCGCCGGTGTTTCCTCGGACGCAGCCAGTTGCTCATCGATGCTGGCAGTCCCTGCTTCTGCAGGCGGCGGTGTCAACAGACGCGACGCTGCCACGCCCTTGTCGAAGGACATGCCCTTCCACAGCTCTTCCTTCAGCCTCCGCACGTCCACGCGCTTGGCCACACGTGCATACTGCACGTACTCGGGACGCACCCGCCGGCTCGACGTCACCAGCGTCGTGCCAAAGGCAAGGTCAGCCGGGTTGGTAACCGTCAAACCACCGAAGCCCGTTGTGAAGCCTTGCGTGAACCCGAGCCCTTGGGTAAACCCTTGTGTCATGCCCGCGTCCATGCCACCACCCAGGCCAGCACCATCGACAGGACTGAAGTGTTCGCGGGCGTCGGCAAACTCCTCACCGTCCATATCGTCGTCATCGTCGCCTCCAGCAAATGGCAGGCCGTCGTCTGCGAAGAAGTTGGCATCGTAGTCGCCGTGTGGCTCGCCATCGGACCCGCCATTTGCGCCGTCTTCGACCGTTGGTCGCAGCGGGTCCTTTTGTGATGCCCAGAAGGCCTCGTTCATCTCGCCTTCGGGCACGTCCGGCTGCTGTTGTTGCTGCAGTTGGCTGAACAAACTGCCGGCACCGAAGCCGCCAAACTGCATGCGTCGCCGGCTCAGTCGGGCCTTGGGCTTGAGGAAGAGCGACAGCAGCTGCTTGCTATGGAAGTGCTTGTCATCAGGAAGCAGGTTGCGCGACTTGGCCTTCCAGTCCTTCTTGGGCAGTGTGATGGCCGTGTTGCTGGACGCCTGCGTGTACAGAAGTTCTGCCATGACGTTGTCGAGCGGTGCCTCAAAGTCAATCGCAAACGGCTCCTTCTCCTTGCGTGGCTTCGCCGCAGAGGCTGGTTTGTTGACGTCCTTGATCTTGCGGATACGCCAATGCTCGGCGCTCACCCAGTTCTTGCGAAGTGCTTGGTCAAAGTAGCTGAGGATGTTGTCGTGCAGCTTGTCGGGCTGCTGCGAGGAGTGGGCCATAGCGATGGTGAAATCGTCCGTCTCGCCACCATTGCCACCCGGTCCACCAAGCAACAGCAGATCGTCGCCGACATCACCATCTGCATTGTAAACACGCATTTGCGGTTCTAACCGGGCCTCGCGCGCCCAGGCCTCACCACCTTCGCCGAAATTTACATCGCCGCCCAGGTCGAAGCCGCCGAGAGCATCCGTGTCGTCAAAGCCAAGCGGGTTGTCCTCGTCAATAAACATTGCCGATTTGTCGCCGTCCGCGTTGTCCTCGCCATTGTTCTCGGGGCCACGCAAGAAGGGAATGTCCAGGGAGCCGGATGGGTTGCCGAGGTCGAACGTCTTGAGCGATGGGCAAACATCGAGCTCTTCCAGGCGGTGCAGCTCAGGGAAGAAGCGATGTCCCAGGGAGGCGACATCAATCGGAACGTCCTGGTCGTCGACATCCTCCTCGATAAACGAGTCGGGCTCGGCCTCCAAGTTGTCGTCGTCAATGTCGTCGTCGTCCGCCTCTTCGCCCTCCTCCTCCTCACCCTCCTCACTCTGCTTCTTGCCTTTCTTGCCGTCTTTCTTGCGTGTCTTGGCGATATCGTTAGCGTCATCGCTGCTATCAAACACAATACGGCCCTGGCCGTCGATCATGAGGTGGTTGAGGAGGAGGCCCTTGGCGCCGCCCTCGTCGAAGTCCGCGGAGGCTTTCTTGAAGAGTGGGTCAACAGCAAACTCAAGCTCGAGCTTCTTGAGCTGCAGCGACGCAAACGAGGGGGCGAGCGTAGCCTCAGACCGCTGCTTCTTCTTGGGCTTCTTCTTGGGATTGCCGTCTTCGTCCAACTCGTCTTCGTCTTCGCTCTCCTCGCCGTCGCCTGCACCAGCGCCGCCCTTCTTTTTGCTCTCGCGGCTGTCCGCTAGGCCACTGAGCAGCTTTCCCGTCTCGGTTGCCACACTGTCAACACGGCTCGTGTAGATCTTGACGCACCCGTCGAGCGTGCAGCTGGCCTTTTGGAAGTTGACGCCGTCGCCCTCTTTGAGGAGGGACATGTCGTGGAAGTAGTCGATGAGCGCAAAGTTCCATGAGTTGGTCGCGTTGATCTTGTTGTCTGTGGCCATCTTCATCCACTCTTCAAAGTTGGCGAGGATCGGTACCCGCTTCATAGGCGTCACCACCGCACCACCGACCACCACGCGGTCGTCGTCTTCGTCGTCGTCGTCGCCAGCACGGCCACCGAGAATGGCCCGGTTGCCCGATGCAGCGGCCGCAGCGGCAACGGCGTCTCGGCTGTTGATACCACCGGCGCCCAGGCTCTGGCGCTTGCGACCACGCGGGGTCCGGTCGCCCAACGGTGTGCGCGGGCTGCCACTGGAGCTGGGCGATGCATTTTCGAGGTCGTCGAGGCGTATGTTGCTCACTTTGCGGGTAGTTGGTGTGGCGGCTGCCTTGAGCTGGTTGATCTGAGCTTCGTGCAGCGCCTGTCGCGACTGCAGGCGCGCGGCCTTTTCCTGCGCATCATCGTTGAGAGGGATCCTGTCGGTCAGTGTTTGGTTCCTTTTTTTGTCCGTTCCATCTCTCCCAAGACCGCGACGTACTTCACCGGCGAGTTCTTGAAAGGCGACTGCGAGAGCGACCCCGACGCCGACCTGCTGTTGCTTCTTGTGCTGTTTGCACGCGGTGCCTGCGCGACACGAGGCATGCTGCACAGTGGCCGTGTTCCGTCGTCTCTTTTTCTGTTTTCGTTGATTCGTTCTACTGCAGATTCTGCTCGCGCGGCAGGCGTCGATGCAATGTCGTCGTGATTGTCACACGCAAGGTTCTCCGCGTCGCGCTGTGTTTGCGTTGGGCGCTTTTGCGAGATTGGGGGGCTGATTGTTTCGATGTTTTTCGTGTTTTCGCCTATTCCAGTCAAAAGTAAACAAAGTCACGTGAACCTATGTGGCACGGAAACTGCAATCGAATGTACAGTGATAATTTAATGCACTGTATATTAGCACTATGCGGGGTCATTCTACACGCTAGTCTTGGATTGGCCCCCTTCGTGTTCTATTTGCGCTGCTTTACTAGCGAAAGTGGGCGCTGTACTCCGTCATACGACGTTGAGTAGGTTTCGGTACTGAGTACTGCGTATTATGCGTGGGACAGGCGCATTACCATGTATCTGAGACCTTTATCCTGAGCTGTATCTTGACCTGGGTACCTACCAAACTATTTTGCAGCAGGCATGGGTTTTGAAAGTGGTGACGAGGCGCTGCATCGCAGAGCTGCACCTTCCTTTCCCGGCTTTCGCAACTGTGCCGAGCGTGCTTGCCTTCGGGGACTTTCGTCCTTTCTTGCTGTGAGCCTCGTGTGCGCACACTGTCGACAACAATTGCTCCTTTACGACACACATTTCAGAGCTATCCGCATATTTTGACGCCTCCGAAGCGTTTTACTAATCGCTGGGCATCCTCACGAATTGCGACACTGGCCGTACATCAACGACTGACTTCACAACACGTGCCTTTCGTACTACTACTTTCCGGCCCGCTGGGCCTTGTCCACTGTTTCTCCCCGGTTCATTTCGACCTATCCGACCATCAATCACCTCGTACGGGCCGCTTTACCTCCTCCGACCACTCGCCAGATGATGGCCTCAAGACAAACTGCCCTTTGTCTGTGAGATGACGTCTCTTCCGACGACCCCCCGGCGGCGGCGGGCGCGGTTCCGGACTCGGCCGTTCTATATCTCGACCGGCCTGATCCTTGCTCTTGTTGCATTTCACACGTTCATGCCAGGAGTGATCGGCCCCTCGAAACTCGACAACAGCATCAGTCTCGTGCGCCGTGATGATGGCAACGCCACCGAGGATCTCGAGTGTCGCCTCGTGCACCAAGCTGCCGACCAGTGCGCATTCGTGCTGGCAAACTGCGAAGATGAAGCGGCTGGTTTGATACCGTACATTACTTTCTACTATTGCTCCATGCAGCACGTCCAGCCGTTGGCTTTCACCATCCTTGTCATCTGGCTTGGCCTCCTCTTCACGACCATTGGCATTGCCGCGAGCGACTTCTTCAGCGTCAACCTCAGCACAATCTCCACTATACTGGGCCTCAGCGAGAGTTTGGCGGGCGTGACGTTCCTGGCCTTTGGCAATGGATCGCCGGACGTCTTCAGCACGTTTGCTGCCATGGGCTCTAACAGCGGAAGCATGGCCGTGGGCGAGCTGATTGGCGCGGCTGGCTTTATCACAGGCGTGGTCGCCGGGTCGATGGCGCTCGTGCGCGAGTTCAAGGTCAGCCGCCGCACGTTTGTGCGCGACATTGCATTTTTCATCATGTCGGTGGCGTTTTCCATGGTCTTCCTCGCCGACGGCAAGCTCATGCTGTGGGAGTGCTGTGTCATGATCGGCTTCTACTTGTTCTATGTGTTGACCGTCGTGGGTTGGCACTGGGTATCGACACGGCGCAAGCGGCAGCGGGCACGCGAGGCAGCCTCGCGTGGCCACTATTACGGTGCCACGATTGGCACTGCTGGTCAGAGCGGTGCTGGCGACGATGACCTAGCCCCTTATCATGATGACGACAACCGGAGTCGGCCCAATGCCATCGCAAACGCTCAAGACGGGCTCCCTATCGACCCCCATGACGAACCAGAGCCAGACGACACGGCGCCTGTAGGCCGCCGCGAGCGGCCGCCACCTGATATTTCCGCCTTGGAACGCGGCCCACGGATTGAAGTCGACAGTGTCGACAACCCTGGAGAGGCAGACCTGGCCTTCAACATGGAAGCTCAAGCTGACCAGATCAGCGAAGAAGAGCAGGACAGGCGGAACCGCCATATCACGGCTGAAATGACCAGCAGCATGCGTGTCAGCCGGCCAGCTGGACGCCGGAGAACCACGACAACCACCCCCATTCGGCCTAGCCTGCTCGGTGCCCTCGAGTTTCGGTCTGTCTTGGCGTCGCTTCAGCGTTCGGGAACGATGCACCTGGACCCCATCGACCGGCGGCGAATGACCAGCCAACACCGGCCAAGCCTCTCCCGGGGCCACTCCGTGTCTGTTCTCAACGGTACCAGTACCCTAGATGGGCACAGTCGCGAAGACGATATGAGCCGTAGCTCTCTGCTCCCCCAAGATGCATACCGGCGAGGGTCCACTGGAGCTCGCGATCGAGCCTGGTCGTCCGGCAACAGGCCCTTTAGCTGGACGGATAGCAGCCACCAGCTCGGCCCACCATTGCTCCGCTTCACAGATGCGGGGGATACAGTACACGAGGAGGATGCTGCTGCCGCGGCTGCATCCAGCCTGGGGCCATCTCCATTGGGTGGCAGTGAAGCGACATCTGGCCTGGCATCACCTGAAGTGGCTGCCACTCTATCCCCTTCCGACAGTCGTTCTGCCTCCCCAGCATCGATCCCAACCGCTTCCGTACCCCATCAGCATCCTTCCCGCCTACCTCCCGGTGGCGCACTCCGCCTCGACATCCCTTCCTCTCCCCACCATAGCGCGCGGCTCTCACCCCATTCGTCGCCAGCGCTCTCTCCTTTCCCAGGTTACACGGAATCACCAATGCCGTTCTCCGCCCTCCCTCCCTCCCGGCAGTCAAGCCTGCCGCTATCACAACGTGGCGATCTTCCAGCCGACGATGGGTCGAGCTTTCCAGGCCTCGATGACAGCGCCTACACCAAGCCCATAAAATGGTGGCCATACAATATCCTCCCCCTCCCCAACTGATCAGCAGAACTCTCTTTCCATCCCTCGTCGACTGGCGGGAGAAGACGATTTGGGATAAGTTTGTTAGCCTTATCTCGGCCCCGTCTGTGTTGTTGCTGGTCGTGACACTGCCCGTTGTGGAAGTAGATGCACAGAATGGCGATGATGAGGACGAGGACGAGGACGAAGACATTGATAGCGAGTATGCACTTCACGAGACGTTGGAAGCCGATGGTGCGAACGCTTCCCGTGAACCGCTTATGAACGGCCATCGCGTTTCAGTCGGTGCCGCGTCTACACCTACTTTGAATGTCACCAGGCCGGAGACGGAATGGCAGCGCTACCGACGGAGCACCCTGACCAACCGGCCCCTGCAGTCGCCGGTGGTCCGGACCATCCAGGCCGAGCATGGTGTCGACGCTAGTAACATCTCGTCGACCGCGGTGTCGATGGCATCGGCCGCTAGCAGCAGCGCTCCTCCTCCGGAGCATGTCCCGGCTATCCCCACGACACTATCCAACCCGCCAGCCAAATCATCAGAACCTGCTATTCTCGGCAGCGAGCTTCGTCAAGCTGAGGCCGAAGCTGTGGCGGCGGGCTGGAACCGTTGGCTGGTGACCGTGCAGTTGTTTGCAGGCCCACTGTTCACAGCATTCATCGTCTGGGCCAACATATCCGAAGACCTGGAAAACCCGTGGCGAAGCCTCTTGTTTATGATCGTAGGGTCGCTTGGAGCATCTTCCCTGATGCTGGTGGTGCTGTTGGCCGTGACGTCGGCTACACGGCGGCCCAAGTACCACTCTCTGCTGTGCTTCCTCGGGTTTATTATTAGTGTGGCCTGGATCTCGACGGTGGCCGGCGAAGTGGTCGGTGTGCTCAAGGCCTTTGGTGTCATTGTAGGCATCTCCGAGGCCATCTTGGGCTTGACCATCTTCGCCGTCGGCAACTCGCTCGGCGATCTGGTGGCCGACATTACGGTTGCGCGGCTCGGCTACCCAGTCATGGCGCTGTCTGCCTGCTTTGGCGGCCCGATGCTCAACATCCTGCTCGGCGTCGGCGTCGGTGGCGCCTGGATGACCATCAAGGCGGCCAAAGCCCACCGGGACCGGCACCCGGACCAGCCGCTGCATTACAAGCCGTACATCATCCAGGTCGGCAGTTCACTGATGGTCTCCGCCGTCACGGTGCTGATTACGCTTTTCGTTTTACTAGTAGCGGTGCCCGCCAACCGGTGGGTGATGAGCCGCAAGATCGGCCTGGCACTGATTGGCCTGTGGACTGTGAGCACAATCGTGAATGTGGTCCTCGAGGTCACCGGGGCGTGGCGATAGAGCCCGGTGACGAGACGAAGGGGGAGCCTAGCAGCGGGTTGAGCGCCGGTCTTCTTTGAGATTCCGGAACTTCGACAAGCGCCTTGCCAGTGCTGACCGGTTGCCCAAACTTGGCCCCCAGGAACATCATACTATATTTTTGGATACCTGTTAATGGCTCCGAGGGAACAATGTTTTGGACAATCGACAGACGGATTAGACAGGACGAGGAGCGCTGGGTGTCCCGTCTATGCATTATACAACCCACAGTTTTTTGTTATTTTATAACTTTCTTCGTTAGCATTTTTAACTTATGCCTAGCTTCTTTCTTTTGACTGATTCCTATTTTCTACGTTGGAAACAAACTGTGTTGACTTTCAGAACTCCTCGGCTCATTTCCGCTTCGTCGGTCCCTCGTTGCTACTTTCGCCCACACTAACCCACGTCTCTTCAACGGGCTACACAAGAATCGCCGGCAATAGTTCCCGTCACGACTAGGCCACATGACGACGCCCTGACGACTAGATAAGGGGAAACGGTGCGATGCCGATCTGCAATCTAACACTCCCAGGACCAAGCACGTTTGAGAAAGGAGGAAAGGACGCAGTGCTTATTCTCAGCAGGCTGCTGCTGCGGACAAAATATTGACCTTTTTGCTGAGCATCGCAAGGTCTTACTGTTGAGAAACGAACAAATTGCTTTCTGTTTTCTTTTCT